AAATGGCACAGTCGATACAGTGCCAATTAATAGCCTCTTGCAATTATACGGAGCAACGTTTTCATTAGCGCTAATCAGTTTTCCCCCAAGCTCCTGTACGCGCGCCCGCGCGCGACACACATTTATTTATAATATTTTACAGGCGCAACTTTCATTCGGGCCACTCGCGACGACGATATCGCCTGCTTAATCCGGAAGATTGAGTCGAATACGTCTCGCCGCAAAGTACAGCCGCGCAAAGGCCGGCCGACCGTTTATGAGCGGGGGGGAGGGGGGTCGTTACTCGGGGTTGATTAATTTTTACAATCTCCCCAAATATATACGCAGCTTTCGCGAAGATTTGGCCGGCCGCCAAGATATACACGTGAAACAAATTTGCGCGATACGCGTGGCGCGGCGCGGGAAGATCGAGCGCCGCCGCTGTAGGTTAAAGGTCGAAGCTGTCGAATAAATAGCGGCTACCTCTTCCAATTACGCGTTTCTCCAATTAATCCGCACGATGCGCCATTTTTCCCTCGGCGGGGAGCATTTACATTTCAATTCCGCCGGAATCATCGCCGGTGTCTCCTGCGCGCTCGTCGGCCGATCGCGCGCGCGCGTTTGTTTTCCAACGTCCCGTGAGATGACAGTTTGCGGAAAAGCGGCGCTACCATCTCGGCGTCTGTCCACCTGGAAATCCGGAAGAGGAAATTACGAGAAACGTAGCAAACAAGAGAGAGAGAGAGAGAGAGAGCGGGTGGAGGGAAAGAAGAGGAATATTAAAAGAGTCTCTCTCTCTCCGCCGTCTGTGAGATTTGTTACGTGAGAACGTAAAACCATTTTCGCCGGAAAGAAAACGAAATCGAGGAGGAACGAGGTCCCCCCTCCCCCCCTCTCTCTCTCTCTCTCTCTCTCTCTCTTTGAGGAAGACGCGAGCGGCGGGGGTGGAGAGGAGAGGCGGAGGAGGACGGTGGAAGTTCACGGGGCGCAACACGAAAGTTGCAAATGGGGAAAGTTACGCGGGGGCGAACATTGCGGGGCGAGGGAGGGGGGGAGGGGAAGGAGACTTTCGTGTAAGTAACCGGGCTTGCGAGTTGTGCCGCGGAATAAAGCTCCGGCTCTAACGATCGGCCGGCGTGCGTGCTCGGAAAAGAAACGGCGAATCCCGTCGCGCACCTGCGCCCGCTAATTTCTATCGCCGTTTTTGGAATTACGTTCGGCCTAACGTTAGTCGTGTTACGAGCTCCGCGGGAGCGGGAAACACCGCTAAATGTTTCATATTAATAGCGCGAATCTCGGGACACGCGCGCGGCAGATACGGCGCGAAGATATCTGGACTGTGAGCGCTCCACGAGGGGCGAGGTCTAATTAACGGTAAGGGGAAAGTTACGGTACTCCGGGTATTTCTGTCCCGCGGCTTCTTCGCGGGTGCATTCGGCTTGATGCCAGCTCGTGCTGGAACCAACCGTGACGTTTGCGACCGGCTGAAGTGAAGATGAACGTCCCAATTAGTGGCCGGGTAACTTCGTCGTGAAAGTATATTAATAAATTGCTGATATTCGCGTTAAATACACGAACTTCATTCCGGGAAGCTCCGACACTTGGGATTTTTTGTCTCGTGTTTCTCCCCCCCCCCTCCCCCTAATTTGTGAAAAGATCTCTCAATTGATCTGTAGATTTGATTTTCTCGGAAATGACTCGAGTATCATTTGGTGACACGATCAAAGAATTTAAGGGTTTTCTTCCGCTTTTCATTGATGGTTTATTTGGTTTTAAAGAATTTTTAAGGAATAATCCGCGCACACAAGGGTGTCAAGTGTCAAAGTGTCAAGTGTTCTAAGATGTCGGCGAATAATTGTCGTCCTCGGTTTGTAATTCTGATGTTTCAGCATTTAATATAGCTCTTAATTTCAAATTCACGGCAAAACTAATCGATATAATTTCGGCTAATTTATGAAGGAAAACCGCGGCGCAATTATCGCAATTATTGAGAGAGCACCAGCACCAATTGACACTCGCCGTGTAACATTCTCGAAAAAAATTTGCTACGTCAACTTGTAAGCTGTCAACGTGTGCAAAATGTGCAAACAAAGGAAACGAGTACGCGTTCCCGCTTGCCCAAATCACCAGTACAGTCGGTTGCTCAAAGTTATCGCACTTTTCATCGACGAGTCTCGCGACACAGCGATCCCCCGTATCCAATAGAAGGATTTGTCTTTTAGCAATTCCCAGGAGATACTACATCCTGTTGGATGCGGAACGCGCAGAGGTTGAAAAATCCATTTCGCGGGACAAAAAATATGTCCCGCAAAGCGGGAAAAATATCGGAACCTTTAATCAGCGGAATTCGGATAATCTTGGACCGATAGAAAGGACGAATACACAGGAAGAGCGAAACGTCCGGCGAAAGAGCCGCCGCGGCCGTGCTGCTGGCGCTTTATAGGAACGACAGCAGGAACGCCGGACAGACGCGACACGTGACACGGAGGAAACATTGAAAATATATTTTCACAACGCGGACATTCCGCCCGTTCGTGCGATATCGCGAACGGATGGAATTCTCCTGGAGGAATTCCGCGTAGCCTCAGCGTCGACCTCAAAAGTTATTACGCGGTGGTGCCTTTGGTGGGATCCCTTTCAGCAAAGTTGATCGAAACATCGGAGCCCGGCGAGCCAATCGTAACGGCAGATACTCCGGCGTCCGGTGGATAAATCGATTTAATAAACGTCGCGAAATTAAGCCCTCGGCCATGCACGCGCCCGATATACTTTTCGTCGCTTTTGTCGCATGATAACGTTAAGCGGATTGCGCGAGCGAAACTTACTCGCGCAAACGCAATGGCGCGGATTAAACTGAAAAATGATCGTCGGCAAAGGGTTCTGTGTAAAAAAAGAAAAAAGAGAGAGAGAAAGAGAGAGAGAGGAAAAAAAGAATCGCCCAAAGCTCGAGTGAAATTGGAGCTAAATAAAAATGTCGTCTCGCGTATCCGAACACAGTTGCGGCGGGGCGTTACGAGGCCGAGATGGAGAGAGAGAGAGAGAGAGAGAGAGAGAGTGATAGAGGGGGGGGGAAGCGAAGGAGGAGAAAGAAAGAGACTCTGCGCGGCGAAAAAGCGGTTCTTTTCTCGGTGGAGAAAAGAACGCTGAAACACTGAAATAACACTCGGAACTTGAAGTGCTCGCGGGGGCGTTCCGTACAAATAACGCGAATATTTCAAAACTTTATGCGAAACTTTGCGCGGGCTAATTAAATGCGGGACGCGCCTTCGCCTCCGCTTGCCCAAGCTTACCCGCGACGCGCCGTTTTCGCGCGATATCCGATTAGCTCCGCGCGCGAGAGTCGAAAATCATCGGTGGAACGCGCGCGACCGCGTGACATTTCGCACCGGCTGCACCGCGCGGAGCGAGTAAAACACGCTCTCGCGCGGCGCCGGTGGTCCGACGCGGAAAACGCCCACGCGGAGAGCACCGGCGTGGGGGGGGGGGATATCGTAGGAAATTGCCTCGGCAGAACTTATTGGCTCGTATTTCATAATAAAAGCCGACGTTACAACTGATTTGCGACGCGGTGGCCGTCGCTACGTGTGCATCGCGCGGTAATGACACATCGTGCGCGCTCGCGAAACCCTTAAAAAATTTACGAAAACTTGTTGCACACAGATAGAGGGAGAAAGAGAGGAAAAAGTCACCGCGTTTATTCTATTAAAATTAGCGGATCGCCTATGAAGGAGCCTATGGGAACGCGCGTGCGTGTCCCGGAAACCTTTATTTAAAGATCCACGAGAGAGCGCGCGCTGCTCCATTTGTACTTATCCTTTTTTTCAACGCTGTTTGTCCATCGCATACCGGAGGGAAATGTAAAATTGCGACGATATTATTACTATTATTATTATTATCATTATTAATTCCGCGCAGCGCGGAATTTACTTGCGGAGAGCGCAGGGAGAGAAGCCGCGCGCGGATCAGCTGCCGGCAGCTGCCTCTTCCCAAGTAGAACAAAAAATCATGATGACATCAAAATGACAAGAAAATGAACCGAATCATGGTGAGAAAAAGAGTTCTCCTCATCATTTTCACGTCATCGTGATTTTCTGTTCTACCTTTTCGGGATTTTCGGGAGGCTCTTTTATCGCAGCCTTGCGCAATCTATCGCCACGGGCACGCACTTTTTCGCATACCGGAATTTTTTTCCGCCGGGCACCGGCATTCCGGCGGACGGGCCGGAAGAGGGCAGTGTACGCCACCGCCGTGGCGTACACTGTGTTTATCCTGTACGTCGAGATTTTTCGCTGATCGCGCAAAGACGCACTCCACCGCTCGCTCGCGCGCGCGCGCGTCGGAGAATCTCTCGCGCTATACTATAATACCGCCCGGCATTTCGGATGCACGTACATCAGGCGCATTCGCGGGAAATTTGTGGGCGACGTGTCGAGTACGTTCCTGGATATACGTCGCTGGGAATACCGCCGACGGTATTCCTGCGAAGCGTCGCGACGTCTCTCGGTACGAGGATAACGTCTTTCCCTCCCTTCCACCCTCTCTCTCTTTCTCTCTCTCTCTCTCTCTCTCTCTCTCTCTCTCTCTCTCTCTCTCTCTCTCACTCTGTCTTTGTCTGCCTCTCTCCCTCGCCCTGCTTCTCCCAATAGTTGCAGCAATTTTGTTGCAATTTCGTATTGTATTCGTGGGACCGCATTCCCAACATTAAATGCTCGTTGCTGTTCCCTCACACGGTATGCCAGTAATCGTGGCCGTTTACAGATCGTGGCATGCGAGAGGCTGATGTCCACGATGAAACGTCGCGATCTTTACATTTACTCCCGGATCCCTGTCGCGGACACGATGATAAATAGCGAGGCGATAATGCATCGGACGTCGCGCAGTCGCCGCGATCCATCAGACTGTGGAGATATTAAAAGTCGCGCATCGGCGTGCGATATGCAGGGTCAGGGAGGCGAGGGTATTTGTAGCGGAAGAGCCTCTCTCATCATTTTTCTAACGTCTTTATTGTCTTGTTTGTGCAGTTGCAGTCGGTTCCGTCGACGCACAGTGGCCCGTTCGCGAGCTCCAAGGGACAAGAGTATTTTTTAAAGGTGAGTGTATCGAGCGCACACACACACACTCGTCCCAACATGATCGTGCAGATAAACACAGAACAAATCGGGTAAGGGGAAGTCGCAAGCTGACGCGAATTTTATCGTGCAAACTGTGCAAAATGGCGCAAATTGTGCAAAATCTGTGCCATAAGAATGGAAAATCGAATCGACAATCTCTCGAAGAAATGAACCGCAGAAATAGAGTCGACAGAGTGAAAAATTAACGAAGCCGAAGCGTATTATTCATTAACGGTACAAAAAGGAATATTCGCGAGTTTCTTTATGGTAAAAATTTCTCTCGATTTTACTGAGTATCCGAGTATTGCGGCAATAAACCGTTAATATGGACTTCAGTCTGTTAAAAAAAAAAATATATATATATATATATATATATAAATTTTTCCGATAGTAAAATCTAAATTTTCTCCGAAAGCAGAAATAACACTCGAAGTGAAGAATAAATGAAGACAGAAAGTCGATATGTTTTCTGTGATTACGATGTTTCCTGCATTAATTAATTCCTAACATAAATTTCTCCCTGTGTATAGATGTTTTTTTATCTACCAAGAGATTCATCTCGTTGCATAGTATGAGTAATCCTATTTCTGGCGGTGGATTGAGTGTGAATCAGAGGTTGCCCTCTGATTAGCGATCAATAATGCGTTGGGTCAGCTTGATCATCGTATCGATGAAGTAAATTTTGAGTTCCCTTTACACAAACAGGAGGTTAAAAACGAACACGAAATATATACACACAACTTTGAAATTGAATTTGTTTGATACAATTGTCCCGGGTCTTTCTTCTATAACGTTACCCCGCAATTTTGGTTTCGCGGCTCGAGGCGTACACGTCGTTTTTTCTCACAATATCAGCGATCATGTCGATGCACCTGACGAAGAGACGAACTTTTCTCAAACTTAACGAGAGAAAATTCCGACGGAATTTTACGATTTTCACCCCGGAGCAAATCCTCATTAAGAAAAGACGGAATCTGAGATTTACTTTATGACACAGTCTCTGCTTTTCTTTTCTCTCTCTCTCTCTCTCTCTCTCTCTCTCTCTCTCTGTGTATGTGTGTGTCTGTCTGCTGTCTCTCTCTGTTTCTTTGGCTTTTTCTTTTTTATTTGCCGTAAATTATTGCGCGAGCCCTGAGTAATTGCTTTGTGTAATGCGATTCTCGAATGAGCCCGCAGCTTTAACCGCGTTATCAATCCTCCACGGACCACTACGTGGTCCTCGGTAAACATTATTTGGCGAGGGAACGGCGTTTCAAAGTCCCCGGATAAATGTCATTACGCTTGTTACGTGCGGCCGCATTTGCTGAAAGAAACACAAGATGCGCGCAGGGGAGCCGTTCCAAAAACCCGTTCGGAGCGGGGACTTTTTCCGATTTCGGGAACGTCTCCACTAACGTCGGCTCTTGCGCGTCGCAGTCGCGGAAGATGGATCCCCGCAATTATACGGCACATTTTTCCCCCTCGCGAGAAAGGCCGCGAGCGCGCTGCATGCATCCCGCGCCGTTGAATCTAGCAGAGCTTGCTCTCGGCCGAATTTCACTTTAATTTCGCGTGATGTTAAGAGTCGCTCTCTCGCTCCCCCCCCTCTCTCTCTCTCTCTCTCTCTCTCTCTCTCTCTATCTCTCACACACACATATACACACACGTACACGTACCTGTCGCAAATCTGGCGCGATGTCCGATTCGCCGTTGTGAAATAATTCGTATTTTCTTCCTTCCAGCAGTAGATTACAATAAAATTTGTAGGTTACGAAAGGCAATAATTTTATTTACCTTTTCGAGTTATTTTTTTCCGCGTAATTTCAGACCTCTTTTGCTTCATTGTTTGTGACATCTGAAACCTGTTTGTTCCTATTGCGCACGTGAAGATGAGAGTCATATCTTTTTTTGTTTCTCTCTCTCTTTTTAATTTAACACGCGCTATCGCTGACGTAAAATTGTCGAGTATCGCTGATGTATCGCACGTTGTTCGACGTTAAAAGGCTCCGCCTCGCGAAGAACGCGCCTTTTACTGGGTCATGGCACTCGATATTCCGTTCTTTCTTCCAACGAAAATTCCGCACGTCTTTCTCCGTCGATGGTCTCCGCTGATACGAGTCCCTTTGGAATGTGTCTTCCGGTTTCGTACATCTCGTCGGCTCTTTTAGATGTTCGGTAATAATCCTACGGTATCTTATAATTCAGGTATCTTCATAACGACAGTTCTCTCTCGTGCAAAACAGTGAAATAAAGTCTCCGTTAAATAAATGAAGCAAGAAATAAAATTATCCGCTCTGTCAGAACGTACGCCTGTCGGCCTAATTGTTCTCCGTTCTATGAATCGGCTCTTATGAAAATTCGGACTGGCACGTTTGCAAAAACGAAAAAAGGAAACAATGTGACTTCAAGCCCGGGCCACAGTATAAGAAAGAATAGTAGGTTCACTCAGCACAAAATAGTGCGAACAGTCGTTTTTGTCGCGCATAACCGAACTGCATAACCAACAATATGGCGGCCAATAGCTATCAAAATGTGTAAGTGTAAGCAACGATTAACTATATGACCGAATTTTTAATATAATATTGTTGTTTTATTAAAATCGGTAAAATGAATGAAAGAGGTGGGTATAAATGTGGGTATAATAAACTGCAAAAGTACAAATTTTAATTTGCAAAATGTTAAATTTTGTTTTAATCAAAAGGTGTCCCCCTCGAAACAATACAATATAAAAAAAAAAGGTGGACTTCAATATCATTTAGTTTTCGAGATTTTTTACCTGTTACGTTTGAAATTTAGCACCCTGTATATATATATATACATACATCTTTCTATATTATAATTAGTAATATGCTATATATTATTAATTATAATATTATCAACATATTATATTAATAATAGTTCATATTTTTATATTATTTTGTAATGTATATTATAGATTTGACAGTAAATATTGAAAATTAAAAACAGCAATAAATCTGTTTTAGCTACTATTCATTGTCATTCAAATTACAACCCATAACATGGCGGTCTTGTAGCACCTGAGATGAAAAGTACCCCGCCACCACAAGCGGACCTACTGTACTTTCTTATACTGTCCTTCCTGGCCCGGGCCAAGCGAGCCGATCGTCGCTTTATTTCCTGCTTGATTTTCCGGCTTCACTTAATCGAGCGGCTTCTCTCTCGCTTCGCAGGGGCTCGAGGCGACGCTGAGTGACAGCAAGAAGAAGTACGGCGACAAGGTGAATGCACTTCTGTCAGCCTGGGAGCATGTCTCCAATTATATTCCTGCGGCACCGCCCGAGGCCACCCAGTCTCTCATAGAATGGGCTCACAGGTGGGTAGTACGCGTCGTCGATCCGTCCTGGCAACCGCGATTATGTAACCAACCCTCGATCGAGAAGAAAACTCGCCTCTCTTCTCCCTTTCTCCCTCTCGCCGAGTCTCACACGCCAAGTCGACGTCGCTCTTAAAATGAGACCATGCCGGGTAAATCTCAAGACCGCTCCAACGTCGTCGAGTTGTGTCGTCAAAAAGTTTGAAGCCGCGTTTTAATTGTAAAACTCTAACGTAACGGTCAGCTTGTACCTTACGGATTCTTCTCCCGCGCGGAAACTTGAAATCCGAAACGTTTTACGCTTTTGCGTGAGAGAATTGTTAACATCAGGTCTCAAACGATCCTTCTTTTAATTATTATTTAATCCTTACGGGAATGAACGGGTTAAGTAAACATCCACGTCGCATCGGGGTCAGTTCGGCTCGATTTCTGAGGCGCCGACTTCCTCCTCCGTTTCATCGTTTCATCGCTGGAAACGAACGATTTATCAGGCAAGCAATTGACGTCACTGCTTGTGTAATCCTTCGCTAACATTCCGAGTACCGTCAGCGTTGTTACTTGAATTATGTATATGTATGTGTGTGAAGCCGTTTATCGAAAATCGAATCGAACTTCTGGAGCGACTTGATAAAATCACCGCGCATCGGTTCGCGTTCGTCGGCCGCGCGCAAGCTCGACTCCTCGCCTCTTCTCCGCCCGCGCAATTATATGCATTTGTCGTTCAATTATGTTCATCGCGTTACCATCCGTCGTTGCGTCGCATTAAGAGATTTATTTTCGCATTCATATGACCCATTTAGCACGCAGTGCATACTCCCGAGCTTTTTTGTCTCTCGACTACCACCGGTCGGGGGCTTTTTTTCGGTACAAAGGTAGCGCGAAACGAGTTTCGATGTAACAGCGTCGTTCTACGGCAGATGAACGTGACGAGAGGGAGAAAAAGCGAGGGAGGTGAAGAGAGGGGGGGAGAGAGAGAGAGAGAGAGCAAAAGGAGGAGAAGGAGAAGCAGGATGAGAGCAGAGCGAGGAGGAGGGGGAGGGAGAGAGAGAGAGAGAGAGAGAGAGAGAGAGAGAGAGAGAGAGAGAGAGAGACTGACTGACAGCGTTGAGAGTAATGAATCTGCACGTATGTAGCGCCGTCGTACAAACGATCCCGGAATTTTGAATAGCAATGCGACGCAAATTCACGTTAACGTGACGGGTATACAACCGAGGGGTCGGTTATATACAGGAAGGGGTGCTACGGAAAGGGTGCGCGCGCGCGAGAGAGAAAGAGAGAGGGTATCATTTTTTGCGTAACATTTCGCTGCTTCTTCTTCTTCTATTCTCTTTCTTTTCTTTTGTTTTATTTTATTTTTTTAACGAACGACTAATTAACGGGTCGCCGGGTGTCATCGCTGTGCGAAAGCTGCGCACACTGACGTGAGCTCGACATTCGTCAGTCGATTACTCCAACGAGCGTCCAATATCGCGAGATAACGCCAGAAAATGGCGAGGAGCTGCCGTGTTTTCTTATTGGGCGTGTCTCTCTCTCTCTCTCTCTCGCAAAAGTCGCAGGAGCTTATCTCCTTTCCATGTCGGATCTCCTGAGTCGCGGAGCCGCGGATAGCCGTGTGTGTGCGATCGCGAACACAGGACGCTCGCGTTGAAAACAAGTCGTCCTGGCAAATATACACTCCCGCACACACACACATACACGCGTGCGCGTCCGCCGCGCGCGTTCTCTCGGCGTTCTTCTTCCTTGCGACGACGCATTCACTCACGTGCTGCTGCCCTGCTTTGTGTTGTTGCACAGACATACGTTGACACTGGTACTGCGCGGGGAGTGGCCCAAGTTGGCACCCGTCGCTAAAACGCACCTCTGCGTGACGCTGCAGAAGTGTGTGTCTCATTTAATGCAACACCCCGCTGCACCCAGGTGTACCGCCCTGTTAGCGCTGGTGCACAATCCATGGACGCATCCCACCCTCGACAGTATACTTAACGGCCAACCGGATTCCGAACATGAGGAGGGTAAGACAAGACCGAGTGTTTAGTTTAGCTTAGATCTCGTAATGTGTACATTTTCTCGGCTGCGCGACGCTGACGCCGGTCGCCAGGCGTCCTCGCATCCGGACGCCTAAAACGGAAGTTCGCTCTTATTAACCCTTTGTGGCACAGTGATAACTATATATTTACCACCTATTTATTCTCACATTTTCATAAAATATTTCATATTTCAGAGGGAGTTTTTTAGCTTCTTATATGATACGGGAACATACATGAAAGATTGAAAAGTGTTTTGCCATTAGAGTTGTCCATTTATTATAAATAAACAAAGTGTGAAATGCAAATTTTTACCTGAGAAATATCATGTTCCACGAACTATGAGTGAATTTTTTGCTCAAAATCAAAATTTGCTGGTTACGAATTTGAGGTCCAAATTCTAAAATTAATTTTCCAACATGGCGGATCATAGAATTTTTATTAAATTAGCTAAAATTGTACTCTGCTTAGTTTTTGAGCTTGCTGATTACGAATCTGAGGTGCACGTTCTAGAATTCATTTTCCAAGATGGCGGATCATAAAATTTTTATATGATTAGCTGAAATTGTACTTTAGAGGTACTTTAGCTTTCGAGGTCACTGATTACGACTCACTGATGTCACCGCGAAATTATCGCGATTTTTCAGATTTGTGGCCGCCATCTTGAATTTTGAAAATCTGATAACGGATTCGTCATCAGCGACCCCGGAAACCCCCGTATATAAATTTTTATGTGATTCGGATTTTCTGAAAAATACGTGCCTCAAACGGTTAATCTCGAAATATCTCCATTTGTATTTTTCCTTGGCGACGTTCACTTTTTTCGGTCGTTTGTGCCGGTTCGCGCGTACGCGATTGCGTGTCACGCCAACGAAACTCGATGACAGTCCGTGTAATGATCGCGGCGGTTGGATCTCCGGCAACTGTCCGCGGCGAAACTGCGAGCTCAATTAAGAAATTGTAGAACAATTATTTCGTGTGTTCAATATTGCACGTGTTTACTTGCGTGTGGTCGGCAGAGAGTTATTTGATACACTGAATATTTCGTCTGTTCAAACTGTGTAGCTGAAAGCGCCCGGAAATAAATTATCATAATTATTACCACACACACACACACACACACACACACACACACGCGCGCGCGCGCGGGATCGTTGTAAAAGGTCAATAAATAATTTTATTTGCGCGATGATCACGCTCCCGGATATCGAATCGGAACGGAGGCACTCTTTACTCGGATTTGTCCGGATATTGATTCTCGCTCGCACGGTTAAAAACTGTTATTTTCGAAACACGGTTCGACGAATTTTTCACACCTCTCTTACGTTTCAACGATGCATGTTTGTACCGCTGAGTGTTTAATCAGCCGTGTAATTAGACCGCATTAAGTTTCACGTAGCGTCGCAAAAATCAAGCAACCTCGAGCCTGCGTCGGACGTATCCGGCTATCGGGGGCTTTTGATAAGTTAACGAAGATTAACGCGGCGAAACCGCGTGCTGAGAACCGAATGTGCTTTCAGAATTCTGTTGTTCGGAGAAAGGCGAGCTGCTGACGATGAGACTGAAGATACTCTGCGAGGACCGCTGCGAGGACATAGCGGTGAACCTCGCTGCTGCGTGCGTACGGTCCCTCAGACGAAGCGATCAGCTGCGGTCGCTCTCGGAGTCTCATCACGTCCACTATATGATCGACGTGTACATTGTCCTCTTGTACAAATTGAAACGCACGCAAGATATTTTCGCTCAAGTGAGTACCGACGCGAGCGTCACAATCCGATTCCCATCGCGGTACACTGTTTATTTTATTTCTCTTTTTTTCTTTTTTTTTTTTTTGTAGTAGGTGCACTAAACGATGGTGATTCGCACGAATGCGCGGGTTGCCCAATAAATGATGCTGTGTTGGGCTGACGAGAAAGTTCCCTCGAATTTTTGTCGGGAAATTCGAAGAAAATTCCAAGGATGATCAATCTCTCTTCCCTTTTTATTTTTATCGAAAAATCCGAGGGAACTTTCTGGCCACTACAAACACGCAAATCGTGTGGTAGCAATTCAAAGTGTACATAGACTGGATCGTGAAATATTCTAAAGTATAAGTTATACCGTAATAATTTATTGATGGACTCGACAGACGTTGTTCGTTGAGCCGTGAAAAAATTTGATGGAGTGACAATGACATCTCAAAATCTATCGGAATTACTCGGAGAAATAGAATTATGACTCACTCGAGTTTCTGAGAGATCTTATCGGAAACGTCAAATTGCCTGTGAATTGTCGTCGTGCCGAGTTGCTCTCGATTAGGCAAAAAAGAAAATTCTTACATGATGCAATTTATGAAACCACAAGGCATTTGTAAAAGTATTAATTGCTAAAATTAAATTAAAGTAAAAATAATTGAAAATAAGCTAAACAGTTGAATAAAATTCGCATGTATAATATAATATAATTAAAAAATGTTAAAGATTTAAATTTAATTTTAAATTTCACTCAATTTTTCGTATTTCATTTAATTGATTAAAATTTTACTAAAATTAATTGCTCTGGTGTATATACTCCTCGACGCGCTTAAACGACTTAATTGAAATTCAGCCTTTTGGAGGAACGAAATCGCGACAATCACGATCGTCGCGAAAGACGGATTTCGCCATCGCGATTGATATCCTGTCGCGCGCTCGGCAGTGTGAAGCATCGCGCTAGAATTCAACAACTTCGTTTTGTTGCAGTTAAAATTAATGGATCTCAACGACGGTCTTGAATTGGTCCAGAGGCTCAGCGGTGAGAAACCAACGAAATATGGAACGGCGCGCGTTTGGAGAAATTCGATAAAGGCCGCGGAATTGGTCGCACAGTATCTTGTTACTGCTGGAATGGTTCGACCAGTATCGGAAACTGGAGCGAATATTTTAGAACAGATTTTGAACTCTTGGGCATTGCTGCACGCAAAATTGAAGGACGTCGCACCTACTTTACCCGGCATGATCAGGAAATTAATCGAACCCGCGGAGAGTGCTCAACATATTTATATCTTTTGTGCGGTACTTGCGAAACATGTAAGTAAACCTTTAATCCAGGCTTTTTACAGGATCTAATATCTAGCGAATTTAAGGCATCTCTTATATATTTTCTGCACCTTCTCTATACCTCCTACATCTCCAATCAAACTTTGGCGCAAAAGTTTTGTCATGTTTGTGCAGAACAGAATAGGGAAAATGAAATTATTCAATTTCGCTGAATCAGTAATTTTTATGAATAAAATTAACATCTTTTTAAACTTCCCGGAGAGAATTTTCTCTCTATTTTCCTTAAAACTCTGTGTGATAATTTAATACAAAAAAAAAATTGACAAATATTTTGCATCAACTTGATATATTTATTGTGTAAATTTTTTCCAATATTTCTCACAGTCGGTAAGAAATATTAACACGTTGACTGCCATGAAAATCACCAACAATCGACGCGATTGTAACTCACGTATCCACATAAAAATATTTCCTTTGTTGAAGATGACCATTATTTAAAAGAAGAAAGCCAACTACTGATCGCTTTCCTGTCAGCAGTAGAATGATATTTTTTGTCTGTATATAAAACATACCAATTATATATAAAGAATTATATATATAGCTCAATGGGAGGCTAATGAGACAAGCAAGCGCGCGTGCACTATGAATTGCATCTACTTACTCTACTTTGTCGATTCAAAGTTCTAAGATAATCAACTAAGGAATCAGCGTGTGGCGGTCAACGTGTTGACTACGTAAGGAACAAGAAAACTTCCAATGAGAATTATACGATACTCGAATAAAGAAGTCGGTGTCTCTCTTTGTTTACTTGCAGTTTGGCGAAAGCATAAAACCTTTGGTAATCGAACTTTACATCAGAGCGTTAACAACGGACATGAACGAGCTCGAGAGCCAAAAGGCCAAGTCGGACAAGGACAAGGTGCGCGAGACCGCGAAGCGTCTGAGCACGCAATTTCTCAAGCTGGCAGGCGTGGTTGACAGCAATATCGGCATCGCGAGGGAGTGCGTTCTTACGGCCTTCTCCTTGCATCCCACTCGAGCTTGTTACGACCGAATCAAAGAATTGGCGGTGGCGTGCGGGAAAGCGAAGGAAGATGGCGTTTCGCAGGATAGCAGCGCTTTCGACGAGAACAAGCTCAAACAGACCGAAGAACATGATCCTCGTCTGCCTGTCGCCATAAAGGATGTGAAATTGGAGCCGGTAGACAGCGACGACGTTGACGTCGAGGAGCCATCCTCACCGACGACGTCGCCGCCGAGCTCGACGGATCCGGAAGTTCCACAGCAGCAGCGGCAAGAACAACAACAGCAACAACAGCCGTCACAGGACTCGACCGTCAGCACTTCAGAGAAGAGCATAGACTTCCAAAGCGGTCAAGTAACAAAAACGTTCGAGCAGACGAAACTGCTGTTGAAGAACCTGCTGTCGCGGAGCACCGACGCCACGACGACGACGACGACGACAACGACGACGACGACGACGACGACGACGGCGGCGGCGGCGGCGGCGGCGGCAGTGACGCAGAACGACAAATGTCCTCTGCACCCCAAGTGCGACCTCAACGGGCCGCTCGGCGAGCTGTGCTTCAATTGCGGCGAGTTCACCGGTGGCCAACAGCCGCCCGACGTCGAGCTAAAGTCAGAGCCGTTGTCGAACGAAAACACCGCGGCGACGCCGCCACCGGTCGCCAGTGACGGCGGGGGCGGCAACAACGTCGAAAGGACACTGGACGCGCTGATACTGATCAAGGGCGAAGCGGTGACCGGCTCGGCCAACTACGACGAGACGTCCGTGCCCAGTCAAGTGTTGGACGGTGAGAAGCTCGGCCTGTCGCCGCAACTGTGCGACGACCTAGCGGTGGTGCTGAGTAGCCCGCGCTATCACATGCTCAGCTGGGTGCTGGACTGGAAGGAACTGAAGGGTCTGTGCGAACGTTACCTGGAGAACGCCGAAGAGATGCGCAACACAAACAAGGAGCTCAAGTACCTGAACATCGACTACTCGCAGTTCAAGGACTGGCCGTCGGAGGAGGACACGAAGGACGTCTTCTTCGGCATCGAGAAGGGCTACGAGCAGTGGGTGGACCCGCCGTCCGACAATTCCGAGCAGTTCGGCAGCTTCCAGCCGGCCGGCGGCTACAAACGCTCGTCGACGCGGCGCAGCATCGACGATACCACCACCACGGACTCCGACAGTGGTAGTATTCTGCGAGTGCGACGGACCGGCCGCGCTCGCAAGGTCCTGCGACTCGAGTCGTCCGAGAGCGACTGCGACAGCACCGAGCGCAAGCCAAAGCACTTTAGGAATAGGATCAGCTCGGTGTCGGACAGCGACAGCAACACGCAGGACAGCCAGACCGACAGCCTCGGCAGCGACGGCTGCCGGCTGGAGACGAAGAAGAAGTCCAACAAGGCCGGCGGCAAGGAGTCCGCGAAGAAACGGCCCAAATCGTCCAAGCTCACCGTCGAGTCCGTCTCGCATTTCCATATGCTGGTGAACGAGGACGCCCGGCACACAAACGCGCACGAGGACGCCAGCGGCTCCGACGTCAGCAGCAACGACATCATCACTTTGTTCTCCGCGGACATGGACGAGAACAAGCGCGAGACGATCAAGGGCTCGGCGTATACCGCCGCGGCGCCGTTGATCATCACCGAGAGGCGGAGCGACCCGGCGGTGCTCAAGTCCCTGCGGATGTTCAGGCCGCAGAACTCGAAGAAGCCGCCGCGGATCACGCAGCTGCTGCAGAAGAACCTGATGAACAAGAGCAAAGACGTCGCGGGCACCGGCGGCCGGGACGATCAGCAGCAGCAGCAGCAGCAGCAACAGCAGCAGCAACAACAGCAGCAGCAGCAGCAGCAGCAGCAGACGGACAACATCGCCGCGAAATTCGCGCCGATGCTAAGCACGCTGGACCTCAACCCGAGGATCGTGCTGACGCGCACCGACGAGATTGACCGCAAGCAGCTGCAGCGCGCGAAGAAGCAGCCACAGCAACGGCTCAGCAGCGGCGACATCACCAGCGAACTGCTCAATATACAGAAGACGATGCCGTATAACAAGAGCGTGATGACGACGTATCAGAAGCAAAAGGAGCGCGCCGCCAACAAGAGCAACAACGCCAACAGCAAGAACGACCTGGGCTGCCCGGTGGTGGTAGACAACCGTCGCGACCACCGTCATCGCCTCGGCTCCGTCAAGTCCAACTTGGGTAAGACCAAGTTTGATATTCTCGCGCAGGCCATTAGGGATTCCGATATATTGGCTAAGAACGTGCCGGGTTTGAATTCGCTGGACATGATGGTACCGCCGCGGATGCGTCCCACGGTAAACGTCGTGCAGCTGTCGAGGAACGTGGTGCAAAGCCCGAGCTCGGCGAGTGCCGCGGCGACGGCGGCGGCCACCGCGGCGATCAACAGCGGCAACACGCCGCCGCGGCCGACGCGCACTCCCAGCGTGGCCGGTAGCAACAGCAGCAGCAGCAGCAGCAGCAGCAGCAGTAGCAGCAGCAGCAGCAGCATACAGCTACCGGGCACGCCGTCGTCCGGCGGCCATGACAGCGGCGTCAGTATGAGCCCGGCCGGTCAGACGCCGCCGCCGAGGTCGGCCAACATGCCGGACCTCGGCGAGGAGTCTAATCAGCCGCCGGACGCGTTGCCGACGAGCGTCGTCGTCGTGTCCACCGCCGGTGTTGTGCCTGCGACGATGATCGTCAACAGCCATGCATCCTCCGCGTCGGTGCACCATCTCGAGAGCGTCATCGAGCCGCCGTCGAACCCGCGGACGGTGACGATCCGACGTGCCAGTCAGCATAATCTCTCTCCGAAAAAGTCACCCTCTTCCTCGCCGTGCTCCACCGCGGCCACCACCGCGACTACCACCACGACTACGACGTCTATGACGACCACGACGACAACCACTTCCTCCGCCACCACCACCGTCGCCGCCGCCGCCGCCGCCACTACCACCACCACAACCACCACCACTACCACCACCACCACTACCACAACCACCTCCGCTGCTGTCGCTGCCACCGCCGCCGCCTTGGGAGTGGTGACCCAGGCAACTGTGGTGACTAGCTCGCCCGAACCGGTCAAGGTCATCTGCAAGCCGGACGGCAGTTACCAGATCACTGCGCCGAACGTTGTATCGGCTCAGAGAAACATCTTATCGTTGCCGACACTGGACGATAGCTCCGCTAACGCGACCTTCACACCGCGGCAGACGCAGCAACAGCAACGTGGCGGCGGCGCGAATAGGAATGCCTACGAGCCTCAGACTTTGAGCAGCGGCCCTGCCGTCAAGATCACCGCGCACTCTTCCGGTCGAAACGCAGTTTTGCCCAAATTTCAGCAGGCCTTTCGCAAGACCATGTACACCACTCCTCATCATATGACCCCGAACACGGCCGTCTCCACGGATACGCCGCTGACTTCGGTTCAGCAAACCACCACCGTGCAGAAGACCACGAACCTGTCCAAGGCGGTGCAGACGTCCGTGCCCAACAACCAGCAGTCGCAAACGAGCCCCGCAGGTGCTGCCGCGGGTATCAACATCCAGTCAATCTCCGCCGCCAACATCTCGAACTTGCAATTGCCAAGCGGTGGTGGGCAGATACTCAACATCGTGCAAAACACAGGCACCAACAGCGCGAACACGTCCGGCAGCCCGAACGCTGCCGTCGCCGCGGCCACCAACCAAGCGCTGACGCAGCTCGTGCAAAATGCCAGCTCGCAGAGTGTGATATATACGCACAAGGTGATTGCCACCAGCAACAACCCGAATCAATTCAACATCATACCGGCGATATCGCATGCCAACTCGATACCGTCCGGCAGAACGCCGGTGGTGAAGCTGAACATCATCCGAGCGCCGTTGAGGCAGCAGAACCTCTCCGGGACTATCCAAGCCGTGCTGGCGCCGAGGTTACAGCAACAAGGGATCCGAGCGGACGCTCTGATCGGCACTACCATGGAAGTGAACAACCAGGTGAGCTCGACGACGTTGGAGCAGCTGCGGGAGTTCGAGAGCGTGCTGGAGCAGGTGAAGGAGAGGAGCATCCAGCCGCAGACCCATCAGCACCTGATCATCAATAGCGCGACCACGACGACCGTGCAGACGCAGACGAGCAGCACCGCGCAGCAGGCTCAGGTGAGCAAACAGCAGCAACAGCAGATGGCTGTGAGTGCATTGGCCCAGCAGTTGATGATGCCGGTGCAATCAGCCAGCAGCAACGACTTCTCCAGTAACAGCGGCGGCACTGTGACATTCCAGCAAGAGCCGGTGTTCTCGCAAAAGGTCTCTCTGGCTTACGTGAACCCGAGCGGCGGCGCGGCCGTGAAAGTGGGGGCGGCTAACTCGACGACGCCGGTGGTCGTGGTCACGAGCTACTGCCAGCCGGCGGCGTCGCCAGCCTTGAGCGTCACCTCGCAGAGCTCGTCGAGCCCGTGCGTCACCCCGGCACCGGCCCCGATTCCGTCGGCCGGCAAGACGCCGCCTTCCTCCAAGAACGCGAAGAAGTCCACGCCGAAGTCGGTGAAGACCAGCGCGACCAACACATCCAAGGCTTCGCCGGTCCCGAAGCCGCAGCAAAAGCCGCAGGAGGACGAGCAGACCGCGCAGCGGATCTACGCGATCCTCGACGAGTACGCGGAGCAGCTGAGGAACTCGCCGGACTTGAACAACAAGCCGGCACCCAGGCGGAGGTCCAACCCGCCGACCAACCCCAGTCAGACATCCAAGAGGAAGAAGTCGAGCTCGAGCAAGAACAAGCCGGCGACGGCCCAACAGATTTCGGAGCTGAGCCCGAGCGCAGACGACCTCGGCAGGACGATGGGCAGCGAGGACTCGTCCAGCGGCATCGTGCACGTCCAGGACAGCCCGGCCAGCTTCTCCGCGCCGGCGGAGGAGTCGCCGGTGAGCGTGTGCAACGTCACCGAGACCACCACGGTTGCCACCGAGGTGCGCAACCTGACGACGAGCGACTCCAACGACGGGGTGGAGCTGAGCGTGAAGCGACGGAACCTCATCTTCGCGGAGCCGCCGGGCTCGGGCCAGCCGCGCACGGTGATCGTGCAGGAGGCGCTGCAAACCAGCTCGGTGAGCGTGAGCGAAGCCTTGGCTTCGGTCACCGGCAAGATGGGTGGCGCCGCGGTGTTGATGCCGACGAATCTGCTGCTGCCGTTGATGAAGGGCACTCAACAATTCACCGTGGTGTCCGGCTCCACCAAGCTGGTGGCGATGCCGACGACGGTGCGCGCCACCGGCGGTAACGCCGCCGTGTCGAACGCGTTAGTGCTGCAGTCGTTCCTCAATCAGGGCCCGAAGCTCATCTCGCCGCAGCCGCAGGTCAAGCAGATGAAGCTGCCACCGACGTTACAGAGCCTGTCGAACAATCAGACGCTGAGCACGAGCACGCAGAACGTCCAGCCGGCGTCCGTGGTGATTCCACAGTCGACCGGGGCCACGCAGTTTGGCCCCGGGGAGGCCGCGGGGACGACGGCGGTCGCGGCTCCGGACAAGCCCAGTGCTGTGATGAACGAGTTGACATTGAAGAATGACACGGTCATAACCACCGTCGCCAGCAGCGGCGGTAGTAACACCGGTGCTAACGGCGACGGTGGCAGCGCTGGCGGCGGCAAAGGTGGTAGCGGTGGCGGCGGCGGTGGCAGTGGCGGTAGCGGTGGTGGTGGCGGTGGCGGTGGCGGTGGCTGCGGCGGCGGCGGCAGTGGTGGTGGCGGCGGGATGACCGCCGACTCGCCGACGAGCGCTATCGTGGTAAACAAAAGCAACCCCGGCATCACCGTAATGTCCAGGAACATCAACGAGATCGCGGACAGCCAGCCGATATGCGGCGTCATCACCAGTAATCCGAATCTGACGCTGCAGAGCTCCTCGAGGTTGTACAACTCGAACGTGCACAAACTCCCGTCGCCCGCCGCCGCCAGCCTCAAGTCGGCCGACAGCATGGTGTGCATCACGCCGGCCGCCGCCGCCGCTGCCGCCTCCGCCGTCATCACGCACTCGCCGGAGAAGAAGTCGCTCCATGACCGGCAGATTCATGCGGACAAGTCGGCGCCCATGCAGACGCCCAACACCATCGCGCTGTCTTTCGCCTCGCAGACCGACGTCACTATCTTAAGCGACGGCCAACAGCAGCAGCAGCAGCATCATCAGCAGCAGCAACAACAACAACAACAACAACAACATCAGCAGCAAGCGCAACACAAAGAGACGAAAGAGGCGTCCACCGAGATCACGTCTGGCAACAAAATCGTTTCCCCGAAAACGGTAAAGAGAAAACTCGAGGACAGTCTCGGTATGCAGGAAAGTGCGCCGAGAACTTTGATCCCCACGAACATTGCCACACCGTTACAAAATAATACGAAAATTGGTAAGGGCTCGCTGACAACACACGTAGTGGAAATGTGTTGTTTTACGTCTTTCACACATACGGCGTTCCACCATCCCCCCCCCCAGTTTTGCACATTTCTCTACAGTGTGCCTACTGTGTGTATGTGTGTGTGTATGCGTGCGTGCGTGCGTGCGTGCCAGCTACAAAACTACCCTTATCGTTTTCGTTGTCGTCATTAGTCAGACGCTGCTTGTACATGTAGGAGGAGTGGCTTTTCACCCTGTTGATTGTATTGTTGTTTTATTATTTTGTCGTTGCCATTATTGTTGTCGTTATCGTTGCTGTTTCTGTGTTTATTATTACATCATTTATTTGTATCGTCATTATAATCACAAATGTGAAGTAAAAACGGACTTGAGTGCTGAGCCTCGATGAGATTTGGTGACGCAGCCTGTACACCCGATAGGGGAATTGTCACGTAGAGATTCTCAGGGGACACCAACTGAATACGCGACATGTCAGAAACTCGTCAAGGTCATGCGCGACTCGCACTCCTCTCTCTCTCTCTCTCTCTCTCTCTCTCTCTCTCTCTCTCTCTCTCTCTCTCTCTCTCTCTCTCTCTCTCTCTCTCTCTCTCTCTCTCTCTCTCTCTCTGTCTCTGTCTCTGTCTCTGTCTCTGTCTCTGTCTCTGTCTCTGTCTCTGTCTCTGTCTCTGTCTCTGTCTCTGTCTCTGTCTCTGTCTCTGTCTCTCTCTCTCTCTCTCTCTCTCTCTCTCTCTCTCTCTCTCTCTCTCTCTCTCTCTCTCTCTCTCTCTCTCTCTCTCTCTCTCTCTCTTTCTCAGCACTTGAATCCGTTTTCAGTCAACGTCAAACGGCCTACTGTGTTATTGGCGATCGAGTCCGATATGGGACGTTCCGTATGCGTTTACACATTTTTCGATTAGATCATATCGCGTGCAAACATCGCAAATAACATCCGTCGGCATAACGTACGTTGCGCTGCCGACTAATCGGTCGCTCGTTTGTGCTTGTAGAATCCATGTCTTCGATCACTTCGGCGAACAAGCAGTCTAGCGTCATCGACAACACGTTTCTGGTGACCGGCGGTCCGAGCAGTTCAGACAGCCAGGAGTCGCAGGCGGTGCAGCAATCCACCGAGACGATCGACAGGTCGTGCAAAGTCAGCAACGGGCTGCTATACGGGAACGCGCGTCTGCAGGAGGCCTGGGAGTCGGAGGGCAAAGTGTCGCCGGACACGCCGTGGAGATACGTCCCCACGTCGATGAACACGCTAAACAACGAGTCGTTGAAGGTGTATTCTAGGTAACGATCGACTGGCAAGCAAACAAGCTGCCGTGTCATTTGGAGCGTATTACAAAAGTGTCGAGTCACCTCGAAAGTTAGTCTCTCGAGGAGGGATCAATTTGTCAATGCTGAGAGAAACCGGTCTAATTTTCAAGTCAGACAAACATCTGATAAGATATTTTTTTCAAACGGTACCTCTCTAGTGACTTTTCAAGCGACTTTCAAGTACCATAAGTGTGACATCTGCTAACGGTATTTCTCACTTCTCGTTTTTCTACGAAATTTTGGTGGCGAATGTTTATTCACAGTTGTGCTCTGTTATATTTTGCCGACATAATATATTAGGATCGAAGAAGAGATGATATCTCTGAAAAGATTGCCTTTCCAAAGTTCTTCTCTATAATTGATAATAGCTGTGGCGGGGCGTAGAAAGCTGAGAAAAGTGAGAGATAGCCTGCTTGAAAATTCAGCATGGTCTCCTGATATTCGTAAACGTTCTCCGTTTCTTTCCTTTTTGCGATGTGATCCCCTAGAAATACGACACGGCACTCTAGTTCACGGCTCACATTGAAAACGATCGGACTTAATGACAAAGAAACAGACAATGAACAGATCCATGAAAGCCCTAAGACATTAGTTGTGTTTCTTCTGTTACGTTAGAAGTTATTCGAACTCTACGGTGACATTGGATCGCAAGAGAGAACGAGAGAATCGATTGCCCACCCCTAATTCCAGGGACAACGATACGGAGAACGTACAGAGCGTGTTGCAAATCATCAACAAGGGTCACAGCATCGAGATGGCGAGCGGGCAGATCTATCAGTCGAACGCAAAGAAATACTTTATGAATCACACCCTGGAGCCGTATGGCAACAAGAACACCATGATGAAGACGCAGCTGATGCCGAGGCTGGACCGCGAGCTGATGCAGCAGAAGGTCGAGAGAAAGACAGCGGCGTACGAGCGCGAGCTGAAGCTGCAGAAGAGCCTGTCAGAGGAGTGCGAGGACCTGGGTGTCGACGAGCCGAGCACCAGCGACCTGTTCCCCGAAGCGGACCTGTTGTTCGACACCAATCACTCGCCGTCGTATGATCATTCCTCGCAGGACGCGTCCTGCAGCCAACCCCTGGGCATGAAGTCGTACAACAGCGCGTACTTCCGCACGCTGGACTCGTCGAGCGGCAGCCGGGACGCCAGTCCGATCAGCGACTTCAAGATGCACGAGCGCAAGAGGAGCGCGAGCCAACGCGCGAGAGCGCTGAAGGACATGACCAAGAGGGGCAAGCGCGAGAAGGAGGACTTACACCTGGTGGGGAACCCGACGAAGCACATGCGACTCACGCTTGACAACTTGAGCCAGGACGAGGCATCCAATAGCAACTCGGACATGTCACGCTTGTCGCCGTCGAATCTCGCCTCAACGGAGAACGACTCGTCCAAGGACACGAGCCACCGCGCCAAGCTGACCTCGAGGAGCGGCTCGAAGGAGGGCACGCCCAGCAGCGTGTCCAGCATCCCGTCTAATATAAAACTCGAGATGGACATAGACTCGGAGTCTTTGCCGCCCAGCATCAACGTTAACAATACCTCGACCGCGAGCTCCGGCGACGAGAGCCTCACGCTGCTGAGCAGCAACACCGCGGACGTCACTATACCGTCGCCGTTGTCGCCGATGGCGACGGCCGGTCCGCTGCTATCCACGCACAACAAGTACACGTACGCGAACAAGAAGCGCGTGACCTCGTCGAAGGTGCGGAGTATGGGCTACATGGCGTGGGAGAGCCCGATGTCAGAGCGCACGAGGTCGAGCAGCGATGACGAGGACTCGAGCATCAGCGAGTCGATCAGCAGCCAGCCAGAGGACAACGTTTTGAGCAACGGCCTCGAGGACAACGCTGTGCAGACGTTGAAATCCCTTGCAACCGAGCGACGCTGCACGTACGTGAAGAAGAAGGATAAGCTGCAAGTGAACGCGAGGGTGGTGCTGAACCGCACCGATCACACCAAGGCGACGTTGGTATTGCCGCCGACCAAGCGGCTGCCCAAGTCCACGACAGAGTCGATCGCGACGGCGGAGTCGATGGTGATGTCGAGCGACAAGGCGTCAGAGGCGTCCGAGGACGAGACCGGCAATATTACGCTGTCGATGGAGCCGGACTGCCGCGCCAGGCGGTCCAGCCTACGCGGCCACGTGAAGAAGGGTTGCGCCTGCTGCAACGGCTCGCCCGAGCGGCCGAAGAAGAAGGCCACCACGGCGACGGTCAAAACGGATCATAAGCTGAAGAAGCGGCTGTCGTCGAAGCAGCCTGGCAAGAAGAGGTAGTCCTAGCGGTCGAGCGCTCGCGCGAGCACCGCTGCATGTCACTACTGTATCATCATGGGCGCCAAGTCGTCACTCGATTTCTCGGTCTTCGACGGAAACGACGGCGAGGCAGTTCACCGGCCAGTCGCGTTCTTGTCGTCGTCATCATCGTCGTCGTTGTCGTTGTTGTCTTCTTCTGCGACCGAGAGGATTACGGCTCGGACGGTAACGATCTTGCGCGATGTACAATTGCGGAGGATCCATCCGCGACGATGGCATTGTAAATATTAGAAGCGCGCGTATTAGACGCGAATCTCGCCATTCACCGGGACATTCGACCGCTGCTGTACCTGCAATACATGGGTTCAGCCGAACATGAGAAAGAGAGGGTGAAAGGGAGAGGGAGAGAGGGAGAGGGAGAGAGAGAGAGAGGGGGGAGAGGAAGGGGAGCGAGAGAGGCAAAAAGAAGAGGGAGAGATCTTCTCCGTGAGTTTAAATTAAACAATGAATCCACTTTACGCTGTTGTGCGTACATATGGGTATACTTATCTATGTATGTGAGCGGATGTGAGAGAGAAAGAGAGTGAGAGAGAGAAGCAGTACGATTTAATTAAAATTCTCGCGTCGATAATAGTAGGTCATCCTTCTCTACCATTAGCTGTTAATTACTATATTAGATGTAAGATATAGAGATCATTTATGAGTGGCAGACTTAGATTTAAATCGTTAAGAACCGTTTAGCGACGCAATCTAGTCAAGTCGATAAGCTCTGCGACGAGGAGGAGTTAGAGGAGAAAGGAGGACGAGGCAGCGGACGGGTATGAACAAAGCACTAGGTAAAAAAAAAAAATAAGCGAAACTGTAAACGAGATCGTTGATAGAACCCTCGCAGATTAAAGAGCCTGAATTTATATGATTCAAACCTACACAGTACGTCTCTGTCATGAGGTGAAGCTATTCCACGTTGTAACACGGTGTGGTCAGACTGAATAGACAAATAATACTAGAGTCTCTCCGAGGAAAAATTCTAGGATATAGTTGACGAGAGGATATGCAGTTTCTTTGGAATACATCGTCTTTGCCTTTCGTGTAATGCTTACCTGCATCTGTATAACTCTAAACTTAATAGAGGAGGGAGGAAAATTTGTCGCGTCATGAAGTCTCGGCGCGTTCTGCTCTTAAACGACGCTCGAGAAACGGGATTACTTGAATAATAATAATACTACTAATAATAATATAAACTATAATAATAATAATAATAATAAAGATAAAAATAAAAATAGTAATATAATAATAATGATAAAGTAAAATTAATATATGCACGATTCAAGTACGAGGTATATACAAAGAGGAATAAAGAAAATGTCGCAATAACGTTCTACAAATCATTCTAACAAGCTGTCTGTTGTACGGCCCGACCATACCTTGTCATGGTGCATGTAAAAAAAATCCACAATTGTACATTGCGTAGATATAATTCATTGAAAAGGTGTGTATACATGTATATGCACGCATATATACATAATATTATATATGGCGCATATATAGATGTGTATATACATGAATACACACGCGTATATATAATATTATATATCGCTGCACTTTAGTACAAAAACGCTTCACTTGGTTTCTCGAGGATGACAGGTTTATATCGTATTTCCGTGTGCTGTCGTGGTGACGTGTGAGAGTGGTTGCGATCTTAACTTATGGATTAGCTGTAATCTTGGTAACTCTTGTAAAATCTCGCAAACGAGATAGGCTGCGCGCGGGAGCTACGCAGGAGTTTATCCGATTAGTTTCATTGTCGTCATCGTCGCCGCCGCCGCCGCCGCCGCCGCCGCCGGCCGCCGCCGCCGCCGCCGCCGCCGCCGCCGTCGCGTCCGTCGTCGTCGTCGTCGTCGTCGTCGTCGTCGTCGTCGTCGTCGTCGTCGTCGTCGTCGTCGTCGTCGTCGTCGTCGTCGTCGTCGTCGTCGTCGTCGTCGTCGTCGTCGTCGTCGTCGTCGTCGTCGTCGTCGTCGTCGTCGTCGTCGTCGTCGTCGTCGTCGTCGTCGTCGCGGTCGTCGTCGCCGTCGCCGTCGCCGTCGCCGTCGCCGTCGCGGTTATCAGAAGCTGATATCCATTCCACAAATTTACCCCGACGCAATATACGTATATACGTACACACATGTGTGTGTGTGTGTGTGTGTGTGTGTGGTGTGTGTGTGTGTGTGTGTGGTGTGTGTGTGTGTGTGTGTGTGTGTGTGTGTGTGCGCGCGCGCGCGCGCGCGGTGTGCGTGTATGTATGTATGTATGTATGTATGTATGTATGTATGTATGTATGTGTATATATATGTATATATATATATATATATATATAGACATATACATATGTAGAAAAACTCGTCGATTTGTTCTTTCTCTCTTTTTCTGTTCTGTTTCGATGTTGCAAGGATTAAAAAATTGTAGCTTCAAGTAACCGAGATGTACGTTCCTGTGAATAGTGTCGTTACGTGATATGAACCAAAGTAAAGAAAAGGTTCTACTCTTTCGAGTAGAAATGTGTGTGTGAGGGAAACGCATAATAAATCGATGTGTGGCAGGCGGGTAGCATATATTATACGTCTAGAATATGTAAACTATATAATTAAAAACTAATCTAATAGAGCTCTGCGGATCTCGTTTATTTCGTTCTCTTCATTTCCGGAGAATTTTACTAGCATATAAAAAAATTGGAGACCTTGTCTCGAATATTAGGTGGTCGCGTTTTGATTCTTTATCTAGATGTAAATAGATTTTGCCAGATCGATATTTTCTCTGTATAATTATCGCTATTACTACTATTATTATTATTATATATTTGATACAGGTGACATAATCAGGCACTAAAGACCGCGATGTGAAAGCTTCTTTCTCTGATTTAGCGCGAGCTTAGAGATCTCAGTCGCGAGTAAGAGAGAGAGAGAGAGAGAGAGAGAGAGAGAGAGAGAGAGAGAGAGAGAGAGAGAGAGAGAGAGAGAGAGAGAAAGAGAGACGAAGGGTCATGCGATCATTTAGACGCGAGTCATCGTCGCTATTTTGTAGTAGAAGAATATTTAGATACGGCAGGGCAGAGAGTGACGAAGAGTCCAGTTATTTAAGGGCGCCGCGACACACTCGTCGGCTTCGACATGAATCATATCATTTTGTATAAAGGGACAGAGTCCGCGACAAATGGGCGAGCACACGATGAGCGCGATGACTTTTATTTATTTATTTTCTTCTTTTCTCTTTTATTTTTATTTCGTTCTTTTTTCATTCTCTACTTCGCCAATTTGCTTCGTATCAGCGCGCGATGGTTTACATATTCTGCACGTACGCCAACGCTGAGTGACATTGTTATATTCTTGTATATTCTTTTTCCCGCGAATGTACATGTGATACACACATTATATACACTTACACATAAAAACACACACATAAAAATATATACAGTCGCTTCGCGTGAGTGATGTGAGTGTGAGCGTGAAAACAATTGTCGCGAGTTATATTTCTTTCGGTTCCTCGTTCGATTTTGGAAGTACAAGCAGGAAGGTATCTACCTCGTGCGCTTAATCGCTCTAGTTTATCATCGCGCGTACTTCTCGCTTAAGTTTCGCGGATGAGAGCCTAGAAGTCTCGATCCGACGAACCTTCAAACGACGCGCTAGCTCGCGTCTCGTTCGGTGCTCGGCGCTTCGTTCGTATTCGCCTTCTCTTCCTCGTCTTTTATCGCGGGCCAAGGAAGCCCGGCAAACTTGCATTTCCACTTTGTATGCATCGTACGCGTTGGGGAGACGGTTCGATCGTGTTTTATCCTTTATTTATTTCCACGCTACGGGAAAGGTGCGCGCGAGATTGAAAGGCGGTCTACGAGAAAATTGCGCGCGTGCATGAGAAAATCGCGCTGGGATTTCTGCTCAGCGACTTCAATATCAAACGTGAAGCACATCCAGGTGTCTTCGCTTCATGTACGCGTATGTGTATGCATGCTCTGTGTGTGTGTGTGAGAGAGAGAAACACACCGTAGACCGAATCTTTAATTGACGATACGCGCTCGCGCGCGTTAAAGTCGCTTTCTTCCGCGACCTCTTCGACATGTTTCTTCGTTCCACCTTGAGGACCGCGTGTCGGAGAGAGGAAACGGAGAACCGCGCCGTTCCACTTGAGCCGTTTGTATAAAGCGAGAGACGGTCTCCTCAGCGAGACCCGGTCGAAGTTCAGTCTATTTATTCCCACGTTAAGAAAAAAGTAAGGGGGCGAGCTCTATCTTCCTGTATATTAGCAAGCGGAGAAGATTGTGTGCATGTGTGTGTGTGTGTGTGTATATGGCGTGTGCGTGCGTGTGTGTTAAAGAGAAAGGAAGAGAGATATATGGGGAAACGTGCCGTTGTCGTCGTCGTCGTCGTCGTCGTCGTCGTCGTCGTCGTCGTCGTCGTCGTCGTCGTTGTCCTCTCCACGTGTATAAAATTTCGAGCGAATGTCTCGCACCAAATAGAGATATGCGTATTTTTTGAATGAAACATGGTGGAGAAAGCGGAGAGAAAGAGAGAGAAAGAGAAATAGTTAACTTCTAGTTCGCGCGCGCGCGCGTGATCCGTGGACGGACAGCACGCGCGTGTAACACACCACATGCGTGCACACACACACACCCACACACACCCACACATACGTACATACATACATACACACTCGATCGTCGGTGATAGTCTGGCCTTTCGCCACCCAATTTAGTCGTACCAATCGCATTTATCATAGAGGGATATGTAGTCTTCGTCGTTGTAAGGCAAACCCGAGACGAACTCGGGGAAAGAAGCGACGGAGCGGGAAAGAGAGAAAGAGAAAAAGAGAGAGAGAGAGGAGAGAGAGAGAGAGAGACGGACAGGGAACGCAGGGAATCGTAAGTTTAAAGGGAGAATTGAGAATTGTCGCCGGTATGATCGCGGCGAATCGAGCCTCGCGATACTGAGGACGCGAGAGACGAAGGATAAATGTGCTGGTCGCGGCAGCAAGGATCATACAGGACCTGGTCGCGATTGCACCGGCCTCGATCTCCGATTTCGAAGATCGTGGCGAGATTTCTCAGAGCAAGTTTCTTCAGGTACTTAAAGAAAGGAAGAGGTATTGAGGGGATGGGAAAAGAAATAAAGAATGAGAAAGAGAGATAGATAGATAAAGAAAGAGAGAGGACGATAAATTAAACAACCCGCTTTACACTGGTCGTTAAGCGATAACTTAAGAGTTTTTGTATCATATGTTTGTTAAGACACTACTGTTTTTGTCACTCAACACCCTACCAGTATTCGAGAGAAAGAGTGCGAGAGTGAGAGCGAGAGAGAGGAGATAAATGAAAGGAAACATGAGGAGGGAAAAAACACAAGAAAAAATGAAACAAGTCGTGTCGTATGTCGCTTTAGTATCATTAAGACGAACGACGTGTAGCAAGAGCAGAAAGCGACAAGTGTAAATGCGTGCGTAAATATGAGATATGCGAATGAGCGAAGGGTGAGAAGTATGGATGAGAGATGAGAGGGAGAGAGCGAGCGAGCAAGAGAGAGAGAGAGAGAGAGAGAGAGAGAGAAAGAGAGAGAGAGAGCGAACGGCCATACACCTGCAAAACGTACATTCATTAAACTACGTATTGTCGTTTAGCACAAATCAGTTGAGGCGCATAATTTGAGCGATCAGCGAACAGCATAAAATCGCGATGAGCAGAGAACGAGGACGAGATGAACAAGAGTGTGTATACATATATATATATATATATCTGTGTGTACATTAATAATATATATATATATAAACACACACACACACATATGATCCTAAGGGGAAAATTGATTGTACGGACAGACGGAGACCGGTAGTACAGTCATCTCTGAATGCGCGACGCGAGGGGAAGCGCTCCCGTGTACATAACGAAAATAATTAATGAGAAAGGGAAAAGACGAAGCTCGACAAACGAGTCTCGCGGAGAGAACATTTCTCTACTAGCTGGTACTCCGCGCTCTATACATATACACTGTAAGAAAATTGTACCAAGTGTCTCTCTCGGGAACGTGACGCGCCGCTGCGAATGGGCGACCCCTTCGCGATCTCTCGAGGAGGAGGAGGACCGCCTCCCGGAATTCGTGTGTTGAGGAACTTGAAGGGTTTTATGTAAAGGGAACCAAGCGCCGGTCTCGTTCGAAAGGACGTTTTCGGGTACCGTCATCTTTCGCGAATATACATGAGGCACTCCGACTGCTATCATCTCAGAATCTATAGAACGTATCGAGGAGAGAATTTAGCGGGGCATAGAAAGAAAGGAAGAAAGAGAAAAAAAAAGAATAAGACGACCAGTCGTTCTCGTACTTTTACATCAACTTTTACATAACTGTACATTTATAACATTGTAATTATATCACGCATATCTATAATTGATAATATTAATCGGTAATAGAAATTATCCATTATAAATACGCCATATTGAGGAACTGTTATTATTATTTATTTATACGTAATATTACACGCGGGCTATAGTTGAGAAATCTAAGTCCATTGATTAATTTTGTTAAGTACAATTTGAAGAACCAGTTAAAATAAAGTTATCAAAAAAGTTCGACTCTCGTTGCATCTACCTTCTTGCAATTCTTCTCTGTGAAAAGAGAGGATGGAGGATTATAATAATTGATTTCGCTTGACAGTTTTGAGAACGACTCTGTAAGTACGGAGTGAATGCGCGCGCACGCATCTCTCCGGAGGAAACCACTCACTCGCATACGAAATTTCTCGTTTCTCTGATTTGTGGAATTGGCGTGGCGTTTGGTACCTTCTATGTAAAACCCGTTCAACTGTGGTATTTGCGTGTACATTGAACGAGAAACCGATGCACAAATTGCAACCGCGACCGACGTGGAAGAGCTTTCCAAATAATGAGGCAGCGAGACGAGGCGTGTGTATCTGCCGTATTTCGCTCGCAGACAATGGAAACACTCTGCAAGATAGACTTTCATTTCGCGAAGCGACTTTGCAACTTTTATCATCGTACTGTACTTATCGAGTCTTGAGTTGTTTTCCATTTCTTCTGTTGTGTTCGTTTCACCATGCAGCCGAGAGCTGAATTTCTTCGCGTATCGATTTTCGGATCTTCGTTTCGCTAAACACGTCCAGGTGAAATTAGATATAATTTCTTTCGTTTCTCTTTATTATTTCTACATGTTCTTAAAACGCCTGCTCGAGGAGGTGTGCGATTTGTTTATGTAAAACTTAAAGAAACACTTGTGTCGGTACTTAAGAGATCGTTAGATTTTTGCAATTATTTCCGATACACACAATGCCAGGGAAAAATAGAATCATACTTGTAATATTTATTTTTTTAAAAAAGCAGTAGCCAAAGAGATGTGTTTTTCTCTTTCGGCACTGATTTTATCATTTTTTGTAGCACTGCGATTTTTTTAGGGAAGGAAATAACTATACGTCCTACGGCATAAACGTTATTTATGCATAATTATCAATGTTTAATTTGCAAATTTTCTTTTTTTATGGATACGTGTATGTACATATGCTGTATATATATGTATATATACAGGGGTTTTCCCAACTCTTTCAAGAAGATTTTCTTCTAATTTATAATTTTGCATTTTTCGTTTTTAATCCTTGACCGTATATTGTACATACAAAATCCGAGATGCGATGCGAGAAGCTGCAGAATCGTTTTGCGGGAGCGGGGTCGGTTTTTGAGGAATGTATCGTGGTCCAGTGGGAAATTATAAAATCGCACACAAGCAGTAGTTGACCGAGTGGATTTCTTTTCTGTGGAAATCGAGAAAAGAGAGGATGTGAATGAAAGAGAAATAGAGAATGCGAGTGTGAGTGTATGAGAAAGAGAAAATGAGGGAGAAAGAGAAGAAGAAGAAGAAGAAGAAGAAGAAGAAGAAGAAGAAGAAGAAGAAGAAGAAAAAGAAAAAGAAGAAGAAGAAGAAAGATGAAAATACTCTCCGTGGATATGACTGTACAGCGTATTAACTTGTCCGGAGGTACATATATCGAAGATCCTTTTTCAAAAAAAAAAAAACTGAAGTATTAAGGATTGCATATTGTACATAAACAAGACATATTTTCTATATAAGGGACGTCGCTCGGTAAAGGTCGATGGCTCGAAAAAATACTGCAATATTATGATAATTCTTTCAAGCGATAGGATAGCCTTTAATCGTTTTATGTAATGTAATGATAGAAAAAGGATCTGGCAGAATAAAAGTGAAAGTTCTGTATTTAAACATTCTGTCGGTGTACGTTCATTCACATGCGCACACGACACATACACACACACACACACACACACACACACAACATACACGTACACACACACACATCATCCATTAGCTCAAATCTTTGGACAAGTTTGCCATATATTCCTGGAAGTTGCAGGTAAATTTCTTACTTAAATTTGAGACCTCTCACGCGAAGGAGAATGTCTCGGGTTAAAAAGTCTGATTATATAAAGGTAGCTTGAACAAGTTCGATTAATCGTCCCATCATTCGCCGGTGTAATTGGCTTCGATTTCATAATGCGACTTCCATAATGCGACGGAGAGATGAACTGTAATATATAGTGATTAACGAGTAGAATGCAATTCGCCGTGTATAACCGAGCGTACATCTATTAGCCCATCGCTCCTGCAAGTATCAGATTTCTCGGAGTGGATAACGCAATCGTGCGTTGACGCGAGAATTTACATTCCTTCGTTTCACTTGAATTCGCCGTAAATATATATATATATATGCCTGTGTGTAAGAGAGCCCCGGCTGCGCTACTTATACGCATCTTGAGAAACGTTTCTCACCGCGGCGCGTGCATCAAGTACTTTCCGAAGCATCGGCGCCTTCGCCCTCAGCCTCTTTCCGTTGACTTTCCACTTCCTGCAGTTAAGATAAACGAAACATTAATTAAGCGTTAACGAATGTAGGATAATACTGGAGTAAGCCGCCAAGTGTCGTCGCATGCATTTTCCTCAGTCAGGGCTAAAAGAGGGAGAGAGGAAGAACCGCGTACCCTCTGAATAATATTCAACAATGACACGTTGTCGCCTGACCGGAAGAACTCGCCGATCTCTTGCGGAATGCAAAAGTGCGTGGACATCTTCGGTTGAATGCCCACTTTTTCCCCGATGAATCGAAATTCCGGTGTGCCGTTCGTATGTTCTTGTAACTCCTGGTATGTGAAAAGCGTTTGCTCCGTGGACGCTTCGTCGATCGGCCCGAAGTCCACAATTTTCACGCGATCCTCACGTCGAACGACGTCGATGGAATCTGCAAGAGAGATCAACCTTGCGGAGGCGGCGAATATACACGCATATGTCGCTCGTGAACGAGCGAGACAATTACATGAGAATTCCGATATCGTTAATGAACCTTGGTAGGACGCTACTCACAGTTACGCAGCGGAAATCTGCCTTTAATGCGCTCCAAAAAGAAACTCTCGATGTCTGTCTGTATACTATATTTTTCTGACTCATAGGACTTGTGGTACTGCGATATGTCTCTTTGACTTATAGCTGCATAAGATGCAATTTGTTATCGCGAAAGTTGACTTTGTAACAACAGGCAGAGACGCGAAAAAGAGCAGTTGATATTGAATAAAATTTAATAGTTGATGAAAGAAAGTGCGGGAGTTGATAAATTACCAATCAGCTCATTGTCCACGACGAAGCAGCGGAATTCTGTACATGGGTCGATATCTTGCCATTGCTTCAGCACCAAGTAGAATGATAGGGGATTCTTGTGATCTTGCAGAGTCCTTGCAGTGTTCAAGTCCTTGGCAATCCTGTCGGAACTCTTCAGTAGCAAATAGACTTCTTCTAATGTCTTACATTTGAGAGTCCTCGTCGGAACAATCCACATTGCATCCTGCAAGATGATTGCGAGCAATCATATATTTATAAATTATTCAGTTCAATTTGACAGTTTCTTGAAGTGAGACTGTTAATATAATTCAATACAATAAGAAACAAAGTTAATTAAATTAAACAAAAAATATTTTTCATCTATAGCTCCATTTTGTGAAAAATATGCATGAAAATAGATTAGCTTAATTTGTAAAGCATCATTAACAGCTTTTATATTGTATATTTCATATATATTCTATGTATTTACTAAAAAATATAGACTTGACGAATGCCCTTTTACAAGTGAGTACATTGCAATATAATGTATTATAGAAAAAAGTCTACCATAGGTGAACTCCAGTTGCTCTTGATGAATATCGCTTCATATTCATCTAATATATCTTGTATTTTTTGACTGAATATGGGAAATGTCGGTTGACAGTCCATCATCTGTAACGATATTTAAACAAATCCTTACAATTTCTCTGTTTAATTTTATGCCGCTTGCGTAGATGGTCTAATGAATAGAATCAACAAATACCTCATTCTCACTGGTTACCGGTGAACCATCACTCCATTCAGAGTCTTTTAGCGATGATCTCGTCGTCTCGAGCGGCAACATGAACTTGTCGTGTTCCAAATATTTCAAAATATCATCGGGAACATGAAGAATCGTAGCCTTCAAGGAATCTTCTTTGAATATTGGGTACCAACAGGAAAAGGAACATGCCGATTTCAAACCGCTAACCATGTTTCTAAACTCTGTACCTTATATTTGCTGTAAATATAACAAAAATATACTCGGTCGATTTGTTTTTACGCATAGAAGAAGGTTCCGAGAGTTAACTTTATTGCTCGTCACCGGGAAAAGAGTTTCTCTGATAGAGAACTGTCGAAGGTTAAATCAGTGGCGCATTGAAGGTTATGTTATGTTATCGATGATAAAACGTGAAACAATGCGAGATACACGTACTATATGATAGATGTACGTGCATATAGCAAAATTTCGCAACTTTCTATATAAAACGAGCTCCACTGCGCCGGCTAATGCAAAAGAAAAATCAATTTATCTTAACAGAAATTTTGTAGGGCTCGTTAAAGTTTGGGAGCTTGTCTTAAAATTTTTCGTCAAAATTCTTTAGTCCGTTATATAAAACTACATATAACTAATATCTTACATAATATACTAACTTATAAGATGGTAGGTCATATTCAACAACACAAAGTAATGGTACAAGATGTACAAAATAACTTTGTATTTATTTTCCCAAATATGAAATTCTACCCTAACATTGTACTTTTCTCCTGAAAGAACAACCTTCAGTTAATCGAGCTTTTCCACCTGTTGGGGTGCATAATATTGTGCGACATCCATCGCATTCCACTGGTCTTTGTGCATGGGAAAATATTGTTTTGATTGCGTAGCAACCAGGACACTTGACGTCCATGAAGTAACTGTTAGGCTTTTGTACAAGCCTCTTCAGTTTATGCTTTCGTTTTTCTTCAATGGGGCTTGGATGAAGGAAATCTCTAGCTAACGGCATCCTACAAAATAAATTAATTTTTAAAAAAGTATTCTCTTTTATAGACGCTTCTATTACATTCATATATTCAATTACATTTGTCAAAATAAAAACATATGCGCGACATTGCGGCATAATCTTACAGCGTATAAATATTAATACTCAGTGCTCAAAAGAATAAGATAAATAATAATTTTTAACACTCCAGTAAATTTTTAACACTTGGATAAAAATATTCAGTTCAACGGTCTTACCTGATATTTTCATTAAGAAATATACTCAGTCAGTTTGTTTTTGAGTGTAGAAAATTCCAAAAATTGGAATTACGTGTCAGTAGAACGAGTTTTTTAAGCGGAGAAACAATGGCGTATTTGAGGTTAGGAATCTCACACCACGAGCAATAAAGAACTCAATGTGTTGTGTATATGTAACACACTTAGATGCACACCATTTGGCTCGACATGGGACCATAGACATAGGAATATAGGGACAAAGCATAGAGTTGCGGCGGATAAAGCCCTAAACAGAATGCCAGGCAACAGGCAATGAGAATAAAAATAGACCAATCACAATCGACTATTACAAGAATAATCTATTGCGATTGGTCTATTTTTATTCTTATTGCCTGTTGCCTGGCATTGTGTTTAGGGCTTAACCATTGTGGGACGGTGCGGCGAGGTAAACTGTGCCCAAATCTAATTGGTGGTTGTGCCGTGTGTAAATACTTGATATATACATAAATGTATATGTGTATGAAGTTGTGTGTGAGTGAAATTATGAAAAAAAAGACACATGCATAACCTCTGCAAAATACTGTCAGTGTAAATAGTTCTTATCATTTTGTTACATTTACTTTTTGCCAGTGACAGCCAAGTCGTTGCATCACACACTCTGAATATGCGCACTATTGTAGCCAATGAAACTTAAGCCCTAAACATAATGCCAGGCAACAGGCAATAAGAATAAAAATAGACCAATCACAATAGATTATTCTTGTAATAGTCGATGGTGATTGGTCTATTTTTATTCTTATTGCCTGTTGTCTGGCATTGGCTGCGTTCAACAAAACAAAGGGTGCATTCAGTACTACAACCGCTCACTGAGCGCTAAGTGAACTCTTGCATCTGATTGGTGTATATTTTTAAGTCTAAAGGAATATACCAATCAAATGTAAAAGCTCATTGAGCGCTCAGTAAGCGGTTGTAGTACCAATGTGATCGGTGAGGACTTAGTGATTCTCGCTCCTGATTGGTAAATACTTTTGGGTCTATAAATAATCTAAAAGAATGCTCCAATCACAGACAATAATCACTAAACGCTCACTGATCATTGGCTGCATTCAGCAGACTCAACAGTTGAACATTACTAGATTTTCCATTGAATCTCGCTCCTGATTGGTAAATACTTCTAGGTCTATGAAAAATCTAAAAGAATGCTCCAATCATAGACAATAATCACTAAGCGCTCTCTGATCACTTTGTTCTACTGAACGTAGCCATTGTGTTTAGGGCTTTAGGCATAGTCGCCCCCCGCATTTCAGCACAACTCCCCTCGCCTATCTTATGGGCTTATGCTCTGTCCCTATATTCCTATGTCGGCTGTGTTCCAATATTCACTGCCAGTATTGAAAATGTATACTTTGTGTCACATATATTATAGATTTTCAGTACTGGCAGTGAATATCAGAACGCAGCCATCTATGCATGGGACATGGTGCACTACCAACTAAAGGTAAAAAAGTATAACCTAAAGCTAACTTTTCATGTATCAGATATCTCCAAAGTCCCTATTTGCTTTGAGCATTCTAAAGCCAGCGGCACACGGTGCTTGTTTTCGTGCTGGATTGCTTGCTGGATGAAAATACTGCGTTCTGATTGGTACATTTCCGAAGATGGATGGAAATGCACCAATCAGAACGCAGTATTTTCATCCAGCAAGCAATCTAGCACGAAAACAAGCACCGTGTGCCGCTGGCTTAATATTCTCTATCCGACAGCCAATCAGCATTTCTGATAAATATATCATACGACGCATGAAATATCAGCTTCATATTTTAAGTTTTGTCTGGCTTTGTCACACCATTGTGATAAAGTCCTTTTCGTACTAGCATCAGCAATTATTTCGTAAATAATTCTTATAAAAAGACGTAAATCAGATATTTACCATGTTTAACATGATTAAAGTATGTCGCACGCTCGGAAGATGTGTTAATATTCTCCGATTAATAGATATAAAAATGAATCATTTTGAAAACCGAACTATGTTCAGGAGATTACATTCAGGGAGCGATGCATACAACAAAAAGTTAGACTTGTATCGACAATTATATGCAAAAATATTAGCATGCGGCCCCATAACACTTGCTGAGTATATGAAGGAAATCTTGATCCATCCTACCGCAGGTTATTACATGACTAGAGATGTTTTTGGTCAGAAAGGAGATTTCACAACTTCTCCAGAAATCAGCCAACTTTTTGGAGAAGTATGTAACTTTTGCCATTAGATTAATTTCATGTACAATTATATTTTTACTTGAATCAGAAAGAAATTGCCACACAAAAGGAGACTATGTTAACTGTTATTGATAGATCATAGCGATCTGGATAATCAATGAATGGAGAAAAATTACCAACGGACCTGTTCAACTTGTGGAATTGGGTCCAGGAAGAGGTACTCTAATCAATGATATCTTACGGGTATATTTGTATATTTTCATTTTTCTAAGTCAATTATGTGATAAGAATTTTATAAAATATCTATTCTATAGGTATTTAAAAAGTTGAATCTTTTGGATAAGGTATCAGTTCATTTGGTTGAAATTAGCCCTGTTCTATCTCAGCTTCAAGCAGAAAAATTATGCACAGAAAGCAGAAACAACGAATCAATAGCCGATGCAAATGAAAAATCATCAGTAACCTATTACAAAGAAGGTATCGCAAAAAATGGAGGAGTAAAGATGTATTGGTATTATTCTATCAACGATGTACCTAGAAATTTCAGTATATTTGTTGCACATGAGTTCTTTGATGCCTTGCCAATACATAAATTTCAGGTAAAAACAGGATATTTACATTAATATCAACATGTAAAATGCAGAAAGTCATTCTCACATAAATTGCAATTCTTGATTTCAGAAAACTGATAAAGGTTGGAGAGAAGTTTTAGTAGACATAGTACAAGAAACAAATGAAGAGAGGTTTCGATATGTGCTTTCACAAACAGTGACAGCAGCTTGCAAAGTGTATCTACCTGTAAGCATTTAATTTTATATTATCATAAATTTTAGCTTACATTATATAAACAATTGATACATATGACAGAAACAATATCTCTTTCAGCCAAATGAGAAAAGAGATCATGTGGAGATAAGTCCACAGTGTTTAGTTATAATGGACTACATGTCCCAGTTTTTATGGGAATGTGGAGGATTTGCATTAGTTATTGATTATGGTCATGAAAGGGAAAAAAGTGATACATTTCGTGCATTCTATCAACATAAATTGCATGATCCCTTGTTGAGGCCTGGAACTGCAGATTTGACTGCTGATGTTGACTTCTTATTAATGAAAGAAATTGCACAGAAAAATAATAGATTAATCACATTTGGTCCTGTGACACAAAGAAGATTCTTGAGGAATCTTGGCATTGATTTACGGTTAAAAATACTTTTGCAAAATACTACCAGTATTCAAAAGCAGCAAATTGAGTCAGGATATCACATGATAACTGACAAAGATAAAATGGGAAATTGTTTTAAGGTGTTAACTCTTTTCCCATTTGTTTTAAAGGATCATTTAACAAAATGGCCAGTAGTAGGATTTGAGGATGAGGTAAAGGCAATAGACAAAGCAGATTCATCAAATTAAATTAAAATATTAAATTTAGGTGGTTTTTATTTGTATATTAAAGAGCTATAGAATATCTTCAAATAGGATCCTATACACAAGTTTATACAAGTACAAACAATATCATTAAATATTTTATCCTTGCAAAATATTACATTTTTTCCACATTTCTGTGAACTCCAACACCTTTACTCTTTGCTCATCAAAGCTTTGTTTTCTTGGTTTCCGCCATAAATTACAATCTAAATCCAACATCCCACCTATCACCTCCTACGATTGAAGAAACATAATTTCAATGTATTCATTTACATTTACTTGTAAAACCATAAAACATGTTTTTCTATTAATAATAGGAACAATTCCTTGGTTGCATAAGTCTCACCTCGGCGAAATTCTTCGGAAACATTTCCTCGTCCTCGATTACATGAGCATAACCAGGATGTGAAGCGAACTCTATCATAAAGTATGATAGACCATTTGGTACAGCATGTCGTATATTTTTGTTCTTTAAATCAATAATTTTTTTGTTCATTGACCATTCGGTTTCACACTCCAACAATGCTTTCTACAAATAGAACGCCGAAAAATATATATAGATGCATCATACGTAGATATTCTATTATATGTGCAATACATTTATATAAATGACGTTTTAATAATATCACGCATATTATTAAAATTTCTCTAAAAATAAAATTTCACCATTATGTAGATATATTACAATAAAATGATATACCTTAAAATACATTGGTGCTGACTCGCCAATGTCCTTAGGTAAAGGGATGCATTCTAACTGCATATGCGAAAACCTGTGTCTCTTTTTATATACTTCAAAAAATATCGGATAAAGATCTTCGTTCGTGAACATTGTCGTTAATTTTCCCTTCAATTCCTGCAAAAGTATAAGGAAAATTGATAATTATTTCTTTGATATACCAAATTTTATATATTAAAAAAAACTATAATGATTATAATTATAATTACCTTTAAATTTTCCCATACGTCCTCGTCCAATTGCAATTGACAAGTTATGTGTTGTATAGGCGTCAATATACAGTGACCTGTAGTTAAAGAATCGCAAGCGGGTAAACTTAAACAAATCATGGAATCTACTGTAACAATCATATGCTTCAGCATATTTTTCGAGTCGGGGCACCACCAACAGTTATCCAGGCGCTTGGATAAATTCTTATGTTCTCTAATCGCAAGTGCACGATCTCGTTTATCATCCTTCGCTTCCAAATTCGTTCGCGCGATTTGTTGCTCGAACATATCGTCCATATAATCTGCACTCTGCAAGAATGAGAACTGTAGAAAACGTGTTTTCGACGCTAACAGCACGAAATTGAGTTCGTCAGCTTACCTTAGAAGCGTACTTGGTAAACATCGCCTCATCTTCATCCGCTGATCTTCCTTTCTCTCGTTGAAACTACGATGGAAAAATTTACAAAGAATTACTAGATATTTCTCTAGATATCAACTTGTCTGATTACTTACCATTTCTTGTAAGGAATATTTATCATCATCAGCGAAATAACGCATTCTCTCGCCGGATACATGTGTCTCCGTAATTTTCTTCCTTCTATGACCTTCCGTGGATTGTTTATACTGACTTCTAGGTTGAATTGGTCTTTCAATACCTAAAACAAAATTCGGCATATAGTCATAATATAAAAATCCTTTACTTTTCTATGCAAAAAAACGCATACCTTTTGCATCTATTCTTGTAAGAATCACAGTTTCTTTCTGTACAATAGCTTTGTTAGTGGCAGCAAGTTTTCTAGCTTGCTCTAATTGTTCCTTGAATTGAGTTGCCAATTCCTAGAGAAATTAAATCATTCGAGTAAACATAGAATTATATACAGGATGTCCATTTTAACTTTCGCATTAAAAAATCTCAAAAACTATGAAAGATATTAAAAGAAGCTAAAACACGTTTTCCATGATTTCGAAGGGGAAAGAGAATGGCATGATCAGTTTTTTATTTGGAGGGCATTTTCAAGGTCAGTTGAAGGTCAACTTAATTTTTTAAAATAGAAAGCCCAATTTTTTATTATATCTTATTTTTCTATCAATTAATTTTGACAACTTTTGTCTGAAACATTTTTTTATTTGCTTAATATTTTTTGAAATATTTAAGGAAAACTTGCTAACTTTTTCAACATTTAACTTACGATATCTCGCTAACTATTCGTCGAGGGAAAAAATAGTATTAGATTTTTTTACTTTATTTACTATCAAGAATATATTACTATAATAGTACCCTAACTTTTGTTAACTTATCGACCTTTGGAAATTTCAAAATTATTAAATTAACAAGAGTTAGGGCACTATTATAGTAATATATTCTTGATAGTAAATAAAGTAAAAAAATCTAATACTATTTTTTCCCTCGACGAATAGTTAGCGAGATATCGTAAGTTAAATGTTGAAAAAGTTAGCAAGTTTTCCTTAAATATTTCAAAAAATATTAAGCAAATAAAAAAATGTTTCAGACAAAAGTTGTCAAAATTAATTGATAGAAAAATAAGATATAATAAAAAATTGGGCTTTCTATTTTAAAAAATTAAGTTGACCTTCAACTGACCTTGAAAATGCCCTCCAAATAAAAAACTGATCATGCCATTCTCTTTTCCCTTCGAAATCATGGAAAACGTGTTTCAGCTTCTTTTAATATCTTTCATAATTTTCGAGATTTTTTAATGCGAAAGTTAAAATGGACATCCTGTATATAACGGATATAAGAAAATTAAATGACAGTTAATCAAATAACATGATAAAGTAGCAAAGCATACCTCATCACCCATTATTTCAGCTTTGATAATTTTTGCGCCCAACTTATTCATTTCTGCTTCTGACAAAATATCTGTATTTTCTTTTTTATCAACCTCTTTTGTATCACTGATCCTATCTGGAATGGTTTCTTTCAGTCTAGATGAGGATGATTCAGATTCATATTTTCTATCATCTTTATCTTTCTTCCAATTTTTTACACGACTGCTGCTAGATATATGCGCAGCCAGCTGATAATAATCGTCATTTTCTTTAGGTTTATGATACATTTGTTTTTGTCTTGTGCTCTGTGATGAGTAGTGTGTACTATGCTTTCTATTTCGCTCTCTGCTTCTAGATCTGGATCTGGATTTAGATCTCGATTTTGATCTTGAGTGGTTTTTTCTTCTTGAACTAGAGGCCCTCCATGAACTTTTGTTGCTATCGTTATGTGATTTCTTATGATAGGAATTTTCTTGTTCAGAATTCGATATTCTTTCTGCTTTAGCTATCATCATTTGTATAGTTTCCAGTGACTGAATAAAAACATTTTAATTTTAAATAACTTTAACAATTCTTCGTTAATTATTAATTATAACTATAACTCTTTTAATTAACTTACACCCCAGCGTTCTGCAGCTACTTCCTCTAGACTTCTACCATCCCTAAGAGCTTGTTCCTTGGCACGACGAAAACTTTTTTTTAACCAATTTGCATCAAGATTTGACTGATTATCAAACCTTCCTGCGCTACTTTGAGGTAATCCGTTGCCTCCATCCTTCCAGTATGGATTCAATTCTCTATCACTTTGTCCTGGTTTATCCAGAAATATTCTTGTTTTGTCTTCTTCCTTTGTATCAGATTTCTGTTTTGCTATTTCAGATTTAGATGTACATGGAAGAAAACTTTCTATATTCATCCATTCATCTCTTTTGGACTGTTTTTCTTGTGCTTTGCTAATTGGATTTTCAATAACATATGGAGAAGTTTGATTTTCATTAGTTTTTTCCACCCATTCCAATGTATCACTGCCAGAGCTCTCCTATGAAATATATCACATAATTTTATGATTATGGTAAGAAATAAAATTAGTCTGAAATATTAATGAAATTGAAAGATATTAAACTCTTATAGATTAAGAGCTCAATTATTTTATATTCTGTTTTGAAAAATGAAGCAAACAATGACACAATGTTAACATAAAATATTGAAACTAGAGTTCAATTTTGAAATTTGTTAGACAATGTTGGGGAAGATTTAATTAAAAATTAGGTTTTCTTCTCTAATGGCAAATCAAAATTAAAGTTTTTAATACCCACACTGCTTGAAGATGATGTCGAATATTTCCTCTTTTTTTTATATTTCTTCTTTTCCTTTTTGGTAGCTTGCCTTTTCTTAGATTTGGATTTCTTAGATTTTTTATTCAGATGTGGAACAGAGTCTTCATTGTGGTTTGTTTTTATGCACTCGTTATTGTACATTGTGAAAACGCAAATTAGAGTAGAAAATCTATATTAGGATGTCTTGATAACACACTCGCTCTTTCAAATGACAATTATTTATGTATTATAAACCCGTGTTAAACTTTTCAGCTTTCCGATATCAAAAAAAGGAGTAAAAATAATAGGTTATATTTATTTACACCTTTAGAGCAGATCAGTGAGTGCAAAAAGTTCTCGCAACATGACAGTCTTAAGCCGGTTCCACACGGACGCTCAATCAGCACTCATAAGACAGGAGGGAGGTGAACTACGTTCACCATTTTCCAGCGATACTCAAAGTACTCATCAGGCACTTGTAATTCTGGATACAGAAATCGTTATTAATAGCTTGGGTACCCATCATGGAACCTGTCGGAATCAATTCCGATCGGAATAATTCCGTTTCCCCTAGAAAAAACAATAGAAATGTAGGAAATAACGGAATAAATTCGATCGGAATCGATTCCGACGAGTTCCATAATAGGTACCCTATTCGTTTTGTCTGCATCGCTGCATTAAGTTAAAGTGAGACAAACGTAGGTTTTCTCACTTCACAACTTACTGCACCAGTTCAGCAGTGCAGATAAAACGAACAAGCCTAATAATATTTTCGAGTCTGTTCATTTTAGTTGAACTAGTGGTACGCTAAAACTTTGTTCTTGTTCTTTTCAATTCAAATTTATATATTAGTTTTATTCTAGTAGTAAAAAGTGCAATCTTTTTCAGCTAAAAAGAACAGTCCTCGACTTTTCGTTTTATACATTTATGCATCTCCTGCATTGGATTACTCGAAAAACCACTGCAACGAATATTGATTATTTTTATAAACGAATTTACTTTCTGTTACAAGTACTTTTTTCTGAATAACATTTGAAGAAACGTTGTAATTTTCTTGATAATTAACAATCATGGTGCAAAAATATGTAGACTTGGTTATTATTGTGAATAATGTACTAAGGTACGTAAAACACTTCTAACAAATTAGACACTGGGGAAAGAAGGAAATAAAAGATTTATTTTCTAAATTTTTAAAGAGATCCTATGGAAATGGGATGTATATTTAAACAACGTCGGTTGTTTTCGTGCCTCCCTTGTGATTCTTTGATAAAAAGTCTGCAAATTCCTGATATGGTGCTTTGGCTAAAGCTTGTTCTTTCCATAAATCAGGTGTCAGATAGGCGTATGTCTTTGCGATCGCAGCATAAGTAGCTTTAGCAAAATTACCAAGTGTGCAAGTGGAACCTCGGGCAGAGGTATAACAGTCTTCAATGCCAGCCATTTGAAGTAGCTTCTTGGGAACCGGCGCAGAGACGATACCAGTGCCTCTAGGTGCTGGGATCAAACGCACCTGTACAGAGCCACATTTACCAGTGACTTTGCAGGGCACTGTGTGTGGTTTACCAATTTTGTTACCCCAGTAGCCACGTCGTACTGGCACTACCGACAGCTTGGCCAGAATGATAGCACCACGAATAGCAGTAGCTACTTCTTTGGAGCACTTTACTCCTAACCCAATATGACCATTGCTATCTCCAATGGCAACGAAGGCCTGTAAAATATTTTAAGCATTTCTATTATAATTGTATGTTCATCGTTTGTTTATCATATTTTAATTTTATAAATTCCAACATGTTACAATGATGAATTGAAATTTTTAATTACCTTAAAACGTGTACGTTGACCTGCTCTGGTCTGCTTCTGTACAGGCATAATTTTCAACACCTCATCTTTTAGTTCAGCTCCCAGGAACTTGTCAATGATCTCATATTCTTTGATGGGTAAAGAGAACAGATAGATATGTTCTAAGGATTGAATTTTATCCTCTTTGACCAAACGGCCAAGTTTGGTAACAGGAACCCATTCTTTACTGTCTTCTTTACCACGACCACGACCACGTCCTCTGCCTCTACCACGACCTCTACCTCTGAAGCCTCCACGATCACCTCCACGAGAACCAAAACCTCCACGAAAACCTCCTCGAGTGGCTGGAGCAGCGTCCGCCATTCTGTAATGTGATGAAATGTATTACAAGTATAACTAATAAAAATATAACCTTAAAAGTTATTTCCAAAATTATAATTTATTAAAAATATAGAAATGTTACTAGCAATTACTGCATCTAGCATATTACTGTAATTACTATATGTTACAATAACTAATTACATAAATTATTATATACAGTTATTAAGTATAAACTCAAATATAGTACAACACAGTTAGATAAAATATATAGTTATTGATTCTGAGTAATTCATCGGAAAAGAGAGAAGAATCCGGAAGAGGTATATTTGTTATATTTCATGTTTGTAAAAACTGGTAAGAACAATGTCAAAGCATGGTGATGGTATTTGACAAAATATTCTAATATACGCAAAATTTCCTAAGAAATTGCTCATGTTCGATCTGGCTTTTATGTTTAAATGAAAGATAAAAAATGTAACTCATTATTATAATATATGTGAGAAAAGATCAAAAGATCGTTTCAATTACTTACTTTGTTTTTTTCCAGGCACGTGCTTACACGTAAAAGCACGGAAGAAATACTGGCTGCGTTCAGAAAACACAATGGTTGCACAACGGTTGAGTAATTTATCAACGTTATTGGTCAGAGTGTAAGGATCTAACAGTAAAGACCAATAGTCACTAATCACCATTGGCTGCACTCAGAGAACAAAGCGCTCACTGAGCGAATAGTCTTGGTCTTTACTGTTAGATCCTTACATTCAGACCAATAACGTTGACGAATTACTCAACCGTTGTGTTTTCTGAACGCAACCATTGGTCGAAATTTCGAGTACGATCTCTCGAAAAGTCTCGATTGCTATGTTCTTTGGTGTTTCATTAAAAAATGGCGTGTCCCAATTACAATCAATGGAAGAAAGTTTGCGGTTCTTTTACCACGACAAACTTCAAAACGTATCCAAAAGAAAAATTATTTCTTGAAAATTACTGAAGGAAACAAAAAATGCTATCTTTCATGTTCAAAGAAGAGCACATGAATTTATATAAAATATATCTTTTATATAATATACATATGTATACATTTTGGATATATTAAGGAATAGAGGGCTTATTTTAAATGTCGCATCCTATTTATAAATAAACAGTACAGCAAATATTATAGATTGAAAGGTCACTTGTTCTAATCTTGAAGTCTATATATTTCTGTCGCGATCCTTTTACAGATGATATTATAGAAAGCAAAAGCTTAGTATAAACATGGTATTTCCGCATAAGTACGTGAAACTACAATACAATCGTATAACAAAGCCGGAAAATGACGAAAAATTATATAAAGGTTTAACACTCACTAATGATATGCAAGTGCTTCTTATAAGCGATCCATTGGCCAAAAAAAGTTCTGCTGCGCTCGTCGTCGATGTTGGTAATTATAATGCAACATATATAAACACAATGTATTTTGTATAACATATATAATACGATACTAGATTCCTAATCTATATGAATATCATATTAATCGAAAAGTTTCCGTATCTCGTTTTTGGGATAAAAATGACACCAAACGAATTCTTTGGTTCATTTAATTATACTTAACTATTAATTCTATAAATTATGTCTTCATTAACTTATTTGCACGAAAACCATGCGATTAATACATTAATGCCATTTTAAGCGATGAGCCACTAGCAACGAGGAAATTTCGGATTGTATAGATAGTTGATTAAATATTAAAATATTATAGGATACATTTCCGATCCGGACGATTTGCCAGGATTAGCGCATTTGTGTCAACACATGTTACTTCTGGGATCGAAGAAATATCCTGAGGAGTTCGAGGAATATATATCGCAGTACGGCGGTATGATCTGCGCAGAGGCGAGAATAGATCATACCTACTATTATTTTGAAATAAATTTGGGAAAGTTAGAATATGCTTTAGACCGTTTCGCTCAGGCCTTCATAGCACCTTTGTTTTCACGAGTTATGATTGAGCGAGAGGTGGACATTATAGATTCGAAGTGCTATAAGAGATATTCAGTATACGATGCAAATCGTTTCTGTCAGTTGAGAAAACAAATTGAAGTTCAGAATCCAGTTGTTTCTAAATTCGAAATAGGCAATAAACAAACATTGGACATAAATCCGAAAAAATACGGTATCGATGTCAAGGAAAAACTGGCATCGTTTTTCCAGGGACGTTATTCAGCTAACATTATGTCATTGTGTGTTTTTAGTAATGGTAAAGCGCCAGCTTACTTATAAGTGATAAACATAAAGATAGTTAACAGATTAGTTGCAGACATATTGTATATACAGGGTGTTTGATAGCTGATCATGCAGACGAAAGTTGGAGATAGATTGGGTGTAGCCGAGAAGAAAAGTCATGTACTATAATGTCAAATTGGCAATAGTTACCGAGTTATTAATTAAAACATGTGAGCCAACGAGCGCGTAGAGAGCGGAGGGCGGCCGCAGTAAGCACGTAGACATTTGTTACAGGCGGAGTCAGCGAGTTGCGGTATAGACAAGCGCGCGCGGCGAGGAGCAACGTAAGCGACAAGAGGCGATCGCGCGCGACGAGGAGCGAGCGAGCTTTTTCTTTATAGCTTTTTCCTTATAGCTCGCTCACTCCTCGTCGTTCGCGCTCGCTCGCCTCTTGTCGTTCGCGCTCGCTCGCTCCTCGTCGCGTGCGTTCGCCTCTTGTTGTTTACGTTGCCTCTCACCGCGCGCGCTCGCCTACCGTTACTCGCTGACTCCGCCTGTATCAAATGTCTATGTGCTTACTGCGGTCGCCCTTCGCTCTCTACGCGCTCGTTGGCTCACATGTTTTAATTAATAACTCGATAACTATTGGCAATTTGACATTATGGTACATGAATTTTCTTCTCGGCTACATCCAATCTATCTCCAACTTTCGTCTGCATGATCAGCTATCAAACACCCTGTATATGCAAATAACACGATAGATTTAGCATATGTATTAGTAAATACGTATATCGCTTACGGAAAAAACACTCAAATATTGAGTATCTACATTCAATTATTCGAATTTATTCTCAAATGTGAGTGTATACATTCAAATGTGAATATATACACTCAAATTTGAGAGTAAATTCGAATAATTGAGTTAGATATTTGAGTGTTTTTTCCGTAAGGGATGCTAAGTAATAATTGTTATTAATAGTTTATAAGAAGAATTTCGTGCCTCCATAATTAAATGTTTTACAAAAATTATTTGTGTTTTGTAGTATAGAATTATATAACTGCATATATTAGTTTTATACACTTTTAATTTTTTATACTTGTCAAGAAAAATTCAAACATTTTAATCACTAAAATAAATGAAACAAAAATCTAAAGGATAAGCTTAACATTTTGACATTTGTTTTTCTTTGAAAAAATGAATTACAAATTGTTTATCTGTAAATTCATACGTGAAATTTATACAATTTGTGCAACATGTCTGTTTAGCAGAAATATTATAGTAATTTTAATTATGCGTAAAGTTGACTACATTTTAAACTTATAAAATAATTTTATATTTAGAGAATGTGAATAATCTTGAAAAAACAGTAGTAAAGCTGTTTCATAAAATACCGAACAAGAAAATTCAGATAATACCGCCAAATATACTACCTTATAAATTTCAAGACGTCCAGAAACCGCATCCTGGTTTAATATACATAACTTCAAAGGAGAACACTAATATTTTAGTGCTGTCATTTAGTCTACCTGACTTGCGAGAAAAATATATGTCCAAGGTAATGTAATTTTGTCAGTGTTTTACACTAACAAAACACATTAATAATACATGCGTATATATGATATTTTATTCGATATATAATTAATTTATTGTATATATTATTTTATATTTTATATATATATTTTTTTTATTGCTTGCTCTTTTTTTTCTTTAATGTAGCCTATGTCTTATATTTCCTACATTCTTGCGTACGAAGGGGAAGGATCGTTATATTCAATTTTAAAAGCTAAGGGTTGGTGTGATTCCCTTACGAGCAAACTTGATATTATTTGCAAAGGATACAATTTTTTCAGTATTCATTTGAACTTAACCAAAGACAAGTTCAAATATCTCGATGATATCGCCGAATTAGTGTTCCAGTACTTTAATTGGTTGGAAGAAGAACTTAGTAAATCTCAAGAAATCGATGAAATGTGTAGGGTAAGATATCTACCTATTATCTTTTTTTTTCATAGACTTCATGAAGAGAACCTTTACTTCTTAAGTTGCATCACGGTCTGCTCGACATTTTATTCTATAATATTCTGCTTATACTATTCTATATATTACATGTTTAAATGATAAATAAATATGGTATTTGTAGAATTACAAGATTATTATTAACGCAAATTTTCATTACAACAAAATCTCCGCATCCTTCTCAAACATAGTCTCAAATGCCAAAGCGCTGCTTCAATATCCGATGAGTGATGTTTTGACCGCGGAACGTATTATCTCAAAATGGGACAAAGAAGAAGTAGCACTAATGATGAGCTATTTACAGCCGACAAACATGACAATTTACATGATAACAAAACATTTTGAGTCTGTACCGATGAAGAGAGAACCATGGTACGGTATTATGTATATGAAACAGCCAATAAAGAAAATATTAATTAAGAAATGGCACGAAACTCGAAATAAAATTTTTAGTCTCACTTCTAAGAATAAATATGAGGCTCCTCGTTTTGCTTTTGAAAAGGTAATTATAAATAATTATTTCCTAATTATGTCCTAATTATCCCCAACAAATGAGGTAATCACAAATAATTATTTCCTAATTATTAATCATCATCTGCAAAGTACTATGATTAAACCCTATTACAAATTTCCTCCGAAACAAAATTTTATGTGAATGAAATACTCTAGAGTTTCAATTGATTTTCTCATAGACTTCTCGATGCTGATTATACTACGTTATGTTTGCTATGTCACAATATGTTTTAATAACGGAGAAATTTGCAGGTAGAACCATCAATTCCCTCTATTATAAAATGCACTCCATTTGTAAGACTTTGGTATGCAAGAGATAATACGTACGCAACACCAAGAAATAAAATATTTTTTGATTTCGTTAGGTATGCAAATATATCTTGAATATGTTATACGGTTAATCGATTAATTCGATGATTATTCATAACGATCATAGATAATACTAATCCTGAAAAGTGTCGTTTATCTTTCATGTTTCCCATTTGTAGCCCACTCGTCTCTGTCGATCCGTTTAATTGCAGTTTAAACAGAATATTTCTCTACATGCTACGTGAGTATCTCAACCAGCAAAAAATCGCTGCGAAGTCAGCTGATTTCCAAATGAGATTTAGAGAAAGCGATAGTCAATCTGGAATAGCAGTAAGTAAAATAACAATATACCAATTATAATAAACATTATAATTTTATTGGACAACGTCGTATGAAGGCTACTCGCTTTTTTAGATCATTATAAGCGATTATGATCATAAGCAAGACATTCTATTAAAAGGAACTCTGAATTACATGGTAAACTTTGATGTCAAACATACAATATTTGATATAGCTAAAGAACATGTATGTATAGCAAAATAAACTATATTTTTTTAATCAACACACATTATGCTTACCTATAATTATTTACAGTATATCGAGGATTTAAATGATTTTAAGAAATATTCCCTGAATATTCAAGCATTTTATTACTTATCTTTTGCTTTAGGACAAAAAATTTGGTTATTTCATGAATCATTAAATGAAGTTAAAAGTATGTATAAATGTGTCACTGTTTATTAAACAACGATAATGCTTTTTGCCCCATAAAAATCTACTTTTATCTTTCTCTCTCTCTCTTGGATTAAATTCTTCCCATTTTAAGCATATTGCGTTATATACGACATTCATAAAAGATCAATTATTGCTTACATAAATAACGAAATAAAGAATTTTATTAATATAAATGTAATATATTTTTAAATATTCAAGTGACAATTTTCAATTAACCGTCACTCGGTTCATTCGTTCTCTCTTTTCTGCCTTAAGAACTATATGAAAAAGGACACTAATTTCTTGATTAATTAAATTTTTAATGTATCCAAATATTCATTTATTAAGGTCTCTATGATAATGTTATATAGATATTACTATTCAGGAACTCAAACAATTCGTACAGCAATTTTCCAAAAAAATACATTTAGAAGGTTTAATATACGGTAATGTCACCGAATTGGAAGCTTTGAACATAGTTCAATTAATCCTGGATGCATTCAAGAAGTTTCCTTGTACGGCATCACTACCGCCAAGGCATCTGACGCTGCCTCGTGAAATTTGTATAGAAAACGGTAAGCAACAACAAACAACTTATATGGAGAATGCATAGAGAAATATATATCTTTTGAGTCAGTTAAAAAGTGAAGTATAAAGGGAAAGTCAGTTCGTATTATTTACTTAATGTGATATTTTAGCGCATACTCGCACATTGTAGGTCGCCAGTTTGTACTTCCAATAGAAAATTCACATTATAAAGATTCGTGTACTTTGGTTTACTATCAAGCTGGTATGCAAACAACACAGTCGAATGTACTCTTAAAACTTGTGGTACAAATAATTTCCAAATTTTGCATCAATATCTTAAAAACCAAAGAACAATTGGGCTATCAAGTGCTTACTGTAAGGCATGCCTCAGAGATAACGCATGGCTTAGCAATTTTAGTCGTAAGTGACAAAAAAGAAACGCAATATGTCGACAAAAAGATTGATTTATGCGTAAACTCTATGTTGGTAAGCATAATAACGAATTATGCAGTAACATTGTTATAATTTTATTCAAATATATGTAATAATCTTTTTTCGGCTCATTGTATTTTAGGATTACATATCCGCCATTTCTGACGAAGAATTTGAGAAACAAAAGAAGATATTGTATATACAAAACGTACTACCGCATGATTTCGATGATATAAGCACTTTCTTCTGGAGTGAAATTTTGAATCAAAAATATCAATACTATCAGTATGAAAATGAAAACGACATGCTAGTGGATAAAAACAATTCTATAACGAAAAAATTATTACTTACATTTTATAGTGTAATATTTCTTTGCTCTTCAGTATATTTTACTTACGTCAACATTTTACGAGATATTACGCAACGTCGTATTATACTAAAAAGAAATATATCCGTTAAAAAATCCGTTAAAATTAAATACTTTCACTTTAATGGCAAATATTTTTACTTATATTTTATACTTAATTTATACTTAATATTTCATTTTTTAGGAATTAATAGATAAGAAGACACGACGTAAATTATCAGTGCATATAAAACCTGCTCAAAACATATCTGATGAATCATCAGATGAAGATTCACCTGAAATAAATGAAGCACAGGATGAAGAATTTCTTTCAAATATTGCACTGCTCAATGATACATCAGCTGAACTAAGTTATAAATATATAAACATCACAAATGAAGGATTTGTTCCAAATATGTTATTAGATGACAATACAACTAAAAAAGGTAAAGTATAAATAAATATCAAATATGAAAAACTAACTCTAAATTCTATATAAGCTATTGAATAGTAAATTAATAAAAAAAATTAAGTACAAATAGATATCCAACACAAAGAACCTGATCCAAGCACAAAATTGGATGATGAACCAACCAAACAAAGTAAAACATACGTAATTGAAGAAGATACGAAATTGTCTCAAACTACTAAGCAATTGGGTTTCGAATCAGCTAAAAAATATTACTCAGGTATATGTGGAAAGTATAAGAAATTTATTGAAGCATCCGATCACTCATATGAAGATGTTGAGATAATTAAGGATATTGTTTCATTTAGAAACAGCCAGGGTTTGTTCCCTCTTATACCTCGAAATCATTATTAACAAAATTGATTATATATATGCGATACATTTATCTACTATTATTAATTCCAAGAATTTTTTCTCGTTTCCTCATTATATTCAATATTTATAAAAAATTCACGATGAATTTATAAATTAATATATAATACATTATTGTATAGTTTTTGTAAATTAATTTATATTATTTATTTAAATTTTAAACATCGTTACAACTTCTAACAATGCAGGAAACGCTACCGGAAATTATGTCATCGTTTCCTATTATTATTATTATTTTCTATTATTATATTTTATGTTTCATCTAGAACAAAAGGTTAGAAACTTGTATGTGTTGTGACATTCTTGCTATGACTTTCGTATATTCCTTGTTATATTCAGCAAAAAATTAATAAATAACAGAGACATTAACATATTATAGATAAAATGTGAGTTCATATCCTGTAAAAGTAGTTTAAATTAATCTTCCTGAATTATATATTAGGTGTGTGAATTAATTCGGTCCATTTTTTCTTCCAAAAAAAAAATACTTTAGTATGAAAAAACATGAAAAAGTACACTAATCAAAATATTTGCCATCAATCAATTGCTATTATTTTTTCCCATCTGTCTGGCAGTTATTGCATTCCGTAACGGAAAAGCGATTCGTCTTTCGAAGCGATCCATTCATTGAGCCATTTCTCTATTTCTTCATAATTGTTGAAATGCTGGTCCGAAAGCCCGTGTACCATCGATCTGAACAAGTGATAATCGGATGGAGTAATGTCTGGTGAATACGGCGAGTGAGTGGGGTAAAACGTCCCAGCCAAGTGTTTTCAAGGTGGCCTTCACAATCTTTCCAATATGCCGAGCGTTATCGTGCAGGAAGATCACTTTCTCGTGTCTCTTTGCATATTCCAGCCGCTTATTCTTCAATGCGTTATTCAAACAGATCAATTGTTGTTGATAAAGTTCGGCAGTGATGGTTTGGCTCTGTTTTAATACGAGTTTTAATACGTAGTTCATGATACGCTACAACCCTTCTGGTCTCACCATATACAGAGCATTACTTTCTTGCCGTGAATATTCCGCTTTGGTATCGATGTGAATGGTTTTCCTGGGTCGCTAATGGATTTCTTTCGTTTAGGATTATCGAAATATATCCACTTTTCGTCTCCAGTCACAATACGATGCAAAAAACCTTTTCTTTTTGGCCTGGCAAGCAAGATTTCAGACATGGCTTTTCGCCTCTCGATGTCTCTTTCTTTCAGTTCGTATGGCACCCATCTTCCTTCTTTGTAAATCTTTCCCATAAGTGCCAAATGTACAGAAATTGTTAATCGATCAACATTCAACAATTGCGCGAGCTCATGTTGCGATTGACACGGATCTTCATCGATTAGCGCCTGCAATTCCTCGTCCTCGAACTTCTTCGGCTGACCTGGACGAGGTTTGTCATCGACACTGAAATCATCACTTTTGAAACGTCGAAACCATTCTCTGCATGATTTATCGGTGGGAGCACTTTCACCATAAGCTTCTATATACGAGCATTCGATGAGCTTCAGCGGCTGTTTTCTTCAAATGAAAACAGGAAATGAGAACTTTCCGGAAATGATGCTTTTTTGGCTCGAATTTCGACATTTTCGAATCAGATAAACACGATGTTATTGCTACAAACCTAAACGTTTATCAACTGAATATTATTGCCAGATATCAAAACTAAAAAATAAAGCCTTTTGCAGACATTAAAGATTAGAAGATTACATAGTACAGCAATTGACCGCCAGATGGACCGAATTAATTCACATACCTAATATATAACACTTTAAAGAACTTTACTTTAAAGAACGAATCATACCGCAATCATCCGCCCACGGTGATTGCTTGCTGGAAATAAAAGAAGAACAACGATTCATCGTCGGTCTTTATCAAATTAACCGATCTCACTTGTAATGTAGCACGGAACAGAACCGAAAGATTGTGCATGTTGCTCATAGAGAAAAATCGGTAAAGTCAATTACGTAGTTTACGTAAGCGATTTATGGATATAGAGGCGCTTTGCATATGAGATTAGTTAAAACCAGCTCGTGTGCCCCTCTCCTGCTTCTTCATGGTATCGTTATCTAAGGGCCAATTGTAGAACATGTCGCGACTTCTTTTACGGTAAGTAAAAATCGAAAACGCTCCAAAGGAGCAGACATCTCGGCGTCGGTTATGCTCGCAATGGATACTGATGTGGAAACTTAGTTTTTCGCTGGATTGCAGATCAAGGAATCATAAAAATTCGCTGTTACGGAGTTGGAGTTATACCCGGAGTATCTTATAGCCAGTTACAAACGACTGACATAGTGAAGTAATCAACATACCTTAGCATTAATGCTTAACCTAATGAGGATGTTCAGTATACTGGTAACAATCGTTGCTCATTAGTTGATTATGTATGTGAATAGGATTGCCTTTGAGAGAGCCAAAAATTGTGTTCCAGTGTACTCTGTCAAATGGCGAACAACAGCAACAACAGTGGCAACGCCACCAATGTTAATCTGGGATATGTTGCTATTAAAAAATATATTGATTAGTTTAAATGTAAAGATTACAGCCGACCCATTTACTATATCTTGCTCAATAATATGGGTAAGTGCAAATGGCTGTTATATAATTGATATAGTATAACTTTTGTCTACATCATTGATCATAATACTAAGACTGCATATTGTGATTTAGTGATGGCAGGAAACGAAAGCACGCCAGCAACCTTGGCAGATGATGCATTATCCGCGAGACTGCAGTGGCTACGTCAGCGTAGAGAGGCTTTGCAAGAGAAGCTTGCTCAGAAAAATAATGAGTTGAAAAACTTGTGTGTAGAAGAGGCAGAGATAACAGGAGTTCTGCCTCCAGAGATACCTTTAGAGCCTGGAGAGAGTCCACCAACTTTCCGTAAAAGAGTCGGCTCCACATTTATATATCCAAGCAAATTGATCAACAAACTAAAAGCATCTGATCCTGTGAGTCAGTGTTGAAGGCAAAATTGATACATTTTGCTGAACAATTAATGTTTATGTAATATTTCAATGGTCCACATGGACATGTTAGATTGATTGTTATTTGTATACATAGGAGGAATCAGAATTGGAGTTAGAACGGCAGGTACAACTTGGAATTGTGGAGGCTGCACTTGAGGTTGTCAATGATCCTACAGAAAGCAAGGCTACACGGCGCAAACACAGACTCGCCTATCAGCAAGGTCAACGAAAATTACAGGAGCTGGATACGGAATTGAACTTTATTCGCCAGAGTCGTGGTAAATCACATCGCCAGACAACACAACTACCAGCTGGAACTCAAGGGAATTACAATACTCATCCGCATTCCCATGCTAATGTGAAACATCGAACCAAAAAGCCACGACCACCGCTGGATAGTACAGGTGTAGTAAGCTTTTACTTCTTTGCACCAAGTCCGAAATTGTCACATAATTTCTGGCAAAACGCGTTAACCGCGCTATGAGACGTCATAATTCTTAAGTTTTAAGCGTTACAATGACTTGCGGCAACACAAGAAACGCCTCCCGCTAGAAATTACATCACAGTTTTGGGCTCAGAGCAAAAGGCTGAAGGTTAACCGATTGTAAAACAAACAAAATTTCAACGCCACGCTCGTGATTACCTACGGTAGGAAACGAGATCACTACCTCGAAGTCTCCTGGAAGAAGTATACTTCACGAGACTGGTATCAGCCTCAGTCCATTAGGACCGGAAGACAACAACAAGTGCAACACGTATCCCGGGCACGGATACGAAGAGCAGCTGGCCGCGGTGAATCTTTGCAGCGTCCACCATCGCAGCGGTACGTATCCTGGTGTGAGTCCCATCGAGCAGACCAACATAAAGATCGTAGAGCATGACCACAACGACAACCAAAATGTCTACATCCTACCGGACCAATACCGCGCCCGTACATACTCTCACGGCAGTGGCGGCTCGCGCGGCCACCGGGATCACTACCAAGACACCGAGAGGACCTACCGTCCTTACGTGCCGAACACTTACACCGACGACGAGCGGCAGATGCGCTACCGGCAATTCCAATTGCAGCAGCAAAACTTGCACAGGCAACAGCGTTACGAACAGATAATGCAGAACTATAAGTCGCACTATGGCTCCGCAGAGTACAACGCAGCGGAAAATGCGGACATGCTCCGGAGAATGTACGAAGCATCCTACGAGCGGGATGCCCGCGCCTCTCACTACGCGCCTGTCACCGACTACCAGATCTATTGCAAGAACTACGGTCAACCTCCACAGAGGCGCGCTGTGGACCGCGATTCGTCGTCGTCGTCGTCCAGCGGCAAGAACACCTTCCGGCACGTCGGTGCGGGCGCGCCGATGGTCGACGTGCAATTGCCGGCTGGCTACTGGGTGCGTCAGGACGACGAGATCGTCTGGCTGAGCATGGACGAGGTAGCCGCGACTAGCGACCGATTCGGCAGTCTGGACCGCAGACGGCGGAACGCTCAGCACAACGGCGGTGTCAGTGCGAATCCAGACGCGCAATCACGCTACCGCACCGTCACAGTCGCCAGCACCAAAGCTACTGCGCACGGCAACGCCTCCGCCGTGCCATCTCCGTCGGCCCACCAGCATCATTCCGTCCACCTGTTGCCGCTGTCTGAGCAGCAGATACCGGCAAACAACAAGATGCTGCTGCGCACGCAGTCGTTGGGAAGCGTGGAGACGTGGCAATCGGGTCACAGCCATGATTCTCACGACGGCAAGGACATCACGCCGACAGAGTACTCTAATCGGAAGAGCCGTCAGAAGGAGTGGTATGAGACGTCCCTGGACTCGGGAGTCAGCATGGGTCTGGATCAGAACCTGATCGCCACTCGCAAGAACGCGCATCATCAGTCAAGCTCGCCGCCAGCTCGCGTGAAGGACGATCAGGTAATGATCGGGCCACCAATGAGTCCGGTAAACCGTCGGAAGAGAGACAAGCTGGAAGAACGGCAACATATGATGCAACAGCAGCCTCACGCGCGTTACGACCAATCCGCGACAAGGCCGAAGGTGCTGGAGATACCGGCCGAATCGAAGCCGCCCCACGACGCCTGCGACGACACAGTGCGAGCGCCGTTGGGCTCGCCGCAGAACTGCACGGTGGTGCAGGCGGGCAAGTATCAGCCATACCGGGAGGTGACTAAGCCCTTTGAGATGTCCGACTTCTACAAGTACTCCACTAAGTTCCGAAAGAGGAATGAAGCCACCGGTCAACCCCAGCAGCTCGGCAACGACTCGCCGCTTCAGGAGAACCGACCCGTCGCCGATTGCACACTGCCAGCTGACTTATCCAAGGATCCCAACGCCTATGGCAGTTATGGGCAGAATGGCACTGCCAGCGTGACAGCCAGTCCGGTGCAGAGGAAAATCTACCAGCCGGTGCAGCGAATGACCTGCCAACCGTACCTCGCATCCTTGAGATAATCTCGCACGCGTCGTCATGTCCGTTTGCACTGTCACGTTATCATACATATCATAAAATTATCGTTGCAAATAGGTTAGTCTTATCGAGAGATATTTCTTTTGTTCTCTCTCTCTCTCTCTCTCTCTCTCTCTCTCTCTCTCTCTCTCTCTCTCTCTCTCTCTCTCTCTCTCTCTCTCTCTCTCTCTCTCTCTCTCTCTCTCTCTCTGTCTCTGTCTCTGTCTCTGTCTCTGTCTCTGTCTCTCTCTCTGTCTGTCTCTCTCTCTCTCTCTCTCTCTCTCTCTCTCTCTCTCTCTCTCTCTCTCTCTCTCTCTCTCTCTCTCTCTCTCTCTCTCTCTCTCTCTCTCTGAGTTTACCTCTTCAAGAATAAATTTAACGGAGTCGAGAAAAACTGATCTATCATTTTGCACAGATGTAAATATGACTTCCGTCGATCGTAAAACGAGGTCTCTTTTTGTTTTTCTTTTTTATTGTGCTGATTATTTATTTGACAATCATAAGTATTTAGCGATCGGAAAAATTCAGTAATTATTCGCAACAATCATTTGCACAGTCATTATGCGCAAACGTTAGATGTGTCTACGATGTTCGAAAATTTGTACATATCTAAGCATACACACATATGTGTCGGTATCCTTGAAAAGGTTAATCATCGCATTATCCATACAGGATATATATAGTGGACGTGTGTGTATACTTGAAAACGGTTTAGACGCAATGAAATAAGGAGCGCACTAAATTGTCACAATCGGCAGTCGCCAGTGATAGCCGTCCACGAACACCATTCCAGTGAAAACGCTCCTATTCCAAGAGGAGATTCTACACGGCACAATCTTGTCACTTATTTATCATATTTGATATTTTTTTATTAATCATTATCGATGTCGACGCAGCTGTCAATTGTGATCATAGTCGGGAGACTTGTAACTCTGATATATTTACCAAATCGTAAATTCGATATGTAGGAGTACATATTATTTTTAGAGATTTTACGATGTTTACTTCGCGTGTACGCGAAACGTACTTTGCGGTGGTGAAGAGGAAGCGAAAAACCGGAGGATTGCAAGATCCTGACTCGAACCCCAATGTCGATTAACTGAACAATGTTGGGACCTGGGTAGTGCCTTTTATTAATCGGAGTATCAGGTGGAGACGATAGAGATATAATACGTAGCCTTTCTAATACGTAGAAATTAGGCCTATTGACTTTGAGATAAATTAAACTTCGTTGAAAAGATCGTCCTCCACTTGGCGACTTCCGTTTTAATCGCGTTCATTATAGTGTTCAACGATGAATTTTACACATGTATATATTTGTTTTTATATAATATAGTTAATTATATATAACAAATATAACGCACGAAGGCGGTGGATATTGAAAAATTACTGTCGGTACATTAGTAATGTTATTTGTTAGAAGAAGAAATTCTTCTATATACCGGTTATTCGATAATTAGACAAAGTCTATCTTTTGTTGTACAACCGACTTTCCATTGCTCTATTCCTACAGTTTTGCAGATTCTCTGCATTAAAGTCTCACGACTCGACACTCAAAATGCGGAGATATGCATTTTTACATAGTCTTAAATGACGATATACGATGCTTGTTCATAGGAAACAATGAAAGTAGAAATGCGTCCCAAGGGGCAATAACAATACTGATTTCCTTTATGTATAACTATCGCATAAATGATCTGCACTTTATTATGCAGATAAAAACTGTCTACTTTATATTCGTATAATATGAAAATGTAATATGGCGTATAATATAAAAAAAGACCAGAGTAAATCTCGCAGAGATCGTATTTATTTACGTAACGCGCGCTTATTAAGAAACTTAATTGTTAAGTTTAAGCTTCATTTCTTGCTTCCGACACATTACTCACTAATGCCTGTGCTGGTATAATATCATAATATTTGTATTACGAGAATGATATCTTATTTATAAGATTGCTCGTTATCTCCAAACGATATAGATTTTTTTACTTGATTTACTTACAAGTAGCGCAGTAGCATCATAAAAATAGCATATAACAGCTTTATTTAGTTAGCTGTGATTAACGACGCTTGCGTGTTCTGTGCTTACTCCTAAGAAATTTTGTATCAATTTTTCATACATATCAATAAAGATTCTGTAGGTGTACAAATTAATTCAGTGAATTTTACATTGCATTGAGTCGGTTTCTCTGGCGTGCGCTTTGAAATATATATGTTATTAATATAGTGATGTTAATTATTATATACAGAAGTTTATTATTACATAGCAATATTAATTTGTAGTTTTATACAGCGAAGGTTCGAACAATTGAAGAAGAGCGCAAGAAAAAACCGAAACATGACAGGAGCGTCAAATGATTTTAAAAGAACATTTCATATGTAATAAAGTCACATTCTTTCACATTGCGAATCGTAGTATGTGATTGTCTAAAAAAGAAAAAAATGGAAGAAAAGGTAAATGACACCACTGCCAGAGAACCTTCCGAAGAACAACCTCAGAAAACAGCCGGGAGAAAGATCATTATCGAGGTGGATGAGGACGATCCTTGTTTGCAGAAGTACAAACCGCCAGAAAAGACACCGCAAGAAGAGACACAGTTATTCGGCAAATGTTTCGATTATGATCCAAGGTGCGCTGGCAATGAATTCAAGGTGCGTCGTATTTAGAAATTAACTCCAACTGATTCTTCGCAGATTTCAGCAGCAAAATCAGACGCAGAGGTGCTTCGTCATGTATACCGACTTTTATCGCTGCGAGCACATCTTAGGCGAAGGTACTGAAGCGTGCACGTGGTTTAAAGATGTCTTCAAGGCTATATGTCCAAACGCTTGGGTAGAAAATTGGGACGAACTTAGACTCTCAGGTCGATTGGCCTGGCACAAATATAAAACTCAGGGTGCTTTCCCCGGCAGCAAGTATGGTGAATAGAAGTCCACTTTTAAAAGATTGTGTAATATCAATGATACCGAAATTATTCTTTAAAATTATTCTCCGGTTTTGTAACATTCAATAAAATGATTAAACAATTACTTGTTTGTATCTTGACTAAGAGAATTAAAGTGAATGTCTTAATTAACGCACCAGTTTTTTCTTAATAATTCAACAAGCATGAGTCTGTATCTATCCTAAATATATTTTTACGTTAAATCTCATATATTATTAGTTTCTCAAAGAAATTATGAATAAATTAAAATATTTCTATAAATTAAAAAAGTATAACGATTGGAAACCCAAATATTTAAGTTTTCCAACAAAATCAACTTGCACTTAGCTTAACATGCATATTATTAATTTATTTTCATGAGATTACTTGATCACTAATTGGGACATTCACCTCATGTGATCAAGTAATAGATACTGCAGACGAGGAAATCTCTATAAGAAAACCAGAATATGCAGCATATCAATACTGATGTGCAGTGGGAGAAAAGAGGAAGTTTTACAACAAATTTAACACAGCCTAGATAAGAAAAAAATATGCAATTTTATTGTACAGAAATAAGATATTTACTAATATGAGGTAACTTATATAGAAGTACGAAGAAAGACTAACGGATGTAATCGTTCAACGTTGAGCCTTTCACAGTCGCTGGGTCATCTCTTCTTTCAAGTCTTAGTTCTTCCTTAGTTTAAGTGTGATCAAATAACTCTTCTTCTGTCTTTACAGCAACCACACTGATTGCTTGCAGTTTGCGACACTTTTTTTCCTTACTCCTCTCATAATCGTAAAAATAGACACTCGTAGGAATTTGCTTTGAACTTTCGAGAGAATTGCGAGTACCTCTCAAGGCTTCGTATCAACGCGACGTTTAAGGGGGGGAAAAAAAAAAAGAAAAAATAAAAACGACAACGAATCCCGTCTCACATGTAAAACTTCTTTACAAAACAAAATCGTGATCTCGGGATCGTGAATAAACGCGTCTGCCATGGATGTAGACAACTTACCATCTTCGGGTGTTGCCTCTGCCCGTACAACGCGTGTGATCCCGTCTGTATATCGACGTATTAACATGTACGATGATAAAATGACGATCACCTGCAAGTTGGAAAGCAAAGGCATTTGCTTGAAGAGGATTATTACAGCTAACTGCTATTATGTATGTAAATGTCAACAATGATCCAGATGGCGAGTAGATTTATGTTAAAACGAAATTTTATGCGATCATCATCGACATTTCATACAAATATGTATGCACATTCGCGCACACTTGGTTTCAATATGTCTCAGATACTTTTTCCTCGAGTTTGCAGTTTGGGACACAGCTGATGTCTCAATGAGAAAACTTGTTTTCGACAAATTTCTACAAATTGAGTTCTCTCATTGGACCATTTTATTCCGTTCCAAAATGTATCGAGGAACAAATATGTCCAAACCGTGTCGGAACCAAGTGTGTACGTGTCACTTTGAAATTTAATTTTAATTTAATTTTAGTTTGTATCTTTTAGTGAGTTTATCTCCCGAGTGTGTGAGCGCGACCCACGTTTGACGTTGAGAAATCAGAACCACCTTACGTATGGCATGTTGAATATTTTCAGTAGTAATGTGTTATTTCATGTAGCACTCGTTGACTGATGGACAAACTGACAATCTTGGTCGTTGCAGATACCCATCAAATCGTAGGGGCACAGAATTCCGTTGGGGTTCGCAATCCTGGTTAAAAAAGTGAGAGAAACCACAAAAATTCTCAAAATTATTAGCTAGTCCACGCACAACGAACGATCGATTACTGCGACAAGCTTTACTTTCGAAAGAAGATGACCCACCTTGGTGTTTTTAAATGTGTCAATATCGAAACATAAGGCTTAATTGTCTTCGTTGCCGTTGCCGTTGCCGTTGCCGTTGCTGTTGCCGTCGTCGTCGTTATCGTCGTCGTCGTCGTTGTCGTCGTCGTTATCGTCGTCGTCATTGATGTACTCATCATCGTCGAGGGAGTCGTTTTCGTTGTTACTGTTGTCGTTGCCGTTGTCGCCGCCGTCATCGTCGCCGTCGTTGTCGTCGTCGTGGCGGTCGCTGTTGTCATCGGCAGCTGCGTTTCCTTTTTATCTCGTTGTTCATTTTCGGGGCATGGCGTAGAGCTTACTGGCGACAATCCTGAGTCTGAAGGTGTGGCAGACACAGGGATATCCACCCTACAAGTTCTTTTCGCACACTCGTTATTTCGTTCTACTGATATAGGAGTACTACTTAGCTTTGGTTCGGAGAGCAATCTGTCTTGGTCGGGCGAGTCTTGTTCGTCGCTACCAGACTTCGATATAGTCACCGAGGTTTGACTCTTTCTCGCTGGCGTTGCTTCGCTCGGAAGCGTTCGCAATATATCTACCGTTGGCGAGTTTTCGGTATCATTGCATTGCTCCAAACACGAGGAACTGTCGTTTTGCAAGTCTGCCACATCACAGCCCCTAGTCACGTTATATGTCGGCAGTGTTTGCAACGACGGATCTTCTTCTATGGTTTCTAATATGACGTTAGACAACTCCAACAGCGACGAAGTAGGAAGTGTGAAATTTTCGGAAGCATCGTTGGATGACTGTTTTTCCTTGGAGAACTGGCAAGTATGATCGGCGACTTCCTTTAGTTTATCATTCAACAGCTGATCTCCTGCCTCTGGTAGCCTGAAAGAGCAATCTTTATGATCGATGAAACAGTTTGAGAAAAAACATGTAACAATTTTTTCATTATTTTTCCTGTATCATTCCTAAACAATTTTTCAATCGTTATTATTACTATTATTATTATTATTATTATATACGTTAATTCTAGATCATTTCTATACTATTTCAATTCTAAATAATTTCTATATTATTCCTTCTATTCCCGGAAATTAATTTGTCTGTAAAAAATAATTAATCAAAATTACGCTGAGGTATTATATGTGGAATAAATGAGATATAAACGTCACATTTTTATAACTTTCACAGTTGCATACTTGTAGTTTTTCCCTAAGAGATGGTTGCCCAGAATTGTGCAAATTCTGGACAACTTGAAGCACTCGCATCGGCCGATATTGATCTCTTGGCGCGCCGCCGAGATCTTCGGACCCACGTTGTTGACACGATTATGCTGCTTCTCTAGCCTCTCCTCAGCTATCCTCAGCTGTTCCCTGAGTTTTTTCACCTCGATGGCTAGACTACTCTGCAAGTCTTTCTCCATATCCCACTGACGAAGGTTCCCTGACATATCCGCTAGGTGATCTAGAACGGTATAGCTGCAACACACGTGTAAACCGCAATTTGATAGTCGAGCTTCAAAAATGCTTTTCCACAAGAATTGAGTATTTTCTATGACAAGAATACAGAGTTTATAAGACGCGCGTCTTACAGAGAAAGATTTCTAAATCAATCTCATATGCTTGGGAAATTACTTCGAAAAGTAACTCAAGTTAACTGTATAGAAAAGATCACATGTCTCTCAAATACGTTTTTTATCTTAAGACATTTTATAAAGGATAAAATTTGCATCACTTTAAAGTAAATTTTACCGTCTCGTGACTAATTTGTTCTCGATGTCGGACAGGTGCTGCTGTTGCTCCGCTTTGGGAAGACGCGCGAGACATTCGAGTTCCGTTTTCAAGTCCCGTTTGAGCGTGTTCCACACGTCCTCTGTGTTATTCGTACCGTTGTCGCACGTGTTGGACTTGGGCAAAGTGTCGTTTCCATCGTTACGGCTGTTACCCGCCGAGGGCAACGACGACGCTGAAACATTACGATTCATTTCGCGCTCGCGCTCATACTGAGAACGCGACATCGTGGTTTCCATCGAGTCCACGAGTTCTTGCCTGCTCGTGTTAGATATCAACACGGTGGTCGCGTTAGAGAAGTCGCTGTCGTTGTTGTTGCTTCTATCAGTCGTTCTTTCATCTGAACCTTCCATGACGACGCTGCTATTCTTGGTAGGTTCGTCGCTCTGGCTGCTGCTGACCGAGTCGCGCCATACGCTCGGTGACTTGTCGTTTATGGTGACCACCCGCTCGGTCGTATCCTGCTTCAATTGCACCTGAACGTATTTCCGATTGATCTCGTCTCTGGATAACGTCCTCAGAGCGGGTCGAAACTGTTGCTTGTCGCTCATGGACTGGAGTTTGTTCGTCAAAATGTTCGAATTCTCGGCCGTTTTACTTTCCATAGTGGCATGAGCAGACGTGATGTTGTTGGTAATCCGGATGCTGAGATTCGGCACTGTTTTCTTCATCGTTTTAGTCTGCAGTTGCATTGAATTCGTCTGCTTAGAGATATTCGCTGAAACAACTTTGATGGAAGACGCACGGGATGTATTCAACACAGTCGTGTTCTTCGCCGCATCAGCGGCCTTCACTTTAACTTGCGTCGACGATAGTTGAGGACTCTTCGCCGGCTCCTTCGACTCAGTCTGATTCTGTCTCACGGACATGTTCGACGCGCTCTTGGGCACTTTACTACCGCTATTACAGTTATTACTCTTGTTAATCACTTTCCTCTGCTCTTTCAACTTCTCGCGCTCCAAGATCTGCTGTTTCAAACGACGATACTCCTCCTGCTTCGATGCCGATAGATGCCTCACGGCCTGTAAAAGACAAAACAAGAGAGAAAGAGGAAAACAGTGTTTCAAGAGGAAAGTGTTGAAAAAAGTAAGTAATGATGAACAGATAGATGTGTGTGAATTTGGCAACAACTTTGGCAACCATTTGATTTGTGAAAGTTTTTATGAGTAAGTATACGTTACAGTATACGTTACATGATAAATGACATTCATTTTTATCACATAGAATCACAAAACAAAAAAAGAAATTATTGGAAAGTACTTAAAACAATAATACAAAACGTAATACACAATGTAACACACAAATGCAAAATGTAACACAAATCTGATGTAAATTTTAGTAAATTTGTCGTTTACATAGATTAATGATTATATATATACATAGATGATGATAGAGAATGATTAATTCAACACAGTAAATTTGTCCGAGAGGTGCAATTATAAAAAAGTTTCATCAAGTTTCTATCATCGATTGTCTCAGGCAAGGAGAACCACGAAAGTTAACCGAGGGCAGCATTTCTTCAAATCAAGAGCCTTCTTCAAGAGCCTCAAACATTACAATGTATCATCTTACCAATGGCGTGTGCATGTTGGTCGAATTCTTCTCCGCATCCGACTGTGTCGAAGCGGGCTTAGAAGAAGACGTGGCGGTCTCGTGTTCCTTGCGCACATCGCGCAGAAACTTGTGCAGGCTCTTCTCGAAGTCGCTATTAGACTCCTGTGCATTGGTGCTGGTGGCCGTCGACGTGACGGCCGCGGCGTGCCCATTATTCCCTTTCTCGGTTTCGGCCTCGGGCTCGCTGTCAGTGTCCGAGCCCAGATTGATCACAATTCGCTGCGTCTCGCTCGCGTATGCCATTGACAACTTCTTCGCTGGCCCGACGTTGGCCGACCACACGTTGTCTTGGTGGGAGGCCGACGGCAGCGGCAGCAGCTGCGGCGGTGGCGGTGGCAGCGACGGCAGCGACGGCAATGACGGCAGCGGCGGCGGTGGCGGCGGCGGTGGCGGCGGCGGCGGTGATGGCTGTTGCTGCTGCTGCTTCGCCTTGTTGTTGAAGACTTTCACCTCGAGCTTCTGCGGATTCAGTCTTCGCTGCACTATAGTGTTCTGGTACTTCTTCGCGTTATTCACCATCTTCGTACTGGCCGGCACAGGTGCTTTCTTCACTACCTTCTTCGGGGGCCCCTTTGTCCCCACAGCTACGGTGCTGAGTCTCTTTTTGGTACCGTTGACAGACACATTGGTCACTGGAGTAATAACTGTCGTGACAACTGGTGAGGTATTCGCCGATACTGTCTGCACGGGTGCAGGTTTACTCGTTGTGCTGCTGGTCGTCGTAACCGACGTCGCAGGAGAGGTGTTGCTGGTCACATCTGATGGCTTCGTCGTGCGCTTCGTTATGGATGCCAAGAGAATCGCTCGTAGTTCGTTCTCGTCTTCATCCATACTCACTCTCCTGTTAGCATCCTTCGCCGCCATTTCGGCTACTTGATCATTGGTAGTGCTGTTGTCGGAGGGGTTCGCTGATGGATCATTAGACTCAGCACTCTTCTCTTGTGGGCATTCGTCTGAGCTCGGTAACGTCTGCTGCTGCTGCTGCTGCTGCTGCTTCGGTTCCTCCTTGTCTTCCGAGGACGCAGGCTGGTCACTTCTCTCGACGCTGTCTGTGCTCTCTGTCCTGATGTCTTTGTCGTTCAAGTCAGGTAACGAGGGTGGAGCCTCCGTGCCTACCGTGTCCCTTTCGCTCTTCGTGAGACTTTTTTGTGCTTTATCGTTGTCTTCCTTCTTCTTAAACTCTAATTCGACGGTCGTATTTACATTCTTATTTACATTGTCTGTACACGGGCTAGTCTCCTTCTCCGCGGACGGTTTCTCCATGTCAGCACTCATATGGCTGGTCTTCCTGGCGCGCTTCCGCTTCTTGGCCGTCAAAACGCCGTCACTCTTTGATGCGTCACTCTTAGACGCGTCGTTTTTGGACGCATCGTTCTTGGACGCATCGTTCTTGGACGCGTCGTTCTCGAGACCCTCGCTCGTGGGCTCGTCGAATATAACGGGAGCCGTGAGCACGCGGTAGCGCTTCTTCGGAGATGGCATCAGCTTGATCGGCTTGAAGGCGGTGCTCTTCTTTGTGTCGCAGATATCCGTAATGAGGACCACTGGCTGCATCTTCGCGCTCCTGAAGCTCGGTTCCGCGTGCGCCGCGGAATCGTGCTTCGCGGCCGTCGATAGCAACGGCTGCTGCAGCTGCTTGTTCGACTTCAGGATCGGCACCGGCACCAGCGTCTTGTTGATCAACGTGGGGATCTTATTAACACCTTTGCTGACATTCGGCACAGCCTGCATGTACGCAGGCTCTCTGGTCGCGTCGGCTTGGCAGTACATCTGCATCACGTCGCCTGGAATGTAACTCGCGCTCGACGTCAGCAGATCTCCGTTTGCGACGGGGAAAACCTCGTGACTCTTGTTCTCGTGGGAATCGGCAGATGCCTCGTAAGAGTCAGGAACGCCAATCGTCGAGGCACTGTTATTGTTCAGCGAGCTCGTTCCTAAAGCAGACACTGATGAGACTTTTACAAAAGGACATCCTAAGGCATACCCGGCAGCAATATTGTAAGCGCATTCATTACCTTGTTGCACGTTGCACTGTTGCTGTTCCGGGTACGTGGAGACCACGTTCGCGAGTGGATCATCGCTGGCAGGTGGCTCCACAATGTTCTGCAGCTGCGGGCTCACGTGCAGGGGATTCAGCAGCATGAAAGGCGTCGGAAAATCGATCACTGGAAGAGCCTGCGACGCCATGTCGACCTCCGGGTACGTGGGAGCGATCGGATAACCGCGCGGCTTGTCGCTGGCAACGACGTCGAATGTCTGCTGGCAACAAGTGCCATCTATCAGGTCGCACTCGATGCAGTCGCCGTGCAGGGTCCTGAAGTAGCCGGGCAACTCTTTCTGACCGTCGTTCGAGTCGACGTGGAAGCTCTCGTCGCTGTTGCTCGGCAACGGCGAAGACGCGAAGCAATTCGGGGAAGGCGTGCAGTAAGAGAGGTAAACGTCGTCCAACGTTGGCAAGACCTCACCGGCAGCCAGTGACCCTTGCTCATCGCCCGTTGTCAAGACCGGGCTGTTGTTAAAATTGATGAACGACACGTCCGACGGCTCGATGCCAAGCAGTTCCGTGTCGATGGGCATGTCGGCGGTGATCTTGTCAGTTGGAGAATACGGCAGCTTCTCCTTCTCTCTCTCGACATCTGTATCCAGCTCCATGTCCTCAATATGATTGCTGTCAGCCAACGGCGGCACCGGTGGGGTGCACGGTGGCGAAGCGAACCGCAGCAGCTCGTCACTGGGCATGGGGATATTCTCGAGGAAGCTCTGGGTGAACGGACTCTCGCTGCGGTTCGACACCGCTTTCTTCTTGCCCTTCGTCCGTACGCCTCGTTGCACCCTGTTCTGGTGTTTCTTCATGACCGCTGAGCGCAACGCGATCATCCGCAATTGCAGGTCCTCTTCGTCCTGATCATCGTTCATTTTCGCCGCCGCCGCCGCCGCTGCCGCTGCTGCCGCCGCCGCCGCCGTCATCGTCGTCACCGATGTCGACGCTTTTCCCTCCGATTCCACTTCGGCTGGATGCTCCGGCTTGTGGGGCTTGTTTTTCTGCTTCGTCTCCAGTGCCTTCTGTCGCAGCAGCGCCAGGTCGTCTTCCTCATCGACGACATTTCTGGCCGTAGCCGAGAATTTCTCTTTCAAGTCCTGCGCCATGTTGTCGTTGCTGTCCGGCACCTTCTTCATCATGTTGCTCAGTTTTTCCTTCAACGATGCCGGATGGTGCTCCTTGTTCCGCCGGACGCTCGACTCCGGCGTGCTCGTGCCCACGGAATCCAAGTGCTTCACCTTCTTTAACAACCTCGTTACCTCGCCGCCATGTCGTTCACTGTGATGGGAAGTGGACGACAGCGGCGGCGACGCGTTCAAGCGCGTCGACGGCTTCCTGGAGCTCGTCCGCACGGATGACACCGAGTGCAACGAGTTCGACCGTTTGGGCGACCTGAGCCTTCGCGGCGACTTCTTCGGAGATCGAGCATGGTTCAGAGGAGAGCGGAACGAGCTATGAAACGACGGGTGCGTGTTTACCGGTGACTTTTGCCTTCGGAGCGGTGATCTTGCGATCACACGCGTCCTGCTGCTTCGGTGGACCGGACTCGATTTCTTGTAACGCGTTCTGCTGCTTTTGTTAACCTCATTGGAAGTTTCCCTGGAGTCGCTTTTCAGCGTGTTGAAGCAATCCGTTATGGGTAGATCGGCGGAGGCCGGTGAGATCAAGTCGTCGACGGTGAGGTACTCGTATTCCTTTTTCTTCTTCTTCTTCTTGACCTTGATCTTCGATTGTGTTACTAGCTGTTTAGACATATCCGTGAGACCCACAATTTCCATGTCGCTGTCGCTCGAGATAGGCACCAGGTCATCGTTCTTTTCTTGTAACGTCGACGTGTGCTTCATCGTCGCGCAATCAGCTTCGTTCACATGATGACGGTTCTCCTTTCCTTTGACTGGATCTTGAGAAGAAGATGAATTTCTGCTTTATTAGACCGATATAACGATGTCTGATAACTTAAGCACAACGCTACAATTAACAATACAGAAAATATATTCGAAATAACAATCATAGTATTTGTGATGATCATATTACTTGTATTTTAACATCGCCACACTGATTTCTTTTTCTGATTAAAATTCATACTTCAAATAAACCAAATCAATTGGATAACTAAAGACATGGTAAGTGTGGTTATTGATGCATATGCCTGTTAGCTCATATCGCTGCTTCACTATTGATCATCAATTAAATTTGTTATACGCAATGGGTTATGTCTTATATGAGTACATGAGATGTAACAGTTTTTCAATGCCAGTTAATAGTTCTTTCTGCTTAGTGCCCAGCTACTTGAAAAGTATATTACACATTTTGAAATCTCATGGCATGAAGTAAAAATCTGGTGTTTTAAGATTTAAAAATAAATATTTGTATAGTGATGTATATATACATATACATACATATCTATAAATATATATATATACATACATATATATATATATATATACATACATATATATATATATATATGTACATACATATATATATATATATACATATACATACATACATACACACACCGACGCACACACACACACACACACAACACAAGCCTGAGTGAGTCTTTACCTCTTCTGCTCTGGTTCTTCGAGTAGCGCATCTTGGAGGCGGTGCACCAGGATGCACAATCTCCCCATGTTGATTTGCACACAGAACATGTTCGTCGTGTCCTGACAACGTAGCCGCAGGTCAAATGACCTATCCCTCCCTCCTCGGATGAACTGACATCCTCCAAGGAAATCTCGCCTTCTTCCTTCTCGTCAAGGATGTCGATAGTCTCCGTACAACCGCTTGACAAATCGCTCGCCATTGTTAATACGAACTTACCCACAATGACGACGGCTGAACATTTGATCACGCATAGGACGGCTCAATAAACCTAACGTCGATCGATCATTGACATTACGAACAAACGTGAGTCATTCGTATAGACGAAGTTAGGTTAGAAAATTGGAGGACTATCGAGGCATTCACGAGACTGATCAAGAGATGCAAGATATTATGAAGAAAAGAGTTCTCAATACAAACGTCCAATGTTTCGACGAGATACGTCGTTGAAAATGCAACTATCGTTGATTGACACTGCTGAAGTAAATTTATCAACGTTTCGTCGTATATATCGCCGTCGATCGAAGGTCTGTAACCGAACTTTTTTTTTAACTGCACTATGTTGCACCTTCTGCACCTAAAATGGCTGTGACCAGCCAGTAGAGGTCAGGATCAACGTAAAGTTAATGATATACGATGCTTGGTTTGTAGTGGATCTAGTAAAATATAGTAACATATTAAAAATGCACCAATTAGAACTTAACATTTCTAGTATGTAACTAAAATTTCCACCAAGCAACCAGCATTTCGATCGGTTTTAAGGCCACTTTTAGGGTCATTTTATTCATTGAAATGGTAAAACTGATCTTTACGAGCGCGAAAAAATAAAAAACTTTTTAATTTAAAAATAATATTCTCTTGAGTGCATTTAGTTTTTCAAGTAGTACCTTGTGTGCACACAATCAATGCATTAATTACGTTTAAAAGTATTACAATATATAATAGAAGTAAATTGTACTTTTAATAAAGAACATACAAATATAAAACTAATATAAAGTAATACAATAAAATTCTTGATTATATATATATATCAAAACTTTATAAATATATCTTATAAACAAAACTTCTCTTATCAATTACACAGCGATGCACGAGATTTAAACTAATTTAATTGACATCGTAGCAAAGTATTTATCACGCATGATTTTGTGGTAAGTGTAACAAAGCTATTTATTAAATTTTCTCTTCTGGTCGCTTCTTTTTAGAACGTTAAAGTCGGGCATGACGTGATTATCGAGTAAATCTTTATCGAACACGAATCGCGCCAACGCTTGATCCCCAATACCAGAAAGCACAGATACGAATTTTCCCATTTCATTTACGCTCTTCATTTGATCGTTCATGAAGCCGGTGACGATGAAGTCACTGGCGTTTAAATCACCATGTTTCACCGCTACAGTGTTCACTGCGACCAATTTTTTACTGACATCAATCTCCAGTTGTAAAGCTGTCTAAAAAAAATACGCACACACATCATTATCATCATATTTATGTTGCTCAGACGTCTTTAAAAGTTCCGAAGACGATTTTTGAGTACGTGTATGTTGCCTAGGTGAGATTTACTTTAAAAGCATGCAATGGACATTTCCAATCCTGATCGTCCGGTGGCGATACAGCGCACAGATGCACCTTGCCTCCGCGCATTTTCACGTAGTTGCAAAATCTCTGAGCGTGCTCGTGCTCTTCGTGATGCATCTGCATGAAGAACGACTCACATCCTGGCAGAGCGACATCCACGCGGCCAAAATACGCAGCCTAAACATGATGAAATACAAACAAAAAATCTGATTATGTTGTAATATAAACACCATCGGAAAAGAACCATGTGATCAATTATAATATTATTTTAATTATTCAATAATTGATAGAATTAAATCTGTTACAGTTACTTCGAGTATGTGCGACTATTTACCATGGACAAATAATAATAAAATGCCTTCAGCTCAACATTAATCTGGTCATTCATTGCGGCTTCGGTTTCACTATGAAAATCAAATCCACTTCTTTTCTCGCTCGGCCATTTCATTGGTTTATGGATACAAAAATCCGTCTGACCGCATTCATTATTCTTTGAAGTCTTGCATGCTGAATCGGATATTCTTTGCCAACTATATAATTATATTACAGAAAATCAATTAAAATGAATTTGATGATAAAGATGAGTAGAAATTAAGGATTTGGCAACACAAATTCATAATTTAGAATCAGTTTATAAAAGAATAAAGAACTTCTGAAAAGTATAATGTCGTTAATATTAATTAACAGATAAATACTTTCCTCAGTAATAATACACAATTTAGCATTAATTATTAAAACTGAATTAAAAATGCAATTACTTGACACGATATAACCATCGATTTTGAAGAGAATATATATTATTGGAAAGACTACAAAATTTATACGAATGTTTACACAACAGCTGTAACATTTTTCAATGACGTAATTTATTAATTAATCTTCGTTTTTTTCAACAAATAAACTGATTAATGTTATTCGTCTACAAGTTGCGATTTTACTCATGTCATTATTGATTAACAAATCACTAATAAATAAATCAATATAAAAATTAAAATATTGATATACTTTAGTAGAATTATATTAGAAAAATTGCTTTTCACAAGGAATTTAGTAAAATATTTTTTTTTCAATTTAACTCGTTTAGCATTTTAAGCATTTGTTTGTATTTACGGTTAATATATATTGTAAGAAGTTAACATCAATTTCAAATAAATGAAAAACAATCTGTATACTATGTTCTAAAACAGTTTTATATAGCAAAGAAAAACAATTTAAAAAATTTACAATTTTATCTTAAAGATTGTTAATTTATCTATGGTTTAAAATATAATATATTGTCAAGTCAAATTACATTTTAAATAAAATTAAGAGTCTAATATTTATCACATATTATATTGTAAAATAATTACAAGCTGTTTTCTTTCATTTATTGTCTCAATCAATATTTCTCTTTAAAGCAGGAAAAGATATTAGTTATTATTCAACATCTTCCAAATGAATTTTTAATATATTTAAATATTACAAACAGCTTATATAAAGTATTTTAATATAAATTCCTACAAGATAATTACAACAAATCATAAATATGTCATTGATTTATTGAGTTAGGAGAAGGATCCGATAATTGATGTGTGTTATTTGAAGATACTGTGTTGATAGAACTGAGAGGTTCTTGCTTTATATTTATACTGGGATTGGCGTTTAGATTCGTGTTGATCACAGTTGTAGATGTAGGATTTTGCATGTCCAATTGGCTCTGGGCTATATCCTGCAGAGCAGCTTGAATTCGCTGAAGCAACGCTTCACCTTGCCTCACTATCTCTTCTAGCTGCTCACCAGCTTCTTGATTTTCTTGCTCAAGCCGATTAAGACTGGCTACTTGAAGTTCTTGAGATGACTCTTCACTTGGCAGACTCTCTATTAATGTATCTATGTCTTTTGCACACCTTGAAATCAGAGTCGCGAATAAAGCAGCATAATCTAGGACAAACAAGTTACAATTTATAATTAATTATACTTAACATGAGTTAAAATAATTATACTTAAAATGAAAAGTCCTATGACTAATGTTTATTACCTTCTTGAGTCTGATGTGGCTGTGGTGTGCCAATACGATCAAAGCCAGGGAACTTACTAGGTGTAGAATATTGTTGTAGAATCCCGACGCTATTGCAAAAGTGTTCTGCTTGCTGAAAATACCAACATGGGCTTGATGAAGTTAAAGTACTAATGGGTAAGAGATAGAAATGGAAAATTATACTACCTGATTTATAGTATCTTGTAATTGTGTTAAACGATCTGCCATGATGCTAATTGATTTTACTAATTCAAAATATTTTGTATAGTCTTTCGCTGACAATAACCAATAAATAAAATAGGAAACATTCACTATTCATATATATAAGGAATTTCAGTATTTCTTTAATAGAGATTCAACAAGGTTTATCAAAAATTCACTTTTCTTGGATGATAACTTGCCTCGACACCAAGTATACAAAATTCTTGTTCATTGAACAAGCAACGAAGAAAGCGTTTCGAAGGATTATCGACCAGTGTCGGCGAGATCCTCTATATAACCTGTGTATTCTTTGTCATGTATACCCATAGATTTCTATACTAAACCTAGATTGTTAACTTCGTCAAAAGAGATGAAACTGGCTAGATTTATCATTTACACAAAGTAAAGTGATTGGTTGGATCTAGTAATTCACCAAATAATACTTTGCATCGGTTGGTTATGTCCAATCGTGCTGTGTCGAATTGGATGTCCCCCCCCGTGTCGGAGAGACTTCCGGACGAAAAACTTTCATTCCCATTCTTACCAACCTAGGTTAAACTAACCGGCTAGTTAATCCAACGGAATTGACCAATCGCGTTTGTCGTTAATTAGAATTGACAAACGTGATTGGTTAATTCCGATGAAATAACTAGCCGATTAAATCAACCACAGTTGGTAGAAACGGGCATCAGTAGGATACGATATAAGACAACGTATACGAATTAAGAACATAGAAATTATATAATTTTAATTTCGCTCCCTCTCCTCTTTGTCGATGAATTGTTTAACATTCAATGTTTAATGGATTCAATATTAAACATAGAAGTATAGGACAATATAAAACCATTAACAGTGTGATGTTTCACACACATTTACCACCCTCTCCTCCCCATATAAATAGAACCGCTGGACCAAAGGAACTTCACTAAATAATGTAAGAATGCATCTTAACATAATTTAGCATTTTTCCATTGCATTTTTATAAAATGTTTACATGGGGAAATATTTACAAAAATATGAGTAGGGCGCGATGAAGTGTAGAAGACAGAAAAACGGATGAACAATGTAGTCTCGTGAACAATTCAGTTGAGAGTACCCCGGCATTGTGGAGCTCCGCAAAGGCAAGGGATCTTATCATCCTCCAACGGGAACTTGTAGTCGTAAGTAATTTCTTCGTTAACTCCTATTGGTTGTTTGCTGTAGATTACAATCTTCTTTTGGCTTTCGATCGTAATCACTTTCGCGTAACAATTCGGCTAGAAGAAACAAAAGAATTATTAAGTACAACAAAGTAAGTTCGCTCCACCTTAGTTCATTAGCATCGACCAGAACTAACTCGGCACGTAAATAAGATTTTTAGTGATTCATTGAACTGAATCCTAACATACGTAAGATCTTCAATTCTTTGGCCCAAAGAAGTATTCATTACATCGCACTGCATTATCAAGATCGAGGAAAAGAAAAACAAGAATTCCAAATGACTCACATTGCAACTGTGATTTATAAATCGCGCCAAATTGCCGCACTTCGTCGCATCGATAATCGTATCTAAATCGATACGGAAGAGGTAAGAGCTACCGATGCCGGTAGCTTCGTATTGGGATTCTCGCAAATCAGCCACAACTGGTCTGACCATCTGTCCGACGTATTCTATCACCATCTCATCCGCCGCGATCGGTTCCATGGCGAACAAGCCCCAATCGTGAATACCGGACTTGGCGAACTTCAACTGTTTCTTGCGGAACTGAAATAGTAAGACGTGCAGATATTAGAGCGCGCATATATCACTCGAGGATCCAACGAAGATCCTACGATCCACTCTAATTGTTACGGTTGTGCCTTATGGGATCATACCTTCAACTGATTAAACTTAAGGAGATCACTATCCGTATCAATTCCGAAAGCAGTCAACAACCGACGCTGATTGCTTCGTGCCTCACGCGACAAGGCCTGCATCTTGCCGGTCAACGCTTTAGAATTACTCTTTGGACCGTTCATTACGCCATCTCCCCCGTTGTAAGAACCTCCGCTGTCCTCCACGTCATTACTACGTTGTATACTTTGAGCATAATGATGCTGTAACAACAGTAATCGATTACTCACGAGAGATTCTTGCAGAGATCGATGTAAAAGGAAAAAAAAGAAGAATGTCGATGTTATATCAACGTCAAAAATTCAAACGAATATTTATATTTAATTACTTTGTGTTTCGCCTTCTCCCTGACGTCGACCTTGTAATATCCTTCGGTCCTAGCGCTTCCGCTCGCGTGCAACCGCAGCTCGTCTCGTTTTCTCCTCTTCGCGGGGCTCGGTATGTCGGTTGGGGGATGATCGACCCAATGAGTGTCGTTCAACCAGTAACCTTGGTTGTCGTCCGCCAACAGGGCCTCGTAACTTCTCCTCAAGTACTCCACGTCCTCCATATCTATTCCTCTAGTCAAGAACTCGTACAAAATAGCCATTTCTGACATGATATCGCGCTCCTTGTACATGACCAGGGACTGTGGTACTTGTTTAGGCAACTTTTCATACACGAAATCATTCTGGATATTCTCCTTCTCGCCTTCACGATTCGGATGGCTGTTACTATATTGCAGTTTAGTATACTTGTTGGACTTTCGTTTATCCACTTTGTGTATTTTCTCTTTCTCCTTGTCCTTGTCCTTCTCCTTAGTTTTCGTTAATTTCACGATCTTCGTATGTTTCACCTTCACAGAAGCCGCGGGCACACGTATCACCGGTTCTGTGCGTTCTGGAAGCGCTGGTGGCAACGAATACGAGTGTTCCATATACACCTGCGAGGCCTGTGAGCCAGGAGAACTCGGTGTTCGCTGTCCGTTTAATCGAAGATCCGCTTCCGCTTGGTACCTGTAGGTAATTGTCGAAAAGTTATTTCTTTGGCCATTGGCAATGTCTGTAATTACAAACGCGTACGGGAAATCCAGTTAAACAGTCCGTTTAATAATTAATTAAAGAAAAGAATAATTTAGTAATTTAGGTGCACACATACTTGACGAATACTAAAGATTGCTTTTCTTGAAAACGAAAGCTCATGTATAAACAAATTGTGTGCTATATTTTCTACTTATTTTTCCTTTTTTATGTAGAATCACCCCCTTTTCGGTCGCTTTGTCAATTAACTAATGCTATAGTAATATAGTATATTACATACTATAATATATAATACAATAATAAAAAAAAGGGGAAAGCATACTAATTAGGAGGAACATCTTCTTGCATAAAGTAAATTTCTACTACTAACCTTAATCTTCTAATTTCCAAGCTCTCCTCCTCCGAATCGGTCGTTGGGAATTCACTGAACATCTCGATCTTCTCAGACTCCTTCAGAATCGGTTCGTTATCGATATACTTGGCCGACATCGTCTGCAGCGCTCTGATGATGTTAGGCTGTATAGGTCCCGGGCTTTCGTGACGTATGATGTTATCCCGTCCGGCCAGCGTCATCAAGGCCTCTGCGGCCGAGTTCTCCATGTCTGCTTGAATCTCATCCTTAACTGGGCTGATCGTCGGCATGGGTTTCACCTCTCTTTGCGGTTCACTCTCCTTCACGAATTTCGCCGTATCCTTCGTCTCCTTGTCCACATTCCTAGACACCTCGAATGGCTTCTCCTCCGGAATGGACGACTTCTCGGAAATTATTTCTTCTTCCTTGATCTTCTCGTGCCTCACGGGAGAAGTTAACGGGCTGCTCTCGTCGTTCTCAATCTGAGGGAACTCGCTCGAATTTTGATCTTTGATTTTGATATCCGGCACAGGAGTCTCCCTACCACTCGGCGTAGGACAATCTAATGACCTCTGAATCGCCAGCTCGGTCAATATATCAGGATCTTCACTATTGCAAGCCAAAGGTCTATGATCGGATAAGCGACTATCGGTGTCTTCTTGCTGAAAGCAAAAATTGTGCTTTATTGTACCACTTACCACACAAATCTTTCTGCACAAAAGAAAATTATATTGTAAAAAAAAAAATTTACTGTTAAAAAAAGAAAAAACAATTACACGTGATATTGATAATGCTTATAAATACAAATACACACGAAGATAGTCCAGAATATAGCGAGTCCAGTTAAACAATCTTTACTTCTTTCAAGTAATTGTTATTTTCATCAAGGAATATTTTCTTGAAAATAGTCTTGAAATTACAAATTTTAGAAAACTCATCAAATATTCAAGAAAGCTTATTCTATTTTCAAGAATATTATAAAATTTATATCCCCTCTCTTTCTTTGTTAGGAAAAAGAGCCTGTCAATTAGTTTTAATATTTTTTTATTGAAGCACTAAATTTCTAGGAATATATTTTAAGTAAATCTGATGCTTATGATAAACTTGACAGATTGGCAGGTATATAAATTTATGAAATACTTGAAAGAAGTCGCATTTACTTGAACGCAATATGTATTTTTCAGTGTGCGCTCGGTTTACGCTCTCGATACATACCTCATCTTCGAAGTTTCCAGATGCTTCTTCATCGGAACTCTCGCTAGAGCTACTGGAAGATTCACTGAAACTAAGTTCCTCGCTACTGCTCTCCGCGGACGAGGATGACGAAGAAGACGAGGAAGAAACGCTCGTAGCCATTGGTATCTTCGCTTTCTGCGTCGACGGCGTGTCCAAGTCGCTGTCACTTTCGATCGCTTCCATATCACCATGAACCGATTGTCGACTGTCTTCATCCTCCTGCGGTAATGGGCTTGGAGCTTTGATCTTGCGCTGTAAAGAAGTCACGGCAGTAATCACATGTAACACGAATTATCGAGTCAGTCTAAACGTTCGACTCGATTTCTGAGTCACAAATTCGACTTTATTGCGGTCAATCACGACAAATTATTCATCAATCAAATAATGATTATGCAAATGATATCTTTATGATACATAATACATCAACAATGTCAGCACCACTGTCTATGTTGATACATAACGTACGTCAATGTATGTGACGTCATTTATTAAAAGTCAAAACAAACATTCCGACTAATTGAAAATAAGAAAATGTAAGATATGTTTAATGTCTTACCCTGAATGAAGGCATCTTTGGCATGCTAGCTCTAATACCCAAGCCAAATCCATCGTAATTGAGCCCCAACGGCGTTGCTTGCTCCAACAACGACGACAATCCTTGTGGTTTTGTAACATCCTCCTTAGTCGTGTTATTGACAACAACAACAGCCTCGCCGGTACCCTGAGCCTGACTGCTCTTTTCCGATTTTTTTTCGTCCCACCACACTTCGAACAACTTGAACGCCGTGTTCTCGATCATCTTCTTATTGAAATCTTTCTTTAGGATCTGCTTCAGCTCGTTCACAACCATGCTCATAACTCCATTGATCGTAGGACCCTGTGAATAAAAATATCATAAACATACAATCACTGCAATAACGCGGAGTAGCACAGCGTGAAACACATTAACTTTTGTTTAATCCCTAAGAAATACCTTCGAGATAAAAGAAAAATATGAAGATCAAATCCGTATATAAAAGCATCGCGATAAATCTTGCCTGTGGATCCTTCGTGATATTATAATTCGCCATGGCATGCAACCGCGATTGAAAGGAGGAATAATAATTCGCCCCCTGATTGCCGACTGTCGTTGAGAAGGACGCAGTGGTAGGTTGATAGTGGCTTTGCAAGTAGGTCGTCCCATATGGATAAGGATACTGCGTCGGTCGCGGCCAATTGTATACGTCATTCGAAGGATAGTGTGTCAAGTGTCCAGAGTAAGTTGTCGGATATAGCTGATTCGTAGGTTCAGTTTGTGCTATCACCTGTTGAAGAAAAATGTTCATGTGAATGTTGTGAAAGCAGAAGCGCATGACGTGAATGACGAGTAACTTTTGTTTTGCGTCTGATGCACGACACGCGAGTGAACTCACTTCCTCGATCTTCTCATCGCCCGAGCTCAAAGGACTCAACGACATCCTGTCGTCATCAGGCGGTGGAGGTGGAGGTGGTTCCTTAGGCGGTTCTGGTTCATTTTCGTCGACTGCTGGACTGTAGCTACCTAACAATGCCTCGTCTTCACTGGAACTTATAACACTACCTAGATCCTCGTCTACAGAAAATTGACTAATGCTATTCTCATGAACTTTCCTCCGTTCCTTGTTTTTCTCTACCATCTTGTCAAAGTAAGATTTGTAAATTTCGCGTGACAGGAAAGGACTTGGAGTGTCCGATAGCATCTCACTGTCACCGCATTGCGATTTCTTATCGTCCTCTGAGTCGCTGCCGAATTGTAAAAAAGGTGGTGCCATTCCGCCGGCCTTGTCCTTTAGCAGCATGGCGATTCTCGTGTCTAAATCTAACGTCTTGCGAGTCTCATCGGGGGAATCGCGCGACGTGCTCTTCGGCGTGGCTTGATTCTCCTTCTCCTTCTTCGGGGTATGATGAGTGCTTTTAACATTGGAAGTTTTATTACTAATCGGTGTTACGTTAGAACTAGAATCGTCCAAGCCGGTCGTGTGTGGCTGGACAGACCAGACAGGAGCCGATGATGGATACCCCGTAGTCCCAGAGTTATTGCCCCACCATACGTTTGAGTTCTGTTGTATCGGCAAATTTTGCGACACATTCTGCGTCATGCTGGCCAAGTAGCTATTGGGAGGTTGATGATGAAAAGTACCATAGTAAAAGTCATAGTTCGTAGCTGGAGTAGAATTTTGAGAATAATTATTCGAATAATTCAGTTCACTGGGCGCCGTGCCGTAACCCAAATCACTACCCGTACTGCCGCTCGGTGTGGGATAATCCCTGTATTTGTTATACCTTGAATTTTCTACGTATGGCTCTCTGCTCTTATCTAAACTTAGAATAGATTTTTTATTACTTCTAAAATCGTCCCTCTCCTCAGGCAAAGCTTTCTCCACAGGAGTTTGATGTTTCTCTGGCTCAGGTTCAGGCTTTGCCGGCACCACTGCTGGCACCTCTTTCTCCACCTTCTTCTCTGGCTTCTTCTCCATGGTCAAATCATCAAACATCTTCTTGCACTCCTCCCCGAAGGGATCCAGAAAGACCCTCAATACTTTCCCCATCACAGATGTGTTATTCAATTTCTCTACACACGCCTTCGACACCTTGGTCGACTCGAACACTACTCTCGCTATACCAAGGTGTTTGTTGGTTATTGGATGATAATAAATAGTAAGCTCTTCTACAATTCCAAATTTCTGGACCATGTTTGTCAAGAATGTCTTATCGATATTGTCGTTTAAATGGCAAAATGTTACTTCGAGCGGAGGAGGTTCTCCGCAATAATTGGAATCGATTCTAAATCTAGGTACAGGTAGGTCAAGTTGCTCCAGTCGGGTCCAGATCCTCGTTAATTGCGACCTGGGATCGCGAGGCTGGACCTGTGGATACGTCGGGTCACCAGGTACCGTTCCATCGTATCTACATAATTTTGTAGCTCCCTTAACTAAAAAGGGGTCAACTAATAGCTTGTAATTTCTTTGCTTTTGAGTCACTTGTGGCACGGTTGTATCTTTCTGCGAATGCGTCACGTGACCATGGCTATGCTTCGAAGACTGTTGGCTTGAGTTCTGCGACGAGCTCTGAGAATTGCCATGTGAGTGGCGATGACGGTGTGAGTGCGCGTGCGAATGTCCATGTCCGTGACCATGCTTCTCCATGCCGTTCATTGCCTCCAAGCATCATCCATTCGTGTGAATTTCTGTCACAAACATTTAACCAGATCTTTAACTCGGAGATATATCGTTTATATCCTACAGCGGTTAGAAAAAGTGTTTTGTGCGTCGCTTAAAGATGTTACTCACATCCTCCCTGGTAAACAACAATTAAGAACGTTTATCAACACAACAACAAATACGGACCATGTACGTCGTCACAAAGTAAACTGCAAATCAACGTGACATAATAATCGCCGCACATCACTGTTTCTCACTTAAGGGTAAGCGACTTTAATTAGAAAAATAGAGTAGATTCGTTGTTGTCAGAGTTAGTCAGCGTGTTCGGCTCGATTATACGTCCTCTCGTGATTACATCAACGATAAATCGTGATTATGTATGAGCGAAGCGTGGGCAAGCGCGTTTCGATAACCACAAAATCCATCATGCTATTAGCGCGCGTGGCCTAGTCCCGAGGTTGCTCTACGAGGATACGCTCTTTTTCACTGCACGCGCACGGTACGCGCTGTAAAAGCAGAGACAACAATCGCGCGCCGTACCCAGACAACTTGCTCGCTGAGCCCCGTCCGCGAAAACGCATCCTCAACGGCCGAGGTAGAATGCGATGCACAGTCTTCGCGCTAGCGGATCGATACGATCGCCGCACAGCAGCCTTATCGATACGGCATCCTCAATCCTTACGCATTCGTAAGACACAACTTCTTTTCCCGGACTTACGGTCCAATCTTCGTCCGACTTCCTCCGACTTCGCTCTAACTACGTCGCTCGATCGCGCAAGCAGAGACTGTCGTCCTTCCTCAACAACACATAACCTCAAAAGCACTTTGCGATTTTTTTTAGGTTGGATTGTGAAAATGATCCGTGAAAAACATTCCCCGCGATCGGCTCCTCCATCCGTCCGTCGGTCCGTCGAGTGCACCGCCGATGTTTCCTCGATCGCGAGCTCCGTCGAACTCACGAGTCTTGATCTCGCTCCCCTTATTTCTTTCTTCCTCCTCTCTCTTTTTCTCTCTTCCTCTCTTTTTTTTTCTTTCTCTTTCTCTTTCTCTCTCTCTCTCTCTCTCTCTCGCTCGTTTTCTCTTTCGCTCTCTTCTCTTCCTCTAGAACCTTTAGACCCTTATTCAGTTACGCTGCGGTTTTTTTTTCTCCTAGTCCCCCCGAGTAACTCTTTTGCAACCTTCTGCGATAGTGCGCACAGCACGGCTGCGAATCGAGCGTCCTGCGAGTGATTGCGAGCTATCGAACCGATCGTTCTCTCTCTCTTCTCTCCTTCCCTCCCCCTCCCTCCCTCCCTCTCTCGCCCCTCAAGCGTCCTCGTCCCACTGAAGTTTACTACTTTCTGTCCGTCGACAGTAAGCGTACCTCTGCCGAGAAAGCGGAGAAGTGATGAGTCTCTTCGTAGTGTTGCGCCCGCGGACCCGAACACACGACATGGCATGCAAGGTGCTCTCTCTCTCTCTCTCTCGTTTCTTTTCCCTCCCCTCTCGTAGTGTACACATACACCTCCGAGCGTGCCTCGGTTCCACCACGCGCACGCGAGATGCACTTCGCGCAGACCCTCTTTCCATGAATTCGCAACTCTTCTACCGTCTACCTTCCACAATTATCCCTTCGAAGCATGAAACATCTTCGAATCACGGAAGAGACGAATTCCGGTCTCCCTCGCGAGTTGATATCGTCAAATGCGAAGTCTTTTTTTTTTTCTTTCTCTCTAACCCAGCAGTCTAAACTAGAAGCTGGCGTTCATCGACGACCACGTTGCCTCGCGCGACGCACAACACGCGATGCACGTTTGTGCACGCGCCTCTTGTGTCTCTCTCTCTCTCTCTCTCTCTCTATTGTGTCAAGCTACACTTTACGATGACATCGCGCAATACCGATCGATGGTCGATCACGGCGGCGGAGAATCGTGTCACGATCGGCCGATCGCGAACCCGTGAAATTTCTCTGCCGCTCGAACTCATTGGTCGACCTCATTATCATTCCGAAGGTTGCTGGTTATTACTGAGTCGTCTCTTCCCTCTCTCTTTCACTCATTGTAAATTCTCGAGATTAGATAATCGCCGCCTGGCCGTCGTCCAGATTTCGCGGCCGACTGTTCTCGATGGGACACCCAGAGACGAGGCACTCTCTTTCCTCGATCTCGCATCATCCGGAAACGAACGGACGAGCGAACGAGCGAGCGAACGAGCCACGGCCTTGTCCGTCGCGACGATGAGCGTCGTGCGTCGAGAGAATACCTGAGAGGATGCCGTGATACCGCTGGCATTGTAGCTGTGGCACATTACGCCGATACGTAGGACCTGCATAGGCAATTAAAATCGGACGGCGTGCGTAATTGCTAAAATATATGTATGCGACTCGTGACGGTCAGACGATCGACGACGACGGCATCGGTGTCGCGTCGCGATTGGCTCGGGCCTGATTCAGTAAGTGACGGCTCGGCGAATCACGACCGAGCGGAAAAATCTCGCGCGCGCGAAAAGATCGCGATGAGCGAAGAGATATAAATGGTCTGTTTCTCTCGCACGAACGTGCATGCGCGCGCATCGGATTCGAGTTTTGTCAGCGAGAACGTGCCTTCGATACGATTGCATCGCGAGCGATCGTGCATCGTCGAGTTTCTCTACTTTTGGAACTGCACTTTCTATACTTTGAGAATTTGCTCTAAGGCAGGAACGTGAATTCGATGATTTGAGCGGCTTTTGTGGCTTTTTGAACTTTGCTAAAGCCAGCGGCATACGGTGCTTGTTTTCGTACTGGGTTGCTTGCTGGATGAAAATACTGCGTTCTGATTGGTACTTTTCCGAAGATGGATGGAAATGTACCAATTAGAACGCAGTATTTTCATCCAGCAAGCAATCCAGCACGAAAACAAGCACCGTGTGCCGCTGGCTTAAAACATGTGAAACTTTTAACGTGATACTTTTCACCTTCAAAGCTGATAACGAAAGGAGGAGGAATTTTGGTGAAAGAAACTAGAAACTTTCCGTTAATTCACGCTTATATTATAACGTTAGATAACGTTGCGATAAGCGTATAGGATATTCTCATTTACGAAGCAGAGTTCAGTTTACGACACATGGATTTGTTTCTTTTGTTAGATCGCATTCGAGCTAGTTAATTAATCAATTACTAGAAATGCACCATACAAAACACTATATTTCTAGTATGTTACTGGATTGCATGCGTATCTAATACGAATAATCCCACTGTAATTATTTTTAGATTTTGGTTTTCATGACTATATGTGATTTTTTTTTTATAAAATTATTGTTAAAAGCGGTTTCTCTATTCAAGACATTAATTAATTAATCGTGTTTAGTGATTTCATACTTATATAAATTTTATACATATATGTGACCACACATATGCAGTCATATGTGTGTCGTTCCATTTTCGAATACACCCAACCAATTCAGCGCGCTTCATAGTACTCAGTCGGCGATTCTCCTGTTCATTTGTGGTTATCTTGCAGAGTTTGCCGAACAGTAATTCGGTGCTGGTTGATCTCCATACAGGAGAATCGTTAAAAGAACATGTCGTTTATACAGAATTTCTTCAAACGTCAGTTACCGGTAGTTAATGCCGAGGAGGAGGCAGAACAAGAATTGGTGGATCAACAGCAAGTGCTTCGCGTAAGTAATAATCATTACATAATATCTGGAAATATGACATTACAACTTGGTTTTAAGCAAAGTTGATTTAAAAATGACACTTCTGGGAGAGCAAAAAAGATCATAAGAATATATTGTATCTTTTCTTTCATTATATGTATATATTTCTTAATGAATGTACAAATAAAATTGAGACAAGCAAAAAGCTAAAGCTACTACAGGATGACAATTTTATCGCAACAATTTTTTTCTGCAGGATAAGTGCAGTAAGGAGGCAAAATGTCACAGCCTTCAAGAGAAACTGAATACATGCAATGACCGAGTAAATTCACGGTCCAATACAGAAGAAACTTGTCTAGAAGAGCTTATTGATTATGTAGAATGTGTAGATCACTGTGTCGCAAAAACTCTGTTCAGCAAACTCAAGTGATTGCATAGTACTCCCAGAGAGAAGCCAACTGTTGTCCACAATGTTATAGCTTAATTTCTCCCAAATCATTGTATATATACACACAATTCAATATTAGAAATAAAGAGTAAACCCAGATTTTGAGGATTACATCAACATATATATAATTTCTTCATCTGTATTTCAATTCTATAAACTAATTTTAACAAATCTTAACATGAACGATCATGTTGTATACAATAGAATACATAAAATATCAATGACATAGAATTACACACAGACTTCCGATTTCAGCATGAACTGCTTTTTCTTTTCATATAAAAAACATTGGAATGACATCTCTTCATTGGTTTTCGTAGAAACTCTTACTGTTAATTGCGAAAGTTTTCTTTTGTAAAGTTCTCAGCACCCTGCAATACATCAAAGCACACATCGCATACACGTACCGGCTTGTTCAAATTGAACTTTATGATCGGTACATCCTGGCCAGAACATTTGCTGCACAAAATTCGTCCACAGTGTCGACTGAAAAAAGAAAAAACAAGAAACAAAGAAATTATAACAGATAAATTCCTTGATTCATCTGCTGTTACCAAAAGAAAGAATAGTTTACAGTACCAGTGATGTTTTCGCATTGTTAGAGAGAATTTTGTCCCACATTCCAAGCAGCAGTCCTTATCAGACCATGGTGCTTCCTGTGTTAGAGAATCTAACAGTCTGTACAATAATTGCTTTGTTGCTACCTGGTAATTAAAAATAGTAATCCCGTCTTTATTCATCGAACCTAAGCATGCTCCCGCTCGCACCAACGTTCGGCAAAGATTACCGTTGCCTTTCATATATGCGATCAACAGTGGTGTATTTCCATCCAGATCTGAAATGAAAGGAATCAGCACATGCATACAATATAATATATGAGAGACATATACGCGATATTGTCGCGAAATAATGGAATTTTTACGGACTGGATGAAAACAATTCGAACTACGAATTAACGCAGAGCCATCCAAGTAGTGAAAAATCAGTTTGTAATTTCTCTTACAAATTTCTTAAGTTTTTTATATAATATTGCGTTTCATATTTTTAACAGGCATTGAGTAAAATTAAAGAAAAATGTTTGCCTTTGTATTTGTTCAAGAACCTGCCACTTTGATCGCTTCGATAGAAACAGGTCGCGAAATTAATCGTCGGTAATTCCAGAGTCAAGCAATTAATTTCTCGTTATCCCAATATCACGTATTTTGCCTTCGTACCTGCGTTGTTGACCGGATACTTCGCCATGCATTCTAAAAACAGCTCGCAGATCGTCGCGGCGTTGTCTCTGCCACATCTGGCCAACTCGTGCAACGGGTTGCGACCTTTTAAATTCACAGCTTCTGCGTTCAGCTCGCTCTCAGTCAATAACGTCCGTACCACCGATACGTGACCCTCTCTCACCGCCACGTGTAAGGCGTTGTCGCCGTTTGCGTTCACCGCGTCGAAGTTGATATTGTTCTGCACGAGACAATTGACAATTTTACCTGACCGTCCGTCTCGAGGTATTTGTAGCGGACTGGATCGATATGGAATTGTCTCTGTCTCTTACTTGCAACAACGCGCAAACAACAGCCGAATGGCCCGCTTTAGCCGCTACGTGCAGAGCGGTGTTCCTGTTCACGTCCGTATCGTTTACACGAGCGCCCGCTAGAATTAAACTTCGCACTAGCAACTCGTTTCCGGACACGGCGGCGAGATGTAGAGGTGGCGTCTGCATAACATCCTGTATTCTCGAATTTACGTCTATCTAAAAGTAAATATTAATCAGATTCAAAAATTCAAATTTATCACTGAGCGAGCAGTTGTAGTATCGAATATATCCAATTCCACTATTGGAGATATTTCCAACGCAATGTCAGAAGTTAAATCAAGTACTTGTATCGACAGTAGAAACAAGATGCTCTCCATGTCGCCCTTCTGTATGGCGGTGTGCAAGAAGTTCCTGCCCTTATTGTCATATTGCTCGGCAGCTTTGGGCAATCTCCTCAATATCGCCTGCACGGCACTGTTACTGCGAACTGTTAGGGCAGTCGCGAACGGCGTCAGGCCCTTCTTGTCCCGTTTATTCAGGTCTATGTTTGGGTGGCACAGCAACAGAGATATGATTTGCGAATGCTGATTCTGTATTGCCACATGCACCGGAGTCTTTCCCTCCGCGTCGCGAGCGTTCACGTCGGCACCGTGCTCGATGAGTGTTTGCACCACTTGCTCCAGCCCCCATTGGCAGCACAAATGCAACGGCGTACACTCGTCTCTTGCTTCATCTCCTCCCGCACCGTCCGGACCGGGTCGTCTCGGGGCGTTTAGGTCACATCCACTGCAAAATAAAATATGCAAATCATTCGATATTCAAGAAGCTTGCGCCATATGAAGATATTGGCTAGATTTGGCTTCTGAATTGGAGACGCAGCTTTTGCGAATTTACTTCTAACGTTTCGTGAGTATTTCAGGTAGCACATCGGATTGTTCCTCTTGATGAAATGCTCACGAAACGTTAGAAACAAATCCACGGTAGAAATGAGCAAAACGACGAAACAAATTTAGCAATATTATAATTGATGTACATTTCCAAATTCAAACGAAAAGAAAAGAAGAAAAAACGGAAGGAAAATTAATTTATATTCTTTTTCTGACTGGAGAAGTCATTTCATTTGTACCTTCTGATCAGAAACTGTGCAATATCTTCCTTGTTGTCGTCAATTGCCTTGTGCAGCAGCGTTTGTTGGCAACCATCGGGCCCGGATCCCCAGCAATCGGTATCTGCTCCGTGTTTGACCAAGATCGATGCGGTATCCTCTTGATCCGAATCCAAAGCGTCCCACAGTGGGCACCCTATCGAGGTGTCTACGCCTCGTCTACAAAGGGCTTCCACCACTTCGCCCAATCGACAATGTACGCACAACTGCAGAGGCGTCTCTCCGTCAGCCGTTCTGTGTGCGATCGAAGTATGTGATATCGAAGTATGTGATGTTAATACACACAGCTCGACTTTACAAGAATAAAATCAGCGAGCTTTAAGCTCATATTAGAATAATCATTACTTGTTTCACACAGAATACTCTCAGAGTTTTATTACTTTCTAATTTTATCTCCCAGCAAAAAAAAAAAAGATTGAAGTTTACCTCACATTCATGTCGGCACCGTTTTCCAAAAGGAATATTGCTGTGGCCGAGTCCTCCTTCAGTATCGCCTGGTGCAACAACGTCAGACCCTCTTCGTTGCATTCGTTCACATTAGCCCCAGCTTTGATCAGCGCCAGCACAATATCTTTGCCCTTCTTGAACGGCGCTTTTATCGCCAGACTCAAAGGCGTTTCGTTCGCCTTATTCTTAATGACCAACTGCGAACTCGAGTCTGGGGCGTCCAGCAATTCCATGACTATGTCGGTGTACAGATTCGAAATGGCGAGATGAATCGGCGTGTCACCGGTGGTGAAAGTGACATCATCCGTCGGCAAACCGCTCTTCAGCAGGACAGCAGTCAGATTCTTCAGGCCGACCTTGCATGCCTCGTGTAGTATCGTGAGACCTTCGTTGTTGGTTTTCGTTAAACTGCCTTTACAGAACTCCGCTAAGAACAATGCCGCTTCTTCCTTACATTCGCGCGTCAAGATGTGAAGAAGCGTGTCACCGTTGCTGTTGTACGTCGGATTTGATGTGGCGCCTTTGGCCAATAATTCTGACGCGAAATAGTAGTCTAAGGGATCCGCCCTCATCGCGATGCACAACGGCGTATCGTCCTCGTTCGTGGTCATATCTAAATCCACGTTCTTCGCTTCGAGCAGAAGATTGAACAGCATTTCATTCTTCTCCGAAATACAACTATGAAGCGCAGTCCTGTAAAGTGTAAATCACATATTGAAAAATTTACTCATGCAATAAAGAATTGTTCAACTATTGAAATGGTTTCGTTATTACATACAAGGTGCTTCTTAATTGCTATCAGCTAATTGCATACTGCTATTAAAGATCAAGTTAAAAAGTCTTGAGCTACTTCTAATGAAGCAATAATTATGAAATAAGATATTGATACTAGAAGAAAAATACTGCAAAGAAGATGTTTCAGAACTTTTCGACTTCATTTTTAGTCTTTAATTTAATTTTTATTTTGAATAGAGTTATGTAATTAGTGAGTGTCGATTAAGTAACACACTATATATTTTGTAGAATGTACAATGTGATAAGAAAAAGTTTAAAATAACGAAATGAGGACTTACCATCCTCTATGATCTTGTAAGTTCGGATTGATCCCCGCTTGGAGTAATCTCGATCCAACTGCCAGCATATTTTCCGTATTATGCTTTGCTACCAAATGCAAAGCAGTGCAGCCTTCCATCTGTTTAAGATCGGCTATATCCTTTGCACTCTCAACGATTTTTATCGGCTCGCATAATTTATGTCCGCTACCGCTGTTCTCCAGCTGCTCGATTATGAATTCGGACGAATAGGAATCCCCTTTCAGAATAGCGGAATGAAGCAAGGATAGACCTCTTGCTTCTTTCGCGCACAAGTCTGCTCCATGTTCAACCAAGGTGCGGGCTAGAGATGGCTGGCGAGTCTTCAAAGCAACTTCTAGAGCCGTTTCACCCTTGTGATCTACGGCGTTGACTGCTCTTGGAAGCTATAGAAACAAATACAACATATTAAACTCGAGAAATAAAATATACTTCAATTAATTTTCTTAATCAAAATAAAATAAGACAATATATATATATATATATATATCAATAAAGAAAATCGAATATTTTATTTTTAATTTTTAATTAAAAAATAAACTACACTAAATTTCTCACTTTTTTTTTCTCTTTTCCACCTTCTGATTATTGCAAGTGAAATTAATATTGCGCGTAAAATATTGCCTCAATCAGGCTGACACGTGCAACTTTTGTATCACCCGCTCGCGAAACGCGAGAGAACGATTGAGCACCACTGCTATCAGCAAATACATGATAAACGCAATAAGTGTGTATTGCTGTGTGTGTGTGTGTGTGTGTGTGTGCACGCGACCACATCGGAATGGCACGGCCAACATCGACTCGGTGTGAAAAAGGGTCCATGGAGGAAGTATGGAGATTATTTTCTGATATACATGGAGAACGAGAGAGAGAGCATTGAAGCATCATCCAGGCAGATGACGTGGCCTACGATACACCCAACTAATCGCACTCGGTTGCTGACCAGTCGACTCATGTATTTGTGCTACGCGAAAGAAGCTTGACGACGACAGCTTGATCGTAACGCAGAGACATAAATTGCCAGGATGTGTGTTACACATACCACGAGTTAACAGTGTAACACTGTGGTGAATATCAGTGTACGTTACTCTATTTGGTAACAGGATACGCACGAGTATGATCGGCGTGTTCGATATGTGCTAATTAAGAAGATAACGAGACCGGAAAATTCTGATTTAGAAACTTCACACGGGTTATAACGGCGAAATCTAGCAGTTTTCTTAGTAGTAATACGAAAAAGTCTTAGAGAACGAGATCTGTCAAAAGTAATATAGAAACAGTGGTGGTTATCTACATGATTACTCGAAACAACGAGTATTGTACGCGGAAGCTCTTTTGTTAACAGTGTTGTGACGAATAGCATAAACAAGATTTGACAGATCTTTTGCGGGAATCTATTCTTAATGCTTTGAATGTGTGTGAAGAAATTTGTGAAGGTTTGTGAAGAAATATTTAATCTTCCATAAAATTTCAATTTTGAACATTGTTTTAGATCTTATGTCATTGCTGAAGTAGATTTAGCTGGACAAAATACCTCATTGTTGATTTAAGTAATTACTATTTAATGGACTATGAATAGTATGTTGTGAAAATGTGCCACTTTAAATCAAATCTATGGATTGTACTATGTATCAGCATCTTGTCATGTATGTTCTTTTTTTATTTCATATCATTGACACATTTAGGCTGTATCTGGCTATTCACTGCTAGTACTGAAAATATATTAGGTGATAAGTTTAATTTTTGCCGTTCACGATAAATGATTCTAGCTACAAAAGCTTTGACAACTAAAGCTGATTGTCTTTTGGAGATTAGACATCTATCAATAAAATCCAGTACATAAAAGTTAATTTTTGTGTAAGTAGAGATATTTTTTAACTAAATTTAACACCTAGTACAGCATATGTAACATGAACTATAGATTTTCAGTACTTGCAGTGCATATCAGAGAATATGCAGCTTTAGAAAAAATAAACAATATCTGAAATTAATATTTTGAAATTTATAGATGTTTTACGAGCACAGGCAGAAGGTCTTTCATGTTTCAAATGTCTCGTGACAATTATGAGACCACAAGACACAGATCTACTTTGTTCTCGTTTTGATGGAAGTGCCAAATTTCAGGTGTTCTGTCCATTTTCAACATTCTGTATGAAAAGAACCATTAAATATAAGTCTAAAAGTAAGTAGACAATATGCACAGAAGAAATACTGTTGTTTAATAATAGTATAGCCAAGAGTTTTTATCTTAAAAGCATTTGTTTAAAAACATTTTTTGCAGCATCAGTAGCTACTACAGTTCTGAGAGACTGTGCACCCCAGAAATACACCTTTCAGATGTACAATGAGGATGAAAAAAGATGGGACAAGAAGGATGAAATTATAGCAAATGCTTACGATGAAGGCTGCTTCATCGGTGAACATAGAGGAGCACCAACTAATCCACCTGAATATTGTTTCTGTAGTTTTCACTTATGCAATTCATCTCCCACACAAACTGGGATGGTTGGTAAAATATATGGGACAATATTAGTACTATTGATTATGAGGTTGCTATAAAATTTTCTTAATATATGACATGCAATTTGTTACTTAAAAATATTTCATGCATAAATATTTTACATTGATTCTGGAAATGTGGAAAAAATTCCATTTTTACAAATTGCAAATATTGCATAATACAAAAAAAAACTATTTTGCATACTCAATACATATGGCCACAAGTAATTAAATTCATTCCACAAAATGCATAATATATAAACTTAAATTTAACTTCGTGACTTAAATCTCATATTATTTTTATCTATGATTTGAAGATTTATTTATGGTTTTAACACATAATTGTGTAATCAACATTGTGCAAATATAAAATTTTGTTATACCTAGTCAATTCTATCTAAGAAAAAAGAAATTGTTAAAATCAATAATTTCTCAGAATTGGAATCACAATTTTCATTAAATATGTCTCTATAGAAAATTTGAAGCATATTTTATAATTATAATTCTGCATACTTCAAATAACTTCCATATAAAAAAAAATGTTTTAAGAAATGTGATCTGAAAATGATGAAGAAGCAAACTCCATTTTGCAAACAATATTCAGCAAAAGATATTGAATCTAAGTTACTAATTGTTTGAAGATTGTTGAAATGATAAATCTATCTTTAACTATTTGAAAAAATAAAATCTGTTACTTATCTCAAATATTTACAAGCAAAATATACTTTATACTATCAAGTACTTAGCATTAAAATTTGAGCTGTGAATGTTGTAATATCATATTTAAAATATACTTAATAACAAATTATAATATTAAGTTTCTACACATGCACACACATTGACAATATGTTTACTATTTTTGCCTTTCTCTCCCAACTCACAGCACTATATATACTACAATAACTGCCTTAGATTGCCTACTATGTGATATTTGGTTTTTCGCTATTATTGAGAAACTTACCTCAGCATTATTTTCCACTAAATACAGGAACACTACGTCTTCGCGCATCAAACGAACTGCCGCGTGCAGAGGATATTTACTTTTTGTTTGCAATAATTTATACAACAAAGAACCTGGCATCTCCTTGAAATCTTCACCTGTAAGATCTTCCTGTAAGATATATAAGAATGTTAGATATAATACAACAGTAATAAATACAGCATAATTATTTTAGTCTTACCCAGTGTGCCGAAATTAAAGAGCCACAATGTTCTTTTAACTTCATAGTGCCTAACTCTTCAGCAGCTGCATACAATACCACACAATCCTTTAGTCCAACTGTTCCAATCAAATACTTCTCACATTGATCTACCAATTCTGACAATTGGAAGCTAGCTGCAGCTTTCATTAGATCCAAAGTCAAATTTTCTTGTGATACTTTGCCTGTGTAAATCCATTTTAACAATACAGATGCAACGGTGCTATCTAAATTACTCCAGTCTAAAAAGTATATAATCACAAGTTATTAAGATATCAATAAAACACATATGAACAGAATACAAATCTACCTTACCTAAGACAGTTTTTTCAACAAGAACTGAATCATTGAAGAAATCAGTCCTAGCGGACAATACAAACTTATGTGCTGGTATTTCTTGATCGATAAGTTTTATATTTATATCACTGCAAAAGATATTCTTAGAATTAGGGCATTTGTTAATATGCGAGTCTACTATCATATGAAAGTATATGCAGATTTTAAATTACACTTTTGGACATACTATTGGATGCAAGTACCTGTAGCGATGTTGACAATATAACGATGCTATCGTTGCCAATAGCCTACCAACAAATCCGCATTCTTGCTTGTCGGCGGTAACGATAGCGTACTCCTTCTGGAGTTCGGCGTTCGCATTGTACAAATTGACATATTGCTCCCGCAGTAGCGTCAGGTGTTGCTGCCACTTCTGAGCTTCCGTGGAATCCTCTGAAAGATCAGATTACGTAGGAGTCGTGCCTCACGGAATATCTCGGATATTGCTGCGTGAACTTACCCATTATTAAGAGGGAATTATCACGTCGGGGGATTTCGCAGTTTGATGCAATATTATTGCATGATGCGGTACGCCGCGCGGCGTATTTATCCGCACGTAAATGTCCAAGCACGAGAAAAAAAAAACAAAATGCAACCCAAGTGCAACCAAATCAGGAGCGAGGCGACGATTACCGCGTGGGGGCGAAATTTCGAAGAATCCTCGAACGATAATGTGAACCGGTATACAATCGGGACTAGGAAAACACAAAATATCACCACCACACATGTGTCACACATACAACGCCCCCAGATCGTCACAACGGCGGCCCATCGCGGAGCTGTCATGCATACCGCAACACACACACACACACTCACACACATGCACATACGCACACGGATGTACGCACCAGCGCTTACATATATCTGATGAGAATGATGTAACAGCGCAAATGGACACAAGAGAATCACTACCGCTGTTAAAAATCATCGTTTTTCGTTTTGTTTCATCTCTTTCCTTGGATGAATTATATTTTTTAAACGTCAGAAAAATACAGTAGTTCGCCCAAGAGGAAAGTGGGGGAGAGAATCAGGCGAGATAAAGTTGGATGGACAAGGACGAAGCGTGTGATTGGCCACTGACTCTTGACTTTGCTTTAACATGTGGCTAACTTCGCGTCGAATATCAATTAATGAAAAATTTAGTTCCTTTTTACTTTTTTTCCAAAAAAATTCATAGTAAACAATTTTTTCCTTAAAACAATTTCGTTGATCACAAGTGTCTCGATTATAATACGATTCTTATCGCGCTTTAAATATATAAAATAGAAAATGAAACTATAGTTCTTTCTTTAAAATCATTTAATAAAAATTGCTGTAATCGAGATTAAAGATTCATGATCGATTTATAAAATATTGTTTTTAATTTCTGTAATTAGAAGAAATTTAGTTTGGTTATTCAGTTGAATATCTTTAAAAGTTGCTTTTGCGTAAGGTCAAATTTATCGTAATTTTGCGAGTATCGATTCGACATTATTAAGCCCAGTTGCACCAACATTATTTTGGTTTTAAGTGAGACTTAAATATAAGTCTATCTTTATCTTTCTTACTAAATAAATAAAGACAGAGATATATTTAAGTCTAAAGCCGGCGGCACACGGTGCTTGTTTTCGTGCTGGATTGCTTGCTGGATGAAAATATTGCGTTGTGATTGGTACATTTCCGAAGATGGATGAAAATGCACCAATCAGAACGCAGTATTTTCATCCAGCAAGCAATCCAGCACGAAAACAAGCACCGTGTGCCGCTGGCTTTACTTACTTAAAACTATTAACTTACTTAAAACTTACTTAAAATAATGTTGGTGCAACTGGGCCTTAGATATAAAATAAATGATTGGTTAGATCTAATTCATCATTTTCTTCAAGCGAGACGTTGATTGGCTACCGTATTATTTCCTAATTTACGTTGTGCTACAAGGATTATCGCGTTCTATGTGCACGAACCATTATAGTTTCTATAGTGAATATCTTATAGTGAATATCTTTTTGACATCATTACGTTGGTTCCCCTATACGAAGATAGAAATTCCTCGTGCAAGTTCAGCGCGAACGATTCCGCGAAAGCATTTTCTTACCTCTCTTTTGATGATGGTCGTGGGTACTATAAGTAGTTCGTGAATTTCGTCAGAGTAATATTGCAAGTTTTATATTAGAAAAGCTATGATGTCTAAAGCTGCAATGGGCCTTGCCGTCGGCATTGCCGGAATTTTTGTTGGTTACTGCTTTTATTTCGATCAGAAGCGCCGCAGCGATCCTGATTTCAAAAAGAAACTCCGCGAACGTGAGTCGACTGATATCTCCTTTTTTTTATCTTGACTCATGTGCTCATTTAGATATACCGTGTAGAGTGACTTAAAGAAAAGTCTATTTTCATTCGATTTCTTCACTGTTACAGGTAGACGAGCTAAGAAACAAGCACAACAAAAAGCTTCCACAAAGATTTTAGATTTAAGAGATCATGAGATGGTGCAGAAATTCTTTTTGCAAGAGGTAAGTTCATTACTGATAAAATTGTGTACAGATATATAGCCAACATATATTATACTTATTGCAATATAATACTTAGTATTTAAGTAATACTATATTACTTATTGCTTATTATTTAGGTACAACTTGGAGAAGAAATGCTTGCTTATGGTGACGTAGATAGTGGAATTGAACATTTGGCTAATGCAGTAGCAGTATGTGGCCAACCGACTCAGTTGTTACAAGTTTTGCAAAAGACCTTGCCGCTGCAAGTTTTCCAAACTCTAGTACAGCGATTACCAACGGTGGGCCAGGTAACTTTGTATTTAAATAAAATATAAGTCTGTTCTTTTCAGCTGAACTGGTTTGTACTTTTTACCCTTAAACAGATATATAATTTAATGTTGAAGAAACAAGGATCACAAAGTTTTACTGCGGTATTAGTTTAGCTAAAAAGAACAGACCTGTTTAATAAAAAAAATTTAACAAAAAAAGATAAAAGATATAATTGTTTTAAGATAGTATTTACTCTTTTGTTCTATTTTCTACTTGATTTATCTTTTACAGAAACTAGTAATGCAAACTCAGATGGCAGAGGAGGATGTCGAATAAATTAATATAAAATTTCATTGACAATTCTTGAATAAAATTCGACGCTAGTGAAAAGTCTATACTTTATTTTTGCTTGATATAGATGCAAACATAATTTGTATCTGCAAAACCCTGTAATTGTAATCATTGTTTTTTATTAAATTTTCATCCTTTTAAGCATGTATATTATAAACATGTAAAATATAAACTTTGTTCAATGTTTTGCTTTTAACAAAACATGCTTTGTAACATGTTTCATAAAACATGAAAAGAGAAAACTGATATAGTACTATGATATACAAATTGGAATTTGACTCTTCTCTAGAGCAACAAAGGAAAAATTGTTATAAAAAACAAAAAATATGTCTAGTCAAAACTATAAATATCTATATCTAGAAAGTACACACACACACACACACATGTATACATAATATTTAATATCAAATTATGAATACCCACAGTATACATACATATATATACACACATACATAAATACATACACACACACACACACATATATATATATATATAGTAAAAAAGTTGTAATTTTAATGAATATCAAGTTTTCTCATAAAATATGGTTATTATATCAGATACATGAAATATTTGACTCTTCAGTTTTGTAAATTTCAGTATATATAAATATTCATTTGCTATTGTTTGTATCAGTTTTGACTGATCATACTTTTCATTTTCATGTTTTACATTATTTTTTTCATTGATACTTTTTTATTATTATATTTGTGTGATACATACCATAATACAATTTATACACGTATATTATATACGTATTTATAACCGTTTAATTATAAAAGTTACTATATAAGTTAGTTTTATCAAAACTTGAAGATTTCTTAACATTATATATTAGATTTTTAGCATTATATATTACCATTACTTTTGTTCAATTCCAAGAGACATTTCGTATATATTCAGGAATTAATTCTAATAGAATAATAATAATATGGATAATATGCTTCAATTAACTGTGTTCAATAAAACATGCTGTCAATGTCATATTTGCGATACTGACGACGAGCATGTATTGCTGCCTTACCTTGACATAGGAAAAGTAGTTTGCACAATTAAAATTTATGAATTCAAATGTAATCTTGTATAATTATTGTAATCGCGCAAAATAATAGATTTATTCTGAAGAAAGATATAAAGTTGGATGAAAATTATTGTATAAATCCTGAATACGTGCAGAAATATATGTCTTGTAAATAAAATTTAATGTCAACATATAAAATGTGTGTATATAATAAGTATATATTGAGTGTATTCAGTGTTAATATCGCTATCATTAAATGTTCAGTGAGCTTTCAGATTGGTACATTTAAATCTTGATCAAATTTAAAAATATGCTCCAATTAAAATCAAGAGCTTATTCAGGAAATAGTAATACTGAATGGACCAGTTGTTATTTTGAATGGCATTCAAATAATATCTAATGCACAGTTTTCATATTCTTCATATATTATTAGTCTTATCTAATAATATATTAAGAAACTCATATTCTTGTAAAAATGCATTGTTTTAAAAAGAAATAGATATAATTTCTATCACGATAATATATATCTTGGAATTGTACAAAATGAGCAAGAAATATCTCACTGTATTTTTAAGGAGTATTTGCTTAGAAATTATGTTATAACATGCTAATAAGTTATACTTACTAGTTCGAAATAAGACAGTCAATAATAGAGAGAATAGAGGTTTCTTTAATTAACATGTACATTAACAGTATGTATATGTACATATACATATAAATTACAATTTTAACGATTCCCATATATGAAACTAGCCTGCATTATTTATTTTACAAAATACAACATTTTTTGTTTGCAGTTAATGAAGAGAAAAATCTAAAATCAATGTAAAATAAAAATAAAATTATAAATTATATCCTGCCATAATACTATTTACCATTTTGTGTTGTATACTGCATTGTACATTATATGTGATAATATTTCAAGACATAAAACATGATCAAAGATCTTAAAACATCAGCATTTTATCTATTTTTCTTTAAACAAAAGTCCAAAATTAGAATTTAACGTTGTAAAAGACATGCATATATTTGTGAGGTATATAATTCTTAAATTCTGTAAGTACACACAAAATAATTTTAGTCTCTAATGGAGGTGATACAAATAGAAACAATTGATGTTGGCAGTATGTGGACCAAGTTATCTTAAACAGTAACGGAGTTTTCATGTAACACTGGTTCATTTACAATAAAAAAGTATACAATAAAAAATGAAAACCAGTCATGAAATATGCACACACAAATCTTCATAATATGGGTACCATATCACGTTGAATCATTTCAATAGAAGCGTACAAATGTAAAAATTTTTCAGCGACATCTACAAACTTAAAAAAGTTCCGAAGTATTTATATAAGTTTTACAGTAGTAAATATTTTGCAATGTTATGATTATATTTATTTCTTATTTCTTCGGATTTACGCAGATAAACGTATATGTACGTCTACTCAAATAGAATTCCAAAAGAACAAATGCACGGTTGTTCACGACGTATCTATAAGCTTAAAAAAGTTTCGAAGTATTTACATGAGTTCCACAGTAGTAAATATTTTGTGATATTATGATTTATTTTATTTTCAGTTAGGTTTTACGCAGATTATTAAATAACGTATGCATACGTCCGTTCAAACAGAATTCCGAAGAAACAAATGCACGATTGTTCATTACATTATTTACATTGTTATTGATAAGTTTTTAATTTACAAATAATACAATTTGTCTCTGACTCAAATGGACTATTCTATTAATTGAGCGTATCCGAAGTATGGGACATTTAGATTATCGTCGACAATTGTCATTTTACATTAACTTAATCACTAGAATACATGCCTGCATCTAGAAATTAAATCTCATGAACCACATATCTAACGTAATTATTTCGAATTAGCAATTGTGTTCCTAGCTTCCAACATGACGTCGATAGCATTCTTCTCTATAAGGTTATTAGCTAAATCTTTACCAAGTTGTTCTGCACCATGAAGACTCAAAGCATTCATTCTACCGGGAACAACGCCGCAGTAAAGACGGGGTTCTTGGTACGGGCATTTTCTATTGCAGGAAAGCAAATGACGTTACTATGTAGGAGTTAATGGAATTTGTAAAAAGATCACATAAGTGTATATTTGGTTTCGAAACGGTCCAAGTACTTTTTTTTATGCAATTTGTATGTCACCGAAGTGCTCCAACTGAGAAAACTTATTTGTGAAATTAATTCTCGAAAGTTAATTTTTCTCGTTGGTTGCGTTCTGAATTGCAACGAGAAAAGAATAATGTTCGAACCGTTTAAAAACTATATGTACGTCAAGAATAAAGCATTAGGATCGACGTATGTAATTCATTCAAATGCGAAGATTTCTTTTTATTTACCTGGGAGGTTCACCGTCGTCCTTGGGTATAAATAGTTTACCTTTGCAGGTATCTTTAATGAGGGTTTGGCCATCCAGGGACCACACAGCACCGGTGATTTTTAATTCTTCTCCTTCCAGAGACGAAGCCACTGCGACGGGCGCGGAACACCCGCCACCGAGAGTTTTCAGGAACGAACGTTCACACACGCATTTTAAGGTAGTTTCCATATCGTATAATGGTTCTAATAAAGAACGTGTCTCCCAATCTGATTCTCGACACTCGACGCCTAATGCACCCTGGCCAACGGCGTAGAGAGCTTCTTCAGGTTCCATAATCTAGAAGAACACAAACACATGTGCATCAGTATAGCTAAATTCATGAGAAATGTTTCATGAGAAACGACAGAAAACTAATTACAAAAAAAAAGAACTAAAGAAATTTCATAAGAAACGAAAGAAGTTTCGACAAATAGAAAGAAACTTCAAGAAGAAATGTCATGAGAAACAAAGTTAAATTCAAAGAAAAATGAAAGAAACTTTCATAAGAAACGAAGGTAACTAGTTTCAAAGAGGAGCAAAAAAAGCTTTAAGAAAAGAAAGAAACTGCAGAAACTCTTTGTAAGAGACGGAAGAAATTTCAAAGAAGAAAAAGCCATACCTGACTTATCCTGTCCTTCCAACCTATTCTTTTTAAACCGGCGGCAGCTAGTACTATCGCAGCATAAGCGCTCTTTTCATCATCCAATTTTTTCAATCTGGTATTCAGATTGCCGCGAATGTTCTCTACCTTCAAGTGAGGCAAATTTCGAGCTAGCTGCGCGGTTCTACGCAAAGAACTGGTACCTATGACACTACCTTTCGGCAACGTAGAGAGCGTTTTCTCCTTGAATTTCTTCGACATGACTACTGCATCGCGTGGATCCTCGCGTCTACGGAAATAAATTAATTAATTAATTAAGGTCCCATTTCTCTTTACACTATTCTTTATGTCTAATAGATAAGGAAAATATTTCGTCAACTTTGTTTTTTTCTATATAGATAAAGGAAATTTATATATAGGCAGAAGAGAGATGTTTCTTTCATAAGAACGTAATACACGTATGCGATACATTTGAATTTGGAATCTGTATCTTTACATACACATACATATATTTGCAACCGATAAAGCACAGTCAAAATGGTCAAAATATCAGAATAGATTTCGTTCAGTAGAAAGTTTCATAATAGTTTTAAACCTGTTGGTAGCGCAGTGTAAAGTGTTTACTAAGCAGCTTTTTCTGCTATATGCAGCTATATAACGGTTGTCTTTAAGAAACTAATGTCACAGACAAATATTATATCAAATGTGTCGCAATATAAAATAATAATACGATCAAAAACAGCATTTTTCATTTCTTGTGGTTTCGATAAATTATGGAAATAACTTTTACTTCAATAACGCGCCCAGAGCCATTCCCGCTGGCAGTATTGTTGGCAAATCCTTCAACGAATGCACGACAAAATCAAGACTGCCTTCTCCCAAAGCCTGTTCTAGTTCTTCAGTAAAAAGAGACTTTTCGCCAATTTTTGGTAAAGATTTGTCCAGAATCTTATCGCCCTTAGTAAACATTGTAACTGTAATTTTATTGTAGTTTGTAAAAGAATCTTGTTTATAAAATGGTACATAAAGTGTAATATAATTTCTGATATTTCATCACTAATAAATAAATAATAATGCGTTTTATTATGTGAGATATTTTTGGATCATATTTTGTATATTACATGATAATATTTATAATGAATATATCAGTTGCGATATTTTATTGAAATATTATCTGTTACCAATCTAATAATATGACAACAAATATACACATATGAGAAAAAAAATATGTAAAATAAATCCAGACTTTGTGTTGATAAACTGATTAAAATTATATCAAGTAACTAATACTACTGTTATATATATTTTTGCTTACCTATTTCAAATTCTTTTTTTGGATAATATTCTTTTAAGCATTGTATCACATATTTAGTTTGTATTAAGGCCAACTGAAAGTATATTATGTAACAATTAGTATTTGTATTATTATTGAAGAGTATTATGAAACATTTTTATAGATAACTTTTTTAAAAAAATACAAAGTGTCATGTGAACCAATACAATTGTGAATATAAAACAAATATTTCAATTTAGACTGAAATTTCTTTCAATATTTCAAACAGAATTGAAAAAAAATGTCTGGCATGAAGAGAAGGAAATTTATCATCTGATAATCCAAATTATCATCAGAAAAAAGAAACATAAGATGATAAGATAAGATTGATGCAAAATAAGACTGTACAAAAAGGAAACTTCCTAAATTTCATAAGGAAATAAGTAAATTTCTTTTCAAGAACTGAATATATATCGGTTCATTATCTTTTCTACATTTATTTTAATTTCTATGACTACACTTTTACTAAAAAGTTAATCTAATTTTAATGGTTAGATTAATTGTAGTAGAAATGATAAAATTCCTATTGTCTTTTTATATACATAATTAAAAAATATAATGGATTGTACAAAAGAAGTAGTCTTATTTTTATTACGAAAAGAAAGAATATTAGTTTCTAAGAAGTTGGGCTTTGAATCTTTTCTTCTTTCATTAACTTATAATTTCTTTTCCAATTTACAATTTTATTTGCTTTATATTTCTTTTTCTGGTAACATCTGTTTTGGGATAATTTCTGAAAACCATTTATGCTTAATAATTGCTATAAGTTTAATGTTAAAAATATCCAAATAACATTATATATTGCTATTAATATTACACTACTTTTTTCAAATTTATGTATGCATTGTATGTATGCATTACAATCATTTATTAGTCTGATAGAGAAAATTAAAATTATGTAAGCTTTCAATATCATTTTTTCTTGAAAATTTCAATCTGAATTAAAATGTTTTATTTGTATTCATTGTTGTGTTGGTTCATATTGTGATTTTTTGCCCCACTGGAAGTCACTTATAAAAAAACAGGATACTCTACGTAATAATTGTGTAATTATCTAATCATTTTTAAACGGATTACGTATATGCAACCTGTCGAGACCGATATTTTTGTAATCGCGATTGCGATACAAATCGCCAGAATGAGATTTGTACATTCAGGATTGCGATGAAACGCTAGAAGTTTCTCAATCCTATCACATCCACGATTCCCAGATTGTAAAAGATTCCCGATACAGCGAAGCTGATTCGTTCAAGATACAGCGAAAGCAATTCGAGTAGACTTACCTCGCTTTTCCGAGATCCCACTCGGACTACAGCACGTTTCTCTTTGCCGTTCATTACTATATTTTAGCCACCTTGTATATCTAACGGAGCACACACTCTAATGTTCACGGACGCGAGATCCAGTAGTCGGATTTTGGAATGTATCAAGCACGAAATGATCGGAAAGTCACAGTGACTGAATCTAAATTAGGTCAAGTGGAAGACCCTTTCTCTATGATTCGAGATTGCGTTTAACCTCTCATCGACTTTAGGCGCATATGTTTTCCTAAGGAGATATATGATGAATAGGAACTTGATCAAATTGTTGTGCTAAATTCTGTTTCACAGTCACTGACACTGCAGCAGAATGTGAAATTAATGAGCAAAAGTTGCAGAGAAACGACGACGATAATCTAACTACTCGCCATGATTATCGCCAGGCGACTGATAAAACTATGAGACTGCTATTTGTAACAGTGACACGATGACTCGTATGAAATTTTCTCTCAAGATAGTATTAACTGTTCGGCTTGATCGGTATGAACAGTGCTGAGAAATTCTAAATTATCAACAGTACAAACATAAGTTGTACTCAGTAGAAAAGCAGCTTTGCATTGTTGTAAAATTCTGAATATAACTATGAATCTGATTGGTATATGTTTTTCGATTTAGCCATTATTAAAAGCATATATCAATTAAATTCGCGAATTTTATACAATTACAGAACATCTTTCTGAACCGAGCCAGAGAAGAGAGGTGTCACGGGCAGCGTTGCCAGTCATGACACATTCGTACTACATGTGGCACAATTGAAGGTCAGTGGCACACAGGCACAATTTAGTGATTTGGTGGTACATTATGCACAGGCACAAAAGAAGAAAAAGTGATACATTCCATTTTTAAGTGAAAGTTTTAAATCTTTGGCTTCTATGACAAACGTATCGTATTCTACAAGCAAGAGTATGTAGATTAAGACCGATATTCATAGTCGGATCTTATATTTAAGAACGTCTTAAGTTTATCTTCAAACTCTGTACAAAGTATTTTATTAGCTATACAGTATCTGAAAGTGAACTTAAGACGGTCTTAAATATAAGACCTGACAATGAATACCAGCCTTAGTATAACCAATAAAGTGGCATTTACATTATCTGGAGTGCGTTCGGAACTTGCACATTACGGATAAAGTAACTAGCATCGGATTAACTAATAAGAATAAAAAGAGCAAATATCTTTTTATCATGATTGGTTAATTCAATTCTACATTCAGGGCCGTATTCATAGTCGGATCTTATATTTAAGACCGTCTTGAGTTCACGTTCAGATATTCTGTAGCCAATGAAATGATCTATACAGCATCTGAAGATGAATTTAAGACGATCTTAAATATAAGACCGGACTATGAATACGGCCCCAGAGTAAAGTTGCCGAACCTCTAAAGATACATAAGAAGTGTTAGTTTTTAAGATGCAAATTTAAGATACAAATATAAGACACAAATATTACAATAAGATACAAAGATTAGACAATAAAAACTTATAAATTCCTCATAAAATCCTCGTTATAAAATCTTCAAAATATATTAATTTAGCTCGAATGGCACAAAACGCACTAATGTGGCATACTTTTTGGCACAATCGCACACGGTTTTACTGGCAACACTGGTCATAAGGCTTGTTCGTTTTGTCTGCACTGTTGAACTGATGCATTAAGTTGGAGTGAGACAAACGTAGGTTTTCTCACTTCAACTTGTTGCACCAGTTCAGCAGTGCAGACAAAACGAACAAGCCTATACATATAAACGATGTTTAACGATAGATGTCGCTAGTTTCGTATTTATAAAGCCTTATATGATTTGGAAATAATTTTCCACGTGCTAGTCTGAAGCGAAATCTGCAAACGACCGTGTACGACCGCGAATGTCGAAACGAAGAAGATTCGCTGATTAAATATTTCAGAATTCAGAGTTAAGAATAGAGATAATTAAAGGAAACAAAAAAGAAGAAACTATGAATGTTACGGACATTTTTTTATCTGAATTTAAGTGTTAAAAATTATGATAAATAGGTTAGGAATTTTAAGTGGTTCTTGGTAACTGATGTATAATCTATTTCTAATTAATTTCTATTAAAGAAACAAAATATCCTTATATTCTATTTTGTTTTTGTTTCTACATTCTATTATTTTTATCTTCTATTATCTGTGTCCTTTGTTTTTTTTCCAATGTAAGACTAGAAATATTTGAGCTTTGTTGTAAGTGTATTCATTTTGCTATATCAGGAGATTGTTGGCATATTAATAAAGTAAGTGTGTATTCAAGACTTTACATAGATATTTACCAAAATTTACATGATATTTATCAAAAACATTCAGCAATGAGTGATGGAATTGTGAGTTTCTCGGATTTCAAACTAAATTCTTGGCTTCTTACACAATGCAAAGCTATGGGTAATTTCTCATATAAATATGATTTACAAAGGGATTTTGTTATGAAACACAAGTATAGTGGTGTTTCCTTAAAGCATAATGTGCATTTTTAAGACACAACACAGATATTTAATATTATTTGTTTTTTAGGTTTAAAGCAACCAACTGCAATTCAACAAAATTGCATTCCCAGAATACTAGGAGGTGAAGATTGTATAGGTTGTGCTAAGACTGGTAGTGGTAAGACTTTGGCATTTGCCTTGCCTATTTTGCAAAAGTTATGTGAAGACCCTTATGGTATATTTGCTCTTGTGTTAACACCAACGAGAGAGCTAGCTTTTCAGGTAAATGAATAATAGTTTTTTTTGTACAACTACTTTTATATATGTTATATATCCTATATTTATAAAGTTTATTTTATAATTGAAGATACTTGCCATATTTGATTTTATATAAGAAAGATATTGTTTAATTATTAATTATCATAAGGATAATAAAAATCATGGCATTAATTTAGATTGCTGATCAATTTGCTGCCATTGGCAAAGCTATCAATTTGAAGAAATGTGTAATAGTTGGTGGCATGGATATGATGGTACAAGGATTAGAGTTGTCCAAGCGACCTCATATAGTTGTAGCCACACCAGGTCGCCTAGCGGATCATTTAGATAGCTGTAATACATTTTCTTTGAAGAGAATAAAATTTCTAGTCTTGGATGAGGCTGATAGACTATTAGGTGGTCATTTTGATAAACAACTGAAGACAATTTTTGCTACACTACCAGAACAGAAACAAGTATTGTTGTTCAGTGCTACAATGACAAATGATCTTGATAATGTAAAAAGCGTAGCTTCCAATAAGGTACTTCGATAATGCAATTGTTTATCGCACCAAATTGTATGTTTATCGTGTCAAATTGTGTTTAGCAGATATTGAAAAACTGCAACTTACATTTAAGGTATTCATATGGGAAGAAAAAGATGATGCTGGTATCGCTACTGTGAAGGAACTGGATCAACGTTATGTATTATGTCCTAAAGATGTGCTTGACTCGTATCTAGTGGAAGTAATCAGAACGTTTTGTGCCACAAATAAAAATGGCTCCATTATGGTATTTACTGACACATGCAAGTAAGATAATAGTTCCCTACATATAAGAAGATACATAAAAATCATTCGCGAATTTCCAACTATAAACAACATATGCGATATTTTATATTATAATTGATTACATTAATAATAATTTGGTTTTAGAAATTGTCAATTGTTATCGATGGCATTAAACGATGTTGGATTTACGAACGTGGCTCTCCATGCAATGATCAAGCAGAAGGAACGTTTAGCTGCGTTAAATAAGTTCAAGTCGAATCATGTGCAGATCTTAATTGCTACAGACGTTGCAGCGAGAGGTTTAGACATTCATGAAGTAGAATTGGTTGTTAATCACGTAATACCGAACGTACCAAAAGAATACATTCATAGAGTGGGTAGAACGGCTCGGGCAGGGAGGAATGGTATGGCGGTAAGCCTGATAACGCCACACGATGTGAAACTATTACACGCGATTGAAGACGCCATAGGTACCAAGCTAACAGAATATAAAGTGGATGGTGAGTATATAACCGGTTGTATATTAATATTGTATATTATCGATAATAGTGTCTGAAAACAACAAACTAATTGTTGCTCAATTGTTCATAGACAAAGAAATCGTTACAATCTTGACGCAAATATCAGTAGCAAAACGAGAGGCGGAAATCAAGTTGGATGAAACAGATTTTTTTGAAAAGAAAATGATTAATAAGCGCAAAAAATTAATCTTGGAGGGAGAAATCGACGCAGACAAGTATCTAATTCCGGATGAAACAGATGAAGAGAACGAAATCATAGATAAAGACAAAAAAAGGATGAAGGATAGACATAAGAGACAAAAGGAGATGAAAAAGACGAAAAAACAATTTGAAAAATAAAGAGAATATCCAACATCGGAAAATGTATGCTATATCCGTCACATTCATCCTAAAAGTTTGTATGCTGAAGCATTATTAATATTAAAAATTTATATTAATTTATTAGTTACAATAAATGATATATGAGATATATAATAAATATGTATTATAGTTCAATATATGTCTATTTTTGTAACATAAATACACAATACTAGAAACAAATTATGCTAATGTTCTATTTTATAATATATGTTTAATCCATTATAAAGAGAAAACAAAAAAAAAATAATTTAATTACATATATGAATCTTAGTCCCATTACATTTAAAAAGTATTATAAATATATACGTATCACAATATATATTTATTGTTTATATAGCTTTTTGGAAAATTACTAGTACAAAATGATAATCGTTTTCTATATTTTTTAAATATTTTTTCTATTCTATTTAAATTCTATCCTAATATTTACCAATTTTACATTTAAATATTTTTTTAGATGCAAATATGTCTTTAAACACATACAAAGGCACTTTTATACTGCCTATATTCACAGACTTGTCTCTATGTTTGCCTATATGTATGCGAATGTGTGAAGTGCTATATATGTAAAAACGTGCAAAATGGCAACTTCGTATAAAAATATAATATACCTATTTGGAAAAAAAATATCTGATCTCGAATAACTAAAGACGTGCCCTAATCTTCTCTTCGTTCTGTATCAAATTCAATTTTTGCAAGAAGGCATAAAGTTCGGCAACATATTCCTTTGGATATGTATAGAAATGAGCAACGTGCGGTGACTCCTCGAATATCTTGACGTAAGTCTGCAAAATGAACATATATATATATATACACACACAGATATATATATATATGTTGCTTATGTAAAATAAAAATGTTTCTTTCACAGTTCTTCCGACAAGCCTGCGGACATAAAAAAAAGTCTAACCTTTATTCCTAAAGATTCCCAGTTATCACGTAAATTCAGATTGCTGGTCACCGTGCCAACGGGATCGGTTTTACTTATAAATAATAATGCTGGCACACGCAAAAAAGATGTGTGGAACAATTGACTAGACCGAATGTAATATTGCGTCGACTGCTTGTAAAACGTTTTCATGTGATATCTGAAAGTGACATATTATACTATATTAGACCTTCAGTTACAGTTAAGCAGGATGCAGAAATCCACCGCTAAACACATGTAATGGATAATGACGGAGCCATCGGACGTTTGTTACTTCACACTAAGTCTGTTCTTTTCAATTCAACTAGTCTTAGTTTCTTTTATTTTTAATACTAAGACTAATATTCTGAACCTTTTTATCCAAAGAACGGCTTATAATCAATCAGAACGCTTGTAAATCATTTTTAGAAACACTCTTATTGATAAAAGAAAGTTTCAAATATCAGTTGTGTCCCAATATTCACTGTCAATACTAAAAATACTATAGTATACGTAATATGCATGAATTATAGATTTTTGATACTGGTAAATATCGGTATGCAGCCTAAATTACACTTTTATTTCACTTTAAAAGCAGAAAAGTGCAATCATATCCGTTCAGTAAAAAAAACAACAGACTTTATGTCACATATTGTATCTGCATCAGTATAAAGTAACAACCAATAAAATTTGTATTTAAAATATTAAAAAGAGATAAACAAATTACCGCTTATCAATCGTTTATAATTCGTTTAGATGCAAATCGACTTCCCAAAAAATGAAATTCAGAATATTGTATAACTTTCCGAGAAATTATCTCACTTTTTAAATTTCCATACATTTCTTTTATCTCGGAATAATGCATATCAAACCATCAAACAATTGCTCAGTAGGAAGTCATTAGGTTAAGTCACTACGTGTTATGTAGTAGCCAAACGTAATAATTCAAACGAATTATTCACCGTTGGATGCGTTTTCCGTCTCTCGCACTTACTCCATATATTTTTGCAACGCCGTCTGCAGCACCTTATTTTTCGGGAACACAGCACGAGGCATACCAATCGGAATCTCGTTGATGTCGGCTATGCTGTCCCACACTTGTCCGACGATCCTGTTTGCAATGTCGTTGTATTTCTCCCTGTCTCTTTGCATGGAATCCAAAACTTCGCCCCACATATAACCACCTACTGAAAAGCCATGTAGCAGGATCTGTTGGTAACTTTCGTTTTGCTTCAGGAAAGACAATAGATCTACTGCAACGAGCTGAAAGCAAATTTTGAAGATTGTAATTGATGTTTTTTGTTTTGTTTAACTGAACCAGGCTGCACTTTCCTCATGGAGAAGATTGAATCGATAAGACAACCAACCATGAACGAACCAAACGCCTTTTCATTGAAGGAAACAGATTTTTATTCTTATAAAGCATATTCAATTCTAAGAATTCCAAAAATTCTATTTCCTTTAACAATTCATTCAGTGTCACGTTAATTCAACGTTTATTTCTCCATGTTTCTTAGGAGTAAAATAAATATATAATTGAATATCCAAGAAAAAAAGAACAAGCCCAGTAATTGAACTCGAGTGTCATTGTCATGTATAAGTCATGTCATGTCATGTATAAGTCATGTCACCTTGGAGCCTTTTGTAGGCCACATAAGTTGCCAGGGTGTGAGAGATACTAATGCTACATCGAATCCTTGCTCCATGTATAAGTTAACAAACTTCATAACATGTGGTCGCTTTGACATTAACCAAGTGAGAATAATTAACAATGGGCGATTGTTTGTCACATTCCGTACAGTGCTGTTGGGTGATATGATGCGATTGTCTTGTGTAAGGAACTCAATATTCTTTGAGAAATGATGAGAGGACAGCATGCGTGCTAATCTTCCAACAGCCTGGAAATATCAATAAATAATAAAAAATATCAAGGAATAAATAATTATTGTTATTTGTACAGATACATCACCACATGTTGATTATGTCTTAATAATTGTGATTTTGTAGACAAATTAATTTGGCTTTTTGCAAGAACACTGCGCAATGACTTGACAAGGATCATCATGATGAGAAATTCACTTCTCTACAGCAGCTATAATGTGATAAAAGTTTTATCTTTAAATCTTGATACATATATATAAATTAATAAATAACCGTAAATAACTTTATAAGTTAAATTAATCATTCGTCATTTTTTTCAATGTATGGCTACTCACATAAGTTTATCATTCAACAGGCGACGCAGACGAACTGTGCCTTTCTCCCACTGTCGATACTTTCGTGACTGCTCTGCCAATTTTATATAATCAATGTCTCGCCAGGATTGGCCTGCCGATTATTTTCTATGTAATTATCTCATCCCCCACTCTCTCTTCCAGATTCGTTGTAGCTAACAAAAAGTTCAAATTCCACTTGGCCGGCGACTTATATCCTTATTATTCTATCTCAAGGTGCAGTCCAGTGACCGCTACAAGCGTTTCGAAGCTTTTCTCTTTCTTTATCCTATTTCTCAAATTCGAATGAAGGAAGACAGAGAAGTAAAAACGCTTGAGGTATTTGTAGCAGTGACTAGACCGCTCCCTCAGTTGGAGTCGTACTCGAGTTTAACCGTCCGCTTAACTACCGTTTCAAAGGAAAACGAAATAATTGCCATTCGTATCGAAATTTTAGAAAATAAGGTATTTTCGTCCCCGGTATCAATTTACTTAAGCGTAATCAAAATTGCGTGCACATCGGCACACACATACATATAACAGAATATAGCTGTTATGTCTGGCCGCAATTACTCATATGTATTGTCACCGTTTACTTATCTCTTTATTGTTATCGCAATTAAAGATAACTGTACTTCCGAACAGGTGTCTGTTACTTGGGAACTTTTACCGGTCGCTATTAGTTCAGATAGAGGAGCCAATTATCTGAAATGAATTGACACACAGTATTCCGCGAGCACCGACGACCGTAGTGCAGCACAATCGTCAAATAACACAAAGCACATACATGGTCACTGTCACGCACAGACTGCATGTCCGCCTTTTTCACGGGGATGATGAGCGTGCACTTCCCTCCACATCTACTTTCGAGAATGCGCGAGCTAAACTGTGCGCACAAGGGAGGGTCACTGCCACATGGTGTGTGTATGTATGTGTGACGGTTTATACGGACGTTGCCGTTTCCTTTTTGCTACGTTCCCTTATATTTTTTGCACTCGAAACGAAAAAACGAGCGACCGTTACAATGACGTGGACCGTGAATAATAACGAAGTTTATATATTTTCTCTCTTTGTTTCTTTTGATTCAAACGACTTATTAAACATTCGTGGTGAACTTCATACTTGAGACAAGAAGTTATCGAAATCGTGATCGAAAGATAAGAACCGGCGAGAATTGATTGTATATAGATATATAAATATCTGTATATATAGGTACATATAATTACATAAAATTGTAAGAAATTATATATGACCTATAAATGAATTTTGTCTTTATATGGCCACATATATAATTATATATACCCAGAGTAGAGATGCAAACTATACAGTAGAAATATAAACTAGAGCGCAAACTATTCAAATTCAATCGATCGATTCAAATTCAAATTCGAATCGAATCGAATTGAATCTTGAAGTAAGATTCAATTTAATTCGAATCTGAACCCTTATTTTGTGACTGAACTACTTGAAAGTTTCGAAAATTTAGATATTTCGCACGTTGATAATTTTGGAAAATTATATTTCATTTCTGCGTTATATAATTGATTCCTCTTAAGAACCGATAAAGGGGAAAAGAAAATCTAAGTTCGATTTTCGTCTGAAGTAATATTTTCTGGAACTCTTAAAAAGATCAATTAACGTTTATAAAATAAGTCGCCTGTCATGTTAATTTTGATGCTTATGATAATTTGATTATATAACGCAAAGAGGTATTTTATAAATTTGCTTGATCATTGAATTACATCATTCTATGCATATAGAAATTCGATGTATTTTGCAGAAGATTTTAGCGCATGTCTTCTGGCATAATTAATCAGGAGTTGCATGGTGAGAAGAATATAACTTTAAAATATATGTGAAACAAGTATAAGTACCTTTTTTATGTTCGAATGTGGATGACTGACAAGCTTGAATGTCGCATGCACTCCTATTTCCAAGTCCTATGTAAAACTCAGTATTTTTGAACACGCATTTCCAGCGTGATAAGCGATGATAAGCTGTATGTAAATTTTCTAAACTGTTTTCAAAACCCGACTTTGGCATGTTACGACTTCGTTACATTTTAAAAATACAAACACGCAGTTACTTTTCATGAAAAAAAAAAAAAAAAAAAAAGCAATACATATTACTCAGAATATTATATTTAAAAATATAATTAAAAGCTAAAAGTATTTCGATATTTAAAAACAATAAAATATTTTAAATTTATGAAGTGGAATAATTTCTTTCTAAAAAAAAAAATTATTTGGAACATTTTTTTTTCAAGTTTCTTTCAAGCTCTGTTTTTGTGGGAAGTTTTCTTTTTCTTCCCTAATAAACAAGTGTCTTATTTATGATTAATTTCCGAACGAGAGATGTAAGCGGACGAAGCAGATGGGACCGAACATTAATCACGATGACGATACAGAAACAAATATAGGAACATCTTCTTTTTCCTTTTTTATAACCAACCATTGCCGGACGATTATATTGCGGTTCACTTGAGCACATCGGTCTCGGATGTGTCCGACATTGCTGTTAACTGTACATCGGTAAGGACTATGTTAAGTAGCTTTAATAAAATCCCGACACGGCTCAATTGATACGCTCGCCTACGAAGAAGCGCTTCCACAAAGGAAATGGCCAGCTGTTAAATTGAAGTGACCGGCACGAATGGCATTGGCGTGTGGTAAAGGCTAACATCGAGGACACAGAAAGCGGACTTTAACCGTCTGCATCCGTACGTTTTGACGGAAATGTCACGAGATAATGATATTAAATGGGAAACATATTGTTGCAGTAACAACGGAACGCGGAGTTAACGGGATTATCGATTCTACTTCTGTGTAAATTCCTCTCGTGGCGATTATAATACGTAGATTTATTCTTTTCTTTAATTATATATATGTACACGTCAGATGAGTCTCACAGGAGTCAAACTAATCGACTTCACTTTTCATAAATTTCTCAATTTTAGCACCAAAGCACACGATTGGTGCTTATCTTTAAAATTAAAAAATTGGCAAAGAGTGAAGCGATCACAATTTGGCATCTGGGAGGCTCATACATATCGTACTACACGTTATAATTATGATACGTACGTTAAAGAAGAAAAGAAAAAGAAAAATGAAAAGAAGAAAAAAAAAGATCATTTTGTTTTTAAAGTATTACGTCGTTCAGAACCGTCGAGTACTCTCGATGGTGTAATGTAAAAGTATTAGCATAAAACGGCGAAGGCTACGAGGGGCTTCAGTTCTCTGTCTGCTGCGGCAGTTTAAAGGATTCCGCATTGGACCACGCATTGATCGGTTTTGTATAATCAAGGAACCACAGTGAGTTCGCTGTACGAAACATATGTAATACACACGTTAAATCGTTAATCGGGTTAAGTTCATTGTCGCAGTGTGTTTATTCGCGCAAAGGGAATGTAACGCGGTAGCAATTATCGCTCCGTGAATTGAACTTAACGATGTTGGAAAACGAGATGCTTTGTCAGGAAAGGCCGGGACTAGTTATAACCATGTTTCCGTTTTATAAAAACAAAGAGGTAGAGTAATGCTCTAAGATTCTAAAAACTCCCGTCTCGGATAAAAGTGTACATATAATGTTTACTTGTTGATTAAAGAAGAATTATAGTGTGCAGTCGTTTTTATAAATATGTAGCTGTTCATATGGGTCATATATAATTTTATATAATTTATATACATAATTATGTATACAAATTATATATATATATATAATCGTATAAAATCATATATAATTATATATAAAAATTACATGTAACTACCAGCAAATAGCAAACTGACGTCAAATAACATAATAATAATGATTTAATTACGAATGTAACGTCAATAAGACACATCAGGTTGCCATTTGAATACATGATTTTATATAATTATGTATGATTATTTTTGTGTTGATCATTTCTTGAAGCAAAAATACATAAATCGTCCAACTCTGACCCGAAGACAAAAAAGGTAATATATATGCTCGCTACACTCGTGATAGCCGTGTGAAGGATTTTATTACAGGCTTTTTCCATACGCTATTTAAATATTAAACGATATCTATGTATACGTGTGAATTACGCTGGACACGACATCGACACAGACTTAGTTGGAACATCGTACGTACGTTAGTGACAAAATACCGAGTAGCGTAAGTAGCGTGTGTAAAGGTAGTAATCGGTATACAATGACTAACTCTAAATTCTTCTTACGTAAGAAGTGCTAGAAACACATTTGGTCTAACGAAGGCTCCTGGACTCAGATCGTCGTCTTACATAGCTAACGCTACGTGCTTGCTTCTTTGCAAGATAGATAAATCTCGGTTTCTGCAGAACACAAAGGAGTCATTGCCCCTAAATACACGAGTACCGTCATAATGACGGAATTACCTCACCGTACCATCGTGAGATTTTTCTCTCTCTCTCTCTCTCTCTCATTCTCTTCCTCTCTTTTTCTTTCTCGCTCAGTAACTTATTTACAACTGTCGGGGGATGCTTTCGCGCATACACGTACACGTTGATTTAAGAATATTGCCATAAACATTTCACGTGCACGCGCTGTTCTAATGCAAGATGCAAACGGCCGAGCAGGTAGGCAGGCAACAATATTAAATCAACGCCGCGGTATGCGGAAGAGGATCTTTACACGACTTTCTTGTACGATGTTCTTGCATTCATTTCTCTTGCTCACAACGTGTACATAGCGATAATATAATTAGTCTCTCGTGTTACTGAAAAACTGATATATCTTTTGTGAAACTGAACAGTGCTAGATTTTATGAATCATGGACACATCGGCGATACATAAATTATTCAAATATACGAAACACACATATCATCTGCATACATATGCATACACAAACAGGTTCCGTTCGACGTAAAATAATTGAGTCATGTAATTTTTACGTTACCGGAGGTTGATACGGTCAGAAAAAAAAGAACGTACAGTGAAAAAGGAAGAAAATAACCGTCACCGTGTATACGAAAAAACGAAAAATTCGTGTATTCGCATATTTGTCAGCGATGGATATGCACGATCGAAATGTGAAATATCGTGCAAATACATTGTGCGTATAAATATTAACCTCTTGCCTCATCATTTAATTCCTTCTTTTCGTACAAGAATTACCGAGAAGAATGAATATGCGCCGAATACCAACGCAATATCTTTGAATAAGCCGAAGACACTTTGAACGTCAAAAAACAAAAACGATAAATGAGAATATGACGACAAAGAAAGCGAAACAAAGAAGACAAAGAAACATTTAATTCTTTTGATTATACGTTATGTATAAGTTGTAATTCGGGCCACGAGTCTAATTTTTCGTTAAATTTCGTTTTGTCATTTTGTGAGTCTAATCTGTTTATTTCTCAATTTTGCGACTCGTATTTGTCAAGATTGCACCGTAATCTGAACCCATGGATCCACTTTCTTAAGGCAAAGGGTTAATAACTCGAGCGATACGAGTATAATAGAGTATATAATAATGATTAGCATGGTTCGCATGAACATAAATAGACGAGTTTCCGTTCATCATTCTTATAAATGTTATGTATACGTATTGTGTATTTGTGTATTTTCTCCTACCATCCTCCTCCACGATCTCTCTCTCCCTCCCTCCCTCTCTCTCTCTCTCTCTCTCTCTCTCTCTCTCTCTCTCTCTATCTTTCTCTCTAGATAACGCGTTACAATAGACTGCCGAATTTTATTACAGCATGCCCAGTGTGGCCCCTCGCATAAGAGATATTTCTTTACTACCAATAATATTCTACATATGGTGTCACGTGCGATTAAATTTGATCCTACGGTCGTTTTTCTCATCTTCTATTTCTTTTGTTCTTTTCCGCCAAAGTGACTGATACATATAAAAAATATATCCAGCCACCTTCTATCCAGACAAATAACTACAAAATTACATCTCTCTTTCTCTCTCTCTTTCTCTCCTTTTTCCTCCCGCGCATAAACGTTCGATATCATCTAAGTCACATTTTTTCCCACGGTCTCGTAGACACTTTATCAATAAGTCTAATCGACCTTGTCGATTATACTGGTAATTTTCCTTTTTCATCGCTTTGACTACGATTTGACATTTGCAAGTCTATAGGTAACGCTGTCTCGCTGATCTCAAAGGACGAAATGGACGCTCTCTTCTCTTTTCACGGTTACTGTCGCATGCTTACAAAGTACAACGTGCGTAAACCGTTCTTCTCCCAACTGCTTTGCATTTCAATGAAAACGACAATATTCTTTCATATCGTAGGATGCCATAGATGCCGTGGGTTTATTTTACGTATCGCGTCTCCTTAATCTCATTTAAAGATGTAATATAAGACTGATACAACGTTGAAGTATGTTCAAGTGTCGCTCCATACTGAAACAACGATGAGAACTACAAGATTGGAGAGCACTAAATGAACGATTTGCGATTCTTGCACGCACAGATACGGCACTCGCGTACGTACTGTCGTCTTCGCAATATGTCGTGTGCAATGCTACGCGTTTCTTACTTTTTTTATTACAGTAAAATTCGTTGTACATCAGTTACTTGTTGAAGTCTAGCTTCTAGCTACGTATCATCAGGACATCCGTAAACTCCTACGATATCAAAGAGAGAAAGGTTACGATAAAATTATAATTATGTACAATTATATCATTAAATATCCATAATATAAATATATATGCCCTAGATACATACACACACACACATTCTCTCTCTCTCTCATCCTAAGATGAAGCAGAAAGCATACATATACGTGATATGATCTCGATAGTATAAGACACTTTCTGCTCATACTCAGACACAATTGTACATTCAATCATTGATTTAATTATTATATGCGATGTGTTACGTAGATATATTACGTAAATCACATGTGTATGTGTGTGTGTGTGTATGTTGTGTGAATGTTAGTAAATTGAGCACTAAAAGTATATATGTACATATATATTTCTATATGTATATATGCTTATGTATGTATGTCCCAAAGAGATATATTTATACACAAAGTCTCCGAACACATGACCTCAATTTTATTGAGATTCCCTGAGTAATTCAAAACTAATTTGTCCTCAGCGAAAACGTCGTGGCACCAATGATTTTCGAGATACAAGAGGTCGTAAAAACAAAGTAAACTTCAAATAATCAAATGAACAAAAAATTTTCATCGATCAATTTCAAGTGAACTTTGACAGAATTTTACTTTAGGGCTTAGTTTCTAAAAAAATATTATGCTGAAAATTCATCATAAACTATGCTAAATAAATAAACTATGCCTATCCTAAAATTTTCTCCAAGGAAAAATTACCTGCAAATTGCTCGGGAAACCTCTTGATAAAATTAAATATTGCAACTTTTAAGACGCTCTGTGTGTGTATATATATCAATTGAAATTATGACATGTATACGCTTTCTATTTACATCCGAATTTCTACAATTGCGCAATGCGATTATACACCTAATTATTTACTGAACTATGACACGTCCTAATTATGTAGGTATATTACGCAAATTACTTGCATAATATACGTGTATACGTGAACATTAATGAATTGAGCATTATAAATACATATGTACACATACATTTCTATGTGTATAAATTTACGTATATACATCAGCTTCGTATAAACATTGATTAAATAACGTAACGAAAAATTAGGTACGCTTGAAGCTTAATATAAACTCTAGAAGATATTCGTAAGATCATAATATATATAATTATTACTGTAAATATAGCGCAAAGTATATCTCTTCTTCAATAGTACATTCATAAAGCTTACAAAAATTGATTGCGCAAAATGTCAATGTAATGTATATAATTGTTAATAATATAGAAAATAGAGAACATAACAAAACTTGCTAAATACTGATTATTTTAATCAGGCAATGGAAGCACTTCCATCGGATCTCTTTATGTTAAATTAACTGTTCAAATCTTTTCATACTAATCCTTTGTCATGCCTTAGATACTTGGCTTTATAAATTAGGAAACAAGTGGCAAATTGATTTATAAAACGGTGTATACAATGTATATAATAGTGTACGTCAATATCGTGCTTATCAAGGCCATTTTCTATATCTTATCTAAAATAATTCTGTGTTCAAATTGTTCAATAAAGAACATCTTTTTTTAACAGCATAATAACGAATATCTTCATTAAAGGAAAAGACATCCTTTTAATTTCGATCAATAATTTTAGCACTCTTCCAGTCTTAAATAATGTTAATAATAAAATTATTTCTTTAAACTCGTACGAATACTTGCTCATGGGCTTCATGTATACTTTTTATAAAATATAAACGAATTGCATTAAACACGATATATAAAATATTAATGTTAAATAAAAAAGAAAATAGCAAAAAGTTCTTAATAAATTTATAATCATAATACATTAATAGTGTGCTTTGTTCTCAGTCAAATAATATTTTAACAATATTGATTAAACGTTCTCCAATATAAGTAGAGCGAGTCATTTCAATGAATAGCCAATCGCCTGCAATGGCGTAGATTAAAAAAGTGAAAATTTAAATAAAATAAATATCGATTGGAAGTAACATTGAATCTATAATCCTACTTATAGTTATACGTCATGAACGGCTTTACTTGTGTATGGTTGCTATGCACTTTGTTTTAAAATTTTGCATACTTTTTTTTCGATGCAATTTGAAACAATGGTCCAATGAGAACTTGGTTTTAATTTTTAGAAAATTTCTTATTAGACCAGTTACGTTTTAAATTATATTAAGAAAAGGTAAGATAGAAACTGCATTAAAACCAAGTATACATTTGTTTGCCTAACGGTTTGTACATGATACATCTCCCTGATGAAATTTCAAGGGCGCATCAAATAGTCTTAATTGCAAGTCCTTTGTTATTTACGAACTTGCACACGCGCACGATAATTAGTCACAGGAGCCAATGTGATAGTATAAGAGATATTCAACATCACAACTATAATAAAGGAGATTGAGGAGAAATATAATGTTTTTATTATCTTTTTATCTATCAGATAAAAGTATAGATAAAAAGAACCAATATTTACACCATATGCTGTTATTTGACTGTTTCTATTAGAACTATTTTTCATAAAACATTTTTTTATTACCTCTGTCATAATTATTTTATCAAGCTCGTGAGTAGTGGTCCCCAATCGTGACCATCTGATGCGCTATTAATTTGACAGAAAAAAAATATGTATACAAACCGTTTACAAACGGCTATACGAATCATACAATTCTTTCTCTTGTACGTTAATATTATGCGCTTCTGTAGAAGAAAGCATACAGATTTTCTTTAGAAACCAACAACTTGGACAAATCAGTATCCGTTCTGGTTTCCTTCATAAATGGCAGTAACGTGCTTGCATGAAAATATAATGAACTTACCCGCCACATTACAATTACATTCTCTCCCTATATTACCACAATGGCAGTATCAGTTTGGAGTAGTTTCAGATATCGCACGTAAAAGATATCACGTTCTTGTCTTATTTTCTCGTGTTATACTTGTTTTCACATCCTCATATACATATACACACACATATGTGGTGTAAAGATTACGTGTGTCTATATTCTATATACATGGAATAGAATTGTTTTGCGCATTAAAACTTCCTACTGCGTTCAGCATATGAAACATCCGTTCGTTAATTTAATTTACAACAGTCAATTAATTTACATATGCGACATATACTGATATATTTCATTAAAGTTTGCGGCGCGAACGGAGATGGTATTTTGTTTCTGATTTTTCGCTAACACAAACTAGGCTTGCCCCCCTCATCCTTCATACATTGTACATTTCGGAATAAACGGTACATTATACGTGTGCTATGATTTTAAAACCGACGTACATCCCCGTGTGAGAAAACCAACAATAAAACAAACACGAGCGAGCGCACGCACCCGCATACATGTACACAATAATGCCGACTTGAGAGCCTCGTCTATACTTAATATGTAATGTAGTACCTGTATGAAAAGAAAAGGGGCGCCAAGTTATATACACGTTTCTAACACTAAGCGACTTTGCGTCGGGTCTCAGAAAGCTTCCACGAAACTCGCCGGGAACAGTCCTGTACGGCCGGTGCGTTGCTGCGTGCCCTTATACCAGCCGTCATCACGTTTCTTGTGCACATATATTATGTCACCCACGCGAAGTTCCAACTCAAACTCGCTGTTAGGTGGATACGGCACGATACAACGAAATCTGTACACCCGATCGCTGCAATTGTTACAGAATAATGTGAAGTTATCTCGCAGGAATAATGCACAATGTATGCGATGTGAGCTTGCCATGTGATTATAGTAATTTTCAAACTGTAATTTTCAATAGTAATTTTCAAACTGAATATTGAAGGAAGGAAATTCGGAGGTCTCAGATAAACAGAATGATCCTTACCGGTCACGCGATGGTTGTTGCTTTGTCTGCTTTCCCATTCCAGCGTCTAAAGAATTGCTTTTGCGATGATGGTTTCCGACCGTTGGACACACCATAGCGCCGGATTCACCAGATCTATTCATCAATGACAAAATAAAAAATTGACGTAGAAAATTGTCACGCTACAGAATAACAGGAGCAGTTTTTCTTTTTTACGATGTGTATGCAAAATGCATACACATTAAACGGTTTAACACTGCACAGGCATAAATAACAAAATACATATAAGCTTTTCATATATGCAACATATTTACAAGAGATTATGTTTCTGAGAGAATGTTTCTTTAAATTTTACATTTTATCTGAACATATTTCACGAAGGATAAAATTTGCCTTGCCAATTTGCCAGTATCGTATTCGGTAGATAAGACAGAAAGTAATAATACGGTTTGGTATCTATGATAAATATAATTATATGCATATTATTAATTACACAGCAACATGAGGTAAATTATGCAAAAGTAATATATCTTAAGGTAAACTTACCTGGAAGTAAAATGCAATCTACTGTACATTCAATCACAAATGCTGATGTAAAACAGTAAATATGACAGAATTGCGTTATTCTCAAGTGCAAACATTGATTCACAAATCGAGCGTGTTCACGTTATGTGTTGTTGCAAAATTCAAGCATTGATTCATTCGAGATTGCGCGAAACAAGTCGAGTAAGACATAGACTTTGTACAGATTAACTGATATTAAAAATATTATCATCCTCTATATCAGAAGTATATAGAAATTTCCATTGCAAAATACTATAATATTATTTAAGCGAGTAATGCCACTTCTTTTATTTCGTCCTCTTTTTTTTTTCATTTTGCGGAAAAACATTCTGTACCTTATCTCACGAGTTCCGGTCGTCATACCTAAAATTACCTAAAACGACTAACCTCTGCACTACTGATAGTTGTAAGGAGGGTCTCTCCTTGCATTTCAGTCTCTGTGAGGATGTGGCGTGCCCCTGCACAGAGCCTGGACATAAGCGGTGTTGGCTGTTTGAAGCGTTTAATTCCTGCGTAGGTACCACCTGCAGCAATTGACTTGGGCAGGACCCCGATCTGCGATTGTCGATACCACCCACCCACCCACCCCGTCCCCGGTACGATATTAGAGACAACATTTCAAGGCGTGCGATTGGTGTCATGCTGCACAAAGCATGATTTATAAACGTTCGCTTTATGTGGGCCGCTATTATATATGCCTCTATTCTCACATGTACGTGTGTGCATGTGTAACTACGACGATGCTGGGCATGCAACGATTCCAACGACACAAAGGGAGCTGGTGCTTGTATGGTCGAGTAACGCTTGAGCGAACATTGAGCATTCGTACACGCGCACAAGTACATGACGGATAATAATGCACAACAACGATGCATACGCATGCGGCAATTAGCATGGGAGGGTACACATTGATTCGGACCAATTGTCGGGCCGTGCAAATTCAGCTCGGAATGAATTGAATGTTTTTCGACTACCGGATTATAATACAAACTGTATAAATAATACATACATGTATTAGTGTAAATTCACAATTACTGCGATCAGCGATACTCACCGGACGTGCATCGGATTGACGGAATTACCATCGTCGAATACGGGATTATCCATCGAATACGTAGCGGGTGGAGGTGACTTGGACTTCTTAATAATGGTCAGACGCCGCATCAAGGAGACGCACTTATCTTTCCTCTCTTTCGGCTGTAATTCACGAATACATATGTGTGAGAAGGCTGAGTGTTATATACATAGTTACAAAGTAATTAATATTAAAGACCATCAGTCATGTACGTATATGTTCGTAACGATAAAGGGATCTCGAGGGGCCCAGAAATCGTTGAAGAGGAATAAATAACATTACCAATCATTTTTTATCATTCGATATAAATATCTAGACTAAATATCTAGAATTTAGTGTATAGTAAAGTATTAATTTAACGACGAATTCACTTATTAAACAACGAAATTTTTGTAAAATCCAACGATCTCTAGTATTACCACATCGATGCACACAGCGAGACGCAAGTGCGTGCTCCGTGTAAATATTCATGTCACACGTTAATCTTCCAAATACCTTCTCTGCAGTTCTGCACACAGTCGCTGGAGTGTTAGACGGTGCGATGCCGCCTGCCACGCGCAAAGTGTTGTTCGGGCTCCTGTTCATGTCACTCGCGGAAGAAGAAGGAACGGAAATAGCGACACTGGCACAGCCGTTATTAGCACCATTAATACCCGCTGTCGGCTGCAGCGAAGACGGCATTGCAATTTGTTTACCGGGAGAAGCTGCGGGAAAGTTAATTATTTTTATGCAATAATCTCGTTCAAAATCGTTATCTTTTTGGGAAAAAAAAAAAAAAATGTATTCTTAAGGATACACATCTTATATACCTTCGATATAACTTCGAAAATAAAAATATTTTAATTAATCTGCATATATCATTTAATAAAGCTCTTTTGAAGGTCATCTGAGGAGGTCATGTATAACTTGATAAATTCGAAAGCAAAACAAGGTATTTAAATATACTTACGGATATTTGATGTCATAACCGCGCTGTGGCTGCGCCCAAGCGGGTTGGCGGCCGCATTCTGATCGTTGTGCCGGGGCGGACTGGTTTCCTGATTCGGTCCCTGTTCCTGTTGACCACCGCCGCCATGCCAAGATGACGACGACACGGTTGTTGACGGGCTGATAGCACGTGGAGGCAGTTCAGGCGGCGGTAAAGCACGAGGATTGTACGGTTGCGGGGCAGGACCCTTGCTCTTCGTGTACGTCATGGCCAAGCGCGATTCGGTATTGGATGCGTTCGATGAAAGTGGTGAGCCTTGGTGTTGACTCGGCGAGTTTGGAGAGCCGCGGCATATTCCACGTTGACATCTGCCCAAAGTCGGAGAACGTTAATAACATGTCAAAGCAATATAACTGTTACAGTGATCGATTTACATTAATGTTCAGAAATAAACAAGTATTTCGATATTAAAAAAAAAAATGACGGTTTTCAGATTTTCAGTTCAGCGAAATCTGAGGATTTTTTTTCTCTTCTTATTTTACTATGTTCAAGATAAAAGAAATCGATTGTTTAGAGCAAAGTGAATTTCCAAAACAGAGGTTTGTTTCTCCTGAAAGCTTTTGATTTTGCGTACATCGAGGCGTTATTTCCTTGCCCTTGCATCGAAATAGTAATAACTTGATTATACTGTCTGGTTAGGTTACTACGTTGTTCTAAGTACGTAGTCTTCGGCTTTATTGTCGGTAATTATCGACTCCGCAAATGGTGATTAATACGTACTTAGCGGGCGCAACGTAGTTTCCCGGAAAAACTCCGCACTTCTGCGTACGGTTGGATGTTCCTTTGAACCATCCGTCCTGACAACGTTCCGTCACCATATAAATACCGCCCTTACGCAGTTCGAGCTCGTCCGTTTTCTGAGGTTTGTACGGGTATAGCGCTATGTACGCTGCTGGTAGATGCGTCGTCGCTGTACCGGTGCCGGAAGTCTGATTAGCAGCAGGGACGCTTTGTGACGGCTGCGCGAGAACGAGATCACTGCTACCGCTTCGTCTGTGACGAAGGTTATGATCCGTGCAGCTGCTGCTGGTCTGGAATACAAAGGAATTTCCCTAAGTTCAAAGTGAATCTCACGGAGATACGTTAAAATGTTGGAATGCAGAAGCGACAGAAAAATTGTTTTTTAGACATATTCGATACGAGAGTTCATCTAAAGTTACACCTGCAGAGAAAAATTGTCACAGTATGTCAGCAGAAAATGTAATTTCCTTACTTGTAAGGGGGAAAACGATTCATTGCCTCCGCTATTATTGGCGTTATTAGGGGCACTGTCTACCGGAGGACTAAGTATTTCAGCGCTATGTCTATGATGGGGATGAGCATGATGACCTGTATTGACGGCAGTGAAACTATGACGCTTAACGTTATGGCGATTGCCGACCGCAGGCGGTGACGTTGCAGGGCTGCCTGGGCTGCTTGGAGCAGTGCTGGAACTGCTGGACGTGGTCGAACTGTTGGGTGTGTTTGGTGTGGTGGTCGTCGAACTACCGCCTGATGAGACGTTTGATACAGTATCGGACACCGGTAACGCGGTGGTCTGCAATACAATGTTAGAATGTATTAATACACTGCATACATCACTTGATATAGATCGAAGTAGACACAGAAAGATACATGACATTCAATCATGAATGTTACATGTTCCAAGTATTTTATAAGTTTATATATGCGCAAATCTATCATAAACATTGAATTTGTTCAAAATACATTTTGAATATTAGTAAATTCAGCACCTCTCAAACAGAATATTAAATTAAAACAATATTAAATTATAAAACGAAATTTCAGTTTGTTCCTTATATAGAGTATGAGTTCTATAACATTCTTAAAAAAAGAATTCTTTTGGATATTGATGAGATTTTTCCAAACATTTATGACAAGTACATTTTAGAATTAGTAAAAAAGAAAAAAGTAAACTGAATAGCCGCTTTTCTTAGCAGCAGAATGTTTTTTTGCTGTGCAGAGATAGATTTCTCTCTATTAAAAGATTGCATGAATGTTTGATTAAGTAGGATATCTAATTTACCTGTGCTAACTGCGGTCGCGGCTGGCTCGTCGTTTGCACATTACGTGAATGATCGGTTGGTATAAGTGGCGTGGTTCCTTCGTTCGTCGGTGTGGGTGGAGCTACTCTCGATGGTCCTGGCTGTACACTAAATAAGAACAATGCTCTCGATACATATGTATATATATCTTTGCAACTCAAAATATGACTACTGTATTAACCATTCTACTTACTTGGTGGAGAGTTTCATCAAGGCTCTAGCGACACTGTTCAGCTCCACAAAGGCCAATGGAAATATACCAATCCTGTCAAAAAGTTTACCCTCTGCCCAATTTTCATCTACTCTTCTGATAACACTGATAACTTCACCCTGAGAAGATATATTGATACATTTTGTGTCAAATTTATTTCTTACAATGAAAAGAGCTTAACTAAAGCATTTGGAAAAATACCTTATTAAAAGTTAGACACCCATCTTCATCATCATTAGTCATTCTAAAATCATACAGTGCCTTACATTGGGGTACATGTGGTGTCAGAGGTGTCATCACCTATAAATTCGAATAAGGCATCAAGTTTTGATCGTTTATAACATCTTACAATCGCATATAATTTCTTACAATTTTCATATTGTACCTGAACATAAGACAGAGGAAAGACACCATGGTTACTGCCACATTCTCCAAAATACCAATTGTTATCAATCTTCTTCCGCAGGATCACTATATCACCTTTTTTGAAACTTAAATCTCTGAAAGCACAAATGACAACACAATAAAGTGATAGGACATAGTAAATATACAAATATACATAATAGAAAGCCACATATGGACACGTACATGTATCCTGCAAATATTAACACACAAAACTTACCCTGGCACCTTGGAAACATAGTCATAGATCGCTCTGCCATACGCCTGATTGTGCAGATGTGCCTGCTTAGCAACCGCGTTAGAATGTCGTACTGGTTCGGAAGCAACGGCGACAGGTGCGAGATTGGTAGTGACTATAGGTGCTGGTGCAACCTGATGACCGCCGAACAACCTCTGCGGCGCGGCGGTGGCGGATCTCGACGAGGATAGGGACGACGACGATTTGACGCTTTTCGGTGCAGCATTGCGCATTCCTTCAAGGATACGCATCAACAGCACGTTCGGCGGCAGGTCGTCCACCTTGGCGTCAACTAACACCCGGCATTCCGGACAGCGTAGCTCGCGATGGGTGCTCACGATCTCCTCCAGACACTTCTTGCAGAACGTGTGTTGGCAAGGCAACACCTTGCTGGACGTGTCGAGTCGTTCGAGGCACACCGAACACTCCAACAAGTCGTTCAACATACATTCATCCATCCTGACCTGTCCCCGCGGTCGACACCGGAGAGCTGCACACGAAAAACACCACCCGTTCTTTCCTTTCCTCTCCTCGGTCGTCGTACCTATTCCGGATTCCTCGTCGACCCTGCGCTCGCATTCACGCTCGTTCTATCGAAACGTACTCCCTCCCCCATCTGTAACCCTCCCAACTGTCTCTCGCTCTCTCTTCTTTCGCCGCGCCTCGCTTCCGTCTTTCTCTTCCTCACTCTCTCGTCCGCTCGCTCCCTTTCCTCCTCCCAGTCGCTCATTCACTCACTCACCTACTTGGTCTCTCTCTCTCTCTCTCTCACTCTCTCTCTTTCTCTCTCTCTCCCTATCTCTCTCTCTCTCTCCCTATCTCTCTCTCTCTCTCTGTCTCGCAGACACGCGCGATTCGTCGTTGCACTCTCGTTCTCAAGAGAGACGGATGGCTTATCGGCCTGCAGTTCCGGTACCCGTGCGGTATCGTGAACGTAAGAGTTTCCTCCGCTTTTACCTTCCGCTCGTGCTTCCCCGACTCACTCTCTCTCTCTCTCTCTCTCTCTCTTTCTTTCTCTATCTTCCTTCCTCTCTCTCTTTCTCTCCCTTCGCCTCCCTGCCGTCTTTCGAATTCGATCGAGGGACGTGAGAAGCGGCCGAGTCTCTCGCAAAATATGTGCTCGTTTGATCTACGGTTTGATTGATATCTCGGTGGCATAGCCTCGCGCGCATCGTGCTACAGCATCGATCAATCGCGCGCGTCGATTCCGGCAACGGCGAACGCACGACGAGCCCATGCTTGTTGCCCGAGGAATTGTCGTCACCACTGATCGTGCCCCGGCTATTGACGATTCCGGAGAATAAATGTTGTGCCGCCGTCGTTGTCCTGCACCGCGATGTAATCCTCGATTCCGTCTGATGCAACACAAACGTTGTATCTGGCACTTTTAAAAATGTCACTCACGAGAACACACACGATGACTGATCGAACAAGCCGCGTGCGTCGATCAACTTGACAGCACTCGGTGCAGGTGCACGCACTACCACTCCGTGGGTTCGATGTATCGATGACAGCGGAACGCCGCGCTCTCTCGCGTTGACACGCGCGTTCGAGTAAACAGCGTTGTATGGGCAAGAGCACAGGCTTTTGCATAACACATAATACATAACACATAAGAGAATAAACCAATTAGTTTTCTTCATTTCCCTCCTCAGGACAGAAATGAAGAACTCTGATTGGTTGATTCTCTTATGCGTTGGCATTATGTGTTATGCAGAAGTCTGTGCTCTGGCCCTATCGCAGCACCGACGAGATAGGGCCAAAGCACAGACTTCTGCATAACGCATAATACCAACGCATAAGAGAATAAACCAATTAGTTTTCTTCATTTCCCTCCTCAGGACAGAAATGAAGAACTCTGATTTGTTGATTCTCTTATGCATTGTGTATTATGCGTTATGCAAAAGTCTGTGCTCTGGCCCTAAGGCTGCGTTCCGATATTCACTGTCAGCACTGAAAATCTATAGTATACGTGACACAAACTATGTATTTTCAGTACTGCAGTGAATATCGGAACGCAGCCTATACAGACTGTTAAGCCCTAAACACAATGCCAGGCAACAGGCAATAAGAATGAAAATAAACCACTCACAATAGATTATTCTTGTAATAGTCAATTGTGATTGGTCTATTTTTATTCTTATTGCCTGTTGCCTGGCATTGTGTTTAGGGCTTTACGGGGAATTTAGCGTATCAGAGAAATCTCGCTGCGCACTAGCGCCCTCTTAGGAATATCGTGGCCGGAATATGAGACATAAGAACGACTATACCTGAGAACATTCCGAGAACATTTAATTGGCTGCGTTCAGAAAACATAACGGTTATACAACGGTTGAGTAATTCGTCAACGTTATTGGTCTGAATGTAAGGATCTAACAGTAAGGACCAATAGTTACTAAGCGCTCAGTGAGCGCTTTGTTTTCTGAACGCAACCATTGATAACATTTTCGAACGGCTAGTGTGTATTAAGCCCGTTCTACATTAGTCACAAACACAGAACGCAAGTCGCAAGTCGTAGGAATTCACCAATCACAGTCGAATATTCTCTTAACATTCGACTATGATTGGTGGATTTCTACAACGTGCGACTTGCGTTCCGTGTCTTGCGACTAATGTAGAACGGGCTTTAAAGGACACACGAATGGTGTTTTCGATCACAACTTTCATTCTATAGGTGCCAGTACATGGAAGCGTCGAGCGTCAAAGTGTCCAACCAATCAGTTTTTCATTTCTTAAGCCAGCGGCATACGGTGCTTGTTTTCGTGCTGGATGAAAATACTGCGTTCTGATTGGTACATTTCCGAAAATGGATGGAAATGCACCAATCAGAACGCAGTATTTTCATCCAGCAAGCAATCCAGCACGAAAACAAGCACCGTGTGCCGCTGGCTTTATTCCCTGGATAAAAACAAAGAACTTTGATTGGTTGGACGTTTTGACGCTCGACGCTCCCATGTACTGACATCTTAAAGCGTCGTCTACAATGGCAGTAAACAGTAAGAAGTAAGCGTGAACAGTAAAAAAGGACCAACCACAGTTGATTATTTTTGTTATAATCGACTGTGATTGGTTTATTTCTTACCACTTACGCTTACTTCTTAGGCCCAGTTCCACAACTTGCTTTAAACGGAGTTTAAAGCATGTTGATGACTACGGATTGGGATTGAGTATTGGATTGAAATTTAACCAATCAGGAGTAAGTTTACTATACTTGAGATTATTTTCTCTTTTTCAATTGGTCAAATTTCAATCTAATCTCAATCCCAATCCATAGTCTGATACGGGCTTTACGGCTTACAACTTACGACACGTACTCTAGACCAGGCCTTAGGCCGTGTTCCAAAATTCTCTGCCGGTACTGAAAATATATAGCTTGTGTTACGCAAACTATAACTTTTCAGCGCTGGTAGTGAATTTTGGAACACGGCCTTAGTGAAGTTTAGTTACATACTAGAAATGTTATATTCTAATTGGTGCAATTCTGATATGTTACCAAATCTGACTAGATCCAGCACAAAAATAAGCACCGTGTGCCGTTGACTTTAGAGTGAGGAAAATTATATCTGTTTCACTCTAATTTATTGCACTAATTCAGAAATTAATCAAAAAAGAATAGACTTAATATCCATATCTTTCTCTCAAATGTAAATTCGTGATAAAACGAAAGTACTTTCAAGTGTAATACTTTCAATTTTTACCTTTTATGAATTCATACTGAAAGATGCGTGATCGGTTTTCAGAATAAAGTCCTAATTTGTGCGCAATTTCCGAAGCGCAAAAATAATCCGAATGTATTCGATCGTAACGATGCAAATTTCCGTCTTGCAGATGGCGCTGGCCATATAAACTCAAGCATAGAAGCCGTATCGAATCCTTCACGTGTTTGAACTCTTTGTGGTAAAACCTATTGGCCAATAGCCATTGCGACGTTATCGTGTAGATTTGCCGCGCAAACGGACGCAGTCGGAATTACCGTAGTAACTACGTAAATATTTACGCCAGTCACGCAAATTGCTGATAGTCTTCAATATTTTACAGTGGCATATCGACGAAAACTTTTCTTAGGCAATATCTGTAAGGTTATAATTTATATTTACTCGTTACTTGTATGTATGTAAGCGCATTTCGCGTTTTTTGTCAATTAAGATCTGTGTTTCAACGGTACCCTTTATTTTCTCAAAAGTTCTCTATTCTCATTCTCCTCCCACTTCTTCAGATCCTTAATATATATTTACTTATTTTTGTTCAAGTATAAAAGTAAAATATAATGTAACCTAAAAGAATATATATATTGTTTTTGTAACAGTTATATATATTACAACACAGATATGCTTTTATTTTAGAGTATTGTGCTGAACATGGTAAACTCTGATCACAGTGAAGTTGAGGAAGATGATATGGATAAATTAGAGTTATCAGATTCCATAAAATTGACCACAACCAAAAGGTCACGTATAGATTCTGGGGATGAAGATGGGCAAGATACACCTGCTAAGAAACGGCGATGTTCTTTCAGTAAAGAATCTGGGATGTCAGAAACAAACAATACTGAAATTGCTTCAGATAAAAATGGCATAGATAAGAACATTAAGAAAGAAGAAACAGATACAGTATCCCCTGAGAATAAACCAGATCAAGATGAAAAATCTGATTCAAATATCAAAAATGAAGAAGATCAAGGGAACAAATTAATGAGCACTCAGGTTAAAAAAGAAGATCTTATAGAAGATAAGAACAATTCTACTATGGATGAAAGTGTTATAAAAGTTGAAGAAAAAACTACAGAAAACAAGGTAATATAAACTATAAAAGTTGAAATACTGATTTTATTTGAAGAGTCTATTTGTAATACTTTTTTGTATATATAGTGCCTTAAGTATTTTTTTTATAATTTTATTTTTGTTTACTTTATTATTCATTACTATATGTTTATCATGCATTGATTATTTTTCTTGTGCTTAACAGGATAGTCCATCCAAAGAATCTCTAAGTACTAAGACAGTACCTACTTTTGATGATGAGAAAACTGAAGAAGATGACGAAATAGTCAAGAAAAAAGCTGATGATACAGATGATTGTAAAGAGAATAGTGAAGGAAATAGAGCAAGAGAGAAACATACTGCAAAGAATCGAACTATTGATACAGAAGTAGTAGATGGATTAGAACTTTCAGTAGAATGTGCTAGTGACAAAGAAGGATCAAGTTCGGAGAGTACAGATGAAAAAGAAATAAAGCCACGACCGAAAACACTGATTGTTAAAGCTGAACCAAATGAATCAGAACTTGAATGTGGCTCTTCGGAAGATGAAAAGTCTGATACGCAGAAAACCAGTGACAAAGTAACAACTAAATTAGAGAAGAAGAAAGGAAAGAGAAGGGGTAAGCGAACAAGTTTCAGTAAACTGAAGACTTCTGGATCTGAAGACAGCCAGAATAATAATTCCGATGAGGATTATAGTCCGCGAACGAAAAAGAAGGTAAAAAAATCACCAGCGCCAAAGAGATCAACTAAACGTTCCACTGAATCGAAAAGAGGACGTGGTGGAGCAAAGAAAAATTCGCACAAAAGAAATACTGAAGACACATCTGATGATGAAAACTTAGATACAATTTCAGCAGACAAAACTGATGAAACAATGAAAAAGAATGAAGCGGAAGAGAAATTGTCAGGGAAAGAATCTTCAGCAAGCAAAAGTGAGGATGAAAGTAATTCTGAAGATGAAGAGAAATCTAAAAAGGCTAGGAGATCGAGGAGACGTAGCAGCACTGTGAGTAATAATTTTATATAAATATACAATTTATAATAATTATATATTTTTGTGTGGAAATGTATTTTATGAGAAACTTGAAATTATTTTAGAAACCAGAGGATAACAAACAGATACAATTGTTAAAGAAATATATAAAAACTGCTGGCATAAGAGTAAAATCTTACCAAGAAATTTGGGCCGATTGTCGTTACAATACCCAAAGAATTAATCGCCTGAAAGAATTATTAGAGAAACATGGTGTTACTGGGAGACCAACATTGGAAAAATGTAAACGAGCGAAAGAAAAACACGAGAAATTACGGGAGATGTCTGAGTTGGACACATCCAATATTATATCCGAGGGTGAGTAAGACTTTTATTAACTTACATTATTATATATATACACTTTAAATGTACTATTAGCAATGCAACTATTGGTAAGTTATAAGTCCGGAAAACTTACAAGTAAATATATTAAAGATATATTAAACATATTTAGAAAGTTTGAAGCAATATTAATATATATTATTTTGCCTGATCATAAAGATGTTAGATTCGTGTTTTGTATGTTTTAGGACGTGTTACACGTGCAAGAAGAAATATAGGAAGCAACAAAAAGCCACCAGTTGTAGAAAATCCACCGCGACACAGAGAAGCTCGTAATACGTTGAAGCGACTTCGGACTGTTGTTGATAGTGATTCGGAATGAAGCAGAATAACATGCTGAATCTACAGTTGATTTTCGCCTAAAGTATCAAGCATGATGTTGCATATGCAAAGTTGCGTTCGTACGTGAAATATATTATTCACAAGCTTTCGTATAGTAAGCTTTTTGTTTTTTTCCATTTAAAATAGTTCGTTCGAGCAAGTGCTCGAGTCACAAACTTCCGCACTTTACTATCAAATTCCACAATGTACAAAAATGTAAAGGATGGACTCAAAACAGAGAAAGATATTACATATATAACTTCAAATAACATACTGTAAGATAGAAGATATTTTGGTTAAAGTGTGAAGTGTATTTTTATCTATATCTGTATAAATATATATCGAATATATGAGTGGCAATGTGTGGCAATTTACTTTTGCGAAGTCCACACATAGCTTCAGTTGTTGAAAACATAACGTTTAAAATTGAGTAGTCGTAATTCCGTTTGACGTATTTCCTCCATATTTTCTAACAATTTTTTAACAAGAATTGTTTAAAATATTGTGAGATTTCTTATCTTCCATGTGACAGCAAAATCATACAATTATAATAATATATAATATAATATATTATTACTACGTACGTATGCTATAATATATAATAATTGATTTACTTCAAAGTAATTATATGTTGACGAAATATATACTTTATTTATGTACAATGTGAGTCACATAAGTTCGTATTTATAGTGATGACTTGTTACTATGAAAAGAAAGATGAAAGTTCCACGTGTGACAAGTTTCAAGTCATCACTATTAATATACAAGTTACAGTGTATAAACCATTTTCGTAAATGTAAAACATCTGGGTAAAATCATTAAAAACTAAATATTTCATAAACTATTTCCTATTTTACGTTCTTGGACTTATAAGTGATATATATTGTATAGGTAATATAGATTATTTTTTAAACAGCCTTTTTAAATTACACATGTTTGTTTCCTACACTATTAAAACGATTAATGGCAAGTTTTATGTGCTCAACATTGTATATTTCTTATGTTCTTTTATAATAAAAATATTTATATATATATATAAATATATATATTATATTCTCTTATGCAATAAAAATGCTACTTATCAAAAATAGTGATTAAACTTTTTTTATTTCTATTTTCACACAGTTTATCGATTGAGGAACTTTGCGATACATTCTCTACTACAGAACAATTTATCCTCCTTTATTGCTATTTTACCGTTCAGTAAATTCTTCTTACAGCTATAACAGCAGAAGCATGTCTCGGTTGCATGAAAGTCTAAGTTCTTTACAGACACACCTTGCTGATCGGCAGCAATTACAATATTACACGCAGCACATGTCTTCGCGTATGTTTTCTGATAACAAGGAAGACACAGGGGACGATCGTTCTCGGTGATGTATTGTTGTCCAGCTAACGGCATATCACAGTCCCAGCAACAGAAATGTTTCACATGGTAATTGTGTCCTTCCGCGACTGTATATTCCCGTACGAAAATCAACTGTAACAAGGCAGAAGCACAGACTAATTGAAATGTCAGTTTCGTTTTCTTTATTTTAAACATAGTTCAAAGGATAAAGTGTACACACAGAGCGCCTCAAAATTATTATGCGATACAACAGCGTATTTTAGTAGCGTATTCTCTGGAGCTTGATTGATGTAAAAAATCTTAAAACTATCGAAAGAAGTCATTTATCATGTTACTTTTTCAATTTTTGATATTATATACAGGGTGCGGCGCCAAAATCCGGACAAATTAAATATTTTTCGAAACATAATTTTTATTGCAAAAATGGAGAAGTTTATAATTATTTCTTTTACTAAATTGTTTGTTAGGTCAGAAAGAACACATTTACTCAATATAACTCCCTTCTGCTTGAATGATCGCCTCCATTCTCGGTCTGAAGCGTTTGCAGGCCCGTTTTAATGAGTCACGGTCCATATCGGCGAATACCGCTTCAATAGCGGCTCTCAATGATGCGACGTTTGGATGTCTGGACTTGTTACTGACCCTTTCAACCACGCTCCATATATAGAAGTCCAAAGGATTTAAATCTGGGCTGTTGAGAGGCCAAAATTCTTTAGACCAAAACATGTCGACGTTGTCCGACAACCAATTTTGCACCAAATGACTTGTGTGCGCGGGCGCACTGTCCTGCTGGAAAACATACGGCTTTCCAGACGATACAGTTTCCATCCACGGCTTCACCACATTTATCAGAACATGCAAATAAACTTCTTTTGTGACATTTTCCCCTTTGTTGAAGAAATGCGGTGGCATGACATCACCCTCACTGGACACAACACTTAGCACGTGAACATTCGCCGGAAATTTCGTTCTGGAAACAATGGGGATATCTTCAGGATCATGGGCGAGCCAGCGATCGTTCCTTCGATTGATTTTCGCATCGACAGTAAACATTTTTTCGTCAGAAAAAAACCTGAGGCGTCCGGCAGCATTGTTTCGTAAAGAACACAAAAGCAGGTTACAGCGCTCAACTCGTTTTGTCCTGGCAGCTTCGGAAAGCATTTGTTTCACTTTAATTGTATAAGAATTGTAGCGGAGGTCCTCCTCGACGATTCGACGCATAGTTTTTTCACTCACACCGACAACCGACGACAATTTTCGAATCGACTGCCCTGGATCTTCAAAAATCAGCTCCTGGGCCCGTTGAATGATTTCGGGCGTCCTGACAACGCGCTCCTTCGAGTGAGTTTTCCTTGCCGGTGTTGCAAAACCTTCGTTGGACTTCTCCGACTCGTTATACTTCGCGACGACATCATACACAGTCGATCTTGGGTACCCGAAGAATCGAATGATTTCTGTCGCTGAACGCCCAGCGCGAACACTTTCGATAATCACGGCTCTTCGATTATACTCCGCACTTGGTTTCAACATTGCAACTGTTTCGAGGTTATGAATGTTTAGTACATGCGTCAAGCTATTTGGACGCCAATCGTGACCTCTCGAAGTGATATAGAACGGCGGGAAATTCAAATTGAATTTTGTCCGGATTTTGCGCCGCACCCTGTATATCTTTGCATAATTGAGCTTTTAATTAGAATTTTATTTAAGTATATTTCACCTGAAATTATCTAGAAAATATAATTTTGTAATTTATTCAGCTTCCTAAAATTTAATTCACGAAGATCTCTCTCTCTCTTCTTCCATTAATAAATATATAATATATTTAAATATATGTGTGTGTGTATATTCTTTTTCTCAATTACCTCGTCGCAAGCGAAGCACCGGGGGATCCCCAAGTGTGCGGACAAGTCTCTCTCGCAGTACAACTCGTTCTTATAATGAAAGTATACCAGGTCCATCAGCAATTCATTGCACACCGAGCAGACGAAGCAACCGGGATGCCAGGACGCGTCCTTAGCTTTCTCCACGATCACGACGACGTCGCCAATGCGTATATCCTCATGACACTTGCGACACTTTTGCGCTGCAGTCGAATCCACTCTGAGACCTTCCATGGCGTTCTTCAAGTGCTCCATGTGCTGCACATTTTGCTGCTCCGCTTCGTTGATAGCTCCGATAATGTTGTGCGGAAACACCTGGTTGTGCAGCTGCTCGGAACGCAGAACGGTCGGTTGCACGAGCGAACTGCTCAGCTTGGCCTGCAACGGGCTGCTGATCTGTGAAGGAGAGTTCGACGCGGGAATAATAGTATCCGCGGGCCTACATCTATTCAGCAATACATCCGGGGTGTTCTCCATTGCAGCTCTGGACACGTCCGTCCCCAAGGATATACTTGGACGCACACTGAGGACGTTGTCCACCACTTTGTGAGTCAACGGCCGACTGCACTGCTCATTGAGGCCAACAGGCGCGGTGGTCGATTGGGTCACGTGAGACAAAGGTTTACACGTCCTCCTCTCGGCTTCTAAAGGAGCACCTGTAGCGTTAGCGGGCTCCGTTCTCTCCAGGAAGGTTCCCGTCGGACTCCTCGTAGCAGCTGCGATGGCAGCTCTCTCGGCATCCTTGTTGACATTGGCGGAACTGTTAGCTTCTTTGAGCGCACCACCACGTGGGTGCAGCACGTCGCTCGTATCCAACGGCCGCGACGACTTGGGAGCGGTGTGCAGCACTGGGTTCTCCAATGCGTTGTACTTGTCAGCGAGCTTCTCCCTTATAAACATCAATCCCTTCTCGTCCAAGGTGCTCCCGATGATGTCATTGATGTGTATCGCACTAGGCGGAAGAAGCGCGTCGGCCAGCATATTCTCGGCGATGGTAGCCGCTTCGCTGTTCTGATCTTCTGAGTATGCGAGATTGTATCCTGGCGTGGTGTTGCTCAGCGTTTCTCTACGCTCCTCTGAGTGCGTCGACGCGCTCCTCAGTTCGTTTTTCCATTCAAGCGGCGGATAATTACCAGAAATATGCTTCTCACGAGCGGCTACAATCTCCTGCTCGGCGAGACGCGCAGCGACCGAGGAGTTCACTATTTTGCCGCCCCTTCCGTTCGTCGACACGCCGTCATTCATGTTTTGGGGATTACTGTGGAACTTGCCCTCGACGGGCAGCGATCTTGCGACAATGCCGCCGATATTGGACATGTTTGCCAAGGAACGGTTGTATTCTTCTGCATTAGGCATCCTCTGGTCACTCCTGACTGTGGCATCTTGCAGCCTATTTGGACTGTCGTACAGATGCTTCGCGTACGGACTCTTCACAGTAAAGCTACTCGGTGTACGTAATTGGATGCCAGGGTAAGGTTTGTGTTGCGAACAGCAACGTTGCATGTTGATTGCATTAACGAGCGTCATGAGAGAACAGTCGAACGGACGAGCACCTAACATCTGAAAAGGTGGAATTTTGTGTTACATACTTGCGTCAAAGTTACCGCAATAGCGACGTTTTTATGTGCATTATAATCGTTGACATTTACTTTGCTGATATTGACATAGAAAAAATTATACATTTTGAATGTCTTTGATTTTAAGATATATGTTACAAAAAATGAGGAATTCTTGGTTATTTTATCTGTAAGACAGATAAGACCAGTAAAGGCCACCGTACAAAGTTTCAGTTTAGATGTGTGTGTGTGTGTGCATAGTGCGCGCGCGTATAGTGAAACTTATAAAGAAATATTTTAATTCTTTCCAGTCGTACTTTCCGTAGGCATGGTAGTCTTACTGATCAGAATTATTTTTGGGTCGCGCGCGCTCAATCAATTATTGCCTAAAAAATCGTATGAATTTTATTCAAATGAGTTTGTTTAAGCTATGTGCATATTATTTATTATCTTGATATTCGATATTTCCCACATCTAGATTTACCCATAATTTTCTTTGGTATGATATATTTCGAAACAATCACCGATATGTAACCTCGGCTTTCTTACGTATATTGCACAGTAGTATAAAATTCGTCATCACTTCGCACATCTTCATGTTCACTAGGCTCTTGTCTTCTTTTAGACATTTCATATAATTTTTACAAACGTAAAAAATAATTTAAATACCAATGAATAATAAGAAAATAGCAGTAAATATCAGTAATACTAAATCTGTTGCCTGTTTGGAAAGAACGATTTCAACTGATAGAAAAAACGACTATTTCTGCCGGCAAAAGGTCCATAGTATAAAAGAATATCCCGGGTTTCGACCGGAAAGAGTTAAATTAAGTCGTTTAAACTCAAACCTTTCATAGTCTTTTCAGGATTATTTTAGTATATAGGACATCATCAATTTATAAGTAAGTCAAAAATTGTATGCGACTTCCACATATTTGTAAAGTAAAAATTACTCAGAACAGACTCCACTTTTCATAACATATATTAAAATAAAAATCCAAGATATATAATCTTTTCTTTATAATTATCTAATCGTTTTTTGCTTATGTGAGTATCTTTGTGGCTTACCTTCATTACTTTGCCTTGTCCTGCGTACTTCTTGATGTTCTCCAAATATTTCTCAAACTGCTTCTGTTCTTGCTCGCTAAGAGCATCGCAAGCCTTATGATCAATATCATGCAGTGGTAATTGTTTCTGCAATAACTGCCTTCTCAAAGCGGCACCAGCTGATCCTTTAATCGGCAATTTATCGGCCGGCAAAGCCTTCATGTAATCCATAACAAGTTCCTTGGTTGTATCCGGTGGTACCCACTCAAACGTGGTTTCACCTTCATTTTGTTTTTTGTTGTTTACTTGCAGACCTGGGTATCAAATTTAACAATTAAATAATTTAACAATGATATAAATACCAATAGATGATGGTGATTATTTGGTTGATAAAGAATTTGTTTCTATTAAATGCGATAACATGAATAAAAATGTATATTTATATACTAACGCATCAATTTCTTTTTAAATTTTCCGCTTGGTCCAAATAGCAGGTCAAACTGTGGGAACTCGTCATTGTCAACATCATGATCGTCTCGGCTACATTTGCAATTCTTGCAGATTTTTCTCCAGAAGTGCAAATCAAGGCCAGGACACGCAGAGTTGCAGTTCGTGCACGGTGCGCCAGCACCAGCCTCGTGTGCTAAACGCGGCTGGAAAAAAGAAAAACACAAGACGCGGTATGAAATTAATGTGAAATTGTGAAGTAACACGTGGATGTTATTGTTTCCTTTTTCTTTGCAATTTGAGATTGTGAAATATCATTTTAAACGTTGCGCAGGTAGTGTCCTTGCGATACAACCGCATCTATCTACATCGTAAGAAGAGCGACGATCACAACGAACCTTTCGCTTACGATTTTCCAGCTCCAGCAACCACTTGGGCCGATTCGCCGTCTCCTCCTCCATCGTACAGATAACAAAGCACTTTGTGAAGTCGAAAAAATTGCTGTAATATCCCGATTACACGTTTGTCCAGTCGATTATTAAGTTTATTTCGTCATTCCATAAGTCGAATTTATCTCATGCGGTCACTTGACGTTTCTGACACGAATGTGGATGAGTCATCGGAGCGGTTTAACCACTGCCACACCAATACTTGAGTTTCTCCCTTCTTCTGCCACACTCCATTTCTTCGACAAACAGCTCCCCATTCTTCGCCGCTCTTTCAAGCATACACACGTGTATGTTTGTGTGAGGCTGCTCTCCCCTCTTCGGTTCTATCCTGGCCCTGCTATGCGGTGAGCAATGATCCCGCACACAAATGAAATGAAATGTTTTCAAAGGCCGTACACGAAAGTGGGGATCGCCGGCAGGCTTTGTACTTGAAGAAGCGCGTCTTATGTTCGAGCGTATCGCGCACGTTCGCGCGGACGAAACTTCACAAAGCTCCTAACAAGATGACGAACGGAAACGCGAGTCTCTTCCCACGAGTTCCATTTATTCCCTGCAAATAAATATTCGTCATACATTTATCGAATGACTCCTTTAGTCTAAGCTTCATTCATATGAAATGCATAGAAGACTCAGAAAGGAAATATAATGGGAAGGAATCGCGAGAAAACGAGAGGTGCACTTGTCAATCAGCAAAATAATCAGCAAATAAAATAGCGTGTGTGATGTATATTTCAAACAAAAATTTAAAAAAATATGTACAACGAAAATATCAATTTCTCAACTGTACATATCATACGTGGCTCGTGTGTTGAATATTCGCAACTGAAATCTCAAGTCTCAGATCCCAAAAGCGGTATCAAATTCTTCTTTGGTGATCTGTAAAAAAACGTACAAGCATCATATAAAACCGTAATGCATGAGAAATAGATCTTTGTGACATAAAGGAAAAATAATTGACATAGAAGATGTTACCTTTCTCTTTTTAAATTTTTTCATTAACGCTATATCTTTTGCCAGCTCTTCGAGATCCTCTTCGTTTATTTGCTTTTTTCTCTTTTTACCGGAAGCTGTTGATAGCTGTTGCTTCAGTTTCTTTTTCTCTTTCCGTTTACTTCGTTTTTCTTGCTTTTCTAGTTTTCTCTTCTTGGTTTCCGACCAAGATTCTGTTTGTTTCTGTTTACGCTTATGATTACTCGGCCAAACGCCGGTGTTTTGATACTTCGTCAATTTTTCTATCCTATGAGACTCACGTTGTTTGTTCGCATAAGCTATCGTGTTCACGTCGATCTCAGGACCAACGAAGGATGACACATCCTTCCCTTTAAGCTCAGGCATCCTTGGCATTCTTAACAACCCAAAACCCATGGCCAATTTTCCCAAGTCGATATCCTTTAATCGGAGAATCAAATTACATTCGTGTTTACTGTACGCCTGCACGTACGAAACGAATGCGCGATTTGCTTTGTCAAATATAAGTCGATCTTTCTGCTGCAAATCCCTCATACATTTCAGGCATTCTTTCACGGTATCCTCAGACGTTTCTCTTTCTATTTTATGCAATTCCACCTTTTGATTTCTTTTGATAAAATCCACGTATGCATCCTCGGTTTCCAAGAGAAATAGCAACGCATTCCCCTCATTGCCGATTCTAGCTGTCCTACCGCATCTGTAAATGTTCAATTAAATTCGTAAAACAATTCTTCAAAATATTAATGTACACCATTGACTTTTGTATGAAGCAATGTCATTACCTATGTACGAAACTGCTAGCTGTGGATGGAGGATCATATTGCAATACCCAATTTACTTCGGATATGTCAATCCCACGAGCCATTACATCTGTACATATTAAAATACCGCTTTGGGCATTACGAAATTGATCAAATATTTTGTACCTCTTGCTCTTCATTTTGCCATGTAGAGCTGATACATTTATTGATGGTAATAATCTGTAATCAAATTATTTCTAAGGATTCAAACTGTATATTTTACTTGTTTGCTATGATAAATCAATCCTTGAGCAAAGTACTTGAAACATATCTTACGTTCGTATGATTTGGCTAAAGTAATCCACACATGCACAAGTGGATAAGAATATCATATACTTCATATCAAATCCCTTTGAGTGTATAAAGTCTATCATTACTGATAACTTGTGTTCAGGTTGGACAATAATATAATTATTGCTCAAGTTTACAGGTGTTGAAATATTAGATTTTTCTTTTACGACAATTAGTGCTGGATTTCTTAATCCTGCTCTGATTAATTGTTGCAACTCTTTTGTCTGTGTTGCTGAAAATAGTCCTGTTCTTCTGAGACGTGGTAAATAACTTAATATGCTATCTAAACTTGTAGAAAAACCCAAATCCAACAACCTATCTGCCTCATCTAATATAAGAAGCTCCTACGGAAAAGAGAACAAGTTTACAGTCCATAATTTAAAATATATTATAGAGAAATTATAAAGAGATGAGTCAATTACCAAGGATTTCACACATGAGCTCAAACGTATAGATGTACAATTGGACAGGATATCTTCCAATCTACCAGGTGTAGCAACAATGATATTCACTCCTTTCTTCAACTTTTCTGCATCTTCCTGAAGTGTTACACCTCCAACCAATAGTACTTGCTTTAGTAATGGGATTCTTTTCAAAAACTTTTCTAAAATTTCACTAATCTGTGTAGCTAGCTCTCGTGTTGGGCTGATTATTATCGCACCTATCTCCATTATCTTCCATTTCTCTTGCCTTTTCTGTTACAAATACTGATTAATTTTTTAGCGAATAGAGCATTATCTTAACTTGCTAATAGAAATAAAGACTTTTTTCTTAAGTATTATTTATCTTATTATCTTGAAACTTTTTATTTAGAACAAGCAATATATATTTATTAAAAATTACCTGTAATATCTCCAATAAAGGAACAAGAAAAGCAAGTGTTTTTCCACTGCCTGTAACTGCTTCTGCTGCTATATCTTTACCATTCAACAATAATGGTATACAGGCTGCCTGCAAATTGACAAAATGATATCATAAATATTATATCATTTTGACTAAATCAAACCATGGATTTAATTCTATCTTATTTATGTATTTAATTTCTTTTTCTTGAATATTATGAGTATATTACCTGAACCGGTGTCATATTGAAAAATTTTAGTTCCTTGAGTGTTTTTAATACTGGATCGCTTAATCGCGTATCTAGTTGTTCCCATTGTGTTTTCATTATAACACTATTATTTTTATTGTTTTATTTACTCTACTATTTATTCTATTTAATTCGAATAATAACGGCATCAAACGACAATAGAAGTAATTTCTTATTTATAAAGAAACGATATATATTTTAAGGTTATATATACAGTCGTGGACAGAAAAATAGTTCGTAATTTTTTGTATGAGTTTTAGAACGTATCCGTCTTATTCAATGGGTGCATTCAGTACTACAACCGCTCACTGAGCTCTCAATGCTGGTTTAAGCCAGCGGCACACGGTGCTTGTTTTCATGCTGGATTGCTTGCTGGATGAAAATACTGCGTTCTAATTGGTGCATTTCCGAAGATGGATGGAAATGCACCAATCAGAACGCAGTATTTTCATCCAGCAAGCAATCCAGCACGAAAACAAGCACCGTGTGCCGCTGGCTTAAGATTTAATTGACGTTAGTAGAAACAAACATATGTCAAGTCAATTTTTAAGCGTCGCTAAACTTGACGAAATTCTTTAACTACTTTGGAAATATCTTTACAGCCAAGAGCATTGATTCGTCAACTTTCATCTCTAATCAAACGATCAGTGGTTGCGTTCAGAAAACAAAGCGCTCACTGAGCGCTTAGTAATTATGGCCGCGTTCAGTAGAACAAAGTGATCAGAGAGCGCTTAGTGATTATTGTCTGTGATTGGAGCATTCTTTTAGATTCTTCATAGACCCAGAAGTATTTACCAATCAGGAGCGAGATTCAGTGGAAAATCTAGTAATGTCCAACTGTTGAGTCTGCTGAATGCAGCCAAAGTTTCTCCCAAGCGTATTTACGAATTGTCCAGCAAAATCGCGAGTTTGGTTCTACGTTTCGATTCAAACTGACTCGCACAACCGGCTCTGTTTTGGCGCGAAGCTGCTTTATGGCAAGTAGTTCATGCAAAAGGTCACGACTATCATTTAAATTGTCTTATCGTGTACACCGGCTTAAGGTAAAATAACCCAAATTGTTTGTAAAATAATGAAAATTTGAAATATATATATGAAAAATGGAGATATTGAGCAATTAGCGTTACAGATCACATGTTCATTTTATTAGTACATACATACATGTCTAATTTGACTATTGTCGACTCCTTCAGTAAAATTAAAACTATTTTATTAATTGCTCTTTCAAGTCGTCACAAATTTAATTAACTTTCTTACGATGTCCTAACCTGTAAACAATTCCTGTCAAGGCCAAATCCTTGTTACAGAATATTTAATAGTTTGAACAAATAATGATGTATGTTTCATCTATATTAATTTCTTTGTTTAGCAACATGGAAGATTTGACAACGATTCAAGATGCACGTTTGAAAAAATTTATGATAGATAGCAATGATGCACTGGAATTTAGATTGATTCGTAGTATTGAGGACCTAGCTTCTGAAGAAGCTGTATTTAAACCAGAAATGTCGCATCAAGTGTTTGGTTCAATGTGTGTTATCATGACATTCGTATAGAAAATTATCTTTTTAAAGATAAATCTTAAAATATCTGTACGGTATGAAAGTGCAAATTATTTATCTTATCTAATTTATTACAGGGAAACTATATTCGGTTACCGTGATCTAAAGGTGCAGTTATTCTATGCAGCAGGTTGCTTGGAAACCTTTTTGGGAATGACATATACAGAAAAAGCAAATGATCTTGATTTCGAAGGAGTTGAACCTGATAAAGTTTTAACAAAAATGGCCGAAAAACTTGCACCAAATGTCCATTATAGTCTAGATACTTTCATTAATGCGCTTAAAAAAGATGACACATTTAAACCAGATGGAGAGTTGCTACATTCGTTTACAATAAATGGTACTTTCAGTGTTTACTGATATAGAATGCTAAATAACATTTTTATTTCTACATAAGCAATAGTTATGTTAAATCATAACTGTACAACTGTATATGTTAAATTTTTCTTCCATTGTACCTCAAATATAGACAATAGTACTGCGAGACAATTCGAAGTTTACAAAGCAGATATAAATTCTAAAAAGTTCAGAGAATATCATCAGAGGATTCAAACATTTCTTCTTTGGTACATAGATGCAGCTAATTTTATTGATGTTGATGATGAACAATGGAGTTATTTTAATATGTATGTATTAACATCACTGTGTATGTGGTGTAGTTATGTAATAGATGAAGTATCTTATATATGATCCATGATCCTTATTAGATATTTTCTTCTTTTTAAATAGGTTTGAAAAATATACCACATCTACGGGTGCAGCCCGATATGGAACCGTCGGTTTTGTTACAGTATACCGTTATTACGCATATCCGGAGCATATTCGGCCACGAATTGCACAAGTGTTAATTTTGCCGCCATTTCGACAGATGGGTCTTGGCACGCAGATGTTGCAAGCAATTTATCGCGAATATGTTGGAATGAATGAAGTTAAAGATATAACAGGTAATGGAAAGAATAAATTAAGTTATTAAGTAATCATATACTTTATATATGAGAAACAATATGTCAGTTCGTATAACTGGATAGACATTAGAAGAAAGCAGATCATGCCTTACAATATAATATATACGTACGATATTCTATCGATATAGATATTTACAATTTGCTTTATTATGTATCTTGATATAGCATCTGGTTTTTGTGGGCCTTTATAGCTTTTTTATTGTATATCATAGACTATTTTGTGATTTATTTTTTTTTTCTGACAAAATCATTTGCAGTTGAAGATCCGTCCGTGACGTTCCAACGAATACGAAACTACGTGGACGCTGTGAATTGCAGCACATTACCTAGTTTTAAGCAGGAACACTTGATGCAAGGCTTCAGTAATCAAATGGCTATTGAAGCTAGAGACAAATTCAAAATAAATAAGGTATCTATGCTATATTAGCACATCCACAATTCGCTATATATTATCGCCATTATTCCTTCTCTCTCAAATAAGAAATATTTTTTTCTGCAGAGACAAGCTCGCACGGTGTATGAGATCCTGCGACTACGCGCAACGAACATCGCAAACGAAGAGGACTACCGAGCGTACAGATTAGACGTGAAGGGAAGATTGAATATACCGTATAAGAGAAAAGAGAACGAAGAGAAGAAATTAGAACGCGCATTGATGTACGTGGACAAGCGTGCTAACCCACTGCCGCCGTTCGAACAACGTGTACAATTACTCGATAAGGAATATCGATTTTTAGAAGACGAATACAAAAGAGTTATTCAGCGTCTGGAGGATGCACCGGAGTTGTGAAAGAGAAAAACAAAAAAACGTTGCATGAACTTTGTCCGTATTAATCAATCAAGAATTTTTTTTTTTTAATATGAATGGAAAAATATATTAATAATTTACTATTATTTACGCCGGTGTGTATACATTTTTTTTTTTCGTACTGTGGCGTATCTTGCCTCTCATCTCATATCTTTGATGTTCCACTGTTTTGTGTTCTCACGTCGACGGACGGCCGAGCTTGCGGCGATCGGCCGCGTGTCTTTACGATCTCTGTCAAAATGGTTAGATAATCGTTAGCAACTCCTATGTGACACTCTTCAAAATTTCTAGTATAAGATCCGCCGCACCGCGCAACCAGGAAACCGATTATATTAGCACGCGCGCACCTCCGTGATTCTTTCCCTCGATCACACTGAAATGGAAGTTTTCACGGTGTTCTTGAGTTGTACGCGTCCACGACTCCCAGCCACTTAAAATGTCACAAAGTATAAACCACTGCCAGCCATGAATCACGGTAATAGCTGAGCAACAATAGAATGCTGTCGTTCTACGAGGCTCATGTCGCAACTGAACCAGACCCCGTCCGAGGAGGCCACATTAGCAGCCCGCGGTTACAAGTTGGTGAGAAAGCTCGGCGAAGGTTGTTATGCGAAGGTCTATATCCCGTTTAAGAGATTCCATTTTTTCGTCCAGGTGCTTCTGATGTTGTAGATTATTTACTTATCTTCGCCCTTTCTCGTTCAGGTGTACCTGGCCGAGTACAAACCGGAACACGAGACTGACCACAACAACCCCTTGGCCTGCAAGATCGTCGATACCGCAAACGCGCCGAAGGACTTCGTCAAGAAGTTCCTGCCACGTGAACTGGACATCCTGGTGAAGCTGAATCACCCGCACGTCGTGCATGTGCATAGCATCTTTCAGAGACGTACAAAGTACTTCATATTCATGCGCTTCGCCGAGAACGGTGATCTTCTCGACTTTGTGCTGAAGAATGGCTCGGTTGCGGAGAATCAGGCCCGCGTGTGGTTCCGACAGCTTGCTTTAGGTATTCGTTACGTTCATTGCATTCGTTTTATTATTTCTGTCAGATCTTAGCATGTTAGCGGAACATGTTGATATTATTTACGCTGTGCATATATTTGCCATAACGCGATTTTATGTATCTTGCCCAGGTCTTCAATATCTGCATGAGATGGAGATAGCGCATCGCGACGTGAAGTGCGAGAACGTCCTCCTGACGTCCAACTACAACGTGAAACTGGCGGACTTCGGATTCGCCCGCTACATGGTCGACAGCCGCGGTAAGCGCGTACTCAGCGACACGTATTGCGGCTCGCTGTCCTACGCGGCTCCGGAGATTCTGCGTGGTTTCCCGTATAATCCAAAGATATCCGACATATGGTCGCTCGGCGTGATCTTGTACATACTGTTGAACAAGGCGATGCCTTTCGACGAGAACAACATTAAGCGGCTGTACGAGCAGCAGATAACGCGCAAATGGAGATTCCGCAGCAAGGTGATGGGTACTCTGACCGATCATGTGAAGAAGCTCGTGGGCAACCTGTTGGAGCCGGACGTGACCAAGCGCTGGCGGTTCGATCAAATCGTGCAGAGCGATTGGATCGCGATAGACCCGCGTCTACTGGTGCTCACGCCCGCGGAACAGGCCGCGTTGAACAACGCGATCGAGGAGCGGAAAAAGCACGAGGAGAAGTTCACTAAGAGGGACTCTATGCGAATGCAGAGCATCGTACGATTGTTACTCTTCAGCCTTCATAAGTTGGGGTGTCTCTTTCTGTTGTTTCTGTTGTACGTCGTGCTGAGTAGAACGCTGCTGCTCGTCCACTTTGTGTGCACGCACGTCTTGTAGTATATCCGATCGCGAGATTTTGGCCAAGCCTCGTAATCATAATAATTGAACATGCTAAATTTTACAAACGTATAAGTAAAAAGTGCGCAAGTAATGAGTAGTGTCGCGAGATCACGAGTGAGATCGATTTTTAGAAAAGACTCAGAGTCGAGGAGAGAAAAAAGGTCGACGAAGACAAGCCACATGGAGCAGAGGACGTGACGGTTCTCAAAGATGCTGCGAAAGTACGTTGTGTGTGTGTGTGTTTTTGTGTGTGTGTGTGTGTGTGTGCACGGAATTAATCATCTATGAAGGTTACGTGAGAGGAAAAAGAAACAGAGGTAGCGAAACTTTTCGTCTTTTCTTTATAGGCGGCAGCTTCTACGATTATTACAGGCGGAGTCCAATTTCAAAATCTCAGCACGTAACTGCGATCTGTAATGTGCTTCCTTGCATCTTTACCTGACACTTACGGAAATAAATCATCCGATGAATAAGTGACAAGATGAAATGCCACACATGTCATATAAGGTAAACGTTCTAATCAGTGACTAAGTAACTTCATCGCGAAAATAGAATAATAATACACATGTTAAGTTAAAGTTGATTTTGTTAGAAGTTTGAATATTCGGGGTTTTAATTGTATATTTTCTTAATTTTAGATTTTATCTATTTTATATTTTTTCAAAAATGACTGAAATGCTATTTAGTGATATGATAGTTTAGTATTATTTCTCATTGACAGTCTAAGCATGAAGAAGCTAAAGAATAACTTGCATAGATCTAACAAATATCCGATCAACAATTCTAACAATTAACCGTCAATTGTTCAAGCTATTGTCAGTAGCACACTTGCAATTATGATGTTCCAGTATTTACCACGGACTTTAATTTTATTTAAAATTTGTTTTGATAAAATTATATATAATTATATATGGCATATATAAAATTATATATAATTATTACATGTTTACATTTATATATAAGTATTACATGTATTACATTAATAATTGATTATATATCAAAGTTAAAGTAAGAACACACGTTCAGGATAAATACCGATTGGCATCGGCTGATTTATTAAAGAAAACACGTGCAATCGTCACAAATTGGGACGCTAGCACTAATTAGAACATTCATCTTATACACATTTGATATTCTTGATGCTTTGCAAATCGATGTATATATTTTTTAAGCAATTAATATAGACATGAATGGACATATTTACAAAGAATGCGAATTCACCAAATTTAAAATAAGCTTATCTCTAGGAATTATTACATTAACTACTTTGTACACTTCAGTTACTCACATATCGCGCTTTCAGGAGAGTCGTGCTATTTTTTTCCGTTACTTTCACATAATAATCAGTGCCGAGAGCGAAGGTTTTTACCTCTCCGTTCAAAGGTAGTTTGAATATGTGTTCTGGATGAAAGACTCCTCCGAGATTCCACACGCCATCAGATCGTATCAGTAAGTGTTGATTATTTGGCGCTTTGCTGGTCAGCAATATATCCGAAGCCGGCAGGATATATTGTTCAAATTCATCCCACTCTTGATAACGCAACACTAAGGTTTGTCTCGGCAATTGCACAGCGATCCAAATCGCGTGATTGGTTGGCTCCACAGACGCTTGGAGTACATCGGGCACGTGTAATTCTGCCAATCGATAGTTGATACTGTCATAATTTCGTTTTGCTGCATGCTACACGTTTGCACGGAAATTTAGAACCGATATACTAACATCCATGATCTATGTTTACGTGAATATATAATTGATTTGAAAATTGCTGCTGCAAATTCACTCTATATGAGTAAAAAATGACTCAAATTCGAATGACTTGGTGGTCTGAGGAAAAGTAACTTGTAAGTATAATGTATTACTTTCCAAGTCTGATATCTGTACGGATGTTAGAAAATCGGTTTTAGGCCTCCGTGTGAACGTCATGTTATTCATTTGAACTTGCGGAACTTGCCTGCTCTCTTATGCAAATCCTGTTCTGCATCGTCGTATGTATAAACCGAGACAAAATCCGACGACACTATTACTACAAACAGGGTATCACCTAGCAGCATCAATTTCGTCGTTATGAACGTGCTGGAATTTTTGCCGGCAAGAATATTCGTTAATTTCGTGTTGTTGCAAAATGTGGAAAAATTCTTTCCTTCACAGACGCAAGTACTGTTGAGAGTCATCACATCCTCGGTATTAAGATTTGTAGTAATTTTCAATGTATCCTCTTTTACCTCTTCGAATTTACTCACATAAATTGCAGGATCTACACAAAAAAAAATAAAATAAATAAGTCAGCATTATCGTCAAGCTCGAAGCACTCAACAATCAGAACCTATACAGCATGAATGACTAAAAGACATCTTGGAGACGTTCGAAAGATATCCTACTTTTAGATGTCCTTAAAATGTCTTTAAGATGTATTAGATATTTATGCTGCTTGGGAATGATCGAACTCACTATGTAATCCAGTTTTTATGTCGTCCGCCATTTCCAGAACTTCTGTCGTTCTGCTCAGAACGGCGTCCAATCTGTTATCACTAATATTGTCTAAATCTATGCCTTCGTAAAGTTCACCGATTGTGATATTTCCGAAAACCTCAAGATGCTTTTGGAAGTTGATCTCGCTTTCTATTGTTTGCGCCAACTCGTGTTTCTTCACTTGATTATCTATTAATTGCGTAAGAATTACGTCGTTTACCGCGCTTTCGGTAATAAGAGATGATACATTAAGGTGACCATGTATCTTCTTGAGACCGAATACTGTCTGATTTTTAGACTTCAGCAACGCTTGCTCAATACTGTACCCCGCAAGCTTACCATTGACACTAGCAAAGAGGAGTTAAGATTTTAATAATGTTGTCGATTAAGGTGTTGGTTCGAAAACAATGGCGATGTTACCTCAAGTTGTTCAAGCTAATGTTCTTGAAAGTCTTTTGACCTTTGATTACGGTTATATCTCGACATTTTTTAGTTAGAGCATATTTAGCAAATTTCGAAAACTCATTGTTATGTGACCAAAGTTCATCGGTCACTAAATGTGCAACTTTCTTCTTCCCAGTAATAATATTTTGCTTCGCGTCAAATCTGACGATGTCTGTGTTCAAATCGATATCGTTGAACTTGCCGTTCCAATACAAATGGCCTAAATCAAGCGAGATCATAAAACTCTCTTAATATTTTTGTAAAGGAATAATAAATAGTACATTGCTTTCTCCCGTTGAAGTATTCTCACCTATACTCAGTTCGTCAAAGTGCCATGTAGCATCTACGACTTGCGCCTTCGTACTGTTTCTCATCAAAGAATTAGTCAGCAGATTCTTTAAATCAGGGTCCGATGTCTGGAGAGTCGAATCATTCGCCGCGGTAACAGCAGGCACCACGACGTCTTTAAACGACGCAGCCACAGTGATATTTTGTTGCTTCGTTTTGCTCAATAATTTGCTCGACAGTCCCAACCACATGTTGATATTCAGCGAATTTGCAACGTTCTGAAGAGAACAACAGTTTCAGTTGTAGTTGACATTATAAATTTGAAGCTAATTGTTTTCCAACAATGTCCTTACATATACAATAACTTTCTCTTTTATAGACATGTTCCTTAAATTCATATTGCTACCGGATATGACTGCACTGCGATCCGACATCCATAAATCTTCGGATAATTTTTCAAGATCTATGTCGTTTATACTTCGCACAGTTGGTTCTTTCGTAAATCTAGCTGTTCCTACAAGCGTGTACATCACGTTTAAAAACTTGTCACTGTACAAAATGCAGTTAACAAATTATCGTAACTGCATACCCTCTATAATAAACGTCGATGATGCGTTGCTCGTAACGTAGCCGAAAGTCTGAGGCACGTTCATCATACTCGTCTCCAAAGTGTCGGAGATCCGTTTTGAGTGCAAATTAAGATGCACATCTATGTGGGGGAGATTTAACGTCGAACGAAAGGCATGTGTGTGGTTAGATGTGAATCCATGAGCTGTGAAACATGATGCAAAAATAATATAATTAGACTTTTAACGAATCGCGTGAAAATATAACATGTAATTTACCGAATGTTGCGTGTTCCAGAGATATTTCGTCATGCACTTTTTGCACATTTTCGATGAAGGATGACATATTCACGTCGTTGATCTTTCCGATATTACTGTTCCCAAGCATAATTACGGTATTTACCGTCGTAGGCAAAAAAATACCCAAATTCACCGGCGTTTGTAGATTCTCAACGAGTAACTTTGAAACATTTACTGGTCCCTTTATGTGATTCACATCTATCCACTTGTTTAGTTGGCTGTTTAATGCTATATAATGTAAATTGTATAAACGTAATATCATAAAAACTTATAATTTATATTTGAGCGCACAACATACACATACACGCATCCTTTATCCTACCTCTGACATCTACTCCTTTAATTTCCAACGCTGAGATATTTTTCACGACTACTCGCCCGGTGAACAGCTTTGTTGAGAAATCAACGCTCTGCAAGGCTGACACCGAATTGAACATAGTGTCATTTAAATCACGAGCTCCAGTAACATTCGAAACGTGCAAGTCTTTTACGATTAAATCGTCCACCGTTATGGAAGAACTTATAATGTCTCGTGTAATAACTTGCATAGCGCATACGGGAACGGTCAATCTGAAACACGCACACAGATATATTTTTATAGAATCTATATATCTTTTAGAAAAAAGATGTGCGCACTTTGAAGTGGGAAGATTCTCATAGGTAACGTTTGTTAAGACGATATCGTTGCTCGCGTATTTGGTACCAGAAATAATTATGGTGTCGGTCGAATTCTTCGTTACCCAGTTCTTGTAGTCCAACAGGGTTACATTGTCCCATTGCTGTGAAATAGAAACATGAAATAAATTTCAAGCGCAAAGAATGTCACGTGTAGACATATATCGTGACATTATTTTCTTAAATAATTACTATTTTATCGCTGGACAACATCAGATGTATCGGCACGTCAGAGTCCAGCGGTATGTTATCTTCTAAAATTCGCTTCAGAGATGTTTTACGAGGGCTGACGATATCTTTAGCTTCGACGAAGTTTCTGAACGTCGCGTTTTGCAGAAAACAGTCGTAAGGCACCTTCAAGGGTGTATAAATATCTGTCAAGGGCATTAATTTCTTTCCACTTTTGCCCGTTATTGTGCCCCTTATCTCGATAATTCCTGCAATTCTGACTTTTGCAGCCGTTATCGAACCGGTCATTGTGACCGTGGGACCGTTCAGTGGCAAAAAGAATTCGTTTTTGACTAAATGAAATTCCTTTACTCTTGCCTCGGTTATTTGCAATCTTGCACTAGTATCATGCGTCGCAATGTCCAGTGGTATGGAAATGCTGGTCGCATTTAAGTTGTTGAAATAGTGTTCACCTAAAAGATTCACGAATCGAGGATAATTGGCGTGAAAAGATCCGAGAGGAGAAACAGCATGCTGCATTGAATTACCTGAAACTTCCTGATCTCCGGAAATCTTCAATGTTTCTTCTTGAAGTTTTTTCATTGAAATCCCGTTAATAGACTCCTTAACGAATATATCTTTTACGACGAAGTTAGGGATGGGACATCTCCAGTTATTTATCGCTTTTACTTTTAAATTGGCGAATTTTAAAGAGCGATTAATGGTGTTTGGCCTTTTGGAGTTGTACGTAGGTCCAATCTCGCTGTCTGTATTTAAATGGTGAACATAACAATTTGTCTTGCATTGAACTGTGACTTTTTTGCCATACACGATTGTATGGTTAAATTTTTCGCCGCTCGTTCTTTCCGCTAATGTTTTGTTCGCCAAATTCAATTTGGAAATTGTTTTCCTATATTGCTCCGTCAAGCGAATCAATTCCGTCGCATTGTGATCGTTTATCTGCAAATAATATTCGAAATCAAATTCTTGTTAATTGATTTACGACAGACACACGGGCATCTCTGCTTGGAGTAGCAAAAATAAGAATCATATCTCACGTTCTGAACACGTAGTCGATGAATGTATGCGTCCCGCATCGTCACGGACCTCTTGAAGTCTAGAATTTTTTCTAAACTTCTCTGAGATGCTTTCCGCTTGACCGCAGAACACCAAGTCTCTATTTCACCCCGTAAAGTTTTCCATGTTTTCTTCATACTCCAAATAGGCCTCAAGAACTTCCACTCTCCGTCTTGATTTTGCACGATCAACATGTCTTCGCCGTACGAGCGGATTTGAAAAATCCGACGAATGCTCGACAGTCTCGTGCGTAGTTCTATGAATCTCCAACCGTTGTACTGATAAATCGTCGCGCTATTTTCTTCGATCACGGCAAAGAGAATCACGGTATTTCCCATCGTTAAAGAATAAACATATCTCGCTGGAGCGACTTTTTGAAACGGCACGAAACGATTATACATTTCCTTGTAGAAAATCGTGGAATTATCATCAGCCAGAGCTAAGAAACGTTCCTCGAAACGACCTTCTTTGAAGTAGAACAGGCTAGCGTCTCGAGTGCCGTGCAATTTCTGCGTCTCTATAAATTTATTCGAGCGCACAGAGAACTGGAATATTCTCGTGAGGGATCCCATCAGGATGACGTGCATGAAGCTCTTCTGCCGGAAGAACAACAATTTCCTCGCTCCGAAATGCAAAGTGTCTATCTGGTCGAAGTGCTCTCCGAGCCAGGTATATAAGAAGACCTTCGCGTCCGAAGCGATGCCTAGGTACAATTGATTCATACCAAACCACACGTTCATGTGCAACACTCCGGGAATCTCGAATTCTTGTTTGAATTGGAACTCGTAAGTGTTGGATTTGTTGATGCCGAGGCGCAGGACGACGATTTCATCGGTGTTCGTTTGGACGACCGTGAGCGTATCGATGCCATAATTATTTACTATTATCCGTTTTCCATTAGGCTGTGGATAAGTAGCCAAAAGAAGCGCCGTCTTAGGGTATTCAATATTATTGTCCTAAGAGAAATAGCTGTGTGACTATACGGAAGCTTCATGTATGTCTCATCTTTTTGAATAAAATTATGATTACGATTATGATGATCAATTATAACGTACAAATAACTGATACAGCAATATCCTTGAGGAGTCGATGGCTGCAGCGAGCCAGAGCAACTGTTGTCCATTTTGAATGGAGAACAGTGCTATATCCTGAAAGTCTGGTAGATTGATGGATAAGGCCTCTTTGAAACCTTGCAGCACACTCACCTCTGTTAATAAAAAACATATGATTTAGAGTTATAAATTAAACTGATAAAAATGATTTGATTACAAAAGATAAAATCTATTACAAAATCAAGTTTTGAAAATCGATATTGTTAATATACAGATTTTTTTATAAAAGAATCTCTGACATTTTATGTTCACATAAAGGAAACTTTATATATAGTTATATTAATATATATATATATATATATACATATATATACATATATTATATCACATGTGAGATGACGCTGAGATAACTAGAAAGAAGATGAAAAGTACTTCGCGACGCAGCATTCTTTAATTTAAAAACCCAATTGAAGGGGAAGGATTTCCTATTCCACTGTCAATTGATTTTCTGATAACCTCAACAACGAGTACCGTCTAGGCAACAGCAGGCGTTTCGTGTTATCGTTTCATTTCAGCCGACCTGATTATCGTGCTACGATACAACATCGTTTATTATTTAATCGCATGTGTCAACGTTCAGAGCATGTCTACTTCGCAGCAGGTGATGGAAAATCTGACGGCACAAGTGAACGAGCTGCAAGCTCTGCAGTCAGTCTACCCGACAGAACTTGCAGTGGCGGACTATGGGGTTTTGGCTGACATCAACAGCTACATCGAGTGTTCTGACAGAGATCCACCACGCTGGCTGGAATATGCTATCACGATTCCGTTGAATGGAGTAATGTAATATTTACTGTTCCATATAAAATGCACGCCATGTCTATGTATTTTTAGACGCAGTAATCCTCTCTACTGATTTTCCTCAGTACATATTCAATTGTATTTTTTATATTTAATATATTTTCCTTATTATCAGGAATTGATTGAATTGATGGTGAGTCTGCCGACTAATTATCCCCAAGAGCAACCTGAGATATACGCAAGAAGTTCTCGGTTGGATAGAACACAACAATATTTATTGAATAAGGAACTTTCTGTCATCGTTAAAGCTCAAGAGACAGGAGAGCCATGCATCTACACATTGATATCATGGTTGCAAGACAATGTGGAGACTTATTTGAAAGCTTCCACATGTACCCAAACAATGAAGCGTGATAATGCAAATAAAAATAATATAGGGGACCAAGCTGTTATAGTTTTCTCTCGATACTGGATTTATAGTCATCATATATACAGCAAGTTTAAACGACGGGATATAGCTAATCTGGCAAAGGAAAACTTGATCACAGGATTCTGCTTAGCTGGCAAGCCAGGAATCATTTGCATTGAAGGAACTCTAGAAGATTGTGACTACTGTTGGCAAAAAGTAACCTTGATAATAGTCTCCATAATACTTCTTAATGTTGCATATCTTTGATTTATATTGTCTTATGATTTGCAGATTAAAGCTATGAATTGGCACAAGATACTGATCAAATTAATGGAAAAGGAGAAAGACTGTAACAATGTAGATAACTTGCGTAAGTTTACAGATTTTCAAGAGGTCTCTTTTCCCACTACCGAGCGCCACAATGACATGGGTCAACTTCTCAAGTATCTAACCGAACACGACTGTCAGCACGCATTCAAGGAACTTTTCGGTATCGAAGGAAAGTTCAACAAACTCTCTGATTAACATACAATTGTATAAAGAGAAAAAGTTATATGATGTAATAAAAAGTATTTTATATAATATTGTCAACTTAACAAAATCTCTGGCATGAATATATGCCTAAAACCATTTTTCTAAACTCACCTTCAATGGGCTGTAAATGAGGGAAAGCCCTTGTCTGTCGCTGAAGGATCATCTTGGTTGTAGTTTCCATATATTTAGCAATTTTACTATCAATATTTGATGTGTCGGTATTTGATGATTCATATGCTAAAAGTGCCAAAAACTTTGTAAACGGAAGAATTTCAAGGCAAGTATGAGGGCATGATTGATGAATACTACCGTTGTTGAGATTTTTTATGTATTCTGACGTTCGATCAAGTATCGTGTATAAGTTGTTGACCGAGTAACGAGGATAACGTTTGCACTTTGTCACGCATATTAACACGAAAATTAGAAAGAGCTTCCTTAACATGTTCACACCGGATCTACTCTCGATCTATTAACTCTCAAGAATTGCCGCAGAGCTGGCTCAGAATGGACGATTCACTGTAATATCGTGTTTACAGTTTTTCTGTATATGATTCGTATATGATGTCTTCGGTCGATAAATATATTTAAATACTAATTCGAATCTTATGTTTGTACATATACAAGGAGTTTCAAAATTTCTCTCATAGTGTCTTTAACAAATATAAAATTGATGTATTTTTAACTAGTAGTCACACAGTTAATGCTGTTTTGATTTTCAAATTACAGGCAGACTAAAGATGAAACAACCTTGCTGATTCTGGTCAGATACATGTATGAAAATCTTACTCAAACTTATCATTTAAGAATCTTATCTAATCGTGGCATAACGTAAAAACTCATTGGTGAGAAATTGTCCTGGGATGTAAGGTGCTGGTGGACCAAGGATATCTTGAGCTGGACTATGGACTTTAATCTGCCTCATATGGGTGTCTCTGCCATTCTGATGATTGCTGATAACTGCTATTTGTATCATAAATGTTCTAATAGGGCGGTCGTTGATGTTTTTAATAGGAATGACTACCCAACCACTTGGTTCATTTAAATCCATTACTTCTACCTCTTGAAGATCATTGAAATTGGTGCCAGCTCTGATACTTATCCTAAAAATTTATCAGAATATAACGGAATCAGAATATACTTTTTATTTATTTTTTTTATTATTATTAACGGATACTTTCACCTCGGCAAGTGTGTTTCAGATTAATCGGAAATATCTTTACCTGTTAGGAGTGTAACTTTCGTCCAACTTATAATCTGTATAGATACATATGTCACGAATAGTAGTCTTTCTTTTGAATTGAATATTTACTAGATGTGGTAACTGTCCATCTGACTGCCAATATGTTTCTGTAATATCATCACGCAGCTGATCCACACCAAAGCCTGGTTTGCAGCTGGACAGACTCCAAATTGCATAATTTCCAACTTCTCGTACCCTGCCAGCCAATTGTTCCTGTACAGGATCTATCTCACCTAAAGAATAAAGCTGCAATTATAAATCTAACACAATGCAATTCTATATTTTGAAATCGATCAATCCACTACTTTATATTGTGCAAAATAAGAAATGTTGAAGTTGCAGTACATTTACCACTGTTGTTGGCCTTGTTGCTCATCGCTAGGTTATGTTTATTCAGGCCAATTGTCCCAATTCCTAAGATTTTCTAAAGAAACTTGCGGCTCAATTAATATTATTAATTCCTAGAAAAATCATACACTAGGCTACATGATTTTTTTTTTTTTAAAGTTACAATAGTTATGTTTTACTTTCAACGAACATCTTTCGCATCCCACGGCATTTAAAACCAAACTCGCCACGAAGCGCCATCGAGATATCGAACTCGTGGTCGAATCGAAATTTATTTTCAATCGCGACCGATACTTCGATTATAGCTAAATTTAAAATCTAATTCGTATCTCCGCAAGTAGCGAGTACTGATAATTATTCAATAATTTACACGCATAAAACGAAGATCGACGAGAGAGATAATTTGTCTTTGTTCGTAGTGCACTTTAGTTGGTGCTACGACTTCCAATTTTCAAAGACCCACTTGTGTTGTGCCGTGCGTCGCTATGGTTAAATTGATCGTCGCAAATGCACGACATAATCGTCACCTCCATGCTCTCATTTAACATTCCATTCCGAAGTGGTGTCAATTGTTGTGTGCGTGCGTTAATTAACGTTAGTGATGACAATCTGACGATTCGTCCATTTCATCTCGGAGGAACAGTTCGGAATAGTTAATTGAATAATTCTCGCGATGACATTAGCTCTCACAAGGATAGATTACACGACAGTAGGAGTCACTTCACGCGGCACGACCGTGCTATTTCCTCCCAATGAGGCGAAGCAACCGCAAAAATTCGCCGTTGCGGATCACGACGGCGTACTGCATATCTACGGTAATAAAACGCATTTCAATTAGCTCAGCTAGAGCACAAAACGTCTTAGAGTCGGTTGAGACATATCTTCCCAGGATGTCCTAAATATATTTAAAATGATCCCAGAACGTGTCCTCAATAAACAAAGAACAGTAGATTTCAAAATGTTGATTTCACAATAAACTAATGTATTTTTACGCTGAGAAAAGCTTTTCTCCAAATGAGAAAATATACATTTTTCTAAACCATATTTTTTCACAAAAGCAATTATTTATTCCATTTGAATAAAAGAAGTGAAATAAAAGAATTAAAAAAAAAATATCTGGATACAAAATATATTTAAATAAATATGTATTAGTACTTGCTGAATAAATATATTTTATTTTTTAGATATTTCTCCTCTCAGTGTATGTAACGTTCTATATCAATATTTTTTCTCAACCAGTGAATATAACATTAACATCTTAACATTTTCCCGCTTATGTAAGCAGGCATGAAAAAGGGAGAGCCGCAATTGTCGTTTAAATCTCTGCCCGGTCCAAAAATCCACAAAATGGTGCTCAGTGGCTCGATAGGTATGTTAAGGGATAAGGTTTTCATTGCGTATGGCAGCTCCGTAAAGGGATTCACGAGAAAGGGCAAGATGTTCTTAGAGTTTGACACCAGCCTTATAGATCCGATTTCCGCGCTGTAAGTCTACCTCACACGCTCGTCCGATTTCGTTCGATGACTTATCCGTTGCCCTACGATCGCGATTAACGACCGTGTTCTTACATAGGTACGTCCATGGTGCGGATCTCGCGGCGTGCGCGCGTGATCTTTATCACAGGTACAAAGACTGCAAAGACGCCGACTCGTACTTGGCCGGAGAGACGTTGTACGATGTCGTGCTCTTACCTGGGGAATACAATGCGGTATACGCTATTCTAGCTTGCGCGGATAGCGCGGTAAGATCTCACCTAACGTATTCCAGATAGCACAAAATGTCCTGAGGTTATCCTGTATGTGCTCGGGATATTTTGATACTAGAACTACCTAGAACAAGCGACCGTCTTGTAATTTCTTACAATTGTAAATATATAACGATGAGTATTATATTGTTAATGGACGTTGAGTAAAGCTGAAATAAATGAATATTTTTGCCCTTGCACAACGTCCCAGCAAACACACTAACTAACAATAACGTTACATCAATATTGCAATTTCTCATTCAATAATGTACGTGTTTTGTGTATAACATTATTATATCTATATTGTTGACTGCAAAATTGTAATATTAACGTAACGTTATTGTTAGCTAGTGCTTACCGAGATATTTATCGAGAAACCTGTCATTTTGATCGCTCTGGTAGAAGCAGCATTAATCATCGGTAGTTCTGGTGTTAAGTTATCCTGGATGGTAATCTTAGGATATCCTGAACATTCGAGCTGAATCTGAGACACTTTGTGTTACCTAAAATAATAATTGCATAGTGATTCAAGGAGATGCCTGGAAAAAGTATCATTGAATATTATCCCAAATAAATCTTCTCAAGCTGTTTGAATTTGATCTCCTCCGGACAAATATCTGAAAAGAGATACGATTATGCAACAAAGCCATCTCGCATAATCACTGACTCGTTAACGGGTAGAATCGTTGCACGATATGCGTTCTTGTTGCCTAGGTGCGCGTCTTGCACGGTACAAAGAGCCCGACAGTTCTAAGATTGCCAAGTGCTCCTACGGTGCTCTCCGTATACAGGTAGTTGTACCACTGCTATTTGCATCAAGCGTATCCATTACGTTTCCAAATTCAACTTATTACATCAAGTTCAATCAATGCGATCGCACGTCATCTCAGGGAAGGAGATGTACAGTCCAAGGACCGCGTTCTGGTTGGCACCGCGGACGGTAGGATCGGACTGTTGATTCTTCAAGGCAACAAAACGCTCCGAATCACTTGGCTGTTGACCTCGACAGGTTCAGAAATTACCTCGTTGGACACCTTCGAATTGCAAGATGGCGTAGATATTCTTGTGGGTCGGCAAGACGGAGTGGTTGAAGTATACACGTTCCCAGAGGAAGATGTGCCCTCTACCTTGCGCTACCACTACGTGAGTGATGAGGCGAATGTGAAATTCTTGTCGGATACAATCGGACTGATTGACAAATGTTACAGAATGCCGGCGAAAGTATCAGTACAGTCGTAGGCGGGATAATCGGCATCGCCAATTATCCCGAGGTCCTCGTAACGACTTATTCAGGTCGGATATTCGGCCTGACCACCAGTCCTCCTGGGCTGCTGGAAGCCGGACAGAGCGACGTTGGACTGACTAAGTTGAAATTGGAGATACAGCAATTGCATGAGCAGCTCACCGAGGAGAAGGAGTCGTCCAATTTCATGCCGGATCCCTTGGCACCTATAATATTGGCAGTGAATCATAAGTGATTGAATGATAGAAAATTACCCGCACGGATTCTTTGTTAACGTTAGAACTACCGACGACCTGTTTCTATCGGTCAAAATTATAAGTTCCTAAAGAATGTAAAAAATAATTATTTATTCTTCCTAGTTTCATCCAACGGATTAAAAACATAAAATGTCCTATGTAAATTTCTGTAATTTCTCGAAGAAATTATAGACCAGTTCGCTTTGGTAGTTCTAATACTGAGATACAAAGCTAATCAAGCTTCTGCAGACAAATTCATAAGTAAAGTGGATTTATAGGATGATATTGCGCAAGGAAGACGCTTCGTACTCGTTGTCCGTAGAACTAGATACGTCGATTGATAACATTCTGATACAGTCGGACACTCCTATCGACCTGTTGGACACCGAAAACAATAGCGCAGTGGTCAGCCTGTCCGCTTGCAATCCCAGAGAGGGCAATTTCGTTCTCGCCACTTATCGATGTCAGGTAAATTTAATTTTTTTTTATTTTATTTATACGCGTACATACGTAGTGCGACGTCCTTAGAGAACTTTCATGTAATTCTCATGCGGGGAATCGCTCAAACAGATCAACACGAATCGTCTCGAGATACGATTGAGATCCATTGAAGGACAGGCGGGTACCTTACAGGTCTACGTAACGTCCCAGGTACCTTGAACACCGATTTCCAAGTTTCTGAAAAACATGCGTACCATTAATATTAGTGATCATTCATAGATACAGCCAAAACGTTGTCGTAAAATCTTGGTTCCCATATACGCCTTGTCTCTGCACGTGAGACAGCATGAGGATGACAGCACTACGCAGTCTAGTGGTCCGTTCAATGAGTTAAAGTTAAACGGCAGCTTTACGATCGCCGAGGTACGATTTCATCTTGGTAATTTTATGGCGTAATTTATGTCTAAAAATCTCTGTCCCATATCTTCTGTCTATGGACTCTTCTTTCATCAGATGCACGCATGGCTCTCCTTAGTCTTGCCAGATGTACCCGAGAGGCCTCATATTCACGACGGTGAGGCTGCATTGGTCTATGTCTCGTTCTTCATCGGGACGGTCCTCAAATGCAAGTATAAGTAAGTCGATAATGTGAAATCCAATTTGCATTCGCGTCGTTAATTCTCCGATACATCGCAGGAAAGGAAGCGCGCTCTTTCTCGGCGAAAATATATCCAGCATCATAATTCTCAGAGACATACTGACGAAAGAGGCGACGAAACGTAAAATCAAGTTGGACGTATTTTGCGGTAATTAGCGCTGTAATCGTTACACTTTTCTTGTTATATTATTTTAAATTAAATTAAAAACAATTGTAGGTTGTTCTATTTCAAATTTAAATTAAATCTACAATTGAAAAAAATTCACTAAATCTATTATCTAAGTTTACTTAAATTTAGAATTAAATTTAAATAATTTGCAACTTAATTGTTAAACTTGTTCGTAAAATTTAACCATAGAACTTTATCGTCGGACGAATGAAATGCACGATGATTCTCTCGCAGAAGTGGTAGACGGAAGCGTGTCCAGGGTGCTGGAGCTGATTCTGCCGCGGCTAAACGCAGCCTACGATTTGATCCAGAAGATAAAGATTTTGGATGCTCTCGACGAGTGGGAACTGAAATCCAATCCGAAGGAAAATCTATGCTCTGAGTATCAAGAAGTATTAGAGAAGGAGACGGAGACAAGGTCGCTTATGGCGAAGGACACCGAGATTCTGAATAGATTACATGCGATAATCACCGACCTGTACGTGGATTGGGAACGAGCGAAGCGATCTCGAAGGTAATGGTAAGAATGAATTGTGACTCTTGTAAAAATCGTAGTTGAATCTTGATGCATATAATTGTTCATGCAACAGGATTAATGGCAAGGAAGCTGCGGCGAGGCTCAAAGAGGCGCTCGAGTCTAGAGACCTGGCTACTATCTTGCAAGTTTTCATCGGTCAAAATGACACGACCATGCCGACTTTAATACCCGCGGCCATTTAGAACATCCGGAGATGAGCAAAAAGTGGACCAATGTATTTCTATAAACATGTTCAAGTAGAAAATATATTTTTCAACGACGATTCACAATATATAAATCGTTAAATTGTCTACATTTAAAAAAATTTACAGTTGTGTGGTTAGTACTATAATTACAGTATAATGTGTGTATGTGTACTTATATATATATATATATATATATATATGTTTGTATATATATATATAATTATATATACACATATACATATATATATATCACTTTTACGGATCTGTTTGGGTTTTTCTCTTTTTTAAAACTAAAACAGTCCAGTTCTGTGCTCAATTTTACACGCAAATTGCTTGCTCTTTCCGTAAGATCGGAAAAGTACGCTATACGTTACTTATGTAGGCAGTGTATTCATGCGGTTTATTTATCAGTCATTTATGTTTAATTGGCCAAAAGTAAATAACTCAATTCTTCAAACTTTATAAGACTTTTGCAATCGGGTGCACTAACGCTCTTTAACGGACTTACATTTCAATCATCAAATTATTCTACAGTATTTAAAATACATACTGTTTGGACACACATTGAATAGAATAAATTTACACACCGAACAGTATGATGTTTCATCTTAGGAAAATACAAAAGAAATAGCTGGCCGTTAGAAGAATCACCGGATTTTCTAGCGAATGCGGGAGAATCAGAGCATTAATGCATCCAATTATGCAACACTGCTTGAAACTTTCCAAGAAAAAATAAAACTACATATGCTTATATATGAATTCTGTCTCTATATAGTCATATATAATTGTACGTATAGAGTATTCCAAAAACATTTGGCCAAACGTTAACATTATATTCTAGGGATGAAAACAAACAAACAACAGAGATTTAATAGATATGAGTTGGATGAAAAAGAGAAAATTTAATTTACATTTAAAAGAACTTCTACGTCCCAACTTGGGCTGCCACCAATATAAGTAATTACTTTTCAACCAATACGTGTGACTATATACAGACAAAATTAAAATCTATGGTCATATATAATTATATAACTTTTTTGCTCGAGTCAGTTCTTTTAGTTCCTTTATATAAATTCTTTAAATTGCCTCTGATACTAATAATTTAAATATAAATATACTTGCAGAATTTAACAGTTCGACATCCACAATTTTGCAAGACCTATACATTATATTTTATAAACTTCTCAAGTTGCGTACTGATTGAACGATCAACCCTATTGTACAGCGGAGCACACTTTTCCTTCATGTATGATGTTCTGAGGTTATATCAAATAATATTGTCTGCAAAAAAGAATATAGTAGATTGAAAATCAACTAGTCCGATGAGGACAGATCAATGTATCAATCTATACTCACATGTTTTCATTAGTTCGTACAGCAGCTTCCAGCGGATCTCTATCGGCAGCCGTGTCCGTTGTAGGCGGCACGGTATATTCCAAGTTTTGTCCGCCTGTGTGCGGCAGAATACTTTCCGGATTGTCGTCCGGCGGCACGATTTTCACCACCCCTGTCGCCTCAACCTCCAATTTCAAGTCTCTCACGAGATCGTGAATTGATTGCGCCTGTACCGCTTTGTCACTCTCCTCTTCTACCGTTTTGCTCGTTAGGATTCTATTCAATGGCTTGTCGCCCTTCGTTCTGGAGTGCGTATGCATGTGGCGTTTCATGTCGCTGCGCACTCGGAACGGCTTGCCGCACACGGCGCACGGATGTGGCTTTTCGCCGGTATGTATGCGCCGATGATTCTGCAGGTAACTGCTCGCCCTGAACGTTTTGTTGCAGTACTCGCAACGATAGTTCTTCTCGCCGGTGTGGATACGCCTGTGAACGATCAACGAATACTTCCGGGCGAATTCCTTGGCGCAGTACTCGCACTGGTACTGCTTGTGTTCCGAGTGAATGCTCGTCGAGTGGTACTTGAGGTCGCCCCATTGCCGAAAGTGCCGGCCGCACTCCTCACACTTGTACGGTTTGTCGCCGCTGTGAAGTCTTTTGTGCACCTGTGTATATTAATAAGGGAAAAAGAAGTGGAATTAAAAATTAGAATTAGAACAAAAGTCAAAAGGTTCTTTGATATTCAAACAGAAGGAAAAGAAAAGGGTAATATATAACAGCTGAATGATAGGTACTCGTTTGCATACAAATTTTTGTTTCTTAAAGTCAAGTTCGAAGATAAGACTAGAAAATAAAACTTAGCAATTTGTAATACATATATAACATATATAACAATATTATATCAAGAAAAGATCTTCCAATTTGATGTTTTTTTGAAGAACATCTATCTATACACCTAATAACTAGCTACACGCGGCTCTCAAAAGTCTTTCCTTTCATCTTAAGAAAAAATAGGATTGTCATAATGTCATTGGGTAAAATCTCACCTTCAACGCGCTAGCAGCGAAAAAACGTTTACTACAGATTTCGCACTGATGCGGCCGTTCTCCGCTGTGAGATCGCATGTGGTAGACTAAACTATTTTTATGGTGGAATGAACGACTGCATTGAGGGCACGTTAATTCGTCAGCTGCAACAAAAAGAGAAGACATACGTTCCTTTGAAATTTCTGCGCTGACTCTTGTAGGAATTTCTTTCTTATAGGAATATACACACTTGACTTTCGCGTTTTCGGCGACTTCTTTTTCTTAGTCGTTTGCGGAATGTCCGTCTTCGCTTTCTCGTCTAAGCTTTTTTCGCCAACAACCGACGCCCTCATATGGTCCCTCTGTGCCTGCTCGGTGATATCGGCGATGTTCCACATTGTCGACTCGTTGTTCGCAGTGGACAGTGGAGGCTCCGTGTCTTCGTCAATGTGCGCACCGGTTTCCTCCACTGGAAACAGGAGGAATACACATTACGACTGTCTCTACACCAAGTGTTCAAACATGAATGTTAATGTAAGTAGACATTCTCACTTACCTACACCGCGAATACCCTCCATTAGATCTTCGGGTTCACTGAATTCTTCGATTACAGTATTGTCTAAATTATGTACTGTTTCTGGCACTGATATCGTGATATTGGTATTTGTCGCTTGAGCTATTCGCGTCTCTTGTTTGACCGGCTCATAATGCACCTGCAAATTATTTCATTATTTTTTTTTGTTTTTTTCTTTTTATTATTTCATTATTTTCTTTATAATGTATAAACTGTAGAGGTCTAGTTGAGCTTCAGTATACCTTCAGATGTTCGAAAAACTTCAACTGGCTGCTAAACTTCGAGCTACACAATTCACACTTGAAGATATTAGCTTGGACTTCATTAGCGGAGTCGATCGCCGCGTTTTCTTGGCTTGATTTGCTATTATCCCTTCGCGCGGTACTCTTTTTCGTTTGCTGTTTTAATTTACGAGGTATCCTTTTCTTATGTGGCAACGTTCTTTTAGGTCCAGATGCTGACGTAGCATCCTCACTACTCTCCGCGGAAACCTCAACGTCGTATTCACTTTTGACGTTGATGAATTCTTGCTTCACGTTCTGCGTAATTCTCTTGAAAGGTTGCAATGTCGGGTAGACTGTTGGGGTGTTTGGTTCTGGTACAGTTTGGATGGCATACGAATTTACCGGTGCTAAGGTTTCCAAATGAGAAACATCTGGTAAAGTCGGATCCTCATGTTGAGACTGAATGTGTAATTGCTGTTGCTTTTGCTGCTGGTGCAACTGCACTGCAACTAAAGCAGCAGCCAGTTTACGGTCCTCCTGCATCACACAATTTACATTCTATATGCAAGTTATACTATATAGTTCCTGAAGATTAAGTAACATATTACAACCTCTGTTAGTTCATGTGACAACAAGTCATCCTCATAATACTGAGTTGCAGTGCCATAATCTGTACCAACTCCAGCATTAATCATGTCCACAACCATCCCGTCTGAAATCAATTCACCATTCAAAGCTAACAGTGGTACTCCTTTGCTCAAGGATTCCCCGTCAGCTCTCTGAATAGTGATGTACTGAGCACCTTCCATCCCTTCCAAAAGCACAGCTTGTGCTTCCTCTGTCGTAATTTCCATGGTTGAATATTCCCAATATTCATTCAACGATTAGTCATTCTCTTAAAACTTATCTGCTTCTACAGATAGCATCCAACTATCTGTGAAGATCAGCCTTTTGTACCTACGAATGAAAGTTAATTTAAAAAGTAATCTTTTTTGGTGCTTTGCAGTTAGAAATGTAATTCTGCAATTAAAAATGATACAAGTTTAAAACAAAATCCTTTTTCTCTTTTTCCCTTCTGTTCTTTTATGTTCTTAATATTTGGAATAAGACAAGTCACTGGACAAAGCATACTCATATCTGGAGAAAATAAAGGAAAAATGCGACAGGAGCGAAAACTAACGAAAGCAAAACCGAATGCGCGAATGAAGTTCAAATTTGGCGCGAGTGCATACTTTGAGGCTGTCACCGAGACCAAGGTCACTGCACCCGGGGCACTCGGAAAATCTCACCTGCATCTTGATATGCATCGCACGCGTACAAATTCGCTCACTCCTGCTTCCGTTTATCGTAATCCGCGCAACCGGCTGTGCCTCCTGTCTTTTCCTCACGAAATTCAAGCAACATAAACAATGCGAAATATTGAAACACTGTAGGACAAAATGTGACAACAATGCTTGGCTCTTGACGCCATTAGACCGGATGTACCCCTTCCACGCGAACATCCAGTACGAACAACATCAGCAGAAAGTTACAACAAAAATCCCCGGTTTGCCGGCTGGGATCATATTGCCTTTTATAACATTCTTTTTGTTTATAAAAATAAGCCAATTTTTTACTTCTCCGCATATTACTCTCACTGATAATTTCATACAATGACGATAATTATTACAAATAAAATATAAGGTATAAATACAAATAAAATGTGTGAATCAAGCACAAGACAAATAATTATGAATACATCGTATTATAATTACAATAATGATTTCTGTGTGTGATAAATAAGTGATTTTACAAACGCCACGATGAGACGCACCGAATGTTTTAACAGCTTTCATCTCGCATCGGTATCGTATCGGTTCGGAAAACTTTTTGTCTATACTTTGGCGACGCTGATTGCTGCACTTTTCTCGAGACGGACAATCTTCCGGTTTCTAATGGCTGTGCAAAATGTCGCGAAATGTCAAATTAGTATATACGGCGGAGGTAGCGTGTGCGTAATTTTTCGACGTGATACAATCGCGTTCGGACCATCGGAGAAACCGGCTGATAGCGTTGCCATCGTTCAGGAATTAATCCGTCGTGACGAGATAGTAAATCATTCAAATAAGCATTATGTCGAGTAAATCGAATTGAGGGGTTAAGAGGAAGCTCACACCTACGTACTACGCTGTCATTGTCAGCTGATTCATTCTCTTGTTAACTAGGTTTTGCTCGTTTTTCTTTTTTTTTCTTTTATTGAAATACAAAAGAGCAGTCTCTATCTTTAATGTTGATTATTGAAAGACGAGTTATGAATGGGATCACGCGCGAGATCTTTTGAGAGAATGATGGACAAACGATAGATTCCGCGTTTTTGAACAAATAAATATTATCTTAGATCGGGTGGTCGATAAAATGAGTAATATGAACTTTGGATGTGATTGCTATCAGTCTCGAGCCCTACGTAATTTCCGACCACGTCGCGTTAATTATCAACACAGGTGACAAAGTGTCGCAGTTATTTCATGATCTTTTGGATTTTCAGAATCAGACCAGTCAGTCCGAAATTATGTGACGGTGTCCAAAATATCAGAGAGTGATGGCTTCGATCTGTCGACGCTGGAGACTATGGATATTGCCTGTACTGACTTGCCTATACGCACTGATTATTGTTATACTCGTACCAATCTTGTTGGTTAACTCTATTAAGAATGGTTTGAAGGAACAAGATCAGGGTGCATTGGTGGGCGGTGCCTTTGTTTTACTGGCATTGCCCATTGCCTTTTATGAAATTGTCCAGCATATGATATACTATACACAGCCTAGGTTACAAAAATATATAATAAGGTATGTCATTTCATCACTGAAAATACATGTAGATTTATTTTCACCTATATGCATTTCTCTTAATTAGATAGTATTGAACATGAAGATAGATTTTATCTCATGAAATATTTTTTGCAGGATATTATGGATGGTACCAATTTATGCAGTGAATGCTGTAAGACAAAAAGTTTCTTTCATCTTAGAAATATCATAAATATCTACTTATTTATTTAATAGATATCTTCCTTCTTTGCACAGTGGTTAGGTTTGGTGTATCCTGAAGGCGGTATATACGTGGACAGTTTGAGAGAGTGCTATGAAGCTTATGTAATATATAATTTTATGATGTATCTATTGGCCTATCTGAATGCCGATCATCAATTGGAACATAGACTGGAGATTTCTCCTCAAGTACATCATATGTTTCCTCTATGCTGTCTTCCCGACTGGGAAATGGGCAGGGAATTTGTACATATGTGCAAGCATGGAATTTTACAATATACAGCTGTCAGGCCTATAACAACTGCAATATCATTGTAAGAGTAACCTATTCGCAACTCTCTATGGTAATTCTTTGATTCTATGGTAACATGGAACCGTATCCGATTGCTCTATATGTTTTTTTAGTATCTGTGAGCTGAATGGTGTTTACGGAGAGGGCGAATTCACAGGAAATGTGGCTTTCCCATATATGGTCGCTCTAAATAATCTGTCGCAATTCGTTGCTATGTATTGTCTGGTACTTTTTTATCGTGCCAATGCGGAAGCCTTGAAACCGATGAAGCCGGTTGGAAAATTCCTGTGCATCAAAGCTGTAGTATTTTTCTCATTCTTGTATGTATTATACAATATTCGTATATTTAAAAATATAAGACATATAAATACGACAAATATAGATAGGAGTAAAAAGAATATATATTATTTCCTTTTGTTACAGTCAAGGAGTGATAATATCTTTATTAGTGTACTTCGATGTTATATCTAGTATTTTTAAAACAGACGACACACACTACATCAGGAGTATATCGTCAAAGTTGCAGGATTTCTTGATTTGCATAGAAATGTTTTTAGCCGCGGTGGCACATCATTACAGCTTTTCTTACAAACCATTTGTCAATTTGGCGCAAGGTCAAGCATGGTGGGATGCATTTAGGTACGTGAAACGTATTCTGTTTAAAAACGAATATATACATCTATACTATGTAAGAAAAAGAAGCCAACGACCATTATTTCAGTCCTTCTAGTCACTCAATTTCAATATAAAATTTCTATGATAAAAATGTGAAAAAATACTATAATATACCATCACAAAATTTTCATAAACCAATATTTATTTGACTTTGCAGAGCAATGTGGGACGTTTCCGACGTGCATAACGACATAAAGGAACATTTAGGTGTCGTCGGCTCGTCCTTAAGTCGCAGGATACGTGGACGCAGCGCATATCAGCAAGCCTGGGGGAGCGCAACGGAGCGTACATCGCTATTACCCGAGGGCGCGGTAGCAACGGCCAGAAGCGCTCCCGCCTGCTCATTCTCGGGCTATCATACGGCTGAAGCCGGGCCAAACAATAATTCATCCACCAATGAATTCGAAGAGGCGGTCGCGGATGTGCAGGATAATAGTAATAGCGTCAACACATAACCAGATGTCCAAGTCCATCCATGCGGAAACGGTACTCGTCGGTCGGCCCGCGAGACCGGCACACTTTAGCGGGGAAATAACTCCTTAGTATTATTTTTAAGCGAGGAAAAGTATATAGTTTTGCAACAGTGTTCTCTCGCGCTATTGTACAAATCATCATCGTGGTCATCATACACTGTCTGTCTCATCACACGTGCATCGCGTCTACACCGGATGAGAAAGTACGCGGGATATTTCGTGAGCACGGAGCATCTATGTAATTGCGATCAGTTCAGTGTTTTGATAATTTAATTGAAAGTTTAATGTGCAAGTGAAATTTTTCTATGAGTAGAGTTCGAAATCGACTGAATAGCGCGACCCCGCCATTTGTTTTCCCTCCTGCGTTCTGCAACGCATTCTAAGCCAAGCGAAAAATCTTTAACGAAAGGAACATCCGGTGGGTAACGCGACTATTTGTATAAACGCGATCTAACACTTAGAAATTTGATACAAGTGACGAATTTTAAGAGAGGGAGAACGAAAGAGAAACAAAAACTGCTTGCTACGTCCTTTATTTTGCAAAAGACATTCGTACGCTTTATGTTACCAATGATGTACTACCAAATAATATAATGTACATACGTTTATACATACGTAGAAAAAATGCCACCTATACAATGATATTTGTACATACCTTGGACGACCAACGTGTGTGTCGCAATTGCGTGACACGCATTGTCTGACAAATGTATACACTTGGCATCGTCGGTGCATTTCAATCTCGGTGCGGGCATTCTTGGATCGAATACAAATTTTTGTGCTTAAATATTGATTAAATTGACAGGCTCCGTTTGTGTGTGATACATTTTATGCGGTTATTCATGCTAGATATATTATTTACTCAAGAGTGTTTAAACCGGAATCCGAAGCCACTAACGATGCCGTGTTTTATTTTTCTTGATATATTAAACAAGGGTCACAAAAACAAGCCATATCCAGTTAGACATTCAGAATCTCTGCAGTCCTTTTTCGCTTTATACGTACACACGCGAGTATTTAACCCGCACTGTATTTATAATTTCAACTTATTTTATAATTATAGTATAAATGTGTAATAAAAGCTGTGTGCGTTTACTACAAAATCAGTCTTTAAAACTGATTTTGCAAGAAGTCTTTCCTTCCGCTCTGCGAAAATTTTCTTTTTTAACTTATGTTTAAAGAGTATTATATTGTTCTTTTGGTATGTGTTGCACTCTGTTATGCTTTCTATATTTAAAATGAGAGATATGTAAAGTACTGGGAAAATTTTTCATGACCTCAAAAAAAGATTCAAAAAAGACTGGGAGAAAAGTAATTGAAAAAAGATGAGAAGATGAAATCGATTAATTGTTTACAAATTTATCTTAGAATATTAAATATATCAAGTTTTTATATAAAAATACTCACATGGCGTAATTTTTATAGCCAATATTTACACATACACACATACCACATTGAACATACTAGTTCTCATCCGATTACTGCAGTTAAACAACGTTGGAACTAATGGTCCGTCTGGGTACACCATGTTGGCATCTATTATTAGTAGGAGTACAAATAAGTTTCCGCCGTTTTCTATCAAAAATTAGGAATTTATTATGAAAGAACGGTACATTACGTTTTATTCAAAGTATTGTCCATCACTAGCCACTACTTTTTCCCATCTTTCTGGCAGCATTCGGATACCACGTCGGAAGAACTCTTCATCTTTTGAGGCTATCCACGAATCGACCCAATTTTTAGTATCTTCATATGATGTAAAGCGCTGCTTAGACAGGTCATGTGCCATCGACCGGAACAAGTGATAATCGGAAGGGGCAATGTCTGATGAATACGGCGGGTGGGGTAGGACTTCCCAATTAAGTGTTTCCAAATAGGTTTTGACCGGTTTTGCAACATGTGGCCGAGCGTTGTCATGTAGGAGAATAATTTTGTCGTGTCTGGAGTAGTAATGGGCGCGTTTTTCCTTGAGTGCTCGGCTCAATCTCATTAATTGTGTTCGGTAGAGAGCTCCAGTAATGGTTTCGCTCGGTTTGAGCAACTCATAATACACGACACCAAGCTGATCCCACCAAATACACAGCATGAGTTTTTTCGATGTTGAAACATGGCCAGGTGGTCCCCATGATTTTCTCTTCTTTGGGTTATCGTAGTGGATCCATTTTTCACCACCAGTGACTATACGATGCAAAAAACCCTTTCTTTTATGCCTGGCAAGCAGCATTTCACACGTGTAAAATCGGCGTTCAACGTCTCTCGGCTTCAGTTCATATGGAACCCAATTTCCTTGTTTTTGAATCATTCCCAACGATTTTAAACGATGTGAAATTGCTTGTTGAGTCACTTCTAATGTAAGTGCAAGTTCTTCTTGCGTTTGGTACGAATCTTCCTCCAATAATGCTTCCAATTCCGTGTCTTCGTACACTTTCGGCCTTCCACTACGTTCTTTGTCTTCCACGTCAAACTCACCGTTTTTAAACTTTTGAAACCACTCACGACAACTTCTCTCACTTAAAGCAGTCTCACCATATGCTTCTACAAGCAATCGATGCGCCTCAGCTGCAGATTTCTTCAAATTAAAGAAGTAAATCAAAAGTTCCCGTAAATGGCGCTTATTCGGCACAAAACTTGACATTTTCGTACGAAAAAAATTATGTGATGCTGATACGGAGTCACTAATACTTCAAGGTTATGTTGTTACCAGATGTCCTAACTTACGATATTACGTTTTACATCTGACAATTTCAACATAACCTTCTGGTAGGGCCATCTTTTGTCAAACGGCGGAAACTTATTTGTACTCCTAATATTTTTCTACTTTTTCAATTTTTGGAGTTCGCAAGTTTTCTTGAAGAAAATAAAAAAGTAGTGTTTCGTGCTTAAGAAAATTTGAATTGCATGCAGGCATTTATAATTGCTCGGCTCACGCGTAAATTTCGTTTTGTACTTTTTTATACGCTGATTTGACACAAAATTTTTTAACAGGGATTTATTAAATAACGAGATTTTTTATTTACGTTAAGTATTTCATAGAGCACGGTTTTTATTCTTACCTCCTCGGTATTGCAAATAATATACAAAAAATGCGGCTGAAACAAATAACCCTTTTTATGTATTTCCGCCTCTTACTTCATCAAATGAATTCACGTTACGTACATACATAATTCGCCCGCGCTTTTTCTTGCTTATAATAGCACGAATACTGATATATTTTTAACGATTCGATAGTTTGAAGATTCCGATCTATTAATATTCTATTGCGTTTATCAAGATTGCTTTTATATGCTTTGTATGCGTTAACAATTTTTACGGCGTTATTTTATTATGTTGAAAGTGTAACAACGTGATGCGATAAGGTTAAAGATACTCGTCACATAATAACGTCGAGACAAAATTATTCCGAGATACGAAATGCAAGATAAAAAGGAAACGAATGAAGAAACTACGAAACAAGAACACGAGGAATATCAGTATTTGCGGCTTATCGAGAAAGTTATCAAAAGTGGAACAAGAAAAGGTAATCGCACCGGTGTCGATACCTATTCTATCTTTGGCACCCAATTGCGATTTGGATTACGAGATGGTAAATGTATATTATGAAGATACATGCATATAAAATATATACATTCTACATGCATTTACTTTTTTTTATATAAAAATTTAAGGAATATTTATTTGAGAATATTCTTCAAGGTGTTTTTCCATTATTGACAACCAAGAGAGTATTTTGGAAAGCAGTGGTTGAAGAGTTGTTATGGTTCATCAAAGGATCAACAAATTCTAAAGAATTAGCAGATAAAGGTATACACATCTGGGATAAAAATGGTTCGCGTGCTTTTTTGGATTCCTGTGGCTTTAGCGACAGAGAGGAAGGTGATTTAGGACCTGTCTATGGATTCCAATGGAGACATTACGGTGCAGAATACAAAGATATGCATACAGATTATGCAGGACAAGGTTTCCTTTTTTGAAAATATTTTTAGTATTCTTTGAATACATTTTTTTTTTTCTGAATTTATCAGTAATAGATCTGCTGCAGAAATATATATATATATAAGTCAAAATCAAAGAATAAATCAAACCATGTGTTTGTCTTCTCAGGAATAGATCAATTGAAGGAAGTTATTCATAAAATCAAGCATTCTCCAGATGACAGACGTATTATAATGTCTGCTTGGAACCCAACTGACATTCCAAAAATGGCATTGCCACCATGTCACAATTTTATTCAGTTTTATGTAAGCAATGGAGAACTGTCTGCGCAGCTTTATCAGAGGAGTGCAGATATGGGCTTAGGAGTACCGTTTAACATAGCATCATATTCTTTGTTAATTTACATAATCGCTCATGTTACTGGCTTAAAAGTGAGAAACCTGCGTTTGCTTGAAAGAATATGAAAGAATTCAAGAGGTCTTAGTATATTATCTACTTTCTTTTATTTTCAGCCAGGAGAATTTGTACATACAATGGGAGACTGTCACGTTTATATCAACCATGTAAGCGCTCTTGAAGAACAGATACAACGCAAACCACGAAATTTTCCTAAATTGAAGATAATACGGGAGATCAAAGATATTGATGACTTTGTTGCTGAAGATTTTGAATTGATAGATTATAATCCGCACTCCAAACTCTATATGGAAATGGCCGTTTAAAGTATATTTCTTTCTTAAAACAGGGCTCGAATAAGTTGCAGTTGTGAGTTTACAATCAAATACTTGCTAACAGACAGAACTCGAAAATTAGATTAGTCAAGATACTGCGAATGAATGATACATCAATGAGGACATTCTTTTATGCAGTTGTTCAAGAAACATGTTCTACATCTCAGTATTCTATATATATATATATATCTCTATATATATATACATAAATTCAGTATTATATATAATCAAATATACGCACATTTTAAATTATTACACGATAGCGCTTGTTCGATTTTTCGACGAAAAACTGTTCAGATTCTTGCAGTAGCTTGACTAAAAATTACAAGGAAACTCTCGAACTCTGTCATTAATTCGAAGGAAGATCTGTGTTTATATATAGCTTTAATTAAAATTTGCTTCATTTCCGTAACACACTTGTGATTAATGAAGTGATACCAATCTCCCTGCTTAACGTACTTAAACTGAATGAACATGCTACATTCTCCGACCGAATATTCATCGTCAGAGATATCGATTAGTACTGTTTCGGTTCTTTCAATTATAATATTATGTTTCGATTTTTAAGTGAGGCGTAAAAAAATTACTTCTAATAGCTCGATTCTTGTGGACTGTCTGATAAATGGTAAATATATTTATATTATATATAACTTTTTGCCATATATATAACTAGACTTTTCATAATTTCCTAATAAAAATTATATTCTTAATAAACCTGTATCTTAATTATACATCAATATCTTTTCAATACCAGTCGTATGCGGTCTATGCGAGTGTCCATCGTTTAGTCATCTTTCTTACTTAAGTAAAAATCATGTCCTTCAATTTTCTCTATATCACACAAGTGTAATTTTTCAATCGATCTCATACGATACGAGATTGAGAAGCATGAATCATCATAAAAGGCCTTATATATAAGCAGCTCCCAAATATAACAAAATCATGTGATTCCTATATTTAATGTATATAAATTTAATATTTTAAACCACGGAAACAAATATTGAAAACAATTCTCGCACTATACATAAAAAATTATTTCAGATGAGAAGGGATTTCAATAAAACTTATCACAAACATAAATGTAATAAAAAAAACAAATCTTAAAAATAATTTTGGAAAACATAATGTGGATACTTTCATCGGCATGAGAGCATGGCCAAATTTTTATTGCAACCTTTATTGTTGTTGGTTCTTCCCGATATTCATGATTTTTGTAAGGTGCATGTAAATTCTGTTACATGAAAAAAAGCGATCTATATAAAATTCAGAAATAATTGTTGATTCTCGCGATAATCCAAAGGGCCTTATAATATCTCGTAAATCTTTCTCTCTTAGAGGAGATTTTTGTACGTCGAAGGCTAGCACATTTGTACATCATTTGACTGCGAAGTACTTAATTGATGCAATTGTTGAGTGAGCGCTAATGTGCCACATTCATTCACTGTTATGATCACCCAGATAACTTCTACAGGAAACAAGAAGTACATATTTAAGTAAATATATTTGATTGATTAATTGTTTAAGAGAGAAACATTATGCCAATTCTCTCTGAGATTAATAACTTACCTCCAAAATAGATACCAGTGGCTGTCATCATTCTCCATTTACTCTGGTAGACACCAGCTTCGCTCGGACTTGATAATGTCACACTTAATTCTGTTGTCTCTTTGGGACCTAGTGGTGGAACTGCTATACGTGTGACACCCATTTGTTCTCCACTGATGAGTTCCAAATGAATCCCATTTGGCCAAGCTTCTGTACCACTATTTTGTATGCGCCATGACTTTTGAAAGTTTGTACTGGGTGGTACAGACTCTCCTTCGCCGATGGTACTATCGCATATTAACGTCATACAGGGTACTTTGAGAGGTGACTGAAAATCAATGTAGCTGCAAATTGCTGCTTGCAAATTCCTGAAATAGAAACGAGTATTAAGATCAAATTATAACAATGTTCAGAATTCATGTTCAGTAAAACAGGATGTGTTTTTTGTAGTTTATTTAAATACGCTTATTATCCTGTTATCTCTCTCTGTCTCTCTCTCTCTCTCTTTCTTTTGTTGCTCTTTGTTACATATAAAACATTATAAAACAAAGACAAGGTCAACACTGTCGTATCGGATCATAACGACGAGTTTTGCGGGCAGCGTATAACGTGCTCCGCGGGCGCTTTAGATTTCTGAAAATCGTCGAATCCAGATCTGGCCATTTAATTCCCAGCACCGTTAATCGTCCTGGAAAGGGGTCCGCTCTTCCGAGAGCTACACCTCTCTACACTCATCGCCCGTTCCCCTTTTCTCCATCTCGTTTTTTCCCAAGCGCAACAATACGTTTGTCTCGCTCGAGACGGTGCACACGGTGCACGAGGGTGCAGACTAAACCGAGCAGGCACAAGGAAAACAATACTCTCCGCGGGGGGTCGCGGTAAACATGGCGATGCAAGGTTATGTCCGTTGGCGGTACACACAGTGGTGAGGAAAGCGCACGAAGCGAACAAGTGCGGACGCGCATTACCAGTTGTTCATCTCCAGGAAGAATGCAGCAGACGTCTCATTCAAGTGGCTGCCAGCTAGCAGCTTCTGCAGCTGCTTCACCAAGTCGTCTTTGTCCGTAGTACCCAGACAACTAAACTGATGCAGCAAGTGATGGTCCAGATCGTTGTCGACGTTCATGGTGCGCGCAGTTTCGTTCGGCCGGCTCAACAATAATAATGCTCCATGTGACGAGTGCTGTCACGTTATATGGCAATGCGCCCGCGTCGCCGTGTGCGCCCTTCCCGCGCCCTTGATCCTCGTCGTCGTCGCGTCGTCCTCAGTAACGAATTTTAAATGTCATTCTCCGCACGACGTTCATCTGTGTATGCAGTACGGTGCACGCACATCCGCGGTAGCCAGTGACGTCGCAATCGCTGAGCTGGGGCGCTACCGTAGGTGGCTAATTTTTCTCCCACCCTTGCCACCCTTCGCCACCATCTTGATCGTCTGACGTAAAGGCTGTGTTGAATCGCGCGCTCTTTCTTTCTTTCTTTCTCTACAGTCTCCTTTTCCTCTCCTTTCTTCGTTTCCTCGTTTGTTTTGATCTCCCTTTAAATCCTCCCCTCCCCCTATACCGCTGTCGAACTGACGCCTCTTTTTATCTTTGTTCTGTCCTCGTTGTCAATGCTCCGGTTTGGACTTTTCCAGGTCGTCCGGAGATCGCCGCTCGCTTGTTACGTCCCTATTGAGTACACTCAACGCGAAAAGTTGCTCGATCTCTTCTCGCGTTGCGGTGTACAGCTCGTACAAAAATATATATACGATAAATCTCCGTTGCTTCTCATGGTGGCGCGTGTCACCTTGACCTTGGCGTCGTCGTGGAAGATAGGACATTTTTCTAGAAGCGAAATCGCAGCCCGGCTGCCTTCCGTCGCGATTTGATCGCGATTGCCGTGATCGTCGAGGACAAGCTAATTATTTTTATGCGCCTGATAGCACGATAGGGTTTGTGCATGCGTGCATTTCGGTTCATCGTGCTTCAGGCGCCGATCTTAATAACGAGTGATCAAAATCAGCGAGTTCCCTAACAGCGTCCGGAGTACGTCTTGAGAACGTCCTGGGGATGTTTCTTCATCCTCAGGACGTCCTTAGGGCGTCCCCAGGAGAACATGTGCTGTCTGGGTTTGAATATTGGGACAGAGGAAACAAGAATATGTAATAAATATATGTGCGTCTTTTAAATAAAATTTTCATAAGTACACCTATATACTTGTATAAAACACCATTTGTATCTATTTAGCAATTTTCAATATTAATTTTACTTTGTTAAGTCGGTATTATATGACGAATTTTACTTTACTAATTCCTCTCATTAATTTTATTAATGATACGTCCTAGAAAATAATAAAATAATTGTAGTTATTTCACACGATGATATATAACCATATTTATCCTTTAAATAAAATTTCTTAATTTTAATTAACACAGCTGTTTATACACTCTTATTTGTAGAATTGTAAAAACAAAAGATTAGAAAATTATAAATCAAGATATTATTATTGTAGCGTTCTCTCTCCCTCTCTCTCTCTCTCTCTCTACTTGATATGATAAAATATAATATATATCCACACACTCAGGGCCGATTGCACCAACTTCTTGGTAAATTAGCTGATAGTTAAATCATATGTTTATTTTTGTTTTTCCTTCAATTTAAACGAAGACAGACGTATGATTAAACTGTCAGTTAACTTACCAAGGAGTTGGAGCAACGTACATACTACACATGTGCATTTATTTACTCCGTGAGACGCGCGGTTCTGATCGAAAATAACGCGTCCTGCGGACGGAGTTTGGTGGTGAACTTGAGGACGATCCGACGTGAGTTTCAGGCTGCGCGCACGCGGCCAGTGCGCGCGCGGCGCAGCGCGGCGCGGGACAGCCGACGTACGAAATAAACGAGCAGCGCGCGGTGCGCGCGCGATTCGCGTAGAGGCTGCTCCGAAAGCGCTCGATCGCGACGAGAAAAATCGACGGCTCACTTCCGAAGCGTGTCCCGCGCCGGTCGTGCGCGATTACGTCGATCGACGCAGGCGAATCGCACGTGAATCGCGCGATGACGGAGCGCGTTTAAAAGACGGTCGCCGTCGTACGTCGTTCAACTCGTTCCCGAGCGTGAGGCAACGCCGCGAGCAGAGGCCGATATTAAAAACTACTCGCGTCTTGTCCGACGATGATCGTTCCGACCTGCAGTTCGCCGAGACCGAGAGAGAAAGTATAGTTCGTTGATAACGTCGGGATAACGTGAGGGGAACGAATCGAGACATCGGGGAAGGAGGAGGAGGAGGAGGAGGAGGAGGAGGAGGAGGAGGAGGAGGAAGGAGGAGGAGGAGGAGGAGGAGCTCAAAGGTATTACGGCGTTTCGTGTCGAGAGTCTCGCACAGCCGACGATGTCTTCGGGAGACACGTTGCACCGTGAAGTTTCAATCGCGTTATTACCGGCCGGCTTGTATCGCGAGGAAACGTCAACGACGTGATAATCGGTCGATCAAGAAACAAGATCGACGGTGCGCTTCGTGAAAGATAGAGGTGAATTGAACGCGGTGCGATCGGGTGATTTAAACGTCCGATCGCGGACGTTGACGAACCGATCCGCCCCGGCGAGATGAAGAAGCTCTTTCTTTAAAGCTTCGTCATTTCTTTAATGTTTCATCGACTAGAATTATTATCCTAGAAAATTTCGGTTAATCAATTCGACTTTTCTTAGCTAATCAATTCGGCTTTGTAGACGCCGTTCATCAACACGCATTTGGCAACGCGAAGTTCCATTCGTTTCCGCAGGGCAACAATTCGCCCCGTTGTTCCGCGTCCGTCGAGAGCACAAAAGTCTGCGAAAAAGATGATCGGACCGTCATCAGGAGCGGCTGGCGACATGGCGGAGGGTCAGTGCCAAGCGGTGCCATCCAAGCGTAAGGTCTTCGACGACCTGGACATCGACAGTTTCTGCGAGGAGGTCTGCCAGACGAGTCGCAAGCGTTATCTTCAGGAACTGGAGACGCCGGTGGAGTTGATAGCGTCCAACGAGATCATCGCTAACACGACCCTGTTCTCACCGATGTCCGCTGAAGACGCCATCGAGGAATCGCCAGTGGCGCGTCTGGAGGTGCTGCTGGTGAACGGTACCAACTGCACCTGGACGACCGTGTCCGAGCTGGAGCAGCAGCAGCAACAGCAGCAGCAAAATCTAGAACTGCCGACGTCCTCGTCGTCCACGTCGTCGTCGTCGTCGTCGTCGTCAACGTCCTCGTCGGTATCCTGTGTCGAACGACAGCGACAATACGCGTTCCAGGAAGCCTACGTCGTCGAGCAGACGCATTATGTCGAGCCGACAGTGTCGGTGAATTACTGGGAACCGGTCGCCGAGCCAGCAACGTCGATCGTCACTGCGGGTGTTCAACAACAAAACAAAGACACGGCGAGCGACCATCATAACCATCATCATCATCATCAGCATCAGCACCAGCATCAGCAACAGCAGCAGTTCGAGGACCAAGAGAACGGGAATCTATCGTGGTTACTGGACTTCAAGTTGGACTCCTTCATCGAAGCCGCGGACGACAGGTCGACCGCGGGATCTGTCGCGCTGAAGGACAATCATTGTGGTGAGGAGGGTGGCGGGAGGTTCTAACGTAAACGTTTCCGCGAACCCTGAAACCTCAAATCTTTATTTTAATGAGAGAAAAATGTAAGAAGAAGTAACTTAAATCGAGAGCAGATTAAAATCGAAGTTGACCGCTTTGTTGAATCTTTTTTGCGAAAATTACTCCAAATTTGCATCGCGCGCCTTTCCAATTGACGCCGGAGAGAACTGAACAAAGAATATAATCTCTCCCCCTTGCGTTACTTCGTCCTCTCTCGAGAACCTGTCAGTTTGACGGTTTCCGATGGAAGCGAATCGCGTTAATCGCCGGTTGTCCTGGCGTTTAATCGACAACAGACGCAAAAGTCCAACGTCGTTGCTGCTCACCGTGTGCAGCTGGTTAACGAACTTTAGCCGGCCTTGCGGGCTAATTGTGCATTTCCAGGCAACAAGAGCAAGCTGAACGGACGGCCGCACGGCTCCAATTACACCGGCGACGTCAGGAGAGGCCACAGCAATCACGACAGTTCGTCGGCGTATCGGCAGGACTCGAATCATACGACTTATCTCGCTAACGGGACCGACAATCGGAATCTGCCGCCTTCGCGAGCCAACGGCGGGCCGAAGAAGCCACCCTTCACCTACACGGAATTGATAGAACACGCTCTTCAGGAGAGAGGCGAGCTCACCGTCTCCGCCATTTACCAGTGGATCTCGTGAGTCACCGACAAGAACTCATCCCGTTGCTATTAACCACAAAATGCCGGCCCTTCTTTCCTTCGCTTTTCCTCGCGCGCGAAGGCCTGCCGATAATATTACCAATGGCCGGCGTGATTAACGTGACGTCAGAGTCCTCGCGCTTTTTGCCGCGGAATTGCGGCAATTAAATAGCGCTGCTTTCATCTTCTTTTTGTAATTGATCTTCTCCCTCTGTTCTCTGTTCTCGTCCTATTTCTAGATTCTTTTTCCTTCCTCGATTCCTCCTCCCCTTTTTAAAATTCTTTCCTAGGCGAAAATAATTTAGAGATTATTATCAAGCGAGTGTTACGAGGCTAAGAAGAGAGACTCGTGTTGCAAGGGAAAAATGTGTAACAGGACACGCGTCAGGACTCCCCCCGCGGTGTCTTTCTTATTTATGTATCGGCCGCTTATACAGGAAGTTTTCTATGAATTTGCACGAATGCGCGTGGCCCGCGTCGATGGCCCGGCGCGGGGTGGGTCGGCGCCGGGGGTGGGTTCCTGGATGGTACCCGTTGGTACCACTGCCCCCGTTGCTTGGCACCACCTGGTACTGACTCCTCACCCTTCGCTACTCGTTATAACCCTCACACGAATGCGCACAATTTACTGCTCCTGTGCTTTCACCTGTTCGATCGCGCGAGCTCCTTGGAAAAAGCGTGTATAGATCATCCAGACTGCGCAGAACCGCCCGGATAATTGAGTCGTAGGAACTATTCAACGGTTCCACGAGGACCGACGTAAATTCGGAAACATATTAAGACGACGTCACGAATCTTTCGCTTTCGCTCTTGAGAGAATTCGATCGAATTGCAATCGGATCAGACCAGATTACGTTCTTCCTCAGATAGCACAAACGTTTAAAGAAATATATATGTTTTAGAGAGATTTAAAGAATCTCTAAGATTTAAGAAATCTCTTAGCAGAATATCCTTCAGGCGTTTTTCTAAGGCCAGTATTCACAGATTGAATTGTATTTTTCAGGTCATCTTAAATTTATAGTTCAGATGTTTTGTAACCTCAGATGTTTTGTAACCAATAAAATGATCCACACAGCATCTAAAGGAGAATTTAGTTGGGTTCGACAACTAGTTAGTCAATTAAAAGTTAAAAAGTTAATCATTTTTTAATTTACTTAGAACTTAAACTTTAATTTAGTTGAAAAGAAAATTAACTTTCTCAGTCCTGTAAATCCAACTCTAAATTTCCTTTTTGCCTTTATGCGATGCACGTTACGTTATGATATAACATAATTTTAGATGAAGATGTAAGATACATCGGCGTTTCTCTTCTTCTTTTTTCATGTAGAACAGAATAGCAAGTGTATATATATATATAAATATAATAATTCTAAATCTCTCTCTGTAAATATTTCCAAGTGAGATAAGCACATTTCAAGCAACAATTAATATTATGTCGGCCTTAGACACTTACACTATCTGGGCCGGCAGTTCAGATGATTATGAAAAAATTTTAATTGTGATTCGGTTATCGTTTATCCTCAAGATTATGACGTTAACAAAAAAAAACAATTCGTTAAACTGTTCGCGAGTGACAACATTCGCCTGCGATCATCGTGACTAGCGGAGCGGGTAAACACACCATTTAGCATTTCAAATACACCCTCGGCTTGGCTCTCGCCTCGCAGTCTTCCACCAAAACCCCGTGGAATTAATCGTAGGGGTGCGTAACGCACCGTGACATCGATGCGAGCAGGTGAAGGAAATTGCTTGGTTGGCAGGGATGTAAATTGCTGCTGTGCACTTTTCACGTGTAACGCCCCTAATCGTTCTCCTACTCGCCTATACTCTCTCTGAAAAAGGTTTTTTCTTCTTTGAGCACCACGAGCATTGAACGAGCGTTACAAAATTATTTTTCATGGGAACAGGATATGATGTCGACCGTTTTTTCATCCAAATAAGATAGGAAATATAAATATAACAATGTAAATACGTATAAAAATATGGCTGGAGATCATTTGCATAATTTTCAGCGAGCACTTCCCTTATTACAAGAGTAACGACGATCGCTGGAAGAATTCTGTCCGGCATAATCTCTCGATAAATCCGCACTTCCGGAAAGGATCGAAGGCGCCCCACGGAGCCGGTCATCTCTGGGCAATCGCGAATCGTAACGACTGCAGCCCTCGACCGCTCGCCGTCAACGGCTTAACAATACCTACGCGACAAACTGTGAAACAAGACAGCAATGAGTCCGGGAGAAACGGAAACATCGTCAGGTAAGAAGCGACTGCTCGTCGACGTCACAAGGATATATCTATGCCAGCTGACGCCAGCTTTTAATCGCCGTTGCTTGACCAATCGACGCATTTTACACGCAGCGAAATTATCGCGATGGACGAGGTGGAGGCTGCAACGGCGAGCATCACGCAGCAGAATTCCGAGGAGGAGACCGACGTTCTGAACTCCGTGACGCTCGAGCACTCCGCCGAGCAGATACTCAACGGTATAAAGCGCGAGGTGGAGGTGCAGTATCTGGTTCCTATGATGGTGAGCAGCGGCGACCACGACGCGAATCAGCAGAGCCAGCAGCCCACGCAGACGGAACTTCAGTGTTCCTTCAAGGAGAGCGGTAAGGGCATAATTTCGTCAAGCTTACACACAAGTCATTTACGGAGGGTGTAGCTTCTTTTCATATAAATTCTCTTCAATCTTGAAAAAGCGCGTGAGATCGAGTGAGATTCGTATTTCCCAGATTTCCTGAACCCGGTGTCCAAGGAGGTCGTCGCTGAGGAGTGCGGGCTCATCAGCGAAGGCTACCTCGTGACCGACCTGAATCCGAACACGCTGGGATTGAACGTGGTCGATCCCGAGATCATAGGATCCGAGAATCTCTTCGGCGAGGAGTTGAGCTTCCAGTTTTACGAACTGACGTCGCCGTCCCAGCTGCAATCGGCCTGACACACGGAGAGCAACAAAGTACGCTTCATCGTGATCGACGAGCTGCAGATACAGAACGCACGACCGCGCGTCGAAAACGACGATTCGCTGGTCCGCACCGCCGATGAAATCGCGAGGAACGCTTCGGAGCACGGAGGCTCGCAGAGGAAATTGTCCGTCGACGGCAGTCAGAGCAACGAGAACACGTTGTGCACGACGACGAGGAGCTGATCCTGTTGGAATCGTTCCGTCGAAAGGTTTCTACGATGACAAGATTCGAGGATGTTCGATCATTTTAGTCGACGCGGCCGCTAGAATAGAATATACAAGTTCACTGATAAGCTTATCGAATGGACAACGAGTCGAACACGCGTGCTGATCCGAGGAAATCATGTCTACGAATGATAGAACGAAGTGCAAATCCAGCCTGATGCCACGGTTCGCAGCGGTAACGGGGATCACCGAGGAACACTCAGCGCAAAACGAACGCGGTGTGACGCGAATTGTAACAAACAACATAATCGCATAAATCGTGTGCCTGATTACGTGTCTTAAAGAGAGCGCCATTTATCTCGACGATGCATTAGAATAATTTCTTCTAGTCCTTTCGACATACAGTGTGTAATGTTTTTGTATTAGTAAAGAAAGTATGATATTTACTATTGACGTGTGTACATTGTCCCTGACATCTGTATTGCGGTCATTCGCGACTGAACGTTCCTACAAGTATCCTACTTGTTGGACAGTTTCTATTGCAAAAGAGCGAAAGCTCCCGCAACGATGTAAGACAGAGAGAATTTGGATATCTTTTGATCACAGTCAGTTTCGCGAGACGTCTCGTGATCGCTAATTGCTTAAATAAAATATGAAAAAGAAAGCGTCATGACTTAATTATGTATTACTCGTTACACAGTTAGCTTCGAGAGAATTGCACCTGAAAAAGAACTGATGAATTAAGTCTTTTATTAGCTACAATTAAAACGCACATTTTACGTTGTACCTCATAAATGAAAAAAGTTATCATTCTGTCGGATGTTCTTCTTTCTTCTTTGAATCTTCGTTGCTTTCTTTGTCGGCTGTTTCTTCTGGACTCAATTCTTTTATCTGTGTGTGAACCATAAGCGTCATCCTGGCAAGCTTTGCCTTCTTCTTAGCTTCCTTCTTCTTTTTCTTTTCCTGCTTCTCTTTCTCTTCTAATAACTCTTTAAATCTGCTGTCGTGAGGTGAGATATTGAAACCAAAATGCCTTCTAACTTCCTCCACCAAATGTTCCTTGCGTATCCTTGCAGCCTCCATTTCTGTTTTCTTCTTCTCAATTCTTGCTTTCATCTCAACTATCCACTGGTCCATCTTTGACAGATTTGCAAGTATTTGCTCCTCTCTGCAAAATCACATTATACATATATTGTAATACATAATATATAAATACCACACACTTGTAAGTTATCTGATAATTCATATCTGACTGATAGCATAACTAACATAACTAACAGAAGCATTTAACCTTTCAGAACAACTAACCTTTCAATTCTATATTTAGCCTTCCTCTCCCGCGCTTCTTCCAATTTTTTCCACCTTTCTTGGAGGGACAACGGGAATGCTACGTTTTCATATTCCTGCATGTCTTTGACATCTTCCAAAGTGGGCCAAACGAATCCTGCAGGCTCATCAATGGCTTTCAATCCATACCTACCTAGTATACGTCTCTTGTATCTCACCGTGTTGTGATACCATTCATAAGTTTTGTCATAAGGACGCAAGCCCATGAGTTTATTCCTATCTGATGAACTGAGCCGAGATTTGTTCCGTTTTCTGGCAATCTCTGCCTGAAACTCTTCGCTGTCTGATTCCGCGTATATGGGTTTCTCGTCGGCAGAGGTTATGTCAAAGCTCTCGTCCTTCGATTCCGATTTCTTAGTAAAGAGCCACCTCGCGTAGACGCTTTGCAGTCCAATGTTTCGCTGAATGACAACATTGCAGATTTGTTTCAGATGCATTGTATCAATGTCGATTTGCTGTCACGATCACATAAGCGATCACTGTACGATTGAGGTGATTGAGGCTCAATGCAGCTCAATGACTGATTGAGGTTAGATTACAATCAGAGGCCTCCTCATTTTCGCTCTACTAGTGTACTCTTTCGGGATTGTTTAGAATTAGAAAGAAATAAATATGAGAGATCCGTTCGTTTTCGAAGAATTTCTGAACTAGTGCAATAAGTTAGAATGAGACAAGTATACTTTCTTTCACTCTAACTCTATTGGACCAATGTACATTAGCTCAGAACATTCTGAAAACTTCTTCGAAAAGGAGCAGACTATCGGTGTATCCGTGCATCTGAAGGATAAAAAGAGGTTAAGTTAGTTGAGAACGTGCATACAATCATCACTCGTAAACCGCGTAAACTAGAATTATAATGGGTCGTCTTTTAGAGGTAATAAAAATTACTTAAAGAATTGGAAATACATTATTATTTCATTATTATTAAATTAAAATTTAACTTTTACAAATGCAGTTGCCAGAAAAAGGAGTCGAATCCAAAACGTTTGTTTTTATGGATGAGGGACACACTTTGGGAAATGCGCTCAAATATGTGATATCTCAATAGTATGTATTACTTAAATTTGACCAATAATGAATATCTCAGTACTTATATTGCATGTTAAGAAAACACGCAATTTAATAAAAAATACTTGCAGCCCTGAAGTAATTATGTGTGGTTACACTCTTCAACACCCAGCGGAATCAAAAATGCTCTTAAGGATTCAGACAAAGAATGGAAATGCATATGAATTATTGAAACGGGGTCTCGAAGATCTTGCAAAAATGTGTGATCATACTATAGAAACATTTGATAAAGCATATGAAGAATATCAATCTTCACAAAATGCTTCTGAAAATACGTGATGTTATCACTGTTTTAGAAATATAATTCTTTTTTCAAGTAAGAAAAGCTATTAATATAGTTTAATCAGACATATTAAATTATTAAATGTAACAAAAAGTACTTGCATACCTGACTTCTTTTTTGGAAATATAAGTCTATATAAAATAACTTGTTTCTATCACATAAACCTTTTTCTTATTAAATTAATTTACTGAATATAAAAGTGTAATATATATATATATATATATATAACAATACATCGTTATAATTGTGTAAAGAAAATAATTTGTGCAACTAGCACTTTTCTATGTACATTAATAATGTATTAAAACATGTAATGCATTAACCCCTAAGGAATTGGACAGTGCAGGAAGGAGATGAAAATTACAAAATCTATTTTTATAATTCTGAGCTCTCATGGAAGCTAGATGTTTATTTAAGCAACATCGGCTGTTCTCGTGCTTCCTTTGTGATTCTTAGACAAAAAGTCCGCGAATTCTTGGTATGGCGCTTTAGATAGAGCTTGTTCTTTCCATAAATCTGGTGTCAGATAGGCATACGTCTTGGCGATCGCGGCGTATGTAGCTTTGGCGAAATTGCCAAGCGTGCAGGTAGAGCCTCGGGCAGAGGTATAACAGTCTTCAATGCCAGCCATTTGCAGCAGCTTCTTGGGGACTGGCGCAGAAACAATACCAGTGCCTCTAGGTGCTGGGATCAAACGCACTTGTACAGAGCCACATTTACCAGTGACTTTGCAGGGTACCGTGTGGGGTTTACCAATTTTGTTACCCCAGTAACCGCGTCGTACTGGCACTACTGACAGCTTGGCCAGAATGATAGCACCGCGAATAGCAGTAGCTACTTCTTTGGAGCACTTTACTCCTAAACCAATGTGGCCGTTGCTGTCTCCGATGGCAACGAAAGCCTGTAAAATATTTTAAGCATTTCTATTATAATTGCACAACCATCATTCGTTTATCATATTTTAATTTTATAAATTCCAACATGTTACAATGATAAACTGAAACTTTAAATTACCTTGAAACGGGTACGCTGTCCAGCTCTAGTTTGTTTTTGGACAGGCATTATTTTCAAGACCTCATCTTTGAGATCTGCTCCAAGGAACTTATCAATGATCTCATATTCCTTGATGGGTAAGGAATATAGATAAATGTGTTCCAAGGATTGAATTTTGCCTTCCTTGACCAAGCGACCAAGCTTGGTAACAGGCACCCATTCCTTGCTGTCTTCTTTGCCGCGACCACGGCCTCGTCCCCTGCCTCTACCACCACGTCCTCTACCTCTTAAGCCTCCACGGTCACCTGCTCCACGAGAGCCAAAACCTCCACGAAAACCTCCACGAGCGGCTGGAGCAGCGTCCGCCATTCTGTAATTAATAAATTTTAATATTATAATATAAATGTCTATTTACTTTCGAAAAATTCTAGTTTATTAAAAGTAATGATTATGAGTAATAATGATAGCTACCATGCCTGGTGTATTAGTATAATACTTGCATAAAAATACAATCGTTCATAATTAGACATTAAAGATATATTAAAATTAAGTAAAGCACGACAATATGATTGTTATATTTGATACATCTTATTTGTGAAACCTAACCGAAAAACGATGCCGACACGTGGCACTCGATGAAACGTTTTAATATATGACGAGATTTCACAAGAGATTGCTCATATCTTTGTATATTTGCATTGTATATTTAAGCAAGAAGCATGCAGAATTAACTAGCAAATGCAACTGCACGAGAAAAATTGAAATATTGCTGAGAACATACTTACGCCTCTTCTTTCGTGCGAATACGACAAAGGAAGAAAGGCCGAGATACTACATTTCAGAGGATATAGAGCGATATAGAGCGTATCCCCTCTTGAGTGACAAGGTTTTTAGCGCTACCGTGGTTTGTATCCAGATATATTCGAACTAAAATAGATCACGTGACGCGAAGTGGGGATACGCGCTACATTCAAAACTGTAACTATAAAGATATGCATAAAAGATTATATATATATATATATATATATATATATATACACATGCAATATATATATATATATATATAAATATGCAAAATTGTAAGCATTCTGTATTAATCTGTATACATATAAATATATATTTATACATGTTTACTTATATAAATATAAATATCTTGCCCCTACACACTTTCTCTCTTCTTCTCCTTCTAAAAAGTTGAAGACTAAAAGACAAGTTTTGCACACTGCACAATTATTATGATCCACACAATATTTGTAATACACACAATCATCATTTGAAATCTCAACCTCGAATATAGACTGCGTTCCGATGTTATAACTTCACAAATTAATAATAGTACGTATGCTGAATCTTTCCCTAATAACTATATCAAGAATATACATATTCTAATATACATCTACTATACATTCTTCCTTTGTCGTACTCGCATGAAAGAAGAAGCGTAAGTTATGTTCTCAGCAATATTTCAATTTTTCTCGTGCAGTTGCATTTGCTAGTTAATTATGCACGCTTCTTGCTTAAATATACAATGCAAATATACAAAGATATGAGCAAGAGTACACATATTCTGTAAAAAGATATTTACAGACATTCAACGGAACTTCTATCTTTTAAACATTCTCTTGACACGTTCATTATTTGAATCTCTCCATAGAGATATATTCAGGTACTAATTTATTTCACTGTTCCTTACGAACGTAATTCTTCAGTATAATGCATTGTCTCGGGTAAACGCAATCGCAATACGTAAGACTTGAATCATAGAGAGAAAAAAGCACGTGTGATAATCATTTAAAATTTATTCAGCCTTTTCACAAGAAACTGACATAAGCGACAGTACATATATTTAGTCTTATTGTTTATTTAATCAATATTTTATCAGTGAGAGTTAACTAAACTATATATATATAGATCGTACAAGAAATCACGATTCATGTCGGGTGAGGCGTCACGTTTCTCGTTCGAAGATATCTCTTGAAAATCCGCTCGACTAACCACTGATCCGGCGGATAACTGATGTTGCACGTGTCCACCGTAGATAAAACGCGATTCACATAGAAGCCAAGGAAGAAGATTAAAATGCCCCACAACATTATACGCCATGATATAACCATGCCTCTCATCCTAGACGATTGCGATGATTTTGCGCTGAAAGAAGCAGTTAAGTTCACACAAAAGGATCTCAATTGAAGCGATCAAGATAAAGAGTGGAGAAGATGGATTACCATGGTTCACAATCTTGACTGACGTCTTCGACGACGGAGGGGAGGAGCTCGGGATAGGTTTCCTGCTTCGGGTTTGTCCAAATCTCGTCGTCAATTATTATACTTTGACTACTAGATTGATTTAACCGTAACATGTTGTTGTTCTCTTCCCTTGAGCTGCGTCGGGACTCAGCATGCTCGAAAATACCCCGTAACTCGCTGATGCTGCTACAACTGCTACTTGATCGTACAAACTTATTAATCAGCATATACATTTTTATACGGATAGCGCACAATATATTATACAAATATATAAATATAGAATTTTTTCTTCTTAAAGCATGCCGAATCTTTTATTTTTTTTCTATAGAGAATATTATTTTCTCTTATATCTTAATTATGTAATTAAAAAATTGTGGCAAATTTTTCAAATTTACTTTTTCAATACATCAAAATTATAATATCCCTATTATAATTTAAACACAGATATCTAAGGATATATCAGAAAAATTATCCGGTGTGCCAAATTAAGCGATAAAAGACAAATTTATCAACGAAACATTGAACGTGTTTTATTTTGAGATATATTTGATTACTAATGGATATCCTTAATGGTTGTACACTAGAGTTGAAAGTAACGATAACAATACTAACTCGGTGCGGCCCAGTCTCTCGTTTTCCCACTTGGAAGATTCGTAGTTGAGAGACGTTCTCCTCAGAGTTACGCGTCCGGAAACGGAATTTCGTTGCCTCACGGTATCCTGTATATCAAACATAGAGATATAGAGATAACACTGAGAAAGAAAAGAGTGGAATGGGTGAGCAAAGCTGTGCACTAAGTGTCATCGTGTTAGTAGCGCAAAACACAAAACACCCCACTTTGATTCGCATCGAAGCACCGAAAGCGAAAACTCAAAGCTAGGTCGATATAAAAGTGAACGAGACAAATTGCCTTTATCACATCCTGTGCACTGCCCATTGGTCGAGACATTGTCGCAACGCTAGCTCTCCTTCTAGCCATCTAAAAAGAAAAAAAATATCGACGAAGAAACGCACTGATTAATCCGGGAGAAGAACGACGCACAGAGGAAAAGGTAAAAACTGAAGCAAGCCGAGTGAGTGAGTGAGTAAGTGAGTGAGCGCAACCGAGTCAGACGAATTCCTTGCGAAATCGTGCAGACGATACCGATAAAGCGACACGGAATACAACGAAACCCAAACAACGAAGGTGTCTAAAATATATCTTAGGGGCGTTCGACATCCTAAAAACGATTAAAACAAGTATTTCTTAGATGTATCTAAGAAGTTTTTTAGGCTCGACCTATAAGGTGTGCAACAAGCTTTTATTCTTTTGTTCCGAGCCTAAAAGCATAAATAATTAAAGTAATTACAAAAATAGTAATTTCTAAAATTAAAAAAATAAAAGGAAAAAAAAAGATTCTGCGGTGTAATGTATCAATTTTTAATCTTTAAACGTTATTGCAGGAAATATTTTTTGGCAAGACTTGCGTTATATTTTTAGGTTTAGAGTAAAAGATTAAAGGCTTGTTGCTTTGTGGGCCGGGCCTTAGACATTTGTGCAGTACGGGATGGTATGATGCGACGGGGTATGACGGGGAAAAGTCAACGGAGAAAGCGATTAAAAACGTGAATTTTCTCAATAATTTCGAACCATCATACGATTATTGGCGGGTGTACCGCTCCTGTATCGAATCCGGGGCAGATCGTCGCCGAGCTCGCCGGAATTCTCCTCTACCATTATGTTGTTCTCCATCAGGATCCGTCTGGAAAGCGAACAGCGTGTACACCGTCACTGACATTATCATCTCATCGCTCCGGCACGGAAATGAAAAAAGAGTGTTTTGATTTATCACATCTTCTCACGTACGAAGATCAACTACCTCAAACGTACGAAGTCTAATTATCAGCAACGAAAGATGCGAGACCTTCACAGGCGCAGAGTCGTAGAACATGTGAACGACGTTACTGCGCGAAAGCCGATATTATCACGGTGAGCTCAAAGCTGAATGGAGATGAAACGACGAGCAACGCGCGTCGAGCGACAAGGGGAGGTGAGATAAGGCTGACTCTCACTTGGTCTCGGCGACATTGGCAGCCAACTTCTCGCATCTGGACTGCAGCAGCTGGAGATATCTGTCGGCCACGAAAACAGCCTTGGAAACCCTATGTTCCTGGTGCACGGCGCCCAGAGTCTCGGCCGCGCAGGACACTCGGTGCGCGCACCGCGCGACCATGTCCAGCTGGTGCCTGATACGCTCCACCTTCTCCACGGATTCCCTGTCCGTGCATAGTGGCGCAAGTTCCTGACGTTACGCAAAATTCAGTTCCCTCAACGAACCGTGCGAGCACGACTACCGAAAAAGCTTAGAGAACCGCGAACTTCCTTTCTTTTCCTCTCTCTCTCTCTCTCTCTCTCTCTCTCTCTCTCTCTCTCTCTCGCGGTTAGAATCTAACCGCATTATAGTTCCCACATGAACATTCCATCCGAGTTTGCGAATATTCGACAATTAACTACATTGTCCGACAAATTTCCACTTTTCTTTCACTCACAAGTGCGGCGAACAATCATTTCCGATATGTTTTTGAGTGTTAAATATAAATTGGAAGTTCATCGTGAATTTGGAAGAAATAAAAAATTTCTATTATTGCTATTTATAAAATTCCGCAAAATTGTTGGCCCATTTTATCTGATTTTCGCGTTTAGCGTCGGAAACAACTATTCGCACTCGTGAGGTGAAATTGTGCCAGACAATGCAGTCAGCGTCAAGGTATTATTCGTCGCTGTGCTCGCTTGCCTGAATGTCCTGCTGCATCTTCTGCACCTCGCAGGCGAGATTCTTCTCCGATTGGTCGCGTTGGCGGAGCGACAGCTCCATTCTGCGCGGCAGAGTCACCCGGTCTGTGCACAGGCACAGGGAGAACGCGGTGTACCTCTTCTGCAAATACGCGTTCTACGATTAGTATAACTGGTCAATGTAATGCGTGGCGTGATTTTCGTACGTAGAGCGCGTTCATTTACCTGCAGCTCGAACTCGCTCAGATTCTCCCTGAAAAACAAAGGCGTCACACACGATGAAGTGAGATCATTTGCTCGAGCGTCATACTCCACAGGTGAGCGGGCTTCTACTCACCTGCTGATTATCTCCATATCTGGTAAGTTGACTATTCCAGATTCCTGCAGACGAGTGCTCGTGAGACTCGGGAAGGATCTGAGCCGATCATCTGCTTCGATCAGAGGCTGAGACCGACCGTGTTGCCTACAACGGCACAGCGCTCGACCGTCGCTGTCACCTTCCGAAAACGATCTCCTCATCGTAAAACGTCGCTGCTGCAACAGATTAACGTTCGTTATAACTCGGATATTTTAGAGAATCCTGAGAAACTCTTGGGGGAAAAAGCACATATTATCTCACGCGTGCAATTTGCGTTCGGTTCTGTTTGCTCATTCCTGAACACAATTCTGTTCGCACGATTATGACAGAAAAAATGGTTGTAATAAATAGCAGCTGTAGGAAAAAAGAAACTCGTGAAAAATTAGCTCGCGGAGACCCAGCGACTCGGGCAATCGCGGAAGGAAATGCATGCGAGCGCACAGTTTGCGCTTGTTGTTGACCGCCGCCGATTAACAATCACTGCATATGCAAGATTAGGGGAGTTCGTAACGATAAGAGTAATCGTAGTTGGCACAGATCGCGCTTCCAGTGGTAATATGACCTTCGTTCCTACGGATCGCGGGCGTTATCGCGTTCGGATAAATGTTATCAGAGTGCAACAAGAATGCAAAGGAAAAAGAAAAGAAAAAAAAAAAGAAAAAAAAAGAAAAGAACGGAAAAAAGCCGCGCGCCATAACATTCATTACAGCGCTTTCTTTCTCACTGCATAACTCGGAACAATCGGGATGAAATGACGAAGTCGCGTAGACGCGTTAACCGAGCGAAGCAAAGTCTGCGCGGCGTCAACATCGTAATCGCTCGTCGATTCGGTCAACTTTGTACGGAGAAATCATCGATCCTTTTTTCCGTCTCTCTTGACCGTTAACCGACACTTCGCGCGCGCGCGCGACTGATTAATCATTGTCTATAAATATGTCGTCTAACGAGGGGGGAAACGGAGGGAGGAGAAGAGAGATTTCGGCGAGCGAGAATTTCGGCAGACCCGTCGCGGCCTTGCCCCGTGAATTTCTACTAATATCTGTCGAACGTTTACGTGGCACCTAACGCAAATATTATTTCTCGTATCAAACGAGATAGAGACCGCCGGATGTGTAGACGGGGCACGTGCGTTTGACTCCACCGCACTTCGATATAATATTTATAACTCCGTGGTATTCCGGTGGAATATATCTTGCGCTTAGAGTAACACGGCGGTGGCAAAATTCGCGGGAGTGTATCGGCATTGTTGAGACGCTGCGCGCTTCGAAGAGCGCAACGAAAATTCGCACGACTCGTGGCTACTCGTCGAAGGGCTGTGACGTCTTGTCCGCCGAGAGTAACATATAAATGTGCAGAAGATCCTAGAAGATATATCTTAAAATGACAGTTGATATCAGATGTCAGATGTAAGAAAGACACAACTAAACTGTCACGTCAATAATAACAAACGGTACTTCACAATCACACTTTTTTCTGAGAAGATACAAACAAAAAATTAGAATCTTTCCATAAATGTGTGATTTTTTATCGCCGAAGTGCGAATACAGGACTGTAGGCAAGATGGTCGACTAATTCAGCGCGGCAATGACGAAGTCTCATGAATCTCCGGTACGCGATACCTGCATAAAAGCGCTGCGTGCTAACATATAAGGCGAAGACTCGCGAGCAAGCTTGTCGTTGCGTATCTCTGACGAATAATAATTAAATCGCTAATAAAGTTTTTTAAATGCTACTTGCACATAATATTTCAAATGGTATATAAAATTCTAAAATGAATATTCCAATTAGTGCTAATTGCACGAGTTTTCCCATGATATCAGCTAATATGCGTCCACATTTATTCTGAACATGTTCTCATTCTATTTACTTTCTTGCTTAAAAATGGTATTTAGCATGTTAAAAAAATCTCCCCTTGAAGAAGCAAACTGAAATGTTGACAAAACAGATGCATGAAAACCGCGGTAACAAATTGGTGTCCAGATCGAGTCCAGTTTCTCCATATCGCGAAAGCCTCGGATATAAAAGTTCGCGTGGAATCACATCGATGAGACGGGAGAAGTCATCGTCGTCCAAGCGCAGTTCAGAGGAATGACGCGCCGCGAAATAAAACTAAATATAGAGAGCTATTTGAACCGGATGCGAGCGAATAAATGTAATTAAATGCAAATGATCGCTAGAAATCGCCGCGACTAAACAGCTCCGCTTGACGGCAAACAGGCGAACCGAACAGGCGCGAAGTAAAGACGCGACCCGGCTGATGACAAATTAATTAGCGCGTCTACGAACGCTTACAACGCGTGCGAAAGACATCGCGCGCTCGCGCGTTAAAAATATACACGAGTTTTCGCTAGCTATTTCAAGCGTCACGTCGAGAACGAGATACGCTCCTCTTGTTTATTTGCCATTCGTGTAGCAGTATGTAAACACGAGTGCAATCGGGAAGAAAGGATATACTATTCTTGCTTCGGACAAGCAAGAGCCGCGTGTATTAACCCCTAGAGCGTTAATGGTAATTTTCAACATTTAATGCGGCATTCCTCAGGTGGGCGATACATTAACGCTGATATCATAAGCTGATAGTTGCAACGTTCTGATTCGTTGAAGAAGTTATTTGTTTATCGAACTAGACAGGAAGATATCAATTTCGTGCGGTAGATAGCGACAAGAAAAACAAGGAGTTTCCAAAATAAATTCTTCGCAACCGAGTTATGTTCAAACATACCAGCCAACTCTTTTCATCATATCTAAATGAGAAGGCAAGAATTAAGATTAAGATTAGCTTTATCAAGCGTACGCTTCGGAAGCTTCAGAATTAACGCTCTAGGGATAATTAGCGAACTGCGATACACTATTAATCTCGATCGCCGCGCTGACAATCGCGCGTCGGACAACGACCACGCGCTCAGCACGAGTGATTAGTGTCAATTGACCGCAGATTTATCACCGCGTTCGCCGATTGTCCCCTTAACGCTGCTACCACAATTACCGACGGGCGGAGATCTTAATTGCGCGGCACGATTAACGACTCGGCCTGAACCATTCTCCTCGTGCGTTAGGGCCGCGTTTCTACAAAGTGAAGTGTCAGCTCAATTGCTTCCGTGCAACCGCGATTGACAACTCATTGAAGCTCAGCTTGGGGCCCTGTTCTGGACGCGCGTACCGAACGCTAACGTCCTTTTGATTCTCAAGCTGAAAACACAACGTTACACGTGACGCTCGTGTACAAATATCGAGTTTGGAATTACGAGAGTATAATCAGGCTGGCTTTCTTCAAGTTTCTCGAAATCAACATTTCAAGGTGTTGGTCTAAAGTTCTCTTTGTTTACTAGGTGTCTTTTGACTTTCATGCTGGCAATCCTGGCGACTGAGCTAATTATCGATTAACTCAATGAAGATTTGGAGAAAGTCACCCTCTCGTTTACGTTGCGTTCAGAATAAAACCCCTGGTTGCGCTCCAAGCATGCCGTTCCCTTCGCTCCGTGAACGACACTGGGAACTCGATTGATCCTTGGTCTCTTCGCGTATAAGAAGATATTTCAAGAGATGTCTCAACAGAGACGTCGTCTATTAATAAAATCGAATATACGTTTATCAAGGAACTACTTGTCGTAATGACTAATTGATCCACGTGCCACCAACCTGCCATCTCTCCTGTTTCGCGTCCAACAGGTTTCTGTCGCGTGCCATCGCGTCGTTCTGCATCACGTACTCGCATGGTATCTCCTTTTTCGTCGGCGAGTCGCCGATCAATGGCAGCACGGCAACATCGTCATCGGTTTGGTCGGCCTTGTTTGCGCCCATCGTCGTTCTTCCCTCGTCGACGCACCGGTCACCAGGTTTCGCCGTTTCGCACTCGCTGTCTTTGCCGGCCGAGGTGTTTTCGCGACTCGACATTTGGCCATCGACTGACCGCTCGACGCGCGGCTGATCGTCGTTGACTCTCCGCACGCTTGTTCGAGAGTGGGGACTTTCTGGATTCGCGATCTCCGTTGAATCTGCGGGGGAAAATGCAATCAACGAAAAGCGTCTATGATTCTGGCCAATTTCCCGTGATGTCTCTCGCGAGTAGAATGACAGGACGCGTTGGCTACTATGATGATCGCTGGTCGCCGGCTCGATGCTGCGACATCGCTGCATTTCACTGATTTTATACATAAAACGTAACCAACTGCATATGACGAATTAAATACGTAGAACCAATGAAACGAAGTGATGAATATGTGCACGACATATTGCATTTATTTACTGTATCCTTGGCAATTCAAACTTGAATCGAACATTAATATGATCACTAGAAGTTAGTTCACGTATAGTTATACATATAATTATGTATAATTATATATGGTTATATATAGGCAAAATTCATATGTAATTATATATAATTATTTCTTCTTGGATATATATATGTGACTTCCAGACATCCTCTGTCTGGAACCAGATCTGCAACTGATATTGCACCTCGATCTAATTGCGCATCCGTTGGCGCTTTTTATTCCTTCCTTTTTATTCCTGCGTATTATTATGAAATTGATATCGGCTGATGAGCATGATGTAATGCGATTTAACCGCACACAACAGCATAATTAAGATTGATCGATCCTGACTTGTACTAATTAAAACTAGATCCATGGACTCACCGATTCGATTATGCGGAATCGAGCGAGCTGACGTCAAATGGCCCTGGGAAAGTGTTTCGCTCAGAGGACGCGAGTTAGACTCGAGTGCTGGCGCATCGACCACTGTTTCGTATTTGTCTGTAATGAGTGATGTCGAAGACAAATGGACAGGAGAGTCACCAACGACTGTGGAGCAGGAGCTCGGCACGTCCGATTCGGGGGAATTCGTGGCAGAGGAAGCACAGTCTCTCGTGTTTTCCTTCTTCTTCTTCTTCGCGTCGGAGGTGTTAGAGGTTTCGCCCGAGTTCTCGACTTCCTGCAGAAGAAGCTTCAGTCGCGTGGGCGCTAAATAAACCTTTCTCGGTATCGGTTGTACGATCGGACTCGGCTCATCGTCCGTTGGGTCACCATCCCAGAAATGCTTCTGTGGCGAGCAGTTATTCGAGGAATCACTGTCATGCTTTATGTTGCGGTAAGGTTGACTAAAGAAATATGTAGATGCATCGTTTTGGTCGCAATCGTCCGTCGTCTCGTTACCGGACAACTCATTCTTCGCGTTGTCCCGTACGGAAGAAGCGCTTAGCGATCGCCTCACCTCCAGGCACGGTCCTTGATCGTCCTCGCGCGTATCCCGCACCTCCACTACGTCGAACGACCGATGATAGACCGAGAGCTTCCTGCGAGGACTAGTCAGTGAACTCGTTCGCGGACTCGTCACAGTCATTTCCGGCGCTTGAAAGTTCTTGGCACTCGTCTCCGCCAAAGTAAGCAGTGCTTTCGAATCCATTCGCAAGGCACTCGATACTTTTGGCATTTCGCTCGGTCGACTCGCCGCGGTGTGAGTCGGACTCTCTCGGCCGGAAGCGTCGCACGTTGATCCCGCACCGAATTCTGCGGATTTTTCACCGCTGCTTTCCGTCCACGTCAGACCGTCGCCGCTCGCGAGGTTGGCATCGAAAGAATTCTTCCTCGAACTTTGACCAGGTGCTCGCCTTATGTCTTCTGGGCTTGACGACGATGCTCGCGGGTGCGATGGCAATGTGTACATCGATCTGAACCTGAACACAATAAATTCATTCAGTTAGAGAGATCATGTAACTTTTCCTTACACATAGGAAGATACATATTGCATCCAAGTAAATGTTACTTATCTTAGAAATATTTTTTTTTTATTTATACGTTCACAAATTTATCATAAGTTCACTATAAACATCAAATTTGTGCAAAACATGAAATTAGTGAAAATTCTAAGGACTCATAACAAATCGTTTATTTACTTAAGATATATTCTGAATCTTAGTGAATAGCCGTACTCCAATCTCAAAAATATTAAATTCAAGACTATTAAATTATATAAAATAAAAATGCAATATACATGCAATATATATGCATACACATATACATACAGAGACAGAGAGAGAGAGAGAGAGAGAGAGAGAGAGAGAGAGAGAGAGAGAGAGAGAGAGAGAGGAAGAAGTTATATAATATTCTTGGAAAGAGAATAAAATTCTTTGAAATGCATAACAAGCTTCTCCGTAAAAAACTTTACCACAAGTATATTTTAAGACCACTGTCAAGAAAAGATTCTTCGATAAAGATAAACAAGACTTGAAAGAAGTAATGTAAATTGAGTAGTCACTTTTCTTAACAATAGTATAAAGGCGGGAAGAGTTTCATATTCCCATGGTTTGAAAAGTTACACGATCGCTGAAGTCATCGAGTTCACGTGAAACTTTTCATTTTCCTGCTTGTAGGAGAACGGTACATGATCGCTATCCAGATTAGAATTGTTGCTGACAGACTCGTTCACACGAGAAACATTCGACGTCTCGCGTACACATTCTCTTCTTCGTAAGGATAAATTCACGGGGATTTCGAGCGAATTAAATTAATCTACGAGAATTTTACATATTCCGACCTTGGATTCCCAGATGCAGGAAGATCTTTGTACACAACGGGCGAATTAATGGTTTCCTCGATGATCCTGTCCAATTCCTCGACGAGGGGATCGATGACTTCGAAAATATTATGATCTAGGACGCTCGTGCTCGCTTGTATAACTTTCAGGAACGGATCGTCTTTGTTATCGCTCACGTCCTGTGAAGCTGTCAACCGCAGATCCGTCTCCGGTTTCGGACACTGACAACTAAAAGATCGGTTAGTAAAAACAACGAAAATACAACAAAAACAGGTAAACAGCCGAGGCAAGAATTGAGACGAGGATAAATACACCTTACATAATTAAAGGCTTGACAAGTCGACTCGACTCGATCAATCAATAAGATCCGGTCACCGAGTGAATTCAAAACAGCAATTATTTTTATGCTGCATGCTTATATAACAATCAAGTTGGGTGTTTGTTAATCGAACAGACGACGGAAACAACAGCGTTTCTTCTTTTCTCACGATCCTTCAATGGGAATTCATGCCTTCAGAGGTCAAAGTTATTGCTTACTGTTGCGCGTTCCGTGATTCGTCCACGTCTATATGCAAGGAGGTCGGTCTTGATGACATAAACAAACATTCGTGCAGATCGACAACTACGATTAATCAGAATCCGCTACCACACGTGCGCATTGATTTAATGCGTTGATCATGCTATTAAAGCGACAGATCAAACTGTCCTTGCGACGTGCGAGTAATGTCAGCCTGTTGCATGTCTATGGTATCTATGACGTTGCATCGTTGTCGTTGCGTTTTTAATTATTGCTCATTGCTTCATATTAAACGAATTCATGAATTAACCGTCAAATCTTGTGTTTCTCAATCAGAGAGACTTATCCTTCTAGCTTTGAGGGAAACCTCAGGATTTTTCTCATTAACGTGATTGATTGCGGTAGAACAAAATATCAAAACTACGAAATTTAGAAACGTGTTTAGAAAAACACCGCCCAGTGCAAAACGATTTTATATTTTGGTAAACTTTATCGCAATAAAAATGTGTTACCTTCAGGATTTTCTGTTAACGTGATTGATCGTATCGATAAGATATATCAAAAGCACTCGAAATACATAAACATATTTAAGGATATATAAAAATGTTTAATAAAAAAAAGGATCTTTACATCTCAGTAAATTTTCTCACAACAAAAATTTTTTAATTTCAGCTTTTCCTATTAATGTGATAAATCATGCCGATAAAATATTAAAACCGCTCGAAATTTAAATTCGTTAAAAACATATACATTGTTCCATATGAAAAACAATTTTACACCTCCTAAACTTTCTCGCAATAAAAATTCTTTAAACTTTCTCGCAGTAAAAAAATCTTTTTAACCTCAGGATTTTCCTTTAACGTGACCGGTCGTGTTCGATAAAATATTGAAAGCGTTTAAAATCTAGAATTGCGCGTCTAGGACTGTAACACTGTTTAATGAGAAACGATTTTACATGATTTTACATCACGTTAAACTTTCTCGTAAGCATTGTATTTTAATAAAACGAGAGATCCACACGTTTCTTCGTGCGCGAGACAAGACGCTTTATGAGTTCGTTCAAGACCCTCCGCTGGCTCTCGAGGTGCGACACACGCGGCGAGGAGACTCGGAGCAAACTGATTGCGGCCGCCTGAATCGAGGTTCCCCTAGCAATGCTGTCCATCTTCGTGATGACGAGCACACATAGCCGCGTGAGGTGATCTCCGGGATATATTTTGACGAACATACGCGACACGAAGAGGAGGCCGCGAAGATCCGCAAAATAGACGTACGACGTGACGACGTTATTTTTCTGAAACGCTACATATCACCATATTTTTATTGCTCGTTATATTGCAAGGGAAACAAGTTGGTCACCAAAATGCCACTTCTCAACACACCCATATCTGGTACATCGATTTCAGTCCTCGACCTACTGCTCGTCCGTTGCGGATGTTTTTTCCTTTCTCTCATGTAAAAAAAGGTCTACCGAGCAAAATGATAATTTATGATAAAACCTCGTTAGTGCTCTCGAATATATATCTCCCATTTCCGTGTTTGACAAATGAGCAGATGCAAAGTGATTTCTTAATGTTATTTTTTTAGATCGCCTATAAATCAAGCTCGACACTTTTCAGGCAAAAGGCGACGTTCTGATATCGAGAGGCGCAGGAGAGAGAAAGATTCTTCGCGAGTTTACAAACGCGCAATAATAAAAAAAGATGTCGAGAAGATTCCCAGAGAAAATCATTAGGGGATGAGGAGGACTGAGGGAGTCGGCTGCTGGTGAATATTTCGGTAGCGGAACGTGCAGATTGGTAATCATGATTTAAGAAGACGAGATTCGGGGCAAGCCCAGTTATTTTTGCGTGGAGTATCGTCCGAGGGCGCGGTTGCCGTGGGACAGCACTGCTATTTTTATGGGAAACCCTGAGGAACCCACGTCCCCGCGCCGCCATATGCCTGACCCTGATCCGAATATTCGCGGGAACGGTTATCGACGATGACGAGATGATATTATTCGCCGTTTATGCGGCGAAACGGGTGTATCTCACGATTATATTGCGCTGGTTATTGAAACCTTCTGTTTCGGCCTTCGTCAAAATCTAAGAGTGCGACTCTAGCGACTCTGCAACAAGGCCTTCCACTTGCCTGTCTGCCTGCAGGCGTGCATATGTGAATAAATTTATTCGACGTATGTAGCGTACATCGGTGTGATCCTCTTTCTTCCAAGAATTAATTAATCATCTTCGACTCGTGTGTTTGCACGAGTACACCACTGCGGGCGTGACACAACTTCGCACACAGTCGCGCAAGTGTCTGCGCGTCATTGTTTCAAGCTATCGACAAGACTATTAACTTACGCGCGTGTCAGCTGAGCCCGGAAGCTCGTAATGCCAAATTGTTGCGAGGTCCCGATCGCGTCTGAGCAGTCGGCACATAGCTGTGTGCTTGAATCTTTGGTGTTCCTACTTCTCGCGATTTTTTCGGTCACCTGGAAGCACAAGAGCGCGTCAGTTACGTTGAAGATGTGCGGTCAGAGATCCAAGTTCAGGGCATGAATGGGGAGAGAAGGAAACATGATGAATGCGAAGTCGCGACGTGCGTGTGTATGTGTCTTTATCATGAAAATAGACGCTCGTCGCAAACGGCTGTTCTCTTATGGTAATGCGGCGAGTAACCGCATCTGTCGAGATGGCCTTTTATAAGTAGCGCTCTTATCAACGCGCGAGGATGCTCAACGAGGGAGAATTATCCCAAGTGTAAAAATGCCGTAACCTACAGTATTCAGCAGGAGAGCCACTTTGTGTTTCAAGGTCTCGATGTTGTATACTCTCGTGTTCTCCGTATGCAGCAAGTCAGGCTGGGGTGCGTCGATCGAGTCCGTCGTCGTGACGAGAGTTTTTAAAACTCTGGAAAACGAATTGCGCGCAAAACGTGAGCGAGAGAGTCGAGTTTAAGCCGTGCGAGAAAATTTATCAGACTGAGAGATAATAACTTTTCCAGCTGCTCCAATATCGTGGAAATCACCGTGTCATAATAATCCAGTTCATCTTCCAATTCTTGCCTACACGAGTTTTTGCTGCTGCACTCAGCTGTGAAGCCCTGAAACGCGTAATTTCAAACACGAGAACGCTCATTAAAAGCAACTCGAACAATTGTGATTTTAGGAACGAATCAAACTGTCGTTTGTTATTTTATTGAAATCAATAACTAGGATTATGAATTATATTTGAATTACGAGATTTTGAAGTGTAAATATTCAAACATTCAAATAATACTAATTATACAAAATCTTGTTGCAAATTAGTTCTATTAGGAACTTCGATATTCCGAATTTTCGAACACTGCTCGAAAGTCCAAAGCTTTGAGAATGTATCGAGTGGTATTTCCTCTAATAAATGCTTCTACTTACGGAAGCTCTTAACTCAGCGTACAGTGAATTTTCTAGCATTATTTTTTCTAATTTGTAAGGTGTGCTGTGTAGATGACATCCGTCTGCGTCCGGAATTGGTGAGAGTGACTGTAAATATCATGCCAGTTATAATGAGAACAATCTTGCGTGTAATTTAAAAGATGTCAATAATAATAATTATCGTGATAATTTACTCTTTCTCCCTGAACCGCCGACCATGACTGCAATTCCATATTTTCGTCCATTAGTTGATGGTTCTTGTCGCGCAGATTCTGCAATATATCGCTTTCGCTACATCATTGCGATTCATGATCACGCGAAACTGAAATCTGTAGAATTTTTTAACTTACACGAATAGTATATTCGTACGTTTCCTTCATATTGCTGATTGTATCTTGCAACTCAGTCATCATGACTTTCAGCTTCTCACATTCCTCTTCTTTTTCACAAAACTCCTCCTGCAACCTGGCGACTTGTTTTATGCAATCCTTTTTTTCCTTACTGATCTTCTCCATCTCTTCTTTTAAAGGTTGTATGGCTTGCATCTATATTACATTTATAACCGAAATAAAAACAAAAATTTTAACGTGCAAGTGCAAATTTCTATGTAATTCAGCATCAAAATATATATTCAGAAATTAATGTAATTTATAAAATTAATAAATTTATTTTTTATCTCGATTATATTTATATTTAGTATATTTTATCAAAGGGATGATTCATACAAATAAATAAATAATCATAGTTAATATAAATATTAAACATATATCAAAATATGTTTTAGAGACATTTTAAAGATATCTAAAATAAGAAGTATGTCATTCAAGCATCTCTAAGGTGTTTCTTAAAGATTCGTGTTACATGGGGTAATTATTTAAACAAAAATTAAATAAAAATTTAATGTTATTTCATTGCTGATTGTTGTACCTCAATCTCTGCGGTTTCCAATTGCTTTGACAAGCTGTCATATTGTTTCATAGATCTTTGATACGCGGAAATATAGCTCTTTTCATTCTTTATCATCTCGTCTAATTTGTCTTTCTGCTCGTCGTTCTCCTTTTCAAGTTGTTGACATTTTTTCGTATAACGATCCCTGCATTGACAAAGTGAGCAATTTTTCATGAACAGATTTCAGATTTATCTGTGATTACAAACATTCAACCGTCTTGTGCGTCGAGTAAAAAAGCATACGTACAACTGATTCTCCAGATTGTTGCATTGTCGCTCAAGATTCGTGATCAACTCCTCGGCCCGTGCGAGCTCCTCCCGCAGGAGAATGTTCTCCTCATCGAATTTTCGAACTCTCATACGGAGCTCGACCCCCGTGATATCTTTATCTATGTCCGTTTTCATCGAGTCCATTGTCGCGTCGTTTGTATTTCTACAATTTGCATATATTATTATGTTACCCATTGCAATCGCGACCTTAGCGATACAATGATACATGTGAAGCGTCGCAAAAAAGCTATTTGTACAATAAGGCTGAATATAAAACGAAGAATCATCGTTGGATTTTATCTCAGTAATTTCTCACTCGTTTCCAGTGAGATTTCACTCCAGTAAATTCAAGCAGTAATTTCGAAGTTTCTTGAAGTGAAACGTCACTCGAAAAACAGAGCGAATTACTCGAATTGAAGCGATTCTTCATTCATATAAATAGATTCTCCGTTCGGAATCGTCGAGTAAATACTCCCTCTCGAAGTTAAAGAGTGAAACCTCGACATACTCCATCTTCGTACAAGAATATATTTGCTTTAATCGGAACATTCGCTCATACGGAATCAGAATCCGTTCTAAGCTCACGTTAGTCTTGCGGTGTCAAGAATGGCGACGTTTTCACTGTCGCTTCGCATGAAAATGTCGCCACTTTTCGCTCGTTTCTAGCAAGATTTAACTCCAAAAAACTTGGAGAGTGCAATTTGCGAGAAAGAAGGGAATTACACGAACGCCGAGGTAGCCGGACGAAAATAATCGTCGCGACACAGCATGGAGCGAACTCGCCACTTACTTCCTGTCTCGATCACAAATCATAATCGACGGCCGACTTGGCGTCGTGACGTGGGCTCAAACGCACTGTCGGCACTACCATGAGCGTGCTGAGATATCGCGCTGATGAGCTCGTCGCAAGTCTGGAACTCGCGTTTACATTAACAACCCGCATTTGTTTACGTCGTAATAATCGAGTGGTTGCATTCGCGACGAACAGAGCGAGTCCGCGCATAGAGCACGACGCGGCGCGAAAGGTACAACTATCGTAAGAGCGGGACCTCCTTTTTATTCCTGCTATCTGTAACTGTAAAAAAAAAAAAAAAAAAAAAACGAGAATGCTCGTACGCTAATAAGACTACCAGACAAGACTACGAGCGGGCAGTCACTAAGCACCGGCGAATTGCATAAGAGATATCGCACCGATTTCCAGCCGCCACATGTTCGCGTGTCGTGTCGCTCGGTCGCGAATAACACCTGTGTGTCGACTTAGAACTCCGGTGAGCGCGCGCGAACGTGCACACGTGATCCGATTGAGATCAGAAAAGTCGGCGACACTTTGATGAAACTGCGCGCGAGGCCTCGAATTACCCGCGAAGGTACACACACGTACACACGAACACACGCACGGTGAGTGCGGCGTGTAGGCGGACTGTTTGCGGTAAACACTCCCTTTCATCGGTTCCCGAGCGACGTCGCGCCTTCTCGTGGAAGTCCCGACGAATTTCAAACGGTCCGGATGGCGAAACGAAGAGAGGAAGCGTCTCGTGATCTCCGACGACCGGGCGTATATTTTTACGGCCGCCGGGAATTACAACCGGCTTCGACCACAATGCGCTGCTTATCGCCGTTGCGGATAATACGTAAGCGAATAATGACATACACAGTCGGTCGGCCATGTGTGCGAAATCCACACACACACACACACACACACACACACACGCACGCACGCACATATACAGATGTACACGTACGTAGATGCATGTTAACGAGCATGCACGTGGCCCCCGGTACGCGACGGGGCACGTGTTGCTCCTGCAAAATTTAACGAGCCGTATACCTAGACCGATTCTATACATGTCGAGGTGAGCAACGAAGAAAGTACGCTTGCTCGATGCCCACGAGAATGTTAACTGCGTACATACATGTATCTGCATACGTGCGCGATGTGTGTGGTTTGTGCGTATCGCGTTGTACAACAGCGGCTAACTTTTCCTTCTCTCAATGAAGGCAGAATTGAACAAATAAAGCCGCAATCAAGGTGGTTTTAATTATGCAATAATGCGGCTATTAATTGTGCAATAACTGAGAGAAAAATCAACGATTTTTGCATCTTGCTTTTACATCGGCGTGTCTTGTGCGTGAAACTCGTTTTACATTCATCTACATCGTGTGCGCACGCGATATATAATGCATACTCTCCAAGTTTTTTAAAGAGGAGTCTCGTTCAGAGAGCAAATGGCACGTATAAGGAAAAAGAGTTTGGCGTTGAATTAATGTGACACTGAACGGATTAAGTGCATTTTGATTGAGAGAGACAGAATTTCCATTTTTTATGAGGCAAATACAGTTTCAAAAAACGGAAATTCTCCAATTAAACTTGATTCAACTAAACTCTTTTTCTCCCGTGTGGCAATATTTTCATTCAAAGTGATAGTGAAATTACCGCCACTCGAAATCGCAAGAGTGAATGTTTCGTACAAGTTTAGAATGGATTCTGATTCCGTATGAGTGAATGTTTGGAATATGTTCTAGCGACACGGTGGAGTACATCAAATTTCCTCTTCAATTTCGAGTGACAATATTCACTCCACAATTCAAAGTGGAGAATTCACTTTGTATGAGTGAAGAAACGTTCAAGTTCGATTGAAATTTCACTTCAAGAAATTTAGAGTGTATATTTTTATCAGAAGTTATCGAGAACTATGAATACTTATCGGGCTCTAGTGAAGCAGAATAAGTAGCCTCTAAATTTCTTGAGGCAAAATTTTATTCGAAAAATAAACTTCGTCGCGAGTATTTCTTTGCGATAATATCGCGTCACATCCTGACAGAGAGAGAGAGAGAAAAATATCACCTATCACTGTCATTTACACACAGAAAAGCATTTTATTATAAATACTTGTTTCAAGTACTTTATAAATGTATATATGTACTCTATGTACTCTAAATACATTTTGAATCTTAGTAAATTTAGTAGTCCCACCCAGAATTTTGAATTAAAACAAAAATATTAAAACGAAAGTTCAGTTTGCTTTCTGTATAAAGTGTACAAGTTTTGTAATATTCTTGAAAAGAGAATATAAATTCTTTTTTTGAGTACGTGATGGTGAATTTCTCTAACATTTGTAATAATTAAGGTTATTATTGAGACAATATTCTTCGTTGAAGATTACTTAAAAGAGGAAAAGTAAACCGATCAATCGCTTTTCTTAGTGGCAGAATATTTTTCTCTGTGTATCTTTTGTAGATATTATATACCGTCGCATCATGTGACAACTTAGAAGAAATGCCTCGTGCAAACGACGCTATATAGATCATACTATAAACCGCAAACCGCACGAGCCTACTTTGCGCAACGTGTGAAATTCTAATCAATTTCTCTAGGCACCCGGCTATACTCGTCGAGCGTCTGGAGTTGCTTTGCTCTTTACACAGAGCCAACTGGCGTTCCGTGTGCTGAATTTACGGTTCAGTAGATTCCGCAGTGTTACATTGTCGTCTCCACGCAGTGCGACCGAGTCTCGATCTTCTCGACTTATCGCGACGCTCAGTTTGAGAAAAACTGCATTCTCTCTCTACTCCCGTCGCATAATATTTGCCGATCATCACATTTATACGCAGTAACATTTGTATAAGATAGTGGTCGCTTTTTGCGCGGCCACATGACTGCAGAATCATTCGATGCCGCCTCAAGCCACGGTAATTGCGGTAGTTTCATTATAATACAGACTACGACACTATAATCGCTGAAACGCTGATAACATGCAATTCCTTTTCCTAGACAAAACTCCGTAGTCATACTTGTACAGTTCTCTCTCAAAATTGTTGTTGTCGTCCTGCGTCTGAGTCCGTAGCACCTTGGCGATCCAGCATTTCGTCGCCTCCTTGAATTGTCGCAAATTCACACGATCATTCGTTGAAACGTTACTCAGACACTTCCACAATTCTAACATGTGTTTGACCCTGCCGATCAAGTAGATTCGCAATGTAGGTCCTCTTTCTCGTGAAGATTAATCGGCGTATAAAGCGGCTATATATTGCGCCGTGTCGTGCAAGCATCGCCGAGGGAGAGAGATCCTTGCGCGACTTTCAACGCTCGATTTTCAATGGTGTATCGAACAAGCGAGTTGTATAGGTAAAAGGTATCACCGAAAAATATGTATGCGCCGATTGCGAGTGAAGTTGCGCCGCTCATCGATCGTTCGTCCTTGTATCGATCGGCGGATATATACGAGGATAGACTGTTTTACAAGTTGTCGCGATCGACACTTGTCGTGTCAACATGCGATAACATGCATTTGATCGTCAGGAAATATAATACATCCGAATACTCACGACCAAATTGGTAATTGTTCCTGGACGTATTGGACAATCCTGGAGATCGGCACTTCGTCGCCTAGGGACAGCGTCGAGTAAGTTATCGATGTTGAAAGAGAGGCGTCGCATTCCATAAATATTTGCTGGAAAACTAGCAAACGGATCGTTTCTGTTTACCTTGTCTATTTACAACGAGCGATTTCTGTAGGTTCACTATAGATTTGAGATTAAAGTTCATTTATTTTGGTGGAAACCCGAATACACAATCAGGACAAATCGTCATGATCGGACGGAAAACAAACTGTTGGTTGATCAGTTGAATAGAAATTTGTTGATCGAGCGTTGGACACTTAAACTTTGTTGCAAATAAGAATTTAAATCAATTGCACGACAAAAGATATGTACGGTTGAGCAAGAATTCATCGTAACATCAATTTCTATCAATATCTTACTTTCTACCAGTACTCTAAGCACATTGTTTAGCAAGATTTCATCTCGCTGAGAAAATGAAGATAACTCTAACAGCAAGACTCACCATTTTCCAATTCAATGTCCGATTCTGAGGCGACTTCGGACATGATTAGAGATCAGCGTCCGGGATCTATCCGGAAATAAAAGGAAAAGAGTTTCGTTCACGAGCACAATTCGAGATACCAAGGCAGCGATACTTCAAACGCGTTCATAGCGATAACATGAGAGCGATCGTATGACAGCACTCCGACATATTCGCGGTCGGCACTGAAAAAGCCGGGCACACGACTACCCCCATTCGATCGACGGGCGAGGAAAGGGCTGCAAGGAGGGGTCCGCGACTTCCCAAGCAGTCTGTTTACATTCACCGCTACTATTGCGTATCTCTTTCTTTGCGATATGCGCGACGATCGCGTGTCGCGAATGAATATTTTTCGAAGTGACACGAGTGAACGAAGAAATTCGAGAGAGAGAATGACGGATTTTAAACATGCCGACCTTGAGAGCAATATATTCATCATCTTTACTTACCAAAACATGTTGCCTCGTCGAGAGCAAATTTTTGCCGCCATTCGATGTTATCGTATCTTTGTATCTCTTTATGCCTCGTGTGAAAATGTGCTTTTCGTAAAATCAAAATATAAAAGAATTTGGATATAAAAACGTTTTCACATCATTTCATCGGGCGCCATGGAGCGTTCTTCTGGAACTTTGCACGTTTCGTGACGATTAGTCTGAAATCGCCTTAGTATCGGAGTTGTATGCATGCAGCGTCTGCCTGGCGATCGTGCGACTTTTCCTGAGAGTGGAAATGTGAAAAGTGACCAATTTCACACGGACTCTCTCGACGATTCTGCAGCGATCATGCAGTTTTTCCGAATGGAAATTTGTCGAAAATTGATTGAAATCTTGCGCGGGTGAAACTTGTCGCGTTCTCACTTCTAAGGAAAAGTCATCATGATCGCCATCCTGATATACCATACTCTTCTCACGTAAAGAATCGCGTAATTTCATTCTACAGGCGACTAAGGCTGTGTTCCGATATTCACTATCAGCACTGAAAATCTATAATATACGTGACACAAACTATGTATTTTCAGTACTGGCAGTGAATTTTGGAACACAGCCTAAGTCGATTGTGTATGTACTGTAACCGGCTTAAATTCTTGACTGAACGCTCGAGTTGTTTGACAAAGCGTCACAGAGCAGGAATGCTACGATTTACCAGACACCGCTCGTAAGAGGCACATTTTAAGGTTAAGACCGTCGATTTTCAAGCAGTTAATTAATTCTCGTTGGTACATACCTGAGCTCATCAGTAGGAAATGCGAAGAATGGCAGAATTGTGCAGGAGTAGCGAGAAAGAAAAACAATGTGAAGCATCTTCAGCACAGTCAACTGTCGCACGGATCGTCGCGCGACGGTTTGAAACTGTTTAGAAGTTTGAACTGTGGCCTGAAGGTAGCGCATGTATGCAGCGCGCAGTATCTCGATTCGACTGTCGATAACTACGCGCGAAACATTTCAAACGGAAAATCTGAGCAGTTTTAGACAGTATGTAAACTTTGTCTGAAAGCGGAAACGTGAAAAGTTTAAAGTAAGCTCGGCGGCTTTAATGCTCATGTAATTTTTCGAGAAATGAAAAATGTGCAATTTTCCATATCTCGCATTTCCGTTTTCCATTTTCAAGGAGAAGTTTCACAATCTGCTCTTGTTACGGTTGTTTTTTTCATGTAATTTTTTCTCTTTCTTCTCTTTTAATAAAAATTTTATACATATATCCTATCTTGTTTTAAACTTGGCAAATGCAATGTAGTGCAATTATAAAAAACAGTAATATTTCACGCGCACGCGCGAATATTTTTTTAAATACTTGAAATTAAGCTCGCTCGTGTTAAACGTCAAAGTTAACTTGCGAGTTAACTTAATTTTTGACAGTACGCTCTAAACTAAAAAAAAAACATTGCTTTATTTTAGGTAGTGCTGACAGTCAGTTATCGCGACGAAGATACTTGCGATAAAATTAGTAGCGTGGGATATATCAGCACAAAAATTGATACTATACTATTTCGCATTTAAGCGTCGGCTATCAGAGATCATATCAAATCGCAGCTAATTGTTCGTAGCGATGCTCAGGTTTCGCAGATTGTTTGGTTTCATCGTGTATTACATATCACAATCGATATTATTACATATGATCGCATATAGCGCGCACGTTAAGGCGCTATACGTAAATTCGTATTATAAAAATATACTTCTCCAAGATATTGAGCCAACGAGAAAGTTAGTTTATTCAAATCATTTCTAATTATTAAATCTATAATTCCAATCATAAATCTAATGACCCGCATACAACATATAATTCTGTTATTATTGTTAAAAATATATTAATATTTTTAAGTTACCTGATCAAACAAAACAAGTGTAAAAGCTTTGAGTCTAATCTAAGAGTTACAAAATCGTGATACATGTAAAAGATGTACGCACTTAACTGTACGTACACATAGGCGCAAGTTAATTTTAATATCAGCCACCATCAAGCCATCATTGTTGCAAAATGCTTTGCAATATTTCCATCGGTACTCGCATCGTTTGGTCATCGACAAGAACGATATCGAATTTCTCCATAAACATGTCTAGACTGGCTTCCACCTGAAAATAAAAGAATTCAGCGATTATATTACATATTCTAATATGTCGTACATTCGATCCTATTAATGATTCATTAGATCAGAAGTTATCAATAATTTCTTGTTAGGCCAATTCTAAATATGTATTCATTATAACTTTTAATTCATTGGAAAAATAGCAACAATGTTTCAAAGCAGTTTGACAATTTGATGTTTTATTTGTACCAGTGAAAAGGGCTCAAAAGGATAAGAAAAAATGATATGATTTAGTAAAAATATATCAATAAAGTTAAATAATGATATACATGAATGATATAAAATTATGGTGAATATTAATTAACCAGCATAAACACTGATTAATATAATAATGATGAAAAATAGTCAAAAATTTTTAGTAATTTAATCTGATAAATAACAGGAGCATCCATGGGGCAGAGTATATAATAATCATAAGATACTTACATGTTCGTAAAGAAATCCTATTTTCAAGACAGTTTTGGTGTCTTCCGTTCTTTCCACCATGTCGGCGTCGCCAATCGTGTCGCCCATCAATAATATATTCTGTTTTTCTCCAAGTATCTTCAGATAATCTTTCTCCAATGCACATTCATTCTTGTTGTATGCGTGAATGAGCACATCGTTCTCAAATCCATCCAAGTAATTTCCGTTATATTTGAGAAAGTTGGAGATTACTTTTACATTATCGTAGAGAGCATTGTGATACCTCAATATAGCTTCCACCATATCACCCAAACCGGCGCTAAATATTACAATCGGTACTTGTACATTGTGTAGCTTCTCAAATATTTCTTCTGTACCATCTCGCAAGATTCCACTGCATGATTGAGCTATTTCCTCCATCTCGTGAGAGTCAAACTCAATGCCCTTGAGCAGATCTTGTGCAGCCAACATCCAATCGCGCATAGCATTTGCTTTCTCATTCAGAGACAGACTCGGATCTATCTCCATAGGTCTGTATTTTGCATACAAACGCTTAGCCTCTTCTGAGTATTTTGTTGGTAATTGCTTACTCTTTCGGAACATACCTGAATGTAAATATTAATATCACAAGTTCCATATGTTATTGTTGGTAGGTTTTGACTTTGTGCTAATGATAAATTTGTTCTTTTTAGTTGAATTAGATTGCGTTATTTGTTTTTACAATAATATGAATATATAACTGAGTATTCAAATCGAAAAGAACAAAATTCAGTGCAACATTAATAGTTATAAAGAGTAGATTTAATAGCATTTTGTTTCTACTTGGAGATCATGCTTACCAAAACTGCTGAGTACATGCGCCCCATTAATGTGTTGCTTCGTCAGGGTCAGGTCAAAATCCGTGACTATCTGCACAAGGTTCAAGGAGTAAGTTGAAGAAAAAAACAGGAAAAAGATTTGCGGCATTTTTTGTATGAAAACAGGTATAAACGCGTGTACCTGCAAATTATTTGCACCTCCTTGCAACATCGCGTTAATCCTCTTCAGAAGACCGACTTCATCCTTGATAAAAACATGTTTCAGCCTCAAAGCGGGAAACTGTAACGAAGAATATACTTTTTAATGTTGTCCGAAAAAAAGACATGTTATCACTTGAAAGAGAGAGAAAGAGAGAGAGAGAAAGAGAGAGAATGTCATCGCTCACGTCGTCGATCGTGATCTCGTTGCTCATCATTGTTGGCGGTAATGCGAAGAAACGCAGTGATGCTCCACAACTCAGTCGTAAAATATGTCGTACTCCGAATCGGCTTCTCAAACCGCTCTGCTGTCGTACCGACGCGCTGAACATCTAATCAGCCAACTGCAAGCGAGTGCGCATGTCACGTGTACTAGCCGTGTACACGTGCTGCTTGTAGTGCCTCCAGTGGTGCGATTTTTTAACTTGTTATTGGAGTTAACGACACTTTCGTTATCGTTGCATATACTGTAGAAAAGCTGCGCAACGATAACGAAACTGTCGTTAACTGCAATAACGAGTTAAAGAATCGTACCATAGGAAATTACAATGTTACATTGGCTTTTTTACAGCGTCAGGTAAAATGTGACACGATCTTGCATTTTTCTGCAATTGGGTCGTTATAAAAGATTAATAAAAAAATAATATATGAAGTTTCTTCATATCATATTTTCGTGTTTGTTATAACCAAACAGGCTTTCCAGTGTATTCGGAGTTTTTAGCAACACTATACTGTGACAGTGTTGATAGTTTATGAAACTTGTAATATGATTATGAAGTATTATAAATAAAATTATTGAAATACTATTCACATTATAAAGATATTTTCTTTATTAGTATAAAACAGTCAATAGTATATATTAAGTATAACATTTCCAATAATTATACTTATACATAGTACTTAATTATATTACAAATTAGTTGTTATCGCACATTTGTGTTAGAAACATTTAACTTGCACATATATATGCCTTCTAAAATTTATTACAATTTATAATTTGTGCAATAATAGTATAATTAACACCTAAGTAAAGATAAGTAAAGAGGGGATTAGCTCTCTCTCTCTTTCTCTCTCTCTTATTCTTGTTGTCTTGAACATGATAAACATTGGAAACTGTTATAATATATGAACACCCATCGCTGCAATAAAATCGTAAATATATTTGATTTTTCTAATTGTCTTCTTCTCTATTTTACTATCAGTCAATATAATATTTGTGAAAGTTTCACGTTCCGTGGGTTTAAATGAAAGCAATATATCTATGACCATATCTGTAGTACAACTTTCAAAAATATAAACCCAATATTCCAATAAATGATTTAAAATTTTAGATGTCACATGATTTGGTTCGATACGTGTTACAAATTTCACATCTACAATCAATATATGTGCAACCATTATTAAATACAAATCATTATATAAATTATCTATGAGTTAAGATTAAATTACACACATGGAGTGAGAAAACAAGTTATATCCCCAAGAATGCGCTGTATTTCCAGTGGAATCTTTAAATTAGAAAGATGAAAGTATCGCAATATATAAATACATTTCAAAATTATATTATTATGTGGTGGACAGAATGGAAATAAATTAATCTTATATTTATATGGTGTTAATATCTTCCTTATAACTTCATACACACACAATAAAATTTCATCATCTGTTACTTTAAACTTAAACAAATGTACTATGGTGATAAACACTTGTAACCATTGATCAAATAAATTATAATCTTGATTCCGATACCAAGACTTTTCATATGGTATCAATTTTGTAAAAGCATTTAGCAGTGCAAGATTCAAACTATCTATCCTAAATAGTTTTATTAAAAAGTTGGATTTAGATAAATCTACTAAACTTATAGACTGAAGTAAAGCTATCGCTGCCAATAATACAGAATCTATAACAAGAATATAAAAAATTAAAAATTATATCATATTTATCTTGTTATGATGTATTATAATACACCAGTATACAATCATATACATTAATTATGTATAATATGTTTCATACTTAGCTATCAAATATTTCTACAATACTTAAGAAACATACCTCTTTTCACACATACAGTTGATCTTGTAGTTTAATTAATTTATATTTTAAAGGAACAAAAAGAATAAGTGAATTATGAGTCATAATATTTTCTCCTGAATGTAAATTTACTAGACAAAATTAATGCATTTTGTTTGTACCTTTATTTGAGTTCTGTAAGTTGGAGGTTATAGAGCTTTCAAAAAATTGACATTTTCTCAAATGGTATACCCAAATTGATTTAGGATCTTCCAAGATGTTCAATACCACTGATTGTAAAAACTTATAAAGTTCGATTATGTTATAATGATTATTGAATTTCAGGCGATTTAAGATAGGTATGACTAATTTTTCATGAAAGCTTATGGCTTTAATTCCTTCAGCAGTATTATATACATTAATAATAATACCAAAAACGATATCCTAAAATTATTATTAACTACTCAAATAATTGTTAAAACTTACAGCTTAATCAATTTTCGTAAGGTAATCAAATATTGCGATAAAGATAAATATATCTTACAATCAGTTTTGGCTCATTAGGATATATATGCTGTATATTCTGTACTATTGACAAAAAATTATGTTCTCTAAGATACTCTTTTATACCATTCCTTGAACTCTTCAACTGTAAAATATGCATCTCATCTATTAGTGCGTCTATATAATCACTTTCACATATCTAAGATAAATTATATTACGCATGAATCATCTTCGTAGCATTTTTTATCAAAATTAGGCCGAATCGCTCCGGTAACAATTAAACCTAATTTTCATGAATTGATGTTCAGCTAGAAAGAAAATGTATATAAGATCACCTTACGTAACGACGCTAAGATATCATTTACCCATTTGTGATTGCAAATAGTATCATTGTTTAGATAATCGAGAGGCCTCCTCCTTTGCGACTCTGTTGTAGTGAGAAACTGATTTGAACTTGAATTGCTTCTGTTCGAATCTATGTTGTTTCCGTTATCTATACTATTGTCTTTGTTTTTATCTCCTTTTTCATCGTCATTATTTTCTTTTTCATATCTATTATCATCATCATCGTTGCTTGTATTTTCGCCATCGTCATCATTTTCTTCATCATCCGTGTCATCATCATTATCGTCGTTATCATTATCATCATCATCATCGTCATTATCATCATCATCATCGTCGTCGTCGTCGTCGTCGTCACTATTATCATCATTATCATTATTAAAGTTAGAGATGTCATCAATGTTGTCATCGTCGATCAGATCTGTTTCCTTAGGTTTTTCGTCTTTCCGCTCCTTATTCTTCTTCTTCTCTTTATCTCTTCCCTCGTCCGCGTTCTCCTCTTTGTCTTCCTCTTTCTCTTCTTTCTTTTCCTCCTTCTCATAATTATTATTATCATTATAATAATAATATAAATCAAAATAATAACATAAATCATAACCACCGTGATAATCACAGTCATAACTGATTTCGATTTCCTTTTCGTCTTTATCTACGTTTTTATTTTTATCTTTGTCTCCATCTTCGTTTTTGTTTCTGTCTTTACTTTCGTCCTTTTTTTCTTCATCTTTATCTTTCTCTATGTCTTCGTCTTTTTTTTTAGAAACGATGTTTTCAATGTTACATCTTTTGTTTTTAACATCTTTATCTAAATTGCGAGATTTGAGAAAATGAAGTTTAAGAAAACGTTCGGGATTGCTACAAATAACTTCGTCTGGTAAAATTTGCTCATTATATTTTATATTTGGTGTCTCACATTTCCTCATATCGAACATGTTTATAGCTAGCTACAAAAATCAAAGTTTAAATATATTCTGAATACTTTAAAAATAATTAGATCATTATTGATATGTTTTGTAATAAATGTTTTGTAATAATTTGTAATAAAAATTTGTAATAAATTTGTTTTACTAAACAATTACATTGCATTTCACTTAATATGTAATTTTGCAAATTATTGTCAAAATAATTTTTTTCAATAGTTTTTGAGTTTTTGAGTTTATTACTTAAAAAATTTAAATCTACATTTTTATATTTTTTTCTCTTTATTAAGGGTATTAAATAATTTTTCTTTTGAAACATACCTATTTGAATCTTTGGATCTGCCTAATGTTTACTGTCACTAGTATCCTGTTCGAATGATATCAATTTGTTTTTAATAGCTTATAAACATAGCTGTATTGATTGTTTAGATACTTATGACATTTAAATGTGGATAAAGAGAAATATTGGATTTCTGTTCTCCACAAGTGAATCAATAACAAAGTATGCAAAGCTTATATATATTTTCATGAAACATGATTGTGCAATATCGAAAGTATATTTTCTTCAGGAGATCATTCCATCTCGGCAAAATCATACAATATTATATTTATCGCTTTATTTACTATGCTTTATGAAAAACTTGTATGGTAATTTGGTGTACAGAAATAATTTGTTAAAATAATTATAAAAATAAAAATGATAAAAATATGTACATGTTTCTTTTATTTTTTTTTATATAAATTTCAAATACAGAATTTCAAAGACAGGAAGGTAATTGGACAGCAATATTGATAAATCGTCGACTGAGAATCGTCCTTAATGCTCACCAGTGAGTCCAACATATGTCTTAAAAAAAACCCCAACTGGACGGACCTATGAAACCTATGTAGACCGTGTTCCAAAATTCACTGCCAGCGCTGAAAAGTTATAGTTTGCGTGACACAAATTATATATTTTCAGTACTGGAACACGGCCGTAGTATATTATTACATACCCATACATAATACATAGGGTGCATTCCGTTTCACGCATATGCGCGCATTTATCTATAGTTTATGTCACGTATGCTATAAAAAATGCGCGCTATGCGTGAAACGGAACGCACCCATACACATATGCATATGTAAAAAAATTGAGCAGTCACATAACCAACATGTAAAAGATACTACATAAATGTACTATTTACATCGCAGACCTGTGTTCTATCGAATGAATTCTCGATGAATATAATTATTCCTATGTAAATCCATCTGGACAGGCCTTAATGCAAAAGAAAGAAAAATACGATCGCGGGCGGTACGCAAGCGCATCTAATCTCGCTGAAATGACGTCATCGGCAAAGTTCGGAGCAAAGTGGGGATTCAAAGCACCTATCGGAGGGTCGTGAAGCGAGGGGGTGTCAGATCACATACACGTGTGTGTGTGTGTGTGTTTATATGTGTCAGGTGCATCAGAGCGGTGTGCGTGATCGTGTATGCATGGTTTGTGTGTTCGTGTGGTGCATGTGTGTATGAGCTCCGACGGTGGCCGTGGCGGGTGCCGCTGTGTGTGCTGGTGCGGACCGTGGAGTGGCCAGCGACGGCTAGAGTGTGTCAGTCGGTTGGCGATTCGCGGCGCTGCTTTTGTGCGTATATGACTTTGCGGTGGCGGCGGCCCGCGATAGATAGAGCGATAGCGCGAGTGAATTCGCCGTAGTAGGACAAGGGTAGGAAGTGGTGCGCGGTATTGCTAGTGGTGGTGGTGACGACGGCGACGGCGGCAGCGGCGGCGGTGGTGCCTCATCTTCGTCGGCGGTCAGGCCTGCTTTCTGAACGTGCTGCTGTGGTGGTCCATGTGCTTTGACTGCTGACTAAAATGCTCATCAAGGAATTGTAAGTGGTGGCGGCAGCGCGCAACGATAGCCGGGGGGAAGGAAGGGGGCTGTCGTCGGGTGCGCGCTACGGCAGATGCTCAAATTTCCTTCACCGTATTCTGCCAGCGCAGCGAAATTCAAAACCGATCGACAGGGTGCGATGATTGCTAATCTTTAACGGCGACTGCCTTTGGTGGGGGCTAAGGGAAGAGATGGGGGAGAGGGAGAGAGAGAGAGAGAGAGAGAGAGAGAGAGAGAGAGAGAGAGAGAGAGAGAGAGAGAGAGAAAATGTGTGTATATGTGGGGGTGTGTGTGTGTGTGTGTGAGAGAGAGAGAGAGAGAAAGAGAGAGAGAAAGAGAGAGAGAGAAAAAGAGTGACCGACAGACGGAAGAGGGATGGTGGCCCTCTCATCCCTTACCGCCTGATTCTAGAGGTCTGTTCGTCCCAGTTGCACCTTCTGCACCTCGTCCCTTTTCTCTTTTCCGTCCGATGCTCGAACGCATGTCCTGTTTCGCTTTAAATGCGAAAAGTGCAGGAAAGTGCAGCTAACGCGGTCGAATCTCTCGACTTCTTTCGATTTCTTCGGCGCCCACTGATTCGCGAATAATGCGGGCTGCTCCGATCGGCAGCGAGTCTCGTACTTCATCGATCGTCTTTGATTTTTGATTCGATTAAGATTACTTGAGCGTTTATTACGTACGACTCGCGGCGGCAACGTGTGTGTGCCCCCGGCAGTTTGATGCGGGAAACGTGATTCAAGGCCGCGGCTGCCTTGCCGCCGACGTAATCTTTACCTTCCTGTTCCCTCATTCGATACTTAATACACAATTATGCTGACATAATTTGTTATTTGTTTGTTGTTACAGCCGTGTCACTCTGCCGCTCACAGTGGAAGAGGTACGTGCGTGATCCTCGTGTAAAGGTCATGCCCCTCATAATGACCCAGTTTGTGATATTAGTTCCTGAGAATGTTAGAATGCAAAAAAGAATGAAGGACTGGAATTAGCTTCTTACCGACGCGGTATAATCAAGAAAATCTGCCAATCATCTAATTTCCATCTATATAACAATATGTTGCCATTTTTATGGGTAGATCTGTCTTGTGTAAACTATGCCCTGTCTGGAGACTTTTTTTTCTTATACGAATGCTCCAACAATCTTTAACTTTACTTGCTACTAAATCTTTTTCTTTTATCTTTTGCATTGTTAATTTTTGCTTATTTTTGTTTAACAGTATAAGAATACATTTTAATGAAATGGTTATCACAGTTTTTTTTTTTTAGATATTTAAGATATGTTTCCTTAAGACTTATTTTTAAGCTTAATTTTTCTCTTTTTCTCTCCACTTTGGTTTGGTTATAAATCGTATAAAATAATATAAATCCATCTGAAAAAAAAAGAATAAGTAGACACAGTTGTTTTTCATTCATACATTTAACTCTCATGTGCGGGTAAATTATATAACATTTTGCTGTTATATTATTTATAAAACTTATTACATATTCATAAGTTATAAGTATATACATATTCATAAGTTTTCTTTTTTTTGAAAACTTATTTATTACATATTCATAAGTTATAAGTATATACATATTCATAAGTTTTCTTTTTTACTGACAGTATCAAGTCGCTCAACTGTACTCTGTAGCAGAAGCTAGTAAAAATAACACAGGTGGTGGAGAAGGTATTGAAGTTTTGAAAAATGAGCCATTCACTGATTACCCTCTACTTGGTGGAAAGTATTCGTCAGGTCAATACACATATAAGATTTATCACTTAGCTAGTAAAGTGCCAGCTTTTATACGCATTTTACTGCCAAAGAATTCGTTGGAGATACATGAAGAGGCTTGGAACGCTTATCCTTATTGTAAAACAGTTATTACTGTAAGTTTTTATTGTATTTACTATATTTATTATAGTTACAATTATTACTGTAAGATATATACACACGAGATATAATAACACATTGGGTGTATGTATATGTATATGTATATATTAGATTATAAGTGTTCTCGTTATTTTTCACAGAATCCAGGTTATATGAAGGATAACTTTGTGATCATGATAGAGTCATTTCATATTGGTGATGTCGGCAATCAGCATAATGTAAGTACAGCAAAAAATTTCAAGCTAGTGCAATCGATTGGTCACATGTCTCTTTGTTTCCGATAGGTTCACGAATTGCCGCCTGATAAGCTCAAGATCAGAGAGATCGTTCATATAGATATCGCGAACGATCCGATCGCCAGTGCCGATTACAAGGAAGACGAGGATCCGACTAAATTTAAGTCTCAAAAGACTGGCCGAGGTCCTCTCGTAGGGAAAGAGTGGAAGAATAACGTTCAGCCTGTCATGACGTGCTATAAGCTAGTCACTTGTGAATTTAGATGGTTCGGTCTGCAGACCCGCGTCGAAGGTTTCATTCAGAAGGCGGAAAGGCGTCTGTTCACTAATTTCCATAGACAAGTTTTCTGCTGGATAGATCGTTGGTATGGTTTAACCATGGAGGACATTAGAGCGATCGAAGACAATACGAAAGAAGAACTAGACAGGGTGAGAAACTTCTCTTTGCTCTTGACGAATCTTGCTGCTTTGGGGCTCACTTCGCACGAAAGCACTGTAAATTAACCAAAGTTTAGTCAAAATTTTCACGCACTAAAACGTATTGTGTATGTTTAATTGCAGCAAAGACATCAAGGAGAAGTGCGGGGTATGCGCGCTGATGATTGAGGCTTTGGTAGCTTCTATTACGAACGGTTAAATCAATTTCCTTATACATGTCAACACAAATACATACGCATACCTACAGATATACACCCTGTTATGCTCTGTCATAGACGATTCCACAGGATTCGAACGATTTCCGGAGTTTACGTGTCTAGATTCAGTGTCTACTACAAATTACTTACAATTTTAATTTATTTTACATTTTAGATAAATGTACCTACAGTCAAGGATTGTCATTATGACGTAGTTATGACAGTAAAAAAGAAAAAGGGGGGGAAAACAATGGGAAAGGAGACCAGTCGTCTGGTTCTTGTTTAATGCATAATTGTGAAAGAAAGAGAACCTGGTTTCGTGAGGAAACCATATTTAGATAAAGAGTTGCGATTACTTAACGGCATTGTAGTTCGATAAAACTAGGTATCGAAGTTCATTAACGAGCAACAAAATGCTTGCTGCAAAGTACATAAAAGAAAAAAAATGTGGGAGGAAATATGTGATTTAACATGCAAGTTTGATCGTAGTTGAATAGTTAAAAAAAGGATCCACAGTTTAATATATTAATGTACAATTAAAAATCTAAATGTTGCATATTAACGGTTCGTGTTTCGAGGTATTATCATTTCGGCCGAAAAGTGATCGCGTATTTTCGGATGATATTTCGAGAATATTTTCTCAGACTTACGAATGTATGTACGATCCGGAGGCTTAAAGTCGAAAATGCATTAACGGATGCATTTTGTGTGTGTGTGTCTCTACGGCTCGACTTCGTAGAATCTTCGATATTCTCCGATCACGAAACAGGATGATACACGACCATGATAGATCCTAATTTACAACGACTTTCTGTTGGTTCTGATTGTTGACGACAAGTACGAGGCGTTGTTTTATGCGTTTGATCTCCTAAAATTAGGACCAAAAGCTGATGGATTTTTTAATTATAATATTGCGATGGTTGTCGGTAAAAAAAATAACACTATACCAAATTGTTTCACGAGAATGTAGGAAGGGGGAGGCGATGTATTCTATGTAAAGTGCTCACACCGATATACATATACACACATATGTAGAAGCAGAGTTTAAACTATTTCGATATTGGTGACAGCAGGTGACCGGCGAAAGGGTGCGTTATTGTATATAAAAATAAGATATATACAATGAAAATTCAGATTCAAACGGCATGTATGTAATGTTTCTTTGCATTCCACTGGATCTCTCTGAGTACAACCGAGTATTCTGGAACGCTTCTCTTCGAGCGGATCGCAATTATCCTCGCGTTAGCAGTGTCTTTGTCTTTTTCGTCGCGTTACGTCGCAGATAGCGTGTCGATACAAGACAAATGTTTACATAGCGGGCTTGTTTCCGTTGAACGAACGTGGAACGAACTGCTGTATACGCGAATTATATCTCTCGGGATGTATTTTGAAAAATAATCATTTACTGCCGAATGCAGTCCCAGGCGCAACTGGGACAACGTCTTTCAGTGGCTTGGATAATGTGCGATTGTAGCAACGTTCTTACGTGTAGCGAGATATATATATATATATATGTATATATATACACACACACACACCCACACACACATAGGATCTCGGAATATATAATTAATGATTGAGGAAGATAACAATAAAGTATATAATTTAACTGTCATCTGCACAAAGAGAACGTATATATATATATATATATTGTCTATATTATGTTGTGGAGACATAGTCTATAAGGTAGTTTTATCTTCGATTAGTCACGACAGTGACTAGTCACGCGAGTGCACACAAACAGTATTTGTATTCGATATACCGGACACATACAACACAAGAGGGAGAATGAAAGGGAGAGCTAGAGACAGTGCACATGTTTATCGGCTATTTCCTTGGCCCGGGCGGCTCGCACGATCAAAGCAACGGCACACGCTCGTGGCGTTGGAGACAAAATGTAACGAATCCGCCTTTATTGTCGCATAGCCCGCCATTGCGGAGCGTTTCGTTTTAGACATGAGTTACACTGTGCGCGGGATCACTATATATATATTTGTTCTGTACGATTGATAGTTACTTAAGTAGATAAGCTCTAGCTGTTCCTCTGTTTGTGAGAGAAACAGAGAGAGAGAGAGAGAGAGAGAGAGAGAGAGAGAGAGACACTGCTAACACGAAGATGCAAACAGGCAGTAGAGGATAGAAAGAAAGGGAAAACAAATCTCGATATACAGGATAGCTCGTTTTAAATGCCCGCGTGCAAAACATCTCGAAAGAAATGTGTTGTCCGAAAAAAATGCTTCAGACAGAAATCTGAACAAGATCAGGCCAGGGTCACTATTTTATTGATCTTTCAAAACCCGGACAATTCTTGTCTGAAACATTCTCTTCGAATAATACATTTCTCTCGAAATTTTGTTAATAGCCATTTAAAACGGGTCACCCAATATACATACATATATATATATATATATAATATATATATATAATATATATATATTATATATATATATATATTATATATATTATATATATAAATCGCTGCCAAAGGGCTAATAGTGAAATATCGTTGAGTATGTGTATATATGTATATATGCACGTGTATATGCGTTCTTTTTTTTGCATACATACGTATATGCATACGTGTATTGTATGTGTGTGCGCGCGTATGTGTATGTCTCTCGATCAGTCACGTCTTAGTCAAGAGTTAATAAAATTAGAAGAGCCATAGAATATATATGAAATTTATTTTGACTTTCTCTCTAATATAAAAGTAAAAATATGAAGATATATATATATATACATAAGGGTATATATCTTTGTATATAAGTATGATAAAAAATATATATATATTTATAATATCAAAACTAGATGAACAATCCATATGGAAAATATATTTACTAGGATATAAAAAGAAAACGCAGATGCCAATAATTATTTTACACGGGTCGTGCTATTTCAATTGAAGCCATATTCTTTGATAAGATTCGTGGCGATTACGAGTCTCTGAATCTCCGATGTGCCTTCGTAGATCTCTGTGATACGCGCGTCTCTGTAATGACGTTCTGCTGGCATGTCTGTCACGTATCCCATCCCTCCTAGGATCTGTATGCATTGATGTGCGCAGAACGTGGCGGTTTCCGACGCGGACAGCTTGGCCATAGCGGCTTCCTGAAGCATGCAAATTACTTAACTTTTTGCTCTCTCATTCAACTATTCTTTTTGAATTATTTTATTCTCATGATTTGAGATTATTCGCACTAATATCCTGCGATGGGCTCTCAAACATTTATTACTTCTTTTATTTCAGTTGTACTGAATATATTATGTGTATATTATATTCATACATTTCATTTTATTTAAGCATGAAGAGTCGTAAATGCTTGCGAATGTGCAAGCATGACGATTCATTGCTTTTGCGATAAGATAAATAAACGTTCATATCTAGCGGGATACGTACTCGGTAAGATAAATAGAAAATAGAGTAGATACCTCCTATTCGCGACAAGGTAATTATTGTTTATCGTAATCTTTTCTTAAAATGCACCTTCGTGAACGGTTTTCCAGCGTCCTTCATTTGAGCCGCCCGCCACGTTAAGAGCCTCGAACCGTCCACCCTGAGAGCCATATCTGCGATTTTTTGTTGAATCGACTGCAACTTGATGATCGGCGCACCGAAGGCTTGGCGTTTAGACGCGTACTCCATCGCGCAATCCAGGGATGCTTGTGCTATGCCCAAGGCTTGCCCAGCGATGCCTATTCTACCAGCATCTGCAAGGATATGATGGTTATATTATAAAGTAATTATTGTAGTACTAATGGCTAGTATGGTATCACGTGGTACGATCGATTACAAAACCTAGAGTCATCATTGCAATCTTAAATCCCATTCCTTCTTCACCCAAGATTTGATCTTTTGGCACTTCACAATCCTCAAAGATTAAGGAACAGGTGCTGCTGCCTCGTATGCCCAGTTTGTCTTCTTTTTTGCCTAAGGTCAGGCCTACTGTTGGACTATCTACTATAAAAGCACTTATTCCTTTATGCTTCTTAGCCTTGTCAGTTGCCGCAAAGAGTATTATTCCTCCAGCTTCGAATGCATTTGTGATCCATGCCTTGGTGCCATTAATTATAAAAGTATCACCATTTGCCTTTCCTACAGTAGATGCGGCACCTGCATCAGATCCATTACCTGGTTCACTGAGAGCAAAGCAACCGATTTTCTCACTGTTCAAATAGGGTACAATATATTTTTCCTTTTGTTTGTCATTTCCAAATTTGTCTAATGGTCCCAAGTAGAGTGAATTGTGCACACTCATTATAACTCCTGTACTCGCGCAACCTCTGGATATTTCCTCCATGGCAATAGCGTACGCTAAATAATCCAGTCCAGTACCACCTAATGCTTCAGGTATGCATATACCCATGAGACCGAGTTCACCCATTTTTTTTATTTGTTCTTTTGGAAATCGGTGTTTTTTATCAATTTCAGCTGCAATAGGTTTTAACTCTCCTTCGGCGAAATCCCTGTAATTACAAACTGTTTTAGAAAAAACTGATTGGTTGTGACAAATCTACTGATAAGTTTCTTTACAAGTTTCTACTGATATTTTGCAATTGTTTAACATCTTAAAAAAAATTTTATTTGTCTACTTGATTTGATAACAAAAGTATATATATATAAATAAAGCTTGCTGTTTAATTGAAATAAAGCTTTACCTGCATGTTTTATAAAGCATTTGATGTGTATCTGATAACATTGAAAGTGAAGTGATACTCCGACTGATATTGTATGTGTACTTAGACACATTATAAGTATTTACTACGAACAAAATAATAAAGTAATAAAGGTTCACAATTACATTCATGATTCATGATAAATATCATGAATCAAGCAATTTATCACTACATTTATAACAATTTATCCACAATAATAACACGAAAAATAAATATATATATATATATATATATATAATTGACGCTCACCAAATAATCTGAAACATGCCATTGTCGTTTGACTCTTAACCTATAGCTGTCACACACTCAACACCGATGTTGGCGAACAACTGATTTTTACGTAATGATGATGTGTAAATTAAATACAGATTAGCGCCATCTACATATGTAAAAGTGACATTATATACATGGTATACTCGAAATTTTAGTACAGCCGGTATCCCTCATTATACTGAAAAGAAGCTAAAATACTGAATAGAAAAAGTTTTTATACCAGGCTACATTCTCGAGGAAATTGACCTTGAAAATTGCAAATTCGACAATATTTTCTCGCTTTTTAAAATTTGGAGTAATACTCGATAGTTTTCGGTTTTGATCGAAATAAGTTACGTTTCGATATTCTCTCATTGCATTACTAAAATAAAACTTATGATATATATATGGCATGAACTATGGACTTTCAATACTGATAATAAATATCAGAACGCAGCCTTCGATACTCAATAAGATACACTGCGGAGAAAAATATCTAAAAAATAAAAAAAATACTTATTCTCTTTCTCTCTCTTTCTCGGTGGGTACTAGTAATGTATTTATTTATACTAAAATATTTTTGCACTGAAAATAAATTTTTTTCAAGAATAATCAATTTCTCAGAAAAGTCATCGTGTCGCTGAAAATTAAAAAATAAGAAATATCAATAACGTACAAAAAGTAATCGTACGTGTCGACATGAAATAACTTAAAGAGAATGAACAAGCCAACGGCTCGACTTTTGTCGACGATTGTCATTAGTATTGTCAAGTAATTGATACTGTGCGAGTTGCGATATAATATATATGTACACCGAGATACGATAATGTATCAATTCTGGTTAATAAGTCTCGCTGCTGAACAATAGAACCCACTTACAGACTGAAAATATCATGCGGTGAACATTGCTTCACTGAGTTGGAATGTTGATTAAAAAGATGTTTTATCTTTTGCTGTTTCAAAATAGCGATAAGAGAGGAGAGAGGTATCACTTCCTCGCCTGCAACAACGATGTAAACATCACACTATATCGTATTAATTTTTTACACTGAAATGACGTGCTGTGCACTTCTCTCGTCGTTTTCCATTCCACATTCCATATTCTTTTGAAGCTTACCCGAAAGAAGGGAGGCAAAGCATCTCGAAGATATTTTCTTCTGAATTAAAATACGTATTCTATCATATTTTTTCAGCCAGACAGTGCTCAATTTCAGTGTGGATTCATCCGTTAAATATTTCTCTAACCGGACCGCGTTTTTTCCGTCGTGACATTCACAGAATCGTCCTTTCGGAAAGGGTTTCCTCGCGCGTAAAACACACCTCGCCGACGCACGAGAGGAGAAGTGAATTAGAGACTCGATTAAATAATTTCGAGAACCAATCTCGGTTTTCCCGCGTCTGTGCGACGGTGCCGATCAATATATCGCGTAGGGCAGGGTGCAGGACCGCGCATGTACAGTTTCGGTTCGATAGCGACGAGCTCGCTGCGTTTCAGCTCCTGAAATTTTTGCGATCGCGAACGCTCTGAGACGCGTGAGCTCTGAGCATTCCTCCTTCCTTAACGAGTATTCCGTGACGGGTCGTCAAAAACACGACAACGATGTCGAGCAGCAAGTGCGTTAAGCAACCGCGCAAGGCCTACACGAAGGAGCAGTACGAGATGTCGCACTCCGAGAAGCTGAGGCTGATCGACGACGAGCTGAACTCCTTTTACAAGTAACGCTACTCCACTCCGCGATATGCATGAGGTCATTTATGAAATCGCAACAAATGGCGTCTCTGATTTCCATGCTACCTAAGTCACAGGCAGCGGGAACTTCTAAGAAGAGACCTTCCGCTTCTTCAGACGTTCTCTTAGGCGTTTTTTACGACGTCTTTAGGATATGTTCAGAAGCTTCCGCTAGCCGCTTCACTAGCGTGAAATTAAATAATAATTTAATTTCGGTGTATCTATTACAGTATTATGATTGGTCTCAATTTATCGTACCTATGTACCTTATTTTCTCCTCTCCAAAAAGTAGATTCTTCTATTTTATAGAGAGAGAGAGAGAGAGAGAGAGAGAGAGATTACTTTCTCAGTGAGCACGGTGTGTGGTTTTGTTTCTTCTTCCTCTTATTTCTTTTTTCTTTTTTTATCATCAACGATGCACCGTAAATGCGAATTGTTTTTCTAGGTATTGCCAGCAGGCCGGCTTCACCGAGGAGGAGATGGACATCATTTGTCAGCCGCTGGTGGCGGCGATGCGCCGCTCATGGCTGCAGCTGGTCTTTCGCGGCACCCTGGTGCTGATAGTCTTGGGCACACTGGTGTGCCTGGCGGCGCAGCTCGACTTCGTCGGCACCCATTTCACCGCCATCAGTCGTCTATTGTTGATCAAAGTATTGCCGATTTGGAACTGGCAGCCGCTCTATTACGAGAATTGCATGATCAACAATCCCTTCTACAACGACTACACCATCACTGAGGAGGACTGCGTGGTGCGTTTTGTTCTCGGGACAGGAGCTTGCAAGGAGCAATAATGTCACGGGGGAAACTTAGAACGATCAGGTCGATTCGAAAGGCCTTTCCTGTAAACACTCGTGAGATTTTCGCATTCTGCGGGGAAATATTCACGAAGAAAAATCGCGTCTCGGTTGAAGGGCACAGGAAGGGAACCCGAAATTTTGTTCCACTTCTTCAGTTGTAAAAGTTCTGTATCCTTCTGTGTCCTTCGACACTTTGAAACTTCATTATTTGAATGCAATGTCTCGAGGTAGCTTCAAAGATTCGAAGAACCGAAGTTCCAAATCGAATTCGCAGCTCCAGGAAATACCCGAGAGTCAGCCTGATATCTCTGCTGTACCTAAGGTTACAGCAACGAGTGCCTGATCCAGTATCGGTCGCATCCAAGATTCGTGTCTAGATAATTGGCGAACAACCCTTTTTGCAGACTTGCGAGGCACTGGAGACGATCGATCGTCTGTCGGACGTGCGCTATCGTAATCTGGTCGAGAACTATTTGAGCCGCGACGCACCGGCTATCATCACCGACGCGATGGACTCATGGGCGGTCATGAACACCGACTACTTCTGGTTCGACAATATCACCCACGTAGGTAGCACCCACCTGAGCTGGCCTGAACTGCCTCAGGTTCCCCGTTTTCTCGAGCAAGCCGAAAATGCACTATAAAAAAAAAGATCAGTCGCGACAACGCGAATCGAGTTGAGTAACTCAATCTCAGGGCGAACCAACCAAAGTTGAGTATCGACTGACAGAAGGAAGACTGACTGAGAGAGAAATCTCAGTTGACTAAAATAATCGGCAAAGCCAGTAGTCAAGATTAATCAATCGTCGTGTATGTAATTATGAATAATTTAATTTCATCGACGAAATTCTTAATCAGCGTATTATGAGTCGGATCAAGGCAGTTGAGGGAAAGATAATTAGATGAGACTACTTTCCAACAGCTTTACCTGGAGAACGAGCGGCTGATGGAGACGGTACCGTGCGCGCTCACGTCGAACTTGCGAACCGGCTCGTCCGACCTCGCCGCGTTCCTGAGACGCGTGCACGCGCCCGAGGTGGCTAAGTGGTTCGTCCACTGGCAGAACTGCGACATCAACGCCGTGAAGGTGCTCAGGAAGTTCTATCAACGACCGTACTTCCTCTCCAGCACGGTCTCGCCGGCGCATTTCAACTGGGTGCTCATGTCTTCGGACTACAACAGCCCGAGCTACAAGAAGGTCGAGCTCGACTCCGGCCTGATCGCGCTCGCTCAGCTTCGCGGCGCTACTCAGCTGCGACTCACCCCCATCAACCCCTGCAATAGCTCGTGCCCGGAGCTGATCGCCGACTTGCATCAAGGCGAAATGCGTAAGTGTGTCGACTTGTATCAAGGCGAAATTAAACGCGGCGAGTGGGCTCTCATCTAGACAGAGAGGAAGGAAGAGAGAGAGAGAGAGAGAGAGAGAGAGAGAGAGAGAGAGAGAGAGAGCGGGGGGAGGGGGAGAGAGGGAGAGAGAGAAGACGATTTTTCGAATGAGAATATCGGGGTGGGATCTTCAGTAAAATGTGACAAGGACTGGACTTGATCAGTGACAATTCACGCGATAAATCTTTCTGCTAAATTACGAATCATAATCAGTAAGGAGAAGTGGCTATAATACAGTTGATGCAGTTAATTAATTAATTAATTGTTGCGGGAGGATAATAACTATCCCGTGTTGCGCTTCTTATCGACCAGCTCCCCCAACTGATTGAATATCTGAAAGAACTTGATGTACAAGAATTCTTGTTTATATATAATCATAGACTATAATTCGTAAGGAAAGCATGACGAGATTGGCGCATCTCATCTTTGAGAAGAGAAGCGCTTACTAATCTATTTCGCCGTGACTTGTTGAAAAGTGCTTCGTACTTTCGTATGGACCAAAGCTACGGCGGGTGAAGAGGATCGGGCCAATGAAATCGGATTTCCAATGAAAAACTCTCTTGTTATATTAGTCATCCAATTGTCGTGGTCATTTCGGAAAGGAAGATTCGTATTATAATCCTCGATCCTTAATCTAAAATTATCGTCGATGAAACTTCATTGTATTGTCGGCTAATATAATATTGTCAGTCGCTGTGCCGCGAGAGAAATTCAGGAGTTTCCGAATCAATCGTATTCCATCGGGAGCCGCGTGACTGTGATACTCCGCCTCTGACAACAGTTTCATCCGACGCACATCGATCGAGTGATTTGAACTTCACATACCTCGGAAAAAGAAACAGGATCGGATCTCGAGTAAAGTGTTTTTATATAAACTTCGGGTTCACATGCCTATATAATGACAAAATGATCGACTGTTAGCCGATTCTCGCAAGATTTCCAAGTTACAATTCTCTCTTTCTCTCTCTCTCTCTCTCTCTCTCTCTCTCTCGTCGATGCGTGTTTCCTCGAATACCGATCGCGCTCGATAACGCCCGTTTCCGCGATTTATTAACAACTCTTATGCAATTCTATCGCCAGTGGTCTTTACGAACGTCATGTGGACGCTCGAGTACGCGCCGATGCGCGGCCTGGACAACATCGCCATACTCACGGAAACCGTCTGGGAGGAAGACACGTAGATTATCTCTCCGCCACCGGAGAGGAGATCATCACTGTCGTTTGGTCGGCGAGCGATTATGCCCTTTAGCCCGTTTAAATACACCGACACCTATCGACAATTATCAATCGATTGTAATACTCGTACCATTATATGATACCCACACGAAATAAAGATTGAGCATTCTGGTTTCCGCCGCCATCGATTATTATCCCGTCGACCCAGGCTTACGACCAGCTAGAAATGATTCAACCGAGCGACGTCGATTCGAAATTCACGTCGAAATTTCGTAATTCTCAAACAACGAAGAGCTTCCTAGGTTAGGGAGCTCTCTATATTTTTTACAATATTTTGGGTGCTACATATATTTTATATGTAATTTCATATTTAAGGCTTTCCGTTCGGAGATCGAATCGACATTCTTTGGGTATTAACGATGTTTCGTTCCGACGAATCATTTCTAGCTGGTCAGGGTGCGAGAAGACATCGCAAACATGTCCCATTCAAACATGTCGAGTCGATTTAAAGTAGCTCGATGTTCCTGACGGAGTTGTCCTGACGAGCGACAAAACGAGACAGGAAGATGTCATCGCTCGCACTCAGCGACGATAAAATTCAACGCGAGCAACTAACTTTTCAGATATGTCATAACATATTCATTACCGCTCGAAAGTTCCGAGCACCTTGTAAAATAATTGTACCTGTAAAAAAGATATATATAGTTTGAGATAAAAATTATACAAAGTGTCCCGAGATTTTCAGCGGCGGTTCAATTTTCCTTTTTTTTTTTCTTTATCTCAAACACAGTTTTTCGGTTTGTTTATTGTTAATTGTTTATCGAAAGGAGAAATCCCGTCCCCATGATGCCGTCACGTTTACGTCTCAGTTCAAGTCGCTTTTTTCCTGGCTTTAACAAATTCATCTATGAAGGGGGGGGGGGGAGTTGGAAAGTGGAACTGTCCTTGATCATCGCATCAACATCATCCCTCCGGGCGAAAGATCGCCCAGAGGGATGATACTAGAGTGCACGACGCAACGGTGAAGGGATGACGGGAAAGATGGCGACTGAAATACACGAGATATTCCTGCCAGTTCATCGTTCGCACCCGAATCAGGACAACCGAGCCGCCTCTCATCGCGCTTCGGATCATTCGAATGACGGAAGCTACTCACTCGCAACGCTGTTCACAGCGGACATTATTATCGTGAGCGCAGAGATTCAAGAATCACGCGAGGAAGATCGCCGCTACGTCGGCGAGAGAAGTTCATAATACGAGGTATACCAGAAGTAACAACAAACAAGATTCGTTTTTTATTAATTAATCGTTTATAATAACATTGTGTGTGTGTGTGTTCTTTTTTGGGCTCTTTTAATTCTTCTTTTTGTTTTTTATATATATATTTATATATATATATATATAGCGGCCTTTGTTCTGTTTCTTATTTCACTTGACCTAACAAGGAGTAAGAGATCCGTTATGCACCGATTCATAGAAAAAACAAAGCGCAAGATTACTGAATGACGAGAACGTAGCTGGCGTTTTTTTCTTCTCTTGGCATGCTTAAGAGACGATGCGATATCTGGTTTTCTTTTTTTTTTTCCCTTTTCGTTTATATTAAAACTTCGTACGTATATATACTCGATTTGCGCTACTCCTCCTGCTCTTCATACGTTCTTAATGTCGACACGAGAGAAAGAATGACAATAATTGGCGACTAACTAACAGACTCCGTCCGGAGAGGTTCGTAATCCCCTGTACCACCCTCTCTGTCAGTCACTTCTTAGTCTTAGCGCTCTCCATCTCGGTCAGTGGAGCCTTCCTACGAAACAAAAGTCCGCGGTCCCAGGACAGAGCGTCGCCGACCGCACGTTGGAGCGCGCGTCCAACAGCGAAAACCGCGCTCGAGAGGGCCTCCAAGTCCTCGCTCAGATGGACTTGGAGGCTCTCAACGTCTGAGAGTGTCGAGAGACACTCCCTTGGATCGAATGTCTGAGTCTCTGAGTTTCGGAACGTCCGCTTCGAGCACGACCACACGTTCGAAGCGAACCCTGCGAGTGTCGGGTGTGGATCGACTGAAAGATCTTCGTCGAGCCAAAAGCCGGTGAGAATTAACGAGTCGAGTACATCGTGATCGCGCGTCTCAATCGATCTCGCACCTCCGACCCGACTGATCAACGCGCTGATTAATGGACAACTTCACCGGCCGATAACATTACTCGCGACTACATACACGGCGATTGATTAATTTTGATTATCGATTGGCGCCGATTATTCCAGTCGACCGAGATCTTTCGATCGACCAACCGCCTGACACACCCCCCTCGCGTCGCGTTCACCTCATCTCTCGGCGGCCATATTTATTCGCGCGTCGATAATTCGATATTATTTACAAGCCTCGGCCATCAGATCGTCCGTCGCGGAACGCTCCACTGGGGCGTTTGTTTCCTCGACCGAGCACGAGAGAGAGAATTTAAGACCGCTGGAGAAGGCCCGCTCGGGGCTGAGAGTGAGAGCCGTCGCAGCTGAGCAGCTGCGGAGGCGACTCTCGACGACGAGAGGAGGTTCTCGCGAGCGGACACGCTCGTCTCCGCACGTGGGTCGGGACATGATCATCGACGCGCGTCGGCCCCGGGGGCTGTTGCGGAGGGTGGTGGTTGTGGCTGTTTACTCTATTCGATGTCTAAGGGTGAAATCAACCAGTGCCTCACGCCTAAGGTAAGTTCTACGAAGATCGAAAGAAATGGTTCGAAAAGGAGGATTCAAAAGGGAAGGGCGCACTTGCGTTCCTTTTTCAGCATTCGGGAGCGCGGGAACTCGCTGAACCCGCTCGCTCGCTCGCTCGCTCGCTCGCTCGCTCGCTCGCCAGTCGACTTCGTTCCCGTTGTCTTTTACGGCGATTACAGTTGCCACGATATCAAAATAGCTACACTGATCGTCCATTCAGAGACTACGGCGGTAACGATGAGAATGTACAGTGAGATATACAGAAGAATGAGAGCCTCGGGATATAAACGACCCCGAGCGCCTAACGAATATCCGACCGCGTAGTTCTGTCGATCGACCCGATTAAGGCTCGTGATCCGTCACGCTCGGCTCACATTGGCCTCGTGCCTCGTGCAATCGTGCTATCGTTGGCAGCGAGACAGAGAGAGGAAGAGAGGAGCGCACTTTCCTCTCTCTCTTTCTCTCTCACTCGAGAGGGAGAAGAGACATCGAAAATGAGGGAAGCTCGTAAAAAATACACCGCCGGTGGGAGATTAAGGGGGGAAGGAATTACATGCGGAGCAGGCCGTTTCAAGGCTATTTTTACGAATTTTTTTCAACAGAAACGGTAGGATTCATGGACTTGAAATTTTCACAGTGCATACGTTAATGTTCGAAGCGTAAAGTAAATTTGTTGCTATCTATATGGGAAGTAAGCATAAAACTTTGAACGCGTTTATCTGGAAACACCATTTTCTTAAACTGCTCGACACGATTGCGCAAAAACTGCTGAACCAAATAACTTGAAATTTTTGCGCAATATACAGTAGTGGACATGTAGTTTTCCGCCCCTAACCTCAAACAGTTATATTTTATTTTATTCGTTTTTCAAATTCATTTTTTCATTTTTGTTTTAAACATGATTACAGGTCGAAAAAAGTTTCATTTTCGATACTGTTTTTTGTACAGTCATTATTTTTCCAAACTTGGCTTCATGTTGCCTTCATGTTGGTACGGGTTATAATGGCAACCGTGTATTTTAAAAATCTTCCTCTTTTGGTTTCAGGGTAGTGAGAAGCCCGGAATTATGCCGACAGCAAACTTAAAGCTCGCAAACGGGTAGCCTGCGTTCTTTTATCTATAATTACAAATTGGATCGGTTCTTGTGTGATTCAATAGAACTTGTTTTATACTTTGAACATTAATGAATACACACTGTGAAAATTTCTAGTCCATTGATCCCACCGTTTCTGTTAGAAAAATTCATAAAAATATCCTTGAAGACCTTGACGACACCTTCCGCATGTAATTTACCCCCTTAACGATTCACAAGCCATTTTAATATTGCCGCGACGATGGCAATAGCGATGTAAAGTTACACGTACAGGAGATTCTCACTGCAGAATTGAACGCGATTGAACGTTAATTTTGTCATCTATCTGTGACATTGTCATCTATCGTTTATACATCGGGCACAATCGGCGTCTGGATGGAACAAGCGGATTTGAGGGAAGGTTTCAGGAGGGGAGTCGGCGGAAACGCGACTCGACCGGAGAAAGGAACGACGAACGGCAAGTTTGAACCTGACACATGACTGCGAAGCGAAATATCGGAGAGAGCCTGACGACTTAGGGATGCCCAAGGGTAGTTTAGGGCAGGTGGTGCAAGAGAGGAGGAAGTGAACGCGTGCGTCCCTTTTCTCTTCTGACTCCGAGTGTCCGACGATCGCGACGCGATGACGGATCAGAAGCTCTCAAGGGCGATCTCATCGCAAAATCCTACACGCGCTGGACCGCGTTGCGTCGCGTCGCTATTATTGTTCTTGTCGCCGATCGATCGAATTATCGAATCGCTTAACACTTGATCGTGGCGCGCGCGAGGGGACGCGAGGATCGCGGATGACCCGTTCGAACGTCAACGCGACAGATATACTTGAATTCGTTCGCAAAAGTCTATAGGAGCGTCTTAGTGTCTCTCTTAGATCGGTTTCTAAACGTCTAATGATGATAAGTAAAAATGTTTACTTCTCTTTGCTCGACTTTGTACCGTGATATTAGCATTATGCGCGCCGCATTGACAGTAAAGTTTTTCTCTCACTCTCCCTCTCCCTCTCTCTCTCTCTCTCTCTCTCTCTCTCTCTCACTCTCTGTCTGTCTCTTTCCATTTTTCCCTTTTGCTGTCACTTGATTCCTTTCATCTTCGCAAAGCAAGAACTCAAACTGCTCGACATCGCTCGTCGGTGCTCCCACATGATTCTCGTTTTACCACTATAATCAATTAAGCCAGTAACAAATGTTTATACACTTTCTTGTTTGCGAAAGAACTATCGTGTGTATACGTCTTCATATATACATATATATGTATGTGTGTGTGTGTGTGTATATATATATATATATACATATATATATATATATATATATATGTATATATACGGCTACAGATCGAGCAATGCAGGAAACAATCGAGAAGACACATAACGATCGCGACATATGAGAGAGACACACACTCGCTAATTTTTTGGTACTCGTTAATAATACTCGAGGCATTAAACTTCACGACAGAAACTTCAGTATCAGTCTTTTTTTCACATTGCCTGAATCAAGGTCACAAGTCAGATATGAGTTCGGTGTGTGGTATAATACTGTGTAAAGTGCGCGAATTGGAAAGCAAAGAACGCGGGGGCGAAAAAAAGAGGAGGAGGGGGGTGGAGAGGAGTCGCGAGGGCAGCGAGTGAAAAGTCGATCGCCTAGCACGGGCGAAGCGCGCGCGCGGAGAAGGCGTGCGTGTGTGCTCCTGAGGAAAGAAGGAACGCGATTGCGTCCAAAGGACCCTTTTTCAGCTCGATTAACACTCGGCCCGTCCAGTCGTGCCAGCTTACGCAGATGAGCGTATCGACGATACCCCTTTCTCGTCGCGTACAAACGCGCTGTGTATATATATGTACAAGAGAATCCTAATTGAAAAATATAACCCGTGTCCGTGTGTGCTCGACACGACGACGAAGTCGTCTGTCGGCGCTGTCGCGACAGAGGCGGGTACGATGAATCAGTGCGATCGTCGTCATCATCATCCCTCAAGGACGTCGACGCGATCACTCGCGGCGACGGTGTCGTGTCGCGCCGCGCGCGACGGAGAGCGGTCGAGCCTGTGAGCGTGTCCGTTTATCGATACGAAGGAAAGGAGAAAGGAGAAGCGAAGAAGCTCGTCCGACGCTCCGACGCTCTGCTGCACCCCTGGAGATCTCACCTCGATTTCACCCGATTTCGAGAAAGCCGCGAGTGCAACCCCGGCCGGACGGACTCGCGTACGCCGGAAAGAAAAGAAGAAAGCAGCCTCTCTCTCGAGGCTGCCACCGCTCCGTCGTGGACTCGCGTTTTCACTCTGCGACCGATTTCATGCCGATTCGCCGAGGCCCGGCGAGAGACGCATCGCGCTAGGGAGATGTTGCTACCGTGATTGCTATTTACGCACACAGATCGCACGTAATTTTGCGCGATCTCGATCGACGCCATTGCCTCCCCCTCCCCTCCCCCCCCCAGCGACTCTTTCACTCATTAGTTTCGGTATTTACACGTGTGTGAAGAACTCTGACGGATGACGGCAAATGACGAG